CGACACCCAGGGACGTGGCGAGGAGGACCTGGCTACCGGGGACCTTGTCACCAAGGGGAAAGGCAAGGAGAGAGCTGACAACGACGTCAGGACAGGCATGGTGGGTGAGCGTATTGTCCACGTGGAGGCGGGGGAGGACAAGGGAAAGGGCAAGAGCAAGGAGAAGGCGCAGGGGAAGGCGGTGCATGCGATGAGCAAGGAAGAGGATGGGGGAGAGGGAGAGGGAGAGGGAGAGGAGCAGGAGGGTGAGGACGACGACGATGCCGACAGTGACGAGGATGACGATGCCGACAAAGATGACGACGATGAGATGGCGGAAGACGTGCCGGGTGCAGGCCAGCCCGAATTCATTGAGGTCGATGCGGCGTCGCCCCCTCCGCCAACTGCCAGACCAATATCGATCTCGCCAGCTGCCCCATCACTCCGAAAGCGCAAGGCGGTCATCACAGAGTCGAGTGAGGAGAGTGAGAACGAGGAGGCGGCTCCGAAGGTGAAGCGGATGAAGCCGATCGAGGTCGCAAAGGAGAAAGGCGAGGCCCCGACCACCTCTGGTCGAGTGCAGCGTGCGCAGAAGAGGATGGCGCAGACCGAGGTGGAGGGCTCGAAGGTGAGCACGAAGAAGAGCGGGAAGAGGAAGGTGAAGGAGTCAAGCGATGAAGAGGAAGTACCGACCGTCAAGCCGCCAAAGAAGAAGCGTGCGATGAAGGAATACAAGAGCAAGGAGTTCATCGAAAGCGAAGACGAGACTCCGGCACCGCCTTCCAATCTACCCGCCAAGACCGCAGGGGACTCTAACGACGGTGTTGCGAAGATGAACGCCCCTGCCAAACCTGTCAAACAGACAATGAGGATGACGGCGTTGCCTCATGTCGCACCGAAGGTGAAGGGGAAGGGGAAGGCAAAGGCGACGGCGAAGGGGAAGGCGACGGTGAAGGCGAAGGCGAAGGTGACGGTGTCGCAGAAGGACATGTGGAAAAAGACGTCCACCCGCGTGTCTGACTTCATGTGGGCACATGCAACAGATTCGGTGAGTAACGATCTTGTGAGACATTGACCTGTGCTAATGTTCCTGCAGCTCGTCCCTTGCATTGGCTGCCAGGAGAAAGAGTGGCCATGCAAGCTCAACACCGCCAACTTCGGTCGCTGCCTTGAATGTGCAGCACGAGGCGTCAGTTGCAGCATCGCGCCGAGGAACACGGACGGCGTGTCCCTGCGAGGAAACTCACACACTGCACAGCGTGAGTTCCAAGAGATGTGCGCAGTGCTGGTGGTAGAGGGCAAGCCACTGCCCACATCGCCACCTCCATACGACGTCAAGGTCGACTCCGATGAGCCCAACGGTGCAGAACCCATGGTCATGGGAGCGTCGAAGTGCAAGCTGCCGAAGAAGACCAAGACGCGCAATGCTGCGGCATCCAGCTCCAAGGTCAAGGGTGGCGAGGAGGTCGAGGCAACGAAGCAGAAGGTGACCGTCATGCCCGATGAAGCCAACGCTGAAGGCGAGGCCTCAGTGGAGAAATCGTCGAAGTCCAAGCGCGCCACCAAGTCCGCCACCGCCACTGGAGCCGTGGCTCCCTCAAACTCTGGCGAGGTCGCCACCTCTGGCGAGGTCTCCAAGTCTGGCGCGCCTGCCAAGTCTGGTGCGGTCGCCAAATCTGGCGAAGGTAAGAAGTCAGGACCCAAGCCAAAGCCGGTGAGGAGCCAAAACTCAGGTGCACAAGATGGTGGCGAGGTCACCAGGACCTCAGTACGTGAGGCGGATGAGGTCCCGCCTGCCAAGTCTGTTGTGAAGGAGGGCGGGCAGATGACAAGGGTGGCGATGGGAGGTCGCTCGGGCCCAATGGTGCCCGTGATCACCAGGAAGGCGAAGGCGAGTGCTCCGAAGGCAGCAGCCAAGATGCCTCTGGCGGAAGGCGATGGCATGGAGGAAGCCGCCAGGCTGGCAATGGAGGCGGTGCGGGCTATGGCCTTCCAAACAGGGCCAGCTGCTCTGCCGCAAGCTAGCAGCAGCAAGCGCATGCTGACACCAGTCGCCGACGAACCAGAGGATGCGCCAGAGTATCAGGCAGAGGTGGCGGAGGATGAGGTAAGCAGGACATCTTGTCGCAGCTGGAGTCGATGTAACCATGAAACAGCGCGCGTCCTTGGAGTGGCCACACGACGATTGGCGGCGTTCGCTGCTGATGTCCCACGAGACGAGTGCAGGAGCTGCCGAGGTGGCACAGGAGGTGATGCCCTCCCTGGAGATATCCAAGGCGTCGAAGGGAGCGAACTCCTCCACATTGGCGAAGGCAGGACATCTCGATGAAGGGCGAAGGCCAGCTAAGAGGGGTGCCCCACTGGACCACAAGGCAGCGAAGAAGGAGGTGGAGGCAAAAAGGGATGCGAAGGCGAACTGCCTCAGAGCAGTGCCTCCGACCAGCAAGGGTAAGTGCGCCCGCCACAGCTTCGAATCCATGCAGCGCTGACCAGGGATACAGCACCCCACTTGCGCGACGTCCAGCGAGTGTCTACAGGAAGTCCCGCTCCGGTGAACGAAGGCGACACCCCCAGTGGCGAAGAAACCTCGCAGTCATCCAACGATGACTGCGCAAATTGTGCCGAGTTGCGACAGGAGTTCCTGGCGCACAAGGACAGGATGGAAGTCCAATTCCAGGAGAGGATGGCGGACCTCAACACCATCAAGGCAGAGATCACAGCGGCACTCCAGCGAATCAACCCGCCATCTGCATTTCAAGAAAATGCCCGGAGCATTTGCGAAGAGGTCAAGTTGGCCATGGAGGAGTTTCGCAGGCCGGTCACCATTGAGCTTCAGGAGAGCATGAAGTTGGCGGTGGCGGACCTCATCGCCAAGCGACATTGCCTGCCAGAGCTCAAGGAGAAGGTCAACAGGTTGGAGCAAGGCGCGAACCAGACGGTGAGCCAAGCGGACGTCGACAAGCTGCAGGGTGAATTGGCCGACCTCCATCATTCGATGGAGCTCCAGGCAGCGCGGTCAGACAGCATGAAGAAGGAGCTCAGGTCTTCGGCGGCAGAGGCGATTGCTCAAGCGAGCAAGCTGGAGATGGAATTGGCACTCGCCAAAGAGGATTCGATGGCAGTGGCGACGTCCGCTTTGGATGAAGCGAAGAAGGTGGGGAAGGAGGTGGCGACGGCGAGAGAGGAAACCTCACTGGTGGCGAAGTCTCTGGACGCATTCCGAGAGAAGGTCGACTCCGCCATGGTCTTTACTGCCTTTCACCCAGATAGCCACAATGTGTAGTCATTAGAGTATTGATATACATGCTTTTTAACCTAGCATGGAATCTCCATGCACTCGATTCACCACTGCCACTCCAAGTCAACTGAATGCCTGCTGAAGTTCTCGCCAACTCCCCTCGCCATTGCCACCATCTCCATGGCTTTACCTATGTAGATCTATGGGTCACATTAAACAATGTGGAAGCCTACGAGTCTACTTTGAACTGGAGTTATATTGTCAAGGTCTGGTGCCGCCACTGCGGGTCTTGCAACCTGTGCCAACTTGGCCACTCTCTTTCACTTTGGCGGCTGCTTTCCCCAGACGGACCGGCTTCAGCTTGGTTTCTCCCTTGTCCTTGACCTCCGGGGTCTGAGGCAGAGCTCGTCTTCGCTTTGCGGGAGGCTTGTCACCATCATCCGAGTCCTCGGCCCTCGCATTCTTCTTCCTCGGCGAGGCCACTACCAACTCGTCCCGAGTACCACGTCCACGCTTCCGAGGTGGCGGATTGTCTTCACCAGAGCTGTCTTCGCCATCGGGCTCGGGACGTGCTGGTTGACGTTTCCGCTTTGGATCAGGAAGCTTCTTCAAATCTTTAACAGCTCCTAGTGGATGCTGACTGCGGGTATTCTTGGCGGGCGACTCATCCATCGCTTGACGCTGACTGCGAGTGATCCTGCCGGGGATATTACTCTGAAGGGCATCGGTGATCGACCTTCCCTGGAGCGCTTTGGCTTGACCTGATGGACGGTCTTCAGTGGCTGCCGCCTTCCTCGTCGTAGGTATAAACGGAGGCGGTGGCGGTCGTTCAGCACCACTGCTAGGTGCGGACAAGTGTGCATCGTCCTCTTCGCCATCGTCAGAGGCCCCACCACTGGTCTCCTGGCTCGGCCCTTCGTCTTCTCCACTTGGAATGATTGGTTTGTCAGCTATGGGGGCAGGCTGGTGAGCCTTGTGAACTTTGGCAGCAGTAGCAGTGCCATCGTGAGTTCTTGCAGAGGCATCACCTTCCTGCTCCTCCTGGCCCCCAAGGCCATCGCCACCTTGTGGGGCACCGCGTATGGCAGGCTTGCTCACTGGCTTCACCATGGCATGGGTGACGTTCCCTTCCACCATGTCCAAGGTAATGATCTCGCAACAGCGAAGCAGCTGCTCTACTGCATCAAATGAGATCGCCGAGTTCACCACATAGTCGGGAAGGTTGGTCGGTTTGCCCTCCTCAATGAACTGAGATCGTGTGAGGTCCCTCAGCGCCATACCAATCACGAGTGCAGATTGTTGTACGCCCTGTGGATGTAAGAACCAATATTTTGTCAGCCATGGTTTGTCGCCCAACCAGTTCTCGACGATGTCAAAGTTGTCCACCGCATGAAATGACGGTGGGAGGTAGCGCTGGCCATATGACCATTCGCTCCAGGGAATCGGATCATACCTGGCGAAACGATACACCTGGGGCTATATGACGGATGATCAATGGTGGCTATGAATCCCCATGAAAGGAGCTCACCACAGTCGCAATCTTGACTTCCTTCAGCATATCCTGGTATCGCGGTTCGATGGAAAGGGTGGCGAGAAACACGTCTCTCCTTTTGACGAGGTGGGGCACAGTACTCCCCACAGTACTCCCGCCAGTGAGACGTGGGGCTCGGCCTTGATGCTCAAGCCTGAGCTCCTTTGTACTGGGCTCCAGTTCACTGGATGCTTCATCGGTCTCCTCTGTGTCAAATCTGTGCAGTGCGCCCAGAGGAAGGTCTTGGAGACCTCACTTTGCCTTCGTCTTGGCACCGCCGCTACCACTCGCTTGAGGTGCACTGCCATTGTTAGCCTTACGTCCATTGGTGGTGGTGACTGCCTTGCCCTTCACTTTATTCGCAATCACGCTCTCGCCATCCCCTGAATCTTCATCGCTGGCCGTATCTTCTTCGGAAGCCATGCTGGGTATATCTGGCGAACTCCGATCAGAGTCTTGGCTGCTTCTGGCATCGTCTTCTGAGTCGTATGCATCTTTCATCTTGCGTTTACGCCCACCGCCTTTGGCTCCACCAGGGGCCGCTTTGCCCTTTGTCGCCTTCGATGCCGCCTTTCCCGTGGCCTTGCGCACAGGTTTACCCTTCTTCTTCGCCTTCCCCACCTTCTTGGGTGTGAGTGCTTCTTGGACCTCATGTTCAGATCCTTCTTCTAATGCCTGTGCTGATCCGTCAAGTGGTGGAAGAGGATCATACTTGGTGGGAGCAGCTTCGCCATCCTTGTCGAAGTACTGGGTGAATCACATGGTCTGCTCAGGTCCATGTTCCTCTTGGCGTGCCCGCCAGTGGTCGAGGAGGGCACGAACGGGAACACTTATCACCTTTGAGGGATCGATCCACTGGAAGTTCTCAGGTAGCATCTCCGCTGGAATAACCTCATTGATGTCGTCTATGCTGTTCAGCTTCGTCCATGGCGACTTGCAGTTCCGAACACCCTTCGCCAATGCTGTAAACTGGTCAGCATCTCTCAACACCGAGTGGGAGTGTCATACCGTAGTGATGATTCATGAAGTCTCGAACTTGTACCTTCATCACCTTGAGAGGCGCTTCCGCCATACCTTCAGGCATCGACGGGAGCAGAGGAAAACTGTTGGCCATCAACTGAATCTTGTCCATGGCCCGCATGCAATCGGCAGGTGTCTTCTTCACCATCACCGTAGTCTCAGTCACACCTAAGGAATCAGGTTAGTGTGCCAGCGACAATGCAACTGAGGTCTTCTTACCGTATTCGCCTTTGGCCCACTCAGAGAACACCTTTGCTAGAGGCTGGTAAGCACACAGCCACCCAGGATAGGCCCCAAATGGAGTTCCATTGGTGATGGCATGGTTGACCTCCACCCTTCACTCGGGGGTTAGCAGATGGCGACAGTCGGACGGTCTACACTCACATCTCTACCTTCAGACTCCTCGCTTCCTTCGGATATGCTAGCATGAATGCCATGCGAATGTCCATGGTGTCCCACATAGTCTTGGCAAACTTCTTCAGATATTGCATCATTCGCTGCTCCCTTAGCCTGTCTTAGGTCAGGATTTGCCTTATGCTACGTGACAGGAGGTATGCACTTCATTTTCGTCTTATCATCCAGAGTGCCATTGCGCCAACTTTCCGCCTTTTCCTCATACACCTTCTGCTCCTCCTCGGACAGTTTTGCCCATTCAGCACTCCGTGCGACTCTCCACACCTTGGAGACATTGCAACCCTTTTCTGCCACGAGTGCTCGCGCGGCCTCAGTCACCTTGTCCCTCTCCAGCGCATCCCACACCTTGAAGGCATTGGGCTTGCCAGAAACATGCATACGCTTTTTCGTCGCTTTCTCCTGCGCATGGTGGGCGTGGTTATTGAGCCACTCTCGGATTTTCTGCGGTGAGAGTTAGTGGGGACCTCACAGACATGAAACACTGCTCACAGTTTCCACAATGATGTCGTCATAATTTGACGTGTCGACAAACTGTGTCTTCAGCTTCTGGCACAAGCTCTGAACCAGAGTCTTGCGTCCCTTGGCATCTGCCGTGTCATAAGACCGCAGCTTCTCAGAGAGTATGGGCTGATGCTCCGTCAAAATTACAAATCTCGCCGGCATGCTTTCTCGATGTCGAGGATGAGATTTTTGTGTTGGGGCAGTGAAGGGGGTCGATAGTTCAACGGGCAGCGCTCTGTCCATTTCCTCGTCGGCCACCCACAACTCAACATGCACGTGCTGATGGCCCATTTGGGCTTACACCAATTACCCTCCTCGCCATGGTGTGTGGTGACTGCTGAAGCATTGTATGTGTATTTTTCGCAGGTGGCGGGAGGTGGTAGTAGGTATGCACTAGCATTCATACCTGGTGAAAGGCAATGTTGAATGCTGCTTCTATGGCAGAGCACACCACGCCAACTTCATCTCGCGAATGCTGGGCGGAGGCAATCTGGTGATCATCTGCATGCCAATCTGTGGGATAAAGGGCTTCCTCGGAGTTAGGCTTGGCCAATTAGATGGCGGTGACGAAGGGCCCAGACATGGCGGACCACCCAGCCCGTGATCTGGCATGGCGGCATCAAGTCCGGCTCGGCGGCATGATGAACATGTGAGATGTGCAAGGGACGTGCTTGCAAGCAATATGCAGGCAGATGAATGCATACTGTTCTTTGCCATTCTGGCCCCTCCTACATTCTCCCCTGCATCTGCAAGCCAACTGCCTGAGCCCGCCATACACCTGTGCGTTCCTTCAACCGATGCATGCTGTAATCGTCCCATTGATTGGCAGACAGTATCAAGATGAGCAATCTGTCACCCATGCCACTGACCGATCAGATAGCAGGAGTCTTGGAAGCTCATGTTCCGCCGAAAGCTCCATCTGGCCACTCATGCAGCCCATTCTGCGCCATCCATAGAAGTGCCTCCGTCCATGCCATCCGCCCTCCTATTGGAGTGCAATGGCATTGCAGATGCTCTTGTGAAGGCCATCCGTAATCCTGGTAGTCATTAGTCTTGCCGCAGGTCTGATCACACTGATCACGCCATTGTAATAGTAAGGCTGCAGTGGGACATTGATAGATATTGCGACAGCCTTTCGATTCAGCCCACGGGGCAGAATGAAGTCCTCGAGGCAGAACTGGAACGGAAGTGGCCTCCTCCATTTGGTGAGAGCGAAATACGCATAGACCAGCCCGCCACCCTCGTGGACATGCACGCGCATCTTGGCTTGGATACTTCCAAGAGTGTTGATACCAGACCACCAGGTGAGTGGCTTGCCCAGCCTTGCACTGTGATCTGACAAATTTGTCAGACGAAGATGCTCCAAGCGACCAGGGCCCTACACCCAGCAATAGCAGCCAGTAAGCCTTCCAGCACCACCACCAGTTGGCGACACAACCTGTTGTACTTCTTGCCTCCTGAGGAGTGTGCCCAATTCCCAGCGGGCTCCTTGTGTCTCTCGCCAGGTTGGTTCCAACAAGTAAGAGAGGTGGGTCTCCTCGCCACGCCATTTGCCTTGCGTCTGGACAGCCTTTGCAGCATATGGAGTCTGGGAGGCTGGAGACCTCCGCCAGCCTGAAGCTTGAGGGCGGAAGAAGTTGGCTGCATGATATTCATGACTCCTCCGCATTGCTGGGCGCCATCCTGGCCGTCGTTCACCCAACACTATATGCCGCAGGATGCCAGTGCTTGGGTTTGATCCAGCAAGACCCAGAATTGCGAGAGATGGCGCTGAACTGGTCGTCGCCATTCAATGCACTCCAGGTGATCGCCAACTGGGAAACTCCTTTCCACCGAGATAGCAAGACAAGATACATGTTCTACGACCTGTTGGCGACGTTGGGCAACTACACTTGCGCGTGGTTGAACTTCCCCGCCATGCGTGTCGCCATCGATTATAGTCCTGGAACCGTCATAGCCTTCTGTGGAAAGGCGATTCGTCATGGTGTCACTCGAGCAGATGGTGAAAGGCTCATCTATGCATACTTCATGCGAGAGGGTGTCCAGAACAGGCTAGGCATTCTGGCGCCCCACTGGATGCAAGCTTCATATTACGCCTCACACATTGGCATGTGCACAGTTCATCACCGAGTCTGCATTCCTAACTCAGAACAGGTCCTAACTGGCTCGCTTATTAAAGGGACATCATGCCAAAGACTGATGGAGATGAGAACACTATGCAGGGGATGGAGACTGTCGATGGCAGCTTCGTTGGCGGGACAAAGTTGGTGGAGGTGATGGCGAAATGTATGGAGTCACGAATTTCCGAATCCTAGCTGAAGGTTGGTGAGCGCGGGGTACAAGTGCGCGTTTCACATCTCGACAGTGTTCAGCTCAAGGTGTAGTTATCACTGATGGCAGCGTATGGTTGGCGGACCTCGAAGTCGGCAGAGGTGGTGGCGAAATGTATTCGGTCGAGAAGTTGTGAGTGCTAGTGGGGCAGATGGCGGCAGTGTTGGCGAGCGCGCGGTGCAAGTGCACGTTTCCCTTTTGAACATTATGCTACTCCGAGTCAAGGCAAAGTTAGCACTGAGGGCGACATACGATTGGCAGACCTCTCGCCAACATGGCATCCTTATCTGCATAACACTGATATGGTGCCTAAAGAGACCACGAGGTGATAAGGCCCAGGCATTGCAGCCATTCTTAACCACCTTGATGAGTAGTCTGGTGGGCAGCAAGGCCGTGTGTGATTTGCACGTGTTGTGCGATAGGGACACAATGCTCATCGATTGGCTTGGAATACGACTCCCCACTGACCTGAACCATGAGCAGACGCAACAAAAGCAGGCTCATTGTAGACCTGGATGACGAGGTTGAGTTTGTGACCAAGGTAGCTAAGCAGACCACTAGGGGAGTACGCTATGTGGACGTACCTTTGCCCATGCCCACGGGTTCAAACGTGCCATCGCCTTCCAAAAGTCCATCGAAGGCTCCAGCTTCAGGCTCCTTGTTTAACTTGGATGATGGCGACGTCCTGGGCAACATAGGTGTGCCAATTCAGCTGGATCCGGCGGCTCGGAAGACAAAGGTGGGCACTCCCGCCATGATCATCTGACAGTCTGACCATGCACGATAGACTCAGAATGACTTCATGAGGGACTGGATACCCCACCGTGATGACTATCTTCATGCCATTGTCGAGATGAAAGCCCTGCCTGAGCCCAGAAACTGTGCGGAATGCAAGGTTGGCGAGGGACGGTGGCGATGCCTGGACTGTATGGGCAGACCGCTCACCTGTACCGACTGCTGTCGTAATGGCCATCAGCGTGCTCCTTTCCATCGGATAGAGCATTGGCAGGGTCAGTATTTTGAGCCGGCATCACTGTATCGGGTTGGCGTCTGCATCCATTTGGGGCATGGCGGAGATCCCTGCCCTCTGGGCACCTTCACAGCACATAACAACCCTGCGCCGGTGGTGGCCCTGGGGTCCGATTTCTGAAATGCCTCCAATGAAGACCTAAATGCACATGATGGGCGAGGGTCCCATTCAACTTTGCACCTCTGGCAGGCACCCTTGATGGTGAAGCAAGGCAAACCGACGATGCTCCCGATCCCACTTGGGAGGAAGATGTGCCACCGGTGCTCTCCCGGCCACCTCGCCATGATAGTTACGGGAATCGGATCATAGTCATTGTCGACATCTCTGGCGTTCACCATATTGGCGTTGACTGGTGCCAGTGTGAGATGGCAGTAGAGCGTGACATGCAGCTTCTTCAAATGGGACTTTACCCTGGTACCGTCAAGGATCCCCATACCGCCTTCACATTCTCCATCCTCGATGATTTCATTCTGGAGAACAAAGAGTGCAAGACGGCGGCATTGAACTACTACAGCAAACTCAAACAGGTCATGAGGAATGCCTTCCCTGGCACTGTTCCCGTAAGTGTTCACATGCATTCCCATGGCCCAACCGTTCATGCCAGTTCCTCGCCAGGACCGTTATCGTGAGCTGATGTGAGTGTCCTGCCAATGGTGCCAATTCAAATATCGCAAGTGGCACGGCTTCTCACACGATGCCCTCCGTCCTGTGGAGAAGGGTGGCCTCACCATCTTTTGTCCCGCCTGTCCCCAGTCTGGGCTCAACCTGCCTTTCGATTGGCAAGCAGATCCAGTGCAGTGGAAGTTCAAACGTGGCTTCGTCATGGATGGCAATTTCAGTGCAGAGCACATGAAGATGAAGCACCCCAAGGAGGACGTCGCCCTCAGTGACGGCCAGGCATTCATGGTCGGCCAAGAGGATTACAAGGCTCATCTGGCAGTGGCCATGGAGTCACATCAGGTGCATGTCTGGCTGCACGTTCTTCTTCCGCCCTTGACTCCTAAGCCCACCAGCGCTCCACTTGTCACGAGCACCGCGCTGTCAATCAGGCCAATGTGGATCGTGCCAACCTCGATGCCACAGGAATTGGGGCCACTGCTTGCGCCAGACATGGTTTCTTCGTCCCTCATACTGTCGTCAATTTCCAGAAGGGAGAAAGGTTCGCATATGTCTCTTGTCATGATTCATTCTCACTGATGCACCCTCTGCAGACAAATGAATATGGATTACTCTCTCAGCAATGCGCTCCTGACCCTCACCGGTATCACCCTCATCCTCATCATGTACGACATCATGTGCCAGTATAGCATTCATGTCCGCAAACATTTCCGCCACAGCGCCTATCTGAGGATGCCCTTCGAGCTCAAGGTAGACTAAGGCATCGGCTTGTTTCATGTGCACGGATACCAAGATTGCTGCTTCCAACGGTTCTCGCCCAACTTTATAGTTGGCGCTGGTATGGTCGATGGTGAGGTTATCGAGACCCTGTGGGTGCCGACAAATGAGGTCTCAGGCAGTACCAGGGGCATGACCCGAGCTCACCGCCAAGAAGTCCTTGACGATCACATGAATGACTCCAACTGGAAGAAGACGACTCGCATGGGTGAGCCTGGTTCCTCCTTCCCTATTTGCCACCTGGCTTATGCTGCCTATAGTGCCAACCTTGATGACAAAGTGGAAACGCATGCTCCTGGGCTTCCCACGAAGCAAGGAGTCCTTTGAAGCTTTATCTGCATCCACAGATGAGGATGTCCTTGAGGCATGGCAGAAGGAGTACGATGACGCTATGGAGGCTCGCCAAAATGATCCGAAGATCATGGACACCTTCGATGTCCAGCTCATGAAGGGTGAGTATCCTTCCATCGTCGTGTGGCATGTAGTTGACGTGAATGCAAGCCCCGGGTAAAGACCTCACCCAACTCAGACTGGCGGGCGAGGAGTCCGCCAAGGGCTTGGAGAAGGGCACCGCCGGATGGTTGTCGACTGGCCTCAAAATTCAAGAAGCACAGTGAGTTTGCCTCATCTTAACAAAAATACAGCTCTGACGGCCTTCAGGCTTAAGCTTGCGAATGATATCCGCAAGGCGGGTCAAAATCCGAGTGTGGCGGAGGACCTCAAGACTCTCGAGCGCCGTCAGCGCCTCGAAGTCAGCATTCTCACATTCCAACGTCGCTCTGAGAAGTTCATGGGAAGGTTGGAGGACGTTCCCGCCATGGAAGATCGTGACGACGGTGCGCTCTGGGATTCCTTGGATGAGAATCCTTTTCAAATACACCCGGAGGACGCTGAGTATGGCGAGGATGTGATTCCTCCCGAGCGAGCTTCCTTGAATTTACCTTCGCAGATCAGATTCGTGGCCGCCGTCGCCAACGGGCTCCAGACCCTGGCGGCCCAAGAGTTGGAGTTGCGCAAAGGCCTGATGAATGACATCCTCCATGAGCTTCGCATGGCCCTTGGACTGAAGTCTTACCTCTACCGCAAGAGGGTTTGTCCTGCCAACAGCGTCGGAACCATGACCCATGCACAGGCGGAGGTTCATGCTGCCAATCAGACCGTCTTGGCCTGCGCCAGGCTCTATTCCGCCAACCGACGCGCCATTATGCGCTTGGGCGCCACCGATGAAGACTTGGCCCTCTATCGCCCTTTGGATAAGAAGGACCTGCACGTGAAAACTGCCGTCATCGAGGCTAGCACCTCCGGGCTCAGGAACGTCAACCTGGCTTGGTTCTGGACCATGGATGTCGCTGGAGATCGAGGTTCATCAGAATGGATGGACGAGTGTTCGTAATTGTCCGATCGATCTCTAGGCCTCCTGCTAATTTACCCTCCAGTCTATAGAGTAAATTGGCTGCGTGCCAGAGCTCAATATGAGAGATGGAGGGAGGAGCGTGTCTTGGTCCACTCGGAAATGGCCTGGACCATAGCCACCTTCAAGCGGAATGCGGAACGATGGGCTCACTGGCTCGAGATGACGGATTCTTCCTGGCAGGGTCATGTTTGCTATGCCGCCAGGCAAGTGAGTATGTGGCGGACCTTCACCAGCCACGCCACTGACACCTTCAGCCACATCCTCGCCCTGGACATTGAGGACGAAAGGGCGGGCAATGAAAATGTGCTTTGAGTCAGGGTTCACTGGGGTGTACGCATATTCATGTTTGCTATATCGATGTAGTGATCGTCATGTATGTAATTCCTACTCACCAATATCACATTTGGCGAAGTGACCTCCATCCTCGCCTGAGGGCTTCATCTCAGCATGTGCTCTCCAATCGTATGACATCAGACATCAGATAAGGTCGATCAGATATCAACCTCGGATCATCCACTCACTGTCATGTCTGCCCAGTCTTCAACATCAGATGCGCGCCCCTGCCTGTTCTCCAGAGGGAGGTTGCAGTTGGAAGTCTACACTTGGAGGATCCAAGAAGCTGTTCTGGCACTGGAGCCTCACCCAGATCACTTCACCAAGGTCCATTGGGAGGAAGGCTTGTGCCGGGAGATGGTACACCTTTCTTGCTGATATTGCCTGACCCTGCTGAGTCCTGTGCAGTTCGCCGTCAGGGGTATCTGTGGCAACCTCGTGTTGGCAGGTCATGCTGACCATATTGACCATGGTGGAGTTATCGCCAGTGTCCTCACCATCTGCACTTTTAATTGCGAAGTTCTGCGCCCCATCAGCATTGACGTCAAGGCGATTCCACGCCCCACCACCCTCGTTCCTCGTCCTAAGAACCTACTCGAGGATTCACCCGACTACTGGTGGAAATGGGATCGTCAGGTTGGGCCGGCGGGGAGCCCTATGGAGGCCTGGTGGTACAAACTTGGTGATCCCTGGGTGAGTGGTACGTTCCAGCACCTTACAGTCTTGCTGAACCTCGAGAACGTAGGAGAAGGTGTACACCGTCTCCGAGTCTACACTGGTGCAGCTTGAACAGCTGCATGTTCGCATCGCAAACCTCACTAGTTGGTTGCACGAGAGGACAGATCAGAACCTGGATGTGGTGCTGGAAGAGCTGCAGGAGGCGACACGGCAGCTGCGTGAGTTAGGAATGTAATCGCCCAATGCCAGGCATCCGTTCGTGCTATAGTGTGTCGAATATAAGGTTGTCATGTCTTTGAACCTGGGCAATGTACCTGGTGTGGTAAGGCGAAACATAGTAGCCACATACTCACCTCACACACCCCCAATGGTATCTGATGCATGTCCCAAAAGCCAATGCCACATGGGAGAGTTTGGCGAAGTCATTCTGGACTGCATGTTCAGATGGCGAGTGATATCCACCACAGTTCGCCAACCCTACTCACGGTGGAAAGGACCGCCATTCGTCTCCACATACTCTACCCAGAAGGGCACATCCCAAATTGTATCTGATGCATGTCTCGAAACACCGATGCCAATTGGGAGAGTTTGGCGAAGTCATTCTGAACTCCATGTTCAGATGGCGAAGGATATTTGCCACAGTTCGCCAACCCTTCCCACAGTGGGAGAGTGTGTGATACTGCAAGGAGAGCTGATAGCGAGCTAACCAGAATGGGAGGGAATGATGGGTGTATTATGTGGAAATTATTGGCTGGCGGTAGCTCCATCATTGCCCTGTTAGGCAGTGGATCAATCACTGAAAAATATGCCCATGGCGGTGGACTGATCGCTGAGAACTACACCTATGGCGGTGGGCTGATAGGTCTGAGCAAGAGGTGCTGCATGAGCAACGACTCGGTGTCGGAGCCCCCTTCTTCTGTGGTGTCCTTCGGCTCTTACGCTGATTCGCACACGTCCGCATCCTCATCTACTTCGTGCTCTTCGGTTGACTTCGGGTACAATCCGTTCACTTCGTATGGTCTACTTCTTGGCTCGGGCAATCAGGCGTGGCATCCGCCCATGCTTCCCCCCAACCAATCTCCACATTTCATACATCCGCCCATGCTTCCCCCCGACCAATCTCCATGTTTCATACATCCACCTATGCTACTCCCTGACGAATCATCCAGTATGTTCCTTCACCCACCCATGCTTCACCAAGATGACACGGACACGATACGAGCCCAGTTGACAACCTAGGGCAAGGCAAATAACTCAGCTATGCCCGGGCTAGTCAGATATTTCAGGCGACCCATGCCTATGGGCTCAGAAATATACCTATGGCGGTGGGCCGATGGCTGTATAATAGCCCCGTGATGGTGGGCCGATCGCTCAGAACACTACCTATGGAGGTCGGCCCATCGCTCAGAACCCTACCTATGGGGTTGGGCCGATGGCTGTATAATAGCACTGTGGCGGTGGGCTGATCGCTCAGAAATATACCTATGGTGGTGGGCCCATCGCTCAGAACACTACCTATGGTGGTGGGCCGATGGCTGTATAATAGCACCATGGCGGTGGGCCGATTGCTCAGAACACTACCTATGGCGGTGGGCCGATCGCTCAGAACACTGCCTATGGCGGCGGGCCGATGGCTGTATAATAGCGTCATGGCGGTGGGCCGATCACTCAGAAATATACCAATGGCAGGGGGCTGATCGCTCAGAAGTATACCTATGGCGGTCGGCCCATCGCTCAGTACTACCACGGTGGCGGTAGGCCGATGGCTGTATAATAGCCCCATGGCGGTGGGCCGATTGCTCAGAAATATACCTATGGCGGTAGGCCGATCGCTCAGAACACTACATATGGCGGTGGGCCGACGGCTGTATAATAGCCCCAGTGGCAGTGGGCCGATCACTCAGAACACTACCTATGGTGGTCGGCCCATCGCTCAGTACTACCACGGTGGCGGTGGGCCGATGGCTGTATAATAGCACCGTGGCGATGGGCTGATCGCTCAGAACACTACCTATGGCAGTTCGCCGATGGCTCAGAACTGCTCCAATGGCGGTGGGCCGATGGCTGTATAATAGCCCCGTGGCGGTGGGCCAATGGCTGTACAATAGCCCCGTGGTGGTGGGCCGATCGCTCAGAAATATACCTGTGGCGGGAGGCCGATCGCTCAGAACACTGCCTATGGCGGTCGGCCCACCGCTCAGAACACTACCTATGATGGTGGGCCGATGGCTGTATAATAGCACCGTGGCGGTGGGCCGATCGCTCAGAACACTACCTATGGCAGTGAGCCGATCGCTCAAAACACTACCTATGGCGGTGGGCCGATCGCTCAGAACACTGCCTATGGTGGTCGGCCCATCGCTCAGTACTACCACGGTGGCGGTGGGCCGATGGCTGTATAATAGCACCGTGGTGATGGGCCGATCGCTCAGAACACTACCTATGGTGGTGGGCCCATTGCTCAGAACACTACCTATGGCGGTATAATAGCCCCATGGCGGTGGGCCGATCACTCAAAAATACACCTATGGCGGTGGGCCGATCGCTCAGAACACTACCTATGGCGGTGGGCCAATGGCTGTATAATAGCCCCGTGGCGGTGGGCAAATCGCTCAAAAATACACCTATGGCGGTGGGCCCATCGCTCAGAACTATCACCGCGGCGGTGGGCCCATGCCTGTATAATAGTAGCATCATGGTGGTGGGCCAATCGCTCAGAAATACTCCTATGGCGGTGGGCCCATCGCTCCAGCATTCCCTTCATCGCCATGAGCCGATCGCTGACAGCTCCTTACACAGACCGATGGGCCGACGTCCGCTGGCTGTCCAGTTCATGACAATGTCAGGGTAAATGGGAGTCCAGTTCACAAACATGACTGAATGGGCTGGATTTTTGCTCCTGTCAATTGCAGGGAAATGGGGATTGATAGGTCAAAGTCATCTGGGGTGTTTTTAAGGGCCCCTTGATGTGCAAGCTCATCCGCTCCTGAATTTCCTTCCTCTCCTGAATGACCTTTGACCCATTTGAAGGAGGTGATTGCTGCTCTTTGACAGAGGGATGCTGCTGTTGCTTGAAAGAGGGGTGCATTGTGGGTCCCAATCCACCCCTCATCTTCCCAGTGTGGGAGGTGTTTGGTGAGGCCATCTATGGCATATCGGGAGTCACTAATGATGTGGAGGGGGGCATTTATTGCTGTTGTCTGGGTAGTGTATAGAATTGCGGCGATTTCACCTGCCTGGTTGGATGCCATACCATCCAGAAGGTGAAGTGCTTTGTTTCGTGAATCGTTAGGTCCATACCAAATTCCGCTACCTGCTTGTGCTGTTGCTTCACCATTTTTGATGCAGGATCCATCAGTGTAGATTGTGACTGCATCATTTGGGATGCCTCTTCCCAGTCTTTTTGGGAGTTGTGCACTGACTATGGTGGAGTCTGTGAAGACTCGAAAGACATTTGCTAGGGGGCCAGGGGTGGTGGTGGATGGGTCAAGGAGTATTCTGTCCTGATTTTGTGCTGCTTCCCAGTTACGTCATCTCTGCTGTTTAGTGAGAGAGAGGTTGTCTGGTGTCGGGTTTATCTCTGGGTTCCACTTGGGGCCCAGGAGAGAGATGGCATGGAGGGCAGCCTTCATACAGTGGTGTGGGTGTTCACACCCTTTGGACTGGTCAGTTGCACATTGTGTACATCAACAGTTTCTACGAGGAAGGTGTGAAGGAGACATGTTCGGATCATGCTGTCGTTTGGTGACATGCAGAAGGTCACCTACAGATTGAACATTGTGTACACTGCGGAGGCATTTAGAGGTTGGTGTGTTATTTAGGCGGCGGAGTAGAGAGCTTGCTCCAATATGATACCAAAATGGGAGTTGCTTCTTGAGAGATAGGGGTAGTTTGAGTGCGGCAAAGTTAGCATTGTATAATTTCCCAGCACGCAGCATTCTGAGAAGGTCTTGTGGTAGTTTGGAGCGTGAGTGGGTGGTTGTGTCCCATGTCTGAAGAAAGACATTAATCTGAGAGAGTTTCTGTACATTTCCGGAGCTGGATGCAACACATTTATTGATGAGAACATTGGCTAGGAAGGCCCACAAGGGGCGGGATGGGGAGAGGTCTAGGAAGGGTCGTAGCCATTTAAGGTCAATTGCAAGGTTATGACTGGTGAGGTCAAGGAGACCAAGTCCTCCTTGGCTGGTTGGGAGGTATAGGGTTTTAATGTTGATGAGTGGAATGCGATTGTCATCCCATATGAATTTTCGGATTATTGAGATCAGGCTCTTCTCAATATGTTTGGGCATTCCTTGAACAGTAGTAAGAAATTGTGTCATACCTCCTACAATTATTTGCACTACAAGGCAGTGTCCTTTGAGAGATGGGTGACTTTTGTTCCAGCGTGTGAGAGCTGCTTGTATTTTCTCTATCACCATGGGCCACTGTGTAGTGGGCTCAACGTGGTTCCCAATCCAGCCACCAAGAATTCGGATTGCTTCCCCATCCTTGGCAATGTGGGTATTAGATGGGAAGGGCAAAGCTGTCGGGTGGATTTTCCGACTGGTGATCAATTCAGTGCGGTATTCTGGGTTTCCTATTGGTATGATTTCGGTCTTGTGAACATTGAATTTTGCTTTGGCGGCTATGCACCATAGGTCAAGTATTTGTTGTAGAGTGTGGAAGTTATCTGATTCTGCTAGGTATACAGTTGTGTCATCCACAAAGAGTGTAGTAATCAGGCGGTCAGGTACACCAGGAATGTGAAAACCATGGAGTGATGAGGATCTGAGAAGGCATGCAAGAGGTTCAATTGCAATGTCGAAAAGGAGACATGATATTGGATCGCCTTGGCGTACTCCCCTAGTAACATGGAAGGAGGCACTGATTTCCCCATTAATGATAACGACAGTTTCTGCATGATGGTAGAGAGATCGAATTGTGTTTATAAAGAGGGTAGGAAGGTTGAAGGCTTCAAGGGTATGCCATAGGTAGTCATGTGCAATGCGATCATAAGCTTTCTCCTGATCTAATGCAATTATGGCTCCATTTTCTTCTACTGCTTCTGCATAGTCAATCATAAGGCGTGACAAGCAAATTTGATCATGTATATTTCGGCCAGAGACAAACCCTGCTTGAGCAGGGTGAATAAATTTGGGTGCAATTACCGATAGGTGTAGGGACAAAGCTTTGGTGAATATTTTGTAATCGGTGTTTAGTAATGTTATGGGCCGATAATTGGCAATGTCTCGCCGATCATTCTTCTTGTATATTGGGCATAGCCAGCCTGTAGCGAAGCTTGCTTCTGGTATAGTTCCATGGGTTTCGATGTCATTATATGTCCAGGTCAGGGTACGAATAACATTGAAGGCCGGGAGTACTTCATTTGTTTTGGTGAGGAAGCGTGAGTGGAGGGCTTTCCACAGTTCATATGGGATTCCATTTATGCCTGAAGCTTTTCCATTTTGTGAGGCCAGGAGGGCTTGAAGAACTGTGTCTTCTGTGATATTTTCAGATAGGTGAGATGGGGTGTTCAGCTTTGCCTTACTGGGAATTGCTCCCAGAGTGTGTAGGGTTGCAGTTTCACGTTCCTGTGCAGAGGCATGGGGGCCATTTGACTGGATGGATTCATGGTAATCACGCGCTAGCTTGGCCATTTTGTCAGAGCGAGTTACATATTCTGGAGGTGATGAGCCAGGCATTTTCAAGGAGAACATGATGTCTCTCGGGCGTACTTCTTTATTTATTTTGGACCAGTATTTACTTGGTGTTTCTGCAGCTAGTTGATATTGAGCTGCAGACATTTTTCGTGCCTTGTGGCTGCGAGCTATCTTGAGTTCTGTAATGCGATGTTGGATTAGGTCTGCTGATAGTCGTAGGTCAGCATTATTTATGTAGCCTGAGTCATTAAGTAGGAGGTCAAGTTGTGTCTTGAGGTTATCTATTTGTATTTGTGTTCGGGGGATAGCTTTCCGTGCTGCCAGTTTAGCTTCTTTTAGGACTTGATCTTTAAAGTCTTTGAATAATATTTGTGGGTTTTTTGTGATGGTGCGGTCAGATTCATTGTCCTGTATATCTTGTGCAAGTTTCCTGCTGAGGTAATCAACTGTGTTGAGAAAGTGTTCATTTTGTAGTATATGTAGTGGGATTGTCCACCTTCCTTTCCCTATGTATGGTGTTTGCTTATTCGATATATGGACAGATACTAACTTGTGGTCTGTGTGTATTGCGGTGTCATTAATCATCCAATCAGAGGCTGATTCCATTATTTGCTCATTTACATATATGCGGTCGATCCGAGATTTACTCCCTGTACTCTGTTGGCGGAAGGAAAATGCTCTTGCATTTGAATGTTCGTGTCTCCACCCGTCTTGCAGGAGGAGGTGTTGTTTAAGGTCCATTAGGGTTTGCATGGTTTCAGTTGGGTCAGTGCAACTCGGAAAGCGGTCTAGAGCATCCTCAACCATGTTAAAGTCTCCCAGTAGGATGTCTGGGTAAGGGAGGTCATGAATTTCTCAGGTGTCATCCAGTTGTTTCCAGAAGTCTGCATTATCTCTGGGGTCATTTGGTGCATATATTGTTAGGATGTTTAAGGTTAGGTCTGTATGCCATGGGAGGGAGAGGTAAAGTGCTCGTCCAGGAATAAGTTCCTTGATTTTTACATTTTTTATATTTGTTTGTTCTCTATTAAGGACTATGGCGACACCTTGAGCATTGGTGACATCTGGGGGAGATGAGAAGTGGATACATAGGCGGCGTCCGAATTATCTGTGCAGTCGGTCTACATATTCTTGGTCAAGGTGTGTTTCTTGGAGGGCTAGGATGCCTATTTTATTGTCTCGCATGAGTTGGTGGATCTGAGTCCACTTATTTGTAGGTTAAGAGATTAGTGTTTGTCCCTTGCCTTGCATGTTTAGAGATGCAATCTTAAGGTGTGCTTTAGTCTTTTGTTGAATTTTGCGCTGGTGCCTGCCACGATGATTGCTGCTCCCGTTCATCGGGTGCGCCATTGACAGTATTGGTTGTGAGTCTGGTGTTTGTTGAGGGAGAGGATCTCGATGCCCGTCGCCTAACTCTCCTGTCCTGTCATTGGGGGAGTGGGCAGCGGGTAGCCCGGTTCCACCTCTAGGACGGGGGAGGCTCGAGCCATTACCATGTGTCAAGACCGGGTTTGTGGGGTTTTCTGAATTATATGTGATTGCTGAGTGTACCGGGTATTGACTTACAGCTATGCATCGGACCGGGGCGCCATTGACCTATGGCTCCAAAGGTGACTATACCATGTGGTGAGAGATGCTGTGTTCCGCGGTAAAGCAGCAGTTCATTTCTATGGCTTCAGCCTCTCGGCGCGGCTCATCAGGGCCTAAATAGGCCTCCGCTTTGAAATGTGGTTGCGTTTTGAGGGAGCACTCTGGCTTTCCTGTCCCATCACGGTCATCTTTGTCAGTTATGAAAGATAATCCTTTCTATCAATAAGTAGCAAATTTTCATGAGAATTGCTACTTTTAAGTAGACTTATCTGTAGGTGCATAGATTAATTTAGGATAATCTTAATATAATCTTCCAGATAATCTGAGGATAATCTTCTGGATAATCTGAGAATAATCTGAAGATTAGCAATAAAATACAATTTTAACTTTGACACTAGCCAGGATTGAACCCTGGACCTTAGGTTGATTTTATAAAATATAATTCCAAGTGACACTTTAGACCACTTGACCATTAGGCCATACATCACAACTATCTTATATTAAATTAGACATCTTTTTCTTGAAAAAGACTTAGCCAAATTCTGTCTATTAGAAAAGAGTAAGTAAAAGACACTTGACTTTTATCATAGATAGACAAGACTTATAAACAAACATTACTCTGAGTCTTATAGTCTTTTCTAATGCTTGCAGCCTTCATATAATGTAGTACAATATGTAATTAATAGAATATATGTTTCTACAGTTACTTCAGCAAAACAGAACTTTGCTATACAATTAGAAGATAGCTATAAAGATCTTGTATATATAAGTGCTCAGTCTATAATATAATAGACTCTAGAGTATAAGCCTAAAATGAACAAATAAAATACTGTCTCTCAATAACTTGTTATATATTATAGATGACTATATTAAGATACTGTATAGTACTGCATGATAGTTTACAAAAACTGTAAGCTGTAGAACAAGACTATAATAGGATGCAGAGTACTGTTTGTCTATAAGTCTTGTCTATCTATGATAAAAGTCAAGTGTCTTTTACTTACTCTTTTCTAATAGACAGAATTTGGCTAAGTCTTTTTCAAGAAAAAGATGTCTAATTTAATATAAGATAGTTGTGATGTATGGCCTAATGGTCAAGTGGTCTAAAGTGTCACTTGGAATTATATTTTATAAAATCAACCTAAGGTCCAGGGTTCAATCCTGGCTAGTGTCAAAGTTAAAATTGCATTTTATTGCTAATTTTCAGATTATTCTCAGATTATCCAGAAGATTATCCTCAGATTATCTGGAAGATTATATTAAGATTATCCAGAAGATTATCCTAAATTAATCTATGCACCTACAGATAAGTCTACTTAAAAGTAGCAATTCTCATGAAAATTTGCTACTTATTGATAGAAAAGATTATCTTTCATAACTGACATCACTGTCACGGTCAGTGTATTTGGGCCAGAGTGAAGAGGGGTGGTGGAATGCAATCTCGAGCGAGATCTGGGTTTCGAGGTTGCATTATGGTTTCCATCGTGTATGTTGCAAGTGCAAAGTAATATATTGTATCGGGTATGTGGCTACACAGGAGCTACAAGGATGTTCTGTGTTCACCATGATACTACGAAAATAAATATGTAAGGGGATAGCTCTGTGAGTTGGGGTGTAGACATAGGAAGAAAGGTAGGGGGCTAGGCAGGAAGGGGCCATTGGTAGGCATTAGAGCATCATCAGAGATTTAGGTGTGCCCCATTCCCCATCCGCACGGGCAGTTATCATATCCGCGCCCTCGAGGGAGACCACGATAACTGCCGCGTGCCGGCCGACATTGCGTGCCGCCCTGTTCACGCATCATGTCGCGGTTCGCAGGCTCGAACCATCCGGGGAGGGTAGGGAAGGGGCACATGTCGACGATGTGGTCAGCGGCATGGCAGTAGGAGCAACGGCGAGGAGGGAGTGCACGGCCAGTACCTTGCCACTGGGTGTTGAAGGTGAGGCTGGTAACAAAGCTGTGCCACGTGTTCTATTGCTCGAGGTTGATCAGCGGTATGTCGATGTACACGTTATAGGCCTGTGAGATTACGCCGATGTCATCGCGAATGTCTACTGTATGGATCTGGATCGAGCGGAGGGTGTCATCGGTCTGCTTTTGTAACGTGCCGCTGTTGTATTGCGGGGCACAAGTACCAAGCGGTACTTGTGCCCTAATCTTATCTAATCTCATCGTGTATTATGTAATTGTTGTGTATTGTTTGTACGCACTCTGCGTGTATCGAGTGCGCGTCGGTGTGTTGAAGTCAGAGACTTAACACACCACGACCTTGATACACGCACGACGCTCCAGAATAGAGCTTGGTGCACTGTATCTGAGGTTCGGTGTGATAAGGCCTCGCCCCCCATTACACTTTTTTACAGTCCAATTTGCCCTGCAAAAAATTCTATTCGACAGCGAAGACACCCATCAAGAAATCAAGAACCTTAACTTGCCACCTAATGGCAAGTCAAGGCCCCAAAAACACACGGATAACATGCTCCCAGTCAAGACAGGCAGAGCACGCGGCTCTGGCAGACGTGACTGAGAGCGCACCCAATGATGGCGTGCACGTGGACACTGGCACGCCAGCCCCAGAAATAATGGACCGTGGGCAAGAACTGGCATCACCAGCCCCACGATCCCCTACACTATCGTACGTCGAACCCCCACGCTCAACACGAGGAGGCCGAACGGACGAGCAGCGGCAGGAATCTGCCTCTGACCGTAATGTCAGAACGCCGGTGAGATCCACTGGATCTCATCAGGCCAGCGAAGAAACGGAAACAACAAGAATGGGAAGGACGCCATGACATCCTTTGCATTACTCGCAGAGATTTCCATCCCCGGCCCTGCCAGTGCAACCGACATCTTCCTTAGCGGACAAAATACGTCGCGCTAAGGATAGAGCCCCAGGAAGCACTGCAAGCATGAGTTCGTCTGAACGCGTGCGCAGAGAGAGAGCCCGAGAGGCACTCCAGTGGGCTCGAGAAGAAGCGAACCGCGAACTCAACGAACTACAAGAAAAACAAGAACGCGAGATGCAGGCCATTCGTGAAGCACACGAACGGACCTGCCACGCGCAGAACGAGCGGTTTGAAAGAATAATGGACGAACTCGAAAATTCCTCAGGAGATGAAGTTGACCCAATGGACCAACCCGTCCCCTCGGGAACGAGGAACTCCATCGAGGAGATAGCGGTAGAGTGAGGATTATACCCCTCAGAGATCGAGGACCCGACGGCAGGTGCTCCCGATATAATTATCGAGAGCGCGTACTGTCGGTTGGCCCAATGGCAGCAAGAGGGAGAGCCGGACGAGGAATACAATCGAAGGGTGTTAATATACACCAGATACTTGGACCGGATGGCCTCAGAGTCCGAAAGGGCATTGAGGGCATTCGGAGTACAACCGCCGGTATCATTGACACCTCGCGCGACGTGGAGATCACTCCAATCCAGAACGGCTCTAGTAGCAGCCCCTGAAGGCGACCCTGGAAGTGATGATTCAAATGACTCCAGCCCATACCCCGGAGATGACGGGAATGACTTCGACCATTTCAGGAGAAATGGTCGAAGGCCCGCAACACCACCCCGGGGACACTGACCTGGAGGACAACAGCTACTGCGATCCAATGGATCGACCCCACCGCCACTGCCTCCTCGACCAATGCAACCTGCAGGACCTGGATACCCCCACGGGCCACAAGGGCAGCCCATAGTGGGAATGAAAACACGACCTGCAGGACCGACACACGGTCCTGCAGTGAACGCAATGGCAGCTACGCAACAGCCAACGTTGCTCGGAATGTAACATTCCAATCGGGAGTGACACAGGCAAATCCGGCAGTCACTACCGCAGTGAACCGACCCCCTCGATTCCCGGGAATGAATATAACAGCCGCACCAGGTACGCACGCAGGCCACGCGACCGTACAATGATTGCATGGCCCAGGAGCGATACCTCTGGATACGTCTCCCGCAATCGAGAGGATCCATACAATGGTGGATGAGATGGTATCAAGAGATCCCATCGACGAACCACCAGCATACCTTAGAGTCACCAAGATGCCTCCACTGCCACAATATGACAGGAAGGACGATTTTGATGCATTTGAGGTCTGGCTACAGAAATTGCTGGAATACTTCAAGACTCTCCGCATCACTGGCGATGCCATGGATGCGGATCACCTGTGGATATTGGGGCAAAGCCTTAAAGACGATGCCGCCAACTGGTTCTTTCTGAATGTGCAGTCACCGAACCGCGAAGTACGACAATGGTACTTCGAGGATGCAGTGATGCACCTCCACTGACGATTCCTACACAAGGACTCAGAACTGATAGCATCCGAGAAGTACGACAAGGCGACGTACAGCTTATCACGTGGTGGCATGAGCGAGCTATACGATAGGCTATTACACCATGCAGATTGCATGGTGCAATACCCGATGGAATATGCATTCCGGAAGAGGTTTATGGACGCGTTACCACTACCGATGGTAGAAGTAATGCATCTAGCCCACCTACTATCGCCTGAGAAACACACCATCGATACACTGTATCGATTGGCCTTGGCGATCGAACAGGGCAACGGATGGCTGGACCAATACCGTACATACAAGGACCGCCGACAGCCTCAGAAGACTGGGGACCATACGGGGACCCGGATTTCAAGTAAGGCCATGTCATTCCTCGTGCCGATGATATCATCTACGGGAGATACACGATCTAGCTACCACCCGCAAGGACAAGGACAAGGAGGGGCACACCCAGGACATGCACAGCAGGCTGGTAATGCTGGCCGTAGAATGATGAACCCACGCGACGGACAACGTCATGGGGGTGGTCGTCCTACTACAAACCCGGCAGTCATGGGATTGAGACCACCAGCGAATAACAAGGTGATGAACGCAAATGTCACTTGTTATTCTTGCGGTGGCAAGGGCCACTTCTCGACAGACCCGATGTGCCTGAACTACGGTAAACCTCGGCCAGCGTGACTACACGCACAACGTGTAGTCGATGACTGCTCCGAGGATAAGGAACAGGCAAACCAAGAACTGGCAGAACCAGAGGTTACAGTTCAGGAGCCGGCTCCACAGGAGATGACTCCCGAAACTGACGAAAATGAAGGGCCCTACCAGAATGACACAGGATACCAGACATATCCTGAGTCGGACTGGGCCCCAGAGGGATCACAGTACTCATCAGCAGATGAGCGTGAACCCCCATCTGGAGACGATGGCTGGAACGATGACTATGACATTTGCCTGGGATCAATGAGATTTGGCGCCATGCATCAACACAAGCCTGGAAAGTGTACGCAGACCGTACACCTCCACACTAGTGAACACGCAACAGACGCACGATCCTTGAGGAACGCATGGCTGTATGACTCACGCGTATGACGCCTGACCGACCCAGCCATGCAGCCTCAGCGAAACCCGCAGACACAATGAACACTATGTGCAGAGGTCTTGATCAATGGGATCAAGACCTATACACTATTCGACTCGGGGTGTACAACGGATTCCATTTCTCCGGAAATGGCGTACATCTCGAAGGCAGACCGAATCGACCTGGACGACCAAATAGGTCTCCAACTGGGCACCAAGGGAAGCAGGACGCGCATCAATTATGGTGCACGACCCACAATCTCCATAGGCCCAGTAAAGGCACAACACTACCTAGACATCGTCGATATCGATAGATACGACGCAGTACTAGGCACAGTGTTCATGCATAAATATGGTGTGGTCCTCGACTTCAAGAACCGCACCATATCGATCCAACGGCAAAAAATACCGACCTACGCAGAAGTGGACGAGGCCACAATCATTGCGAATTGCAAGGATATGTTGCACTCACACTACCGCGTGCACAACAATGTCGGTACCGTTACCGCCATCACCTCGGACAACCCGCAATAGGACCCCGCAACGAGACCAATGGCCGCAAAGCCACCCCAGTCTCGTGGTGCGAAACTGGGGATAGTCCTAAGAGGGGAGGGGAATGACGGAAATGTCAAGGCGAAAGAAAAATCAACCACGAGAAACAGGAAACAGCCCAAAAAGGACTGTTTCCCTGACATCTCGGAGAAGTTCGCACCGACCAGACACTTGATGGACGAACCACGACGGGACCAGTTCGGTCAGCCAAACCCATTAGGTCTAAATGACTTAATGGTGTTCGCACTGAACGAACATCGTAAAGATGAAGAAATTCGCACCATGCTTGTAGAACCCTCAGACGCAACAGCATCCGAGGAGAAACTACAAGAACGCCGAAAAGCCTGGATTGAGAAGACGAGGGACATAATGTGTCCCCCGCCCCCAATCCTTTCACCTTTCTGTGAGATCAACCATCGAATACCGCTCATCAATGACGATGAGCAGTATCGACTGCGATTACCGAGATGTGCCGACGCAATGAAGCCATTGCTCCTAACCAAGATCCAATGATACCAGGACGCTGGCTGGTGGGAGTCCAAGCAGGCTCTCCAGGCAGCGCCCATGATATGTATTATGAAGAAGAGTGGAAAATTATGGACAGTTGTCGATGCGCGTAAACGCAACGACAACACCGTAAAGGATGTAACTCCATTCCCGGACCAGGACCAGATATGCATGGACGTGCCTCGTGCCAAATACTGGTCAAAAATTGACTTGTCCGATGCGTATGAACAAATATATGTGGCAGCGGAGGACGTCTGGAAAACAGTGTTCTCCACCCCATATGGTACATTTGTAAGTCACGTCATGCAACAAGGTGATTGTAATGCCCCAGCGACATTCCAAAGCCTCATGATGTTGATATTCCGTGACTGCATCGGACGATACGTTCACGTATACCTCGACAACATATTCGTGTTCTCCGATACAATCGAAGAACACGAACGTCACCTGGAAATCGTATTCCGTAAGCTGAGGGAGGCAAAGCTCTACCTCAGCGAGACGAAGTGCGACCTATATTCACGGAGCATGGACTGCCTAGGTCATCTAATCGATGACCGAGGACTCCACACAGACTCAGACAAGATGAGCCGTATTCGCGAATGGCGAATACCTCGATCTTACAAAGAAGTACAATGCTTCCTAGGGCTCGTGAACTACCTAGGACACTTCATGCCCGACGTGACGGCATACACCTCGCCATTGTCGGACATGGCTCACAACGACCGAGCATTCGTGTGGCGCCCAATGCACACCAAATGCTTTGAAATGATCAAAGCTTTGGCGTGCAAGGCACCCATCCTGAAGCCAATTGACCCACGTCAACCAGAACCCATCTGGGTGATATCCGATGCATCGTTATACGGTGTTGGAGCGATGTATGGACAGGGACCAGACTGGCAAACCTGTCACCCAGCTGGCTTCCTGTCGAAGAAATTCACGAGTGTGCAACATGCTTATAAGACATATGAGCACGAGGCACTCACAATACTGGAAGCTCTCCTCAAATGGGAGGACAAACTACTTGGTCGACCGATAGTGATCGCGACTGACCATCAGGCATTGAAGTACTTCGAAGGCGTAACCAATCCAACGAATTGACAGATTTGTTGGAATGAGTACATGTCTCGATTTCAATACAAAACCCAGTACGTAGAAGGCGCGACCAATAAGGTCGCGGACTGTCTATCGAGGTACTACGAGAATGACAACGTGGATGAATTTGCACCCATCCAGGACTATGTGAACACGGATGTTCATCTAGACCCTGAGTGGGATGACCTACCCTCCAACCGTATTGCTGAACTGTGCGCCGGAACGATCCAGCGCTCAGTACAGCTGCCCAAGGATGTGCAGGAGTCAAGGGATCAGGAGGCCAGTAAAATGGCCTCCCACCTGCCCCTGGTGACACCAACACCAGGCGCCAAGGACGAGGATCCGACGATAACCGAATCACGTACCAATGGACCTCCACTGAAGGCCTGTTTGGAACAGGATACCCCGTTCCTGGCCGCAGTCCAAAAGGGCTATGGTGAGGACCCATTATTTAGGAAGGTCATTGAATCCCCAACGGAATTCAGTGCCTTCGTAATCCGGGACAAGACAATATATACAAAAAACTGCCAGGATGAAGAAGTTATCTGCATCCCGAGGGTCCTGTACCATCATCGAATGATGACCGAGATCATCATCGATAGAGGGCACATGACCATAGGACACTACGGCCCACAGAAGACATCGGAATACATCCGACGGTGGTTCTGGTGGCCTAGGATTGGACGTGACATTGAAAAATTCTGCGTGACGTGCGGGGCCTGCCAAACGGCAAAGCCTCACAATCACTTGCAAGCGGGACTACTTCATTCCTTGCTGATTCCACGGTTTCCATGGAATTCGATAGCAATCGACTTTGTCGGTCCGTTTCCGCGATCAAAGGGATATGACTACCTATGGGTAGTCATATGCCGCCTTACATCAATGGTACATCTGGTCCCCGTGAATATGACGAGCATGGCCTCGGACATAGCTGAGCTCTATGTCCGAGAAATTGTGCGACTGCATGGAATGCCCGAGTCCATCGTCTCAGACCGGGACTCGAAATTCACGTCGAAATTTTGGCATGAACTACATCAACTCCTGGGTGCGAAGCTACTCATGTTGACGTCGTTCCATCCGCAAACCGACGGGCTGTCTGAGCGGACCATCCGATCGGTATCCCAAATCCTACGGTCCATCGTGTCTCCCAATCAATTAGATTGGATAAACAAGATCCTGATGGTTGAGTTCACGCTGAACTCAGCCACGAGCGCAACCACAGGATTTGCCCCATTCGAACTTAATTATGGATACTTGCTGCAAATGATTAGAGGCCTGCATGGAACCACGAAATTCGTGGGCGTGCAGGAATTTGCCCAACGAGCATTGGCCAACCTCGAGAGGGTGCACGATGCCATCATCGAGAGCCGTACACACCAAACGTTCCAAGCCAATAAACTACGGCAGGAGGAGCCGGAGTTTACGACTGGATCGAAGGTGTACCTATCCACGCAGAACCTCGCACTACCTAAAGGCCATGCGAGGAAGCTGATGCCCAAATTTATCGGACCATACGAGATCACCGACGTTCATGCGGCAACCTCTTAACTACACGTTAGAGTTGCTGCAAGAACTGAAGGACCGGCGTATCCTACCTACATTCCACATTTTGCTACTCCAATGACACAAGTCCAATGACGATGTGTTGTTTCCGCACCGTGAGGCAAAGTTGTACTACGACTTTGGTGATGATGCAGAAATGGAATGGCTAGTGGATGAAATTGTAGGCCATCGCTGGGATGGCAATAAGATCGAATTCCATGTGCGATGGATGCTAGGCAACCATACATGGGAGCCATACGCCCACTGCAAGGAATTGGCCGCGCTCGACGAGTACTTCACACTAATGGGTGTGAAGGACTGGAGAGCGCTGCCGCGCAAGACCGCGCCACCTGTGAAACGCAAGAAAAAATAACCACAAGTGGAGGACCGGACGCGTATAACATCAAAGGATGTACGCATCGTGTCCACATGACAGATCACGTGAGACGCCGGCACTTGCCCGGGTAACTACTCGTGTGGCAAGGCCACCGCTCCCACACTCCTACCACCATGTCCCAACCAACATTGCCAATGGAAACCGATGACGACGAGGCAACAACAAGCCGCCCCGCCACACAACAGCAAGGCCGACCAAGGTCGACATCCCCGCAGCTCCAATTTGGAACCGCGGTGATGCCACAAGCCCTACTGCAACCACCACCGCCACCGATCGCGATACGATCGATGGCGGCCCCAGCGATCGCAACCACATCGACACCCACAGCACCAATGGGTGCTGGGAATGCAGCAGTGATGCTGCCACCACTGCCGATCCCGACAGTGGTGGAACGGTGGGTTTCCTTTGGGACCCACCAGTTCACGCTATACCACACGGAGGTGTGCACCGTGTGCTACAGCTACCTCCAACACATCGCGATGGCACGCAACACGGCCCCCTACCAGGAAGCCCACACAGATGTGCTCAATGCCGAGCAGCACCTGTTCTGGGAGCACTTCCAGACCTACACGGCCTCGGAAGGGGGAGGATGTGGTGATGTTCCCACGCAGCAACGCAACATGGAGCTGCAAGCACAACTCCGTGCAGCAGAAGCAGAAGCAACCACTCAGTGACGACAGGTCGACGACCTACTAAGGGAGCATGAACGCCTCCTCAGGCAGATCACGTCGAGTTCCCAACCTCGATCGCCCCTGGACTATCACGGGCGACCGAGCGGGGCTCCACGGAGACAACCATCTCCACTGGAATACCTACCTCCCCCGAGGGAGCGAAGGTATTCCCCGCCATCAATGAACAGCAGCTTGTGCCAGTACTCACCGCCGTCGAACGTGAGCAGATCGCGACATCGATCCCCGGCGAGATACTTGACCAGGGGAGCACAGCGATACGCACCCTACGCCGCGGCAAGTAGGCCGAGCTCGGCCACACAGACACATGCCTCCAGGGCCACCACCAAGGAGTGGTGCCCCTGGATCGCTGACCAGTCCTACCTTGGGACCGCTGGCTGGCTACGTTCCGCGACCTCCAGTTGGTCCTGCCCCTGCCTCAGTAAAGTCGTGCGCGCAGCGAGCCTATGAGCACCTCGACAATGATGAGTCGGAGTCGGAGCCGTCCACAACAGATGGCGACAATGAGCCCGATGACGCCGAGGTCCAGCGGCTCAACAAGCAGCGCCAGAGGAACCACGGCCCGATGAACTTGCCCAGGCAAGGAGCATCGAGGAGCGACGACAAGGGGAAGACAGTGCCGCGGCCGTCAGACACCGATAACGATGTCTCGCTGGCCCCGCACAACTGGCCTGATACGTTCCCCCTACCGGTCAACATGCAGCCGTGGAAGGCGACCGAGTGGTACAACTTTGTACCCCGGTACGTCCACAACTCGCAGTGCATCATCGATGCGGCCCACGGTGGTGATGATGGCATGCGCACCCGGGTGACCGACCTCATCTGGCAGATGCAGCAAGATGGACGCTTGACCGTGTCCCATGGCATGATGAACCTGCTCATGTCATGGTGATGTCACGGCAGCTCCGGAGTAATATACCCGCCAATGGTTCCGCCTCCCAGCCGGATGACCAACCCCACCAGCTCATCGACATTCGACAAGTGGGTGGCGTGGTACGCACAGAACCCGAGCCAGGTTCACTGGGCTGTCAGGCACTTGAACAATAACTGCTCGGAGGCCCCACTACACCAGGACCTGGAGGCGATGTGGCTTGCACGCCGCATGGCCCCCATCATCCCACTCGGCGTACCTGCAATGGCCCGCAATGTGTTCATTGAGCACACTGCGGAGCTGTTCTCAATCCCCGGACTGTACGCGTGGATCGTACAGGTTGGGCATTACCCCATGGCAAACAACAATGAGCCGGCTCCGTTCCCTCACTCATCCACCCAAAATTCGTCCATATACGATGTCGCACGATGGTACGCTGCCTGCAAATTCCATCCCATGCGGATTGGATTCCTCGAGGAGTTCCACCATCGACACCGCAACTACATCCTCGGATGGGTCCTCGAAGATGTGACCCCATTCGAGGGACACTTCCTGGCGGACCTTCGTGACGGACGCCCTCAGCCGGTACCCCCGACCCACGAGTTGTTATCACTCATCGATGAGGACATGGCAATGCAGCTGCCAGACCCCGAACCACCCACACTCGGCACTAGCAACGCCCCTGCTAGCAGCAGTCAGCTAGGTCCCAACCCCAGAGCAACCCCCGAGGCTAGTGACCCTAACCACGACATGGGCGGCCACTAGCTCATGCTGGCATGCCTCCCATTGATGTGCCGCTGTGGGCCATGGCTGGGGATGCGTACCCTCCGTGTGCTCGCAACCAGCCTGTGTGTTCTGGCTGTGTCTGTCATCGCCTTCGCCCGTCGTCTTGCCTCATCCTGCTGCCCCGCCTTGCATCGCTGCCTGCGTCATCCACTCAATGGCGCAGTCAGTGTTATGGTCCCGTGGAACGTGTCCAGTGGGGGAGGGTGTAATGTGCCGCTGTTGTATTGCGGGGCACAAGTACCAAGCAGTACTTGTGCCCTAATCTTATCTAATCTCATCTTGTATTATGTAACTGTTGTATACTGTTTGTATGCACTCTGTGTGTATCGAGCGCGCGTCGGTGTGTTGAAGTCAGAGACTTAACACACCACGACCTTGATACACACACGACGCTCCAGAATAGAGCTTGGTGCACTGTATCTGAGGTTCGGTGTGATAAGGCCTCGCCCCCCATTACAGCTTTTGACCTCGGGCATCATATCTGACTATGCCGAGGAGCTGTTGGATGCTCTGCGGGTTGACGAGGCAGTCGAGGATGAGCTTCAGGATGTCCTGGAAGGAGTGGTTGGTGAAGCCTGCAAAGGTGCATACATACTGCGACACCTCCCAGACGAAGTCCATTGCAACGAAGGCGACCTCAGAGGTCAGGTAGCAATACTGCGCGATGATGTCTCTCTTCTGGGACTTCATTATGTTGAAGGCAACGAAGGAGTAGGGGGCATTGTTGATGAGCTTAGAGTCGTAGAGCGGGCACGGGTGGTTCATCATGACTTCGGGGATCTGGTGTGCGCATTCTAAGGTTTTCGCGATCTTCGTCATCAGGTATGGTTGGAGAACTCGGTCATTTGTGCTTGATCCTAGCGGCATGATAGCAACACGGGCCATGTCGTGCTTGCCCCAGGCATCCATCAGGTCACGCGCCAGGTTGTCGATGAAGAAGCACGGCTGGTGCCCATAGATGTCAGGGAAGCCCTCCGCAGGTGTCGGCGTGAGAGTCAGAGCCAGAGCGTTCGGAACTGCTGTAGCCACCGGCTGTGTCTGGTGTTGGGCAGCGGCGGCTATCTGGGTGATAAGGTCCACGCGAGATGTGGCGTCCTGCAGATTACTAGTTACTTGAGGGTCCACTTTGTCCTCTGGTTGCGTTGGCTGCTGGTTAGCTGCCGCGATCTGGGCAATGATATGCATGTGGGATGAGTCCTTCAGCACATTTAGGAAATGTCCTGTGCGCGGGTGCGGTGTGTCCACTTTCATCGTCGTGGCATGCAAGCCTTTCCTTCTCGGCTCCACGGGTGGAACGTTTGGAGCAGGCGCGATGTCGGGTGTCTGGGTGTCAGGGAGTGCCAGGGCGCTCTCGAGTTGGACCTTCGGCTGGTGAGGTATGAGACGGTGGGGGTCCCTTTGCACGCAGTCCTCAGTGGGGGAGGAGGGGAGGAAGGGGTCATCGGATTGAGAGAGGGGAGAGGAGGTCCTCGGGGAGATTTCCTCATCGGTCTGGTATTCCCCGGGTTCCTGTGCTGGTCTGGTCTGCTGCAGAGGAGTAGCGGGCTCGAGAGGTAGCTGGTCATCAGGGATGAACTAAAGTGGGTAAGTGAGGGTAGTTGGTGTTGTTGTTCGGACGTACGTGCTCCATCTGCTCCCACATCTCCGCTTTATTGTGCAGTGTTAGGTGCAGGGGGTGTTGCAACTGAGGCTCCTCGAGAGCGCGTTCAATGCTTCTGTTACGCTTCGCTATGCCATCGGTGTGCGGCTCGGTTCTGCCAGAGGTCTGGTGGTTAGCTCGAATGTCGGTATTCATCTGTGGGGCGGGACTCATCGGGCCTGAGATGCTTGTCTGGCCTTGTTTCGGCGGCTCCTCTTGAAAGCCAATGTACTTGGACAGCGTCACGAGCGTCTGTACTTGTTGTTCCTTTGTGAGTCCTTGGATCCTGGCAAGCATCTCTGCTAGCGGGATATCATCCCGTCCTGGAGCCTCATATGCTCCAGAGGTCCTACGAATTGCTGACATGGGACAAGGGGTTGTTCGAGCATCATGGGGGATCGTGCTGTCGATCTGTTGAGGTACAGAGGGTTGCGCGATGGCGGTCATGGTAGCGAGCATCGACATGGGTACTGGAGTGTCAGTGCTCGCGGAAACACGGGGTGGCTGCATCGTCGTTGTTGCAATCGTGGTTTGGTCCTCCTTGGTATCAGTCTTGTCCTGCGCTGTGGGGGCTGCCTTATGGGCATGACGGCCGATTTTGGAAAATTTCAACGGCTGCGGCTGCGGCATAGTTTCCGTGTCTGTGGTTTCTCGTTAGACGTGAATTTATTGGAGCGGGCGTATCTACCAATTTCTTCCTGGTTGGATTGGGCTCGTTTTTCTTGGCGGGGTGCCGCTAGGAGAGCGGTTTGCTGGCGCATGCGGCGGGTCATTGGGGAGGGACGTACTTCGCTAGGGGATTTGCATGTCTATTTGTTTACGTCGTTCCGCGGCATATGCGGTTGCTGGGCTGTTCCGTCGGCGCGCGTGTAGAGGCTCGACTGCACCGTGCCGTAAGGCCTCATCGTCAGGTATGTGGTAAGGGTCCGGAGTGGTTGAGACTTAGCTTTTAATGAGGTTGTAGGGGTCGGTTCGGCATTCCTGCGGTCTACAGTATTCGTGCATTTTGGAGGGTAGGGCGTGTTATGTCGCTTTAGCTGAGGGGCAGGGATGTCGTCATTGTCGTTCTCCTGTTCGTGCAAGGTTGTCGTGTCTAATTTTAGATCGGGCGGCCGGCCAGCGGACGATATTCGCGTCTTCTCTTGTGTGGGAGCTGTTTGCGGAGTTGTTGACAAGATGGTTCACTCTGCGTTAATAGGGCATCGGGCGCAAGGTTGATTCATATAAACAAGCTGGTACAACAGGCTAGGAATCGTGGGGAATAGTAGTCTCTGCGTGTAGTCATTATGGGGCATTTTGTTTGTGAGAGTAGGCGCTTACACGTGTGGTTCGGAGGTCATGCTAGGTGGCCCATGCCGCTTGGGGGTTTTGTGTGATGCTCATCCAATCACGTTTGACAGAGATGTATATGGTTTCTCCACGCGTTGTTTCGAGGATCTTGAGGGTGATGTTGTGAGTCCCGACATAACATATCTCTGTGATAATCCCCTTCCCCAGAGGGTGGACCTTGATATGGGATCCAATTCCGATGAGTCGGTATGCTGGGAAGACAACTGTCCATGGGGTAGATGGAGTGGGGATTCGATGTGGTCTGTCAATCCATAGAGTGAGTGTGTCGGCAAAGAATTCGATAAGGGGTCTGCTGGAGGTACATGTGTCAGGTCGTGGGCAGATTTCCCCTAGGGGTGTTATGTCAGACGGGTGTGGTAGTGCGATGTATAGGCCTTGGATTGACTTTAAGATTGGATTGGGGGGTAGCAGTTCATTGCGTGGAGGCTTTGTAGAGAGATGGAAGGGGGGTAACCAGTACAGGAGGGATGGCGTAGTCATTGTCCTCTTTTTCATGATGGCCATTGATTGTTGCTTTAATATTCTTTGAATGCGCGTCTGTCGCGTAATTACGCGAGGCGCTTGTTTGCTTGAAATTGGTATTCGGCTGACTTTTCATCAACATATTTCGAGTGGCAGTCACAAGGGTTGGATTATAGGGGCCTCTAGAATATATGGTTTTCGTTCTTTTAGGTTTCCGACAGAAGGTGTTCAGTGAACTTGGCATTTCCCTATGTACTTTGTCAACTAGTCATGTGCCACAGGGGCCTCAGGCCGCTCCGCGTGGTTAGTTACATAATGATGCCATTGTGGGCGATGTCAGTAGGGTTAGGGTGGAGTTGTCGTGTACAGGGGGGGGTATGGATTCAGAATGAGTTTCGTTGGGGCTGGTTACGTGGTTGTGTATGTGTGTGAGTCTGAGGACGAGAGTCCTTGTGCAAAGTGCACGTTTTCGTGTGTATCCCAGCGGGGATTAGGGGAGCAGCACTGAGCGTGTCAAGTGTGTCCGTTGGTTGATTGTCTTTGCGCCTGTTAGCTTCCCTTGTTATCCCGGGGGATTACAAGGTACTAGTCCCCTGGACCACGTAGAGGTCGACGCAGGGCTGAGAGGTGTGGTATACCCTCCCAGGGGGAGACTGTGGTCTTGGAATACGCGCACGAGCGCATCCCTAACAAGGTACTTCGCCAGTCCGCTGTGTCGAAGTGCAAGCATCGAAATAGCTGTGCCAGTTCCGTGTAAGACGAGAACAACTCCGAGCGCGATAATCACCTGGATATAACTAATTGAAGATCGGAAGCGCTCGTTACCTGTTGCCTGAGGTGCGCCCTGCGAATGTCATTGGAGTCAGTTTGGAAAATACGCTCAAGAAGAGGAATGTACAGTGTACCGTGTTCTGATCGTTCGAGGACGTCCCTCAGGCCGAGCGGCTGCGAGTAAGCCTGCATATTGCCGCTCGCATGTACAGGTGCGCAATTGGCATCGTGGGCGAAGCTTGCTTTCGTGCCCTTCGTAATTGGCCTGTTAGAGAGCGCGACGCACTTTTATTAGATGCGGTGAAGTTGTCGCCGTTCCAGCTGAATTTGATTGGTGTGGTCCTCAGGAAACCGCAGAAGAGTGTTGTTGTGATTGACTAGCTGATGCTTGCTTGGTAACAGAGACAGGTCTCACGAATGACTTTCTCTCCGGACAGCGGACGCCCGGAAAGACGGGATAAAAAGTGCTATGCGGAGACCGTTATTAATTCCTTTTTCTCAGAACGGTTACTCACCTTGTGCTCGGTGAGATATCTTGTGTTGATAATATCGATGATCAACCAGCGCCGTTCAGAGTATGAGCAGAGAGCCGTTCAAGGAGTATATGTGTCTTGGCATCGACTAGACTTGAGAGATGAGTCGAGGTATGTCGCCACAACTTGGGACATCACACACACGCCGTACCTTCATGCTCACTATGTTCCCTCGGTGTCATGCACATGCCGTCGGGATTCCGGGGCGAGTGGCATCTTCGATGCAAGCTGCGCAATAAGAAGTCCACGAGAAGTGCTTCCCAGAGAGTGCATCCCAGAGTCTCTGCGCTGAGCTCCCGGTGAATCTGTCTGGCCATCAGGCATGCGCCAGGCCCTATCGCTATCGTGTGGAATCGCAGGGAGCTGGGTACCTCGGCGCACCGCGATTCAATGTTGCGCATGTGGTATAGCTGGGAAGTCATGGATAGTTCATGATTACTGATCTGTGTACGCTGCGATGGCAGTCTGGGAGAGACGGAAGAAAATAGACTACGAGCGTAGACCAACACCGGCTTCCGGATATAGGTTTAGGACCACCCAAAGCGGATAGTCAGCCATGTGGACGAAGCGACGGATAAAACGACAGACCAGAGACCAGCCTTGCCCCGGGCGTCGTCTGCAGCGGCCGTCTATCTCTCTCCCCAGTCGCAGGAAAGTCTGTCAACGTCCAGAGGGTCGTGCGCCGCTCTTGCCCACGAAGAGCCACAGCACAGCGTGCAGCGTGTCCGGCAACGTTCCCCGCTATCACTCCAGACGTCATCGCTCAAATTCGTCCCCGGCACTTTCTCCACCGCCTTTCATTCTTTCAGCTTTAATTCGCACCAAGTAGATTTTGGAACTGGTATCGAGTTTGAGGTGGGTCTTGCCATTCATTATTTTTCGCATCGAGGGCGGGTACCGGGTGGGTTATTACCCGGTGCATGGACCTATGAGCTGGAGAAACGCCATGGGTGGGTGTGGGGCGGGGGACCACGTCGTGCGTGCTTGGTCGTTCGCTGTCCCACAGGTAATTTGCCACCGGAATTCCCAGATCGTGCATCTCGATGGGCCGACATTTGATTCCATCAAATCTCGTCCTGGAGCGTAGAGCTCCCGGAACGAGGGCTCGTCAACGGCATTGTCGTGCACGGTGGATGTAATTGCAGTATTCAGTTCTTCACAGGGTGGTGATTGCCCTAATTATGGCGTCGATAGCATCACCGCTGCTGACGTTTATTTTTCAAAAGCTCCAAGTCCTGTGCAGGGTGGTCGTCACCCTGGTCATCCACTGGGCTATAACTCGGCAATGAACTTGGGCTGACATTGGCCAATGAATTGCAGCCTGTACATGTGCAGTACTGTTACGTCTGTACAGGTCCGCCAGCCAGACTGTGCAGCTCCACAACAATTCCGCTGCTGATATTGATTCCATCGACAGTGTGTCGAACGTGTGTGCTGTGTATCTCAGTTCCGACCCCCTCCACATTCCCATTTGCGAGTGGCGCCGTTTCCTTCGTTTCCTCGTCTGTTATGATCAAGATCAGTGATGTATTGCTGAGACGTTTTCATTGCAGCTTTTGTCCTGTCGTCTAATAACTGCTATTTCAAGCTGGATCCTAGCCTTGTGTTGGCGTCGTTCGTCGAACTTTGTGGAGCGTGTCATTCCGAAAATATTGTGAGTGCTCTTGTTTGTAATATTATTTCTACGCCCCGGAGCAGCGCGGAGGGACACTTTCGAGTCACGACATACCAAGAATAACCGCACAACATAAATCCATCCCGAGCGGACCACAATTTTACTCACCGAACGTGTGCACTAGGATTACTGTGATTCATATCATTTTTTCAAAGGAACGAAGCATACGAAACATCGATTCTGACCGCTTACTTCTAGTCATCAATTCAAAATCCCGATTACAGCCTTCCGCATTGGATTCCTCATTCTCCCTAGTAGACACCGTTTAATACTTTTTGCACCTTAATAATCCCCGGCGAAACACCATGCTCATCTTCCTCATCCCTGGCGCCCCGCGTCCGAACGTATTCTTCACCGTCTCCCTCGCAGATCCGTGCGAGTACGTCCCGCTCTCTCCCGGATGGGCCGCGCAACTGCACGCCCTGCAAGCAGACGAGCTCGATATGCCCTCCTCCGTGCACGCGCTCGATAAGGCCACGTGGCTACTCGCGATCCTCACCGAGGTCACGTTCGACCTCACGACGCTCACCATCTCGTGCGCCTTCACCGATGGTCCGCCGATCGAATGGCCACTCGACGATCCCGCGTGTGTCCGGATGCTCGAGGACGTGCTTGCGGACGTTGTGCTCGCGACGGGCGAGCTCGAGCGCGAGCGCGAGAAGGAACTGCAGACCGAGCGCGAGAGGGAGCAGCAGACCGAACCCGCTAATAAGGCGGAGCTTGTGCCTGCGGCGAAGCCCGTCAAGCACAAGAAGCAGCGCTCTCTACTCATGTCCCTCGTGTCCTCCCTCAACAAGCTCACACAGAGTGTCTGCGCTGACAGCTCCGCGCCCTCTGGGCTGCGACGCACCTCCTTGTTAACTGCCCCCGCGCCTCCGCCCGGTCGCCCGCCGCGCGTATCACTTCCCCTGCATCGCCCTCCAATATCCGCGTTCCTGCCGCCCAGCAGGAAAGTCCCGCTCCCCCGGGTCCCGCCTCCCGCACCGTCGATCTTGTACCAGCACCGCGCGCGCTCCGCACTCGTCGAGGTCTTCCGCGCCTCGATCGTCCCCGCGCTGCGTGCACGCATGGTGCCTCGCGCATACCGTGCTTGGGCCGCGCAGAATATGCTGCAGCGCGTAGAAGGCCAGATGACTGCGATCGTCCAGGACGCAGGCGGCGTCCCCGCGCTCGGCGGCGAACTCGACCTCATGCGCGGCGCGCTCCCCGGCACCGGCAGAGGCGCCAGGCGCGTGTCGTCGTCCCCGTTCTTCGACGATGAGTTCGATGACGCGTCCCTGACGGATAGTGTGAGCACCGACACAGACGGCTCGTCGGTACACACCCCCGTAGACTCTCATTCTAGCTCGCCCTTCGATCACCCCGAAAAGCTTGCAGCGGGACACGGCCCCGCTCAGCAGCTCCCGCGCACCCCCAGCCCGCCTGTATTCTCCAGGGAGGACCTCGCAGAGTACACTGCGCTCTCGGCACAGTGCCTCCGTCTGCGGCAGGTGCTCGCGCGCGCGGAGGCTGCTCAGCTCGACGCGCAGCACGACGAGCGCGCGTTCCTCGCCGTGCTCGAGGTCAAGAGCCGCCGGCGCGCGTGGTCGAACCGCGCGTACCTCGGCGGCGCGCACTACTCCGGCATCGGCCTCGCCACGCCCTTCCGCAGCTCCCCCCTCGCGCGTTACGAGCCCGTCATGCCGGCTCGCCTCGCTGAGGTGGGGCGTACGCGAGAGCGCCGGCAGCGCGAGCTGGACGTGTGCACCGGCGAGATAAACGTCGCAACGCTTTTTCCGGTTTGCGAGGAGGAGGAGGAGGATGACATGCTCGTCGGCGGTCAGAAGGGCGGGTATCAGTACGGACAGCTACTTGGACCGCCCGCGATTACGCGCAGCGGCGAGGAGGGTAGCCTCGCCCGCCCTCCGATCCGCTCGCGCACGCTCAGCATGCACAGCCTTGACCTCGACCTCGTGCTTGTGCCGGACTCGCCGCGCCTGCAGGCCGCGTCGCTCCCGCTCCCGCTTGCCCCGCCGCCCGCGCTGCGCTCCCCCCCACCAAGCATGAACGTCAACGTCAACGTGAAGCCCATGAGGCCCGCTATGCTCGAGCCCCGGACCAAGTTCGCGCTCTTCGAGCAAGTGGACCATCCCGAACGCGTCCTGGTGGACGATGCTGTGGAGTTTACCCTCGCAATGGACCTTCCCGCACCCCCGCCCTACAGCAGGGTGCAGGTGCAGACACACGGGAATGTCCTTCCCCATGTAAAGGAGTGGGATGCTGCACAGAGTCGGTGACGGCGGTCTGGCTGTCGGTTTCGTATGGACTCGGACGATGTTCGGTAACGGCTTTCGACGTGCGGTGCTTTGCGCCGTATCGGTCGCCTCTATTTTGGTTCTTATTCTCATATCTCATAAACGGATCCTCACGTCTGCATACCAGTTCACGCATCTCATGCTCATGGCCCCAGCCAGATACAGGCTCGACGCATCCACATACATCACAGCACACCACATATTCGTATTCGCATTCGCATTGTATCATATACCACAATCGTTTCTCCTTCGCGCACTTACTATCTGCCCCTTGGGCATCTACATCGCATTTAGTATCCTATTCCGTTCAGCGTCCGCTGCTCCCACGTACGCACCACCCTGCATCTTCGTCACTTCCCTCTCACACCCCCAACTCTCGTCCACACCTCCACCCCCAATGCCTCGTACCCGCGCGATTTGCTTTCGCACTAATGCCCATCCCGTTCGCTCATGTTCAGATCGCCTCATGTCATTGATGCTTGGATGCTTGCTTGGTTTTTGCTAGCTTGATTCACATGTACTTGTAGCTGCTTACCATGGAAGGAATCAATGAGATGTGGCATTTTCGCGAACTTGGGGATCTAGTCGCAGAGCATGATGCTGTCGTCATGCTGCACAAGTGCAAGTGTAACAACCTCAAAGACCACCAGTGGTGGCCAAGTGCCACCGAGTTGTCCGGCAAATAGATACAAGGCACTCCTCCGCAGTGAGGCCTTCCGAGATATCAACCAACACAAAGAGGGTGACTATGTACTTTCTTGGGATTTTGAAGGCGTTAATGAGGGGCGACCTTTTTGTTGTAACTTAAGGGCATGCACCGATCCCGGGCGTCCGCTTGGCCTTCGCCTCGGCCGGCGGCGGCAGCGTCACAGCGAACAACCGGAATTCGCCGAAGCGTGACAACTCGTTCCCGGTTTCTATCGGTCCGAACCCGCAAAGCGGACACTAGTACTTGCAATTTTGGCGGGCGGACGCCCGGGACCGGTGCAGGCCCTAAGGCCTAAGGTCTCTCGGTGGTCTCTCGGTCTGAGTCGGTCATACTATGTCCATATACAGCAGCTACTGCACCATATACAATAATACATGCATCCTGCTTTGTCATCTGCCCAAATGGTGACCGGTCAATGACCGGTGAAATCCGTGACCCTGACCTGACCTGACCTGACGAACACTGTTCTTCGCCACTATAAGGAGACTCCCGCGGCCATGTCTCTCTCAACTGTACTTTACTCGTTCTGTCAAGCACGCATTACGCCTCCCTGTTATATGCACAGCTCGTCTGTATTCTCAGAACGGTGAGAGGAATCACCTTACCCGGGATCGGCACATGGATGGGTATCAAGGTAACAACACCCCCTTATGTCTGATGGATAAAGTAAATATGATGAGAAACACCTGTCAGGTCAGGATGAGAGCAAAAGCTTGCTGAATTCATCATCCTCTATGCGAGTACAGGCAGCTGAGGCAGAAAAACAAACGAAGGAGGTACGCAGATAGCCCCTTTTTTCAGACTGACATGCAGTTGATACTGTATTGCAGGGGCAGGATGAGGAACTTTCTCCCCATGAGTGCCTCAGACGTCTGTGGCTCACGCGTGATCGCATAGCTTTCGCTTGTGGGTTCGAGGGTACAAATTGGTTGGAGATGAAGCACGAGATGGAGAAGAACCCTGACGTTGACTGGCCAAAATACGTGCACAAGTCGCTGGCCCGTTGGGAAGTCCCACTCGAGGAGTTCCGCTATATCCTCAGCATGCCGGAATACTTCGATGATCCTGCTGACATTGATAAGCTACCTGTACTTGTAAAGTTCAGTTGTCGCCAGGCAAAATAGCCTGTATGTACACATTCAGGGATTCTTGTATGCAACCTTTACTTTCTGGTACTATAGCCTCTGTGACAAGCATGTTGGGAGACAGAACGGAACTGAGTCTCCAGCTTGCTATTAGACAGTGCTATGTCTACTGCCAGGAGGACGACTCATCCTTTGATGAGTGCACGGGCCTAGCTTTCCATGCCAATCTTTGGAGCCGTCACCACAGAATCCGGATTAAATCCGGGTATGAATCGAACGGCGCAACTACACCTAGTCAACGTGGCTCATCTCCTCCCATACCAGTCCTACGACGATGTTTTCGATACCGTTACTTGGGAGTCTCCTGCCTCGCCTTCCAACGACGTTGGCGCACCCGTTGCACTCTCAGGCCCTGGGCAGCGCAGAGAGTGAAGAGGAGCGCGGGCCAAATGGATATGTTATAACGACCGTCTGGGACCCAGTCAATTGGAACTCGCTGAGACCGAGGACGTGCATGTATCTTACTTGGTCAGTACGAAGGTGAACCTTTCGGTCACCTCTTGACCCCATGCATTAATGTCCTAGAATGGGTTTTACAGTATGCAGTAGAGTGCGTTGGGATCGTTTCTGTGTCGATATTCAATAGCCTTGCCCTTTTATAATGTAGGATGTCAGATTTTCATTCGGCGCCTCCGACCACGAGAGTTTCCAAACTGGGAAACTTTTGGCCAAATTGGTTCTGATCTGGCCGCTCGATGATCAGTGACTTTTTCCATTCCGCGTCAACACAGTAGTACCTCGGACGACCGTGACATGAACGACTAGGCCTCCGGTACCGCGGTTCGTCCATGTTCAGGTTTAAACGTCTTGTACCGTCCTCACCTTTCTCGGTCGCGCATCACGACCAAAGAGTAAGTGTCTCTATCGTCGCTCTGACCTTGTCTATGTGCAGCTATTGAATCCATCTCATCGCTACTAATGCCTCTCCTACGGCGCCGCAGCCCTCATCGAGACGTTTGACATGTTCTTTCAGCCTGTGATCCAGCAAGTCTTGGACTCATGAGTTTGTGTCCCGGTCGGAGGAGGGAAGGAGGGAGATATATTCCGGCTTTATACTCGGAGTTGCTTGCGTAAATTAAACGAGGCTCCCACAATCGCATGCCATACACCGTGCAGACATAGTATCTTACCACCTTGTCATGGACTGGTCTACTAAACACTACTGGCATAGTATCTTCACCCGCGATAAGGATGACGAACAGGTGCGCAGAGCACTCTCCTCTCTGCGATCAGTCTCTCAATCGTGGTGCAATCAAAGCCTCGGCCTGAGATCCTGCCATCTGATTTGCAGGCCCTCGAACAATTCGTGCAGAAAAGGTACGATGAGGCTATGCATAAATTAGAATTGGCAGAGGAGAGAGTGCATATATGTACGTGGAGGCTCGAGGACTACGAGATAGCATTGGCCACACACAAAACGCGCAGAGAGAAAATCCGGGAATCCTTCGGAGGCGCGAAGTCGCGTGCGACCGCTCCCGCGCTGGTTGGGCTCCCGGCGAACCTGAGTGCTCGACAGAGCCAGCGCCGGCGGCGGAGCCAACTGAGGATGAGTTGAGGATGCTGATGGAGGAGGCTCTGCGGCTGCTGGATCCGGATTCAGAGAATTGGTAGCTCGACGATACGGACTCTCACTTAGTCTCCGAATCAAACTTCACTCGGGCGTGGAAATCGTCTGGAAGCACCGTGCAGTGGTGGGCTAGGAGGAGGGCAAGACAAACCTGAAATGCATTGGGACGCCATGGATAAGGAGAGCGACAATCGGGAAAGGACGACAACGAGGAAGATGAGATGTAGCACAGTATTTCCGCATAGTACCGTTTCACCGTCCGACCAAGGATAGTAGAGCGCTGATGGTCCAGATATCAGGCTGAGGACTGCAACTTGCAATATGGTGCCAAACGTTCAGAGGAACCGTCTCCTGAATATAACTAATTGAGATCGTCTTCTTGGACGTCTGCCGTGGCGGGGTATTTTCCCCCAGGAAATCTGCGGTCGAATATTTGCAGGCCATCGGACTCGTCCACGGCCGCCTCGAGCTCTGGAGTTCCCTTCGCCGTGCGAAATGACATTTTGTGTCCACTCCAGCTTTCCCGCAACAATCTGGCTCCAGCCACCTTGCACGTAGAGATCAAGAGCCCGGCGGGCGAGCCATTGACGAGAAGACGATGAGAGCAGAGAACGATAAAGAGGCTGCGGAGAGTCAGAACGTCAGAGGTTGTTTGGCTACAGCCTCTGATCGAGATCTGCTACAAACAACCTCCTACGGTTCGGCGCCGATTCCGGTCTCGTCTCCCAAACCATAAAATGCCTGGCTCATCGCTTTTTCCCGGGTATCATCTGGTCGAAGCGTTCGGACCAGACGAAGACTATGAGCAGTGCGACAGCGAAGTTGAAGAGGAAGTGGTCTATGTAACGCTCGATCTCGGGACTGTGGAGCCAGCTCTGGTACCAAGCACCTCGTCCTACCGTCTTATCGTTCGTCTTCAGTTCCTGAAGTTCGGTTGTTTTGGTCTCAGCTACTTAGAATTACTTCCTATAGGGCTTGGATACGCCCACTCCGTATTTGCAACTATCTGGTACCACATTTCGAGGACAGCACGAGTCCTTGTTAGGTACCGAGTTGTTATTCACCGAGGGAAAAGGTACAGATGTCATGACGCTCCACTTTGCATTCGCACTGATCTGGCACAGATGATAATGGCGACCGTAGCAGGAAATCCCTCGTGCACTTCGGCTCGACAGAGCACCGTATCCGCTTCAAGGAGGTGGAGCTGCAGGAGAAAAATACTGGCATAATATCCAAAGATTGGGAAATCAGTTCCACAGTGAGGAAGAGAAATCCCAAGACCATGAACCACTTGTTGGGCACCGTAGACAATGACGCCTCGAGCTCTAAGGATAAAAATCAGAGTGGGTCTAGCAAAGCGAAGTCTAAGGCAAAAGGGAAAGGGAAAGGGAAGGGGAAAGAGAAGGCAGTTGGTCTACCCGAAGATTCTGCCACCCAGTTGCCTGGCGATACCCAGGCTCGCACAAAGTCTGGCAGATCGCAGTCGAAGAAGAAGGACAAGGGAAAGGGACGAGCAGTGGAGCCACCTATACCGTCCTCTGCCAATGTACCTAGTGATGCTCCAGCTGACGGCGGTCCCCAACCAATGGATGTCGATGACGGCTAAGATAACAGAGTTTTCGTACGCCCCTTTCTGTACGGGATGTAACAAGCTGTGTGAGCGCCTTTCATAGGAATGGAGAATAAAGCGGTAATGTGCAATTGGTTCTGTAAGCTGCCTAATTTCATCACGCTGACGACATTGGTTCTCTAGGTTTGTGAGGCAGTGGAACTGTGTCCGCCTTTCTAGTGTTCTCGGAATATACAGAGGCAGTTGTCCGTGTAGCTTCTGTCTTCGTTGTATTTTCCTCGGTCACTTTATTATGTTTCTCTCAAACATGAGGCCACCTCAGGCCTCAGGCACCTAACCTGGTTCGGGCAACCTGGCAGTTTGTCCTCTGTAATGCTTCCACCGATTTCTTTTGTCTTAACAGCGCGGTCGGGTGGACCCTGACGTCTGATTTGGTCTCAAGGCAAAAGAAAGCGCATAGTTCACATTTAGGTCCATCATGATCCTGCCCGGACAGGCCGGACGATGTGTATTTGTCAGTTTCCTCACGACTGCACAAACCAGACATGGTGTTCCTAATTGTTCTGCGTACACACAGCAAACAACGTACCGGAATAGCACTAGACTTCTGGGCGTAATGCAAGCGCTCTACGATTTCGGAGTCAGGGATGGTGGCCGCCAGGCGGAGAAAAACGTAGGATGTGGCATTCCGATTTCATAGTGTAAAGGGGGCATTGCGGACAAGTGGTTCAAGTGGCGCTCCAAATAACGGGTGTGTGCATACAATATGGGTGCGTTGACCGGCTTGCTAGAGCGTCGATTCCAAAGAACAACATAACCAAGTGAAACCCAGTGATAAATCAAAAAGAACGACTGCATGATATGTCCCAGTAAACGAGGAATGCATCCCACGACGACCCCACTACCAACATGCACAGAGAGCACGGAGCACAGAAATCCACGGATCAGTTCGAGTTCGCATGCGTATGAACCGTCGGCGCGAACCCAACGCGCTCGTTGCCCACATCATACACGGCGTAGAAGCGCTCGAGGAACTTCATTCCGTTGATGAAGTCGAGTCCCTGGCCTGATGGGCTGCCGGAGTCGCTGACTATCAGGTATATCGCGCCCGCCTCGCCTCCGAGGGCTTCGTTCAGCTGCGACCAGGAAGATGATAAATCAGTACGGAGGTATTACATAGTGGACGGCAGGCGCACCACTCGCGGCCAGATCTGAGCATTGGGGGTGAGCTCGTAGCGGTTCTATGGGGCGGATGAGCGTTAGAATCGGCATGCGGGAAAGGCGGACACACCCCGCCGATGTCGAAGTACATGCTCTGGAGCTGCTCGTACTGCGCCGGAGTGATCTGGAGCAGGCCAGTCGTCTGGTCCATCGTCGCACCCGTCGCATTCTGGTACATCCCAAACGCATCTATTCAAAAATTGTTGAGGTCCAAACACAGCAGTCTGTGGGCTGTCGACGCACCAGATGCCAGCAGGAGCAACGTAGTGCCCGTATCGACGATCCCAGAGGTGGTGTCCAATATCAGCTGGTCGCCGTAGTACACGGACTGGTCGATGCCCACATAATTACTAGCAGGCGATGTCGAGGTGATTGGTCTAACAGAAAATCAGTATGAGCATCCTGTGAGTGACATAGCCTATGCTTGACGTACACGTATTGTAGGTTACCACCGAACTTGCTCTGATCGACGCCGCCGAAGCTTATCTCGCCGCTCGTGCTGGTGTCGGACGGCGAAGTCGCAGGAACAAAGGAAATCCCTACCTCGTAGTTACTGATCAGTCCTTGGGTCCATGCGTTGTCGAGGACGGTCGGAATGCATGCCGTCATGTCCGTTACGAGAGTTCCTGTAGGAGGGGCGATCATTTAGTGGCCGCGCTGTGCGAACTACAGGCTACTTACCGCAAGTTAAATCCTGCGGGCCGATGCTGTAGGGTGTGAGTAGCGATGAGTATTCTACATAATCTGCCCATGGGCAACGACGAACCCCAAAATACCGTCGACGCCGTCAAAGCCCTTGGACAGCAGCGCCGCGCCTATAGACTGGTTCACGATGGTGAGGGAGGGCCCAAGTGTCATCTGGTCAATAACCTCCCTGCCTGCATACGAACCATTCAGGATGATGCCACATCATTTCGCGGAGTGACCTCACCGAAGAAGGCACCTGATCCGTAACCGACTAACTGGTTATCATAAGCACTTTGCGAACGAGGGAATTCAATATGGAAACAACGCACCACTAAATCTCCCGTGTCGACGGTCGTGCTGGACTCGACATATGGCTGGCCTGCACCTACCCAAGTATTTGAGCTCCCGGTATCGATCAATAACGAGTCTGGTGTCATCAAATCAGAAAACATGCACTCCAGACATCATCAAGACAGCTTACACTCGGTCGGAGGGTTGCCAATGTATGCCTGCAATCGGCAATACCTCAGATATCGGTAGACAGTGATCAAACACAGGCACTCACACTCGCGACGTAGCTTACTGCTTGGGCCGTAGCGGGAATGTTGAAAATAGATCTGGCTTGTCCAGTGTTGTTGGGATTCATGGCAGCGTATAATCGAAGAGCCTGTGCGCGTGCTTGGTCCAGCTGAACGAGGTTCGCACTAGTGGGATTCATGATCCTCGTGAACGGCACAATCATGGATGTCGGGACGGCGAGTGGGATATCCAGTGGCAAACGGTCGACGATGACAGGGCTGGCAGCCGCCATGATGGCGGAGAGAACCGCAACAGAAATCCGAGGAATCATGATAAAGACAGGAAGGGTTGCAAAATGCCAAAAGAATGTGAGTGTGAGAGTTCACTGTGATGTACAAGCTATCGTGAGAAGGAGTGAGCGAGAAGGAGAAGGAAGAGCGAGAGACAGCAGCTCACGCGTTTTGAAGGTGTTGGCTGACAGGATGGACGCTCATCGCAGCAGCATAGCTAGCTAAAAACGGGGAATCAGTCCAGACTCCAATCTCACTATACCAGTTATTTCGGTGTTCCTCTGAAATTTCAGAAATACTACAGAAATGTGGCTGTAGTCACCTCAACGTATGTTTCTTCAGCCATCGCGATATGGATTGTAGTAATTTGTTAGCTGGATTCAGTCACGGTGCTAATCCCTATAGAACTATTCGCAACATAACCAACATGAACAGTATATGAAGCAAATATGGCCCACGAATAACTTCAAAAACCTCAGCTTTAGACATGATAACCATCGAGTAGTGTCGAGTGTGGGGGTCAAGATTCTTCAGACTCAATTTGGCAGGTCACCAAGTTGAGGTCGATCGCGTACGAGGCACGTGCCCAGCACGCGTCTGACAGTGGCGCCGTCCTGGTCCTCGTCGACGGGTTGGGTGCTGCCCTCTCCTCAATAATAGTCGAGCTACCAAGGTGAGTATTCTATTGTCTGTATGACTAGATCCGTTGTACTGATTTTGAGACGACTGCCGTTCAAGATACGTGTGCATGCCGACAATGAACAAGCTCAAAACTCAACAGCGGTCGTCAGCAGGAAGCTCAACCCAGAATCCCATCGCGATGGCGCAGACAAGCGTGCTTCCGTTTCAATCGGCCTCCGGAGGATACAGCTCCCTACCTGTTACCGGGGAGTCAACTCCCCCTCAGAGCCGCACTATGATGTATGCCGTTATCGCTCCGGCTACACCAAGCACAGCCTTGACGAAACCGGCCGACACCGCAGTACGTCTTCGGTCTGCTGCTGCACTCAACTCCACGGAGCAATACTGGGCTGCCCGTGCACTGACTGCGGAGGCGGCTCTGTCTGTGCGCGCGGCGTTCCACCAAGAGGTCTACGTGCTGACGGAGTCACACGAGGAGAAGCGCGCGGTGAGTCATATACAACGTCTTCAGACTACAAGTAGTGGTGATTATATTTCCTAATAGCATGAACTTGCCGAGCTGCAGCGGATACACGACGAGCGGCATGCGAAGCTGGAGAGACTCGTGGTAAAGCGGGACTTAACGTCTACATAACTCGCTAACACCCTCGCTGCCCAGCTCATACTTCTCGGCTGTCTCTTTGCATTTGTTTCTGCCATCTTGTATATCCTGTTTCGCCAACACACGGACTATCGCTCCTCTCGTTGGTGCCTGCCGTCGCATTTCACGATACCCGTTCTATCACCATTCACGTCTGTGGTGAGTTCCGCTATCGTCTCATCATGCGTATTCTTAAGCCATCTCCTATGATAGGTAGAGCATGAGACGTCGGTATTTAACACGAGATCAATCACAATTGTTCTACTCGTACTGGCGGCGTTGGCCTACGCTTGTTTTCGATATTGGCTCTCACATTTAAGGCACCGATGACCATTACCTCGCAAATATTGTTCTCGCGTTCTGGTCGAAATTCGCGGCGGGGCACCTTGTCCACCCGCATGGTTGTGCCGGATGTTTAGAGTGAAGATTTTCAAGCTGCAGTAGGACGAAAGCCTCCATCTGAACTCGAGCTATAATGTATTCATTCCTCGATGAAAAATTGATACTGAAGACAACAGCTACATTGACAGATTGGCAGGACACTGAATGCGTAGGAGAACAAGAAATCGGGGAAGTTTATGCTAACGACAAGCCAAGGATGTAGCAATACAGCATTGTCATGCAGGGTTCGGAGACTCATCATCTGTTGTACATTTTACTGCTGTAGCGGGAGGTATCAAGGACTAGCGAGAGCGGACTGGTAACGTACAAAGCATTTCAAGGCGTGAGCTGGAAGGACGTCGTAAGCTGACTCCACAAAGCCGATCTGATTGCGTCCGTCTCAAGCGTTAGGGACTTCCAACAGTGCGCACAGATCTGGTATGAAACTGCAAGTTGCCCGTAACTGCAAGCCAGCTTCGTTAACTCCTTCCAATCCTCCACCGGCTCTCGCGGTCCCGTCTTCCTCGCGAATACGCTCGCGATATCGCTCCAGCAGTGCTGGAGACCCTGTAGGCAACCCTCGTGCCCCGGGGTCACAGTGAAGAGGGGGCATTTGGCTGCATAGAACATGTGCAATGTTCGCAGACGCTCGATGCCCACGATGAGGCGTTCAACGTCCGCATGAGAGAGAGGGGCAATGTTGTGCCCGACCGCGGGCCCACCGAATGTCCAGCTGCAGCGGCTGAGCTCGTAGAAGATTGGCGCGAAGATCTGTGGCGTTGCACAGTCGGTCTGGCGGAGTAGGGCGATCACGCTTGCGGGGTGCACGAGCTCCTCGTGTTGCGCGGCAGTCGGGTTGTACAGTGGGTTGAGCTCGACTTTGCCGTCCATCACGAGGAACGGCGACGGGTGCGGGTGCAACTGCCTCCGTTCGTCCATCTTCGTGTCATGGCTCGTGAGCGTGTCCGGCCATTCTCTCCGTATGCGCTCGATGATCTCCGTACGCGTGCGCGCGAGCTGGTATTTGGTCGTCATGCAGAGAAGAGTGGCGAGCGCGGGATAGGTCTCGACCGTCAGGTGCGGGAAATCGATGCGACTATATTCAGAAAATGTGTCAAACGCTTTCAATTTCAAAGCGCGTCCGATGGTGTGTACTCACAAGCCATCGTAGATAATGTTCAGCAGCGCCTCCATCTCTTCCCTGTCGTCTTCGACGTGGATGTGCAAGCATCCCCGCAGGAACGCCTGCTTCTTGTCCTCCTTGGGTTCGAAGAGATCCTTGAACACAGGCGAATGTTTGGATAGCAGTGACCGGTGAACGCAGAAAAGCGTGCTGCCAGAACTTATGATGATGTTCCCGTCGTCGAAGTACAGGGTCGGATGGTTCACGAGTGCTTCCGCTGGGTCCTCCTCGTCGACGCGTGCTCGTTTGCGATCGGGTTGAGGGGATGGCATTGGGTATCAAGCCAAAAATGCTCCGTTGCTGTGGACGAAGACCTTGTACTAAGGAATAAGGTTGGTATTCGCAGTACTTGCGCGAAATACCAATGCAGCGATTACGTAATCACCATGCATCCCGACCGCATGACGTCAAATAATGAGTACTGAGGGAAAGTAATACCTTAATGCCAACAAAATGTCAATGTAAACTAATATATAAAGATCAGGGGGCAATTATAATTGATGGAGTCACTTGCGATTGTAGCGATTCAGAATCTCCATGCCACAAACTTACGGCCTCTGGTCTGCATACAGTTGGGGGTCATGGAGCTGATGCTACATTGGGAGACGGTTTTCGCAATGATAAGTTTGAGACATACCAGGACAAGTCTTGACATCGGCAGATTGTGTCGCTGCTGCGATGCCTTCGTGCGTATGCGCGAGTCTCTTCTCAATACAGTAAGTCTCAGAGGACATATAAATTATGTAAGGACATAAAACATAGGGTGAGGAGGTTAGGGGCCTGCTCTTCTGTCTTATCCACGAGCTTTACAGCCTTACACACCCGCCAAGGGCTCCGAACTGCAGCGTCATCGTAGATGCGTCACGACGAGCAAACCTCAATGTGGACCCAGAGCAGCCGCAAGTGATCACAGGCTCGAGGCAGGTCTGGTCGACTTCCCATTTCTGTGCACCTCTTTGCGCCCGCATACGTCAAGAAGGAGAGGCCAAGTCAATTTACAGCCTCGAGAGCAGGATCAAGAAGCATTTTTGTCTCGAGAGAAGACCGGAAGAACTCTCTGACGGCGGTGCGAAGCGACCCTCCTATGAAGCCCCGCATACACGAGGCCGTCATTATCGTACAGACGCTTCCGAAGAGTGGATTCATACACGTTTCTTTAAAGGATGTGGTACGCAGGGCGCAAGTGCGAGACACGGATTTATCGTCAATACGCAGGCGTAAACGATGGGCGTTCTCTGGCGGAGCGATTGGTGGACGCCCATTGTAGACGCCCACAGGAGGGTTTGCAGACAAGGCCAGATTGGGGCTAGGCAGACCAAATAAGGAGAAGGTTTGGGAGGGCGATTGCCGAGTTCCATTTTGAGGGTACGTTTCCCAGTCTGCCCGCAGTGGGTCCCAGCCGCACCGCACGGCAGCGACGCCGCAACTCTACCGTCACTTCTTTTCTCCACCCTTCTCACCGGTCTCCTCATCGACGGCGACGACGAGCTCGCTCCTCTAGTCTACTATGGCTGGTCGCCCCGGTCCACCTCGCAGCCATGAGGGCATCTACGTTTCCCGCTCGCCTTCTTCTGATCCCCACGATCCCTTCAGCAACGGGCAAGCGGCGGACGCACAGAGGTACTACGATAACGACTCTGACAACTATGGCCGTCGCGACACCTACATGTCAGACGGCAGCAATACTGGTCTGAATGAGGAGGATCGCTATTACGACAATAATGGTTACGATGCGTACAGTGAGTGCGTCGTTGTCATGTTCCGCTTTTAAGACTCACTGGGCGGCAGCGCAACCCGATACCGATTCGGAGGTTGATGTGTACGGCCAGAAATATGCACCCTCTGCCGAATCGCTGGGCCCCCCTCGCATGGGTCTTTCAGAAGCATCTACTCCCACTTTTGTCGACCAGAATGGCGGTCCTCCAGGCTCACGCGAGCCGTACCCTGCGTGGACATCGGAAAGACAAATTCCCTTGTCGAAGGAGGAGATTGAGGACATTTTTCTCGACCTGACCCAGAAGTTCGGCTTCCAACGAGACTCCATGCGCAACATGGTAAAGTTTTATCGTCTGGCTGCTGGATTTCAGTATTAATACGAAAGTATATAGTTCGACTTCACCATGCAGCTGCTGGACAGTCGTGCCTCCCGCATGTCGCCAAATCAAGCCCTTCTCACGCTGCACGCAGACTACATCGGTGGTCAGCATGCCAACTACCGCAAGTGGTACTTCGCTGCGCAGCTTGACCTCGACGATGCAGTCGGGCACACACAAAATCCTGGTCTGCAACGCCTGAAGTCGACGAAACGTGGTGGCCATAGGAACAATTCAGAGAAGTCGCTTAATAGTGCGATGGACCGATGGCGGCAGGCGATGAACAACATGAGCCAGTATGATCGCATGCGCCAGATCGCGCTCTTTCTGCTGTGCTGGGGAGAAGCCGCACAGGTGCGGTTCGTGCCCGAGTGTCTCTGCTTCATCTTCAAGTGTGCGGATGATTATTATCGGTCGCCGGAGTGTCAGAACAAGATCGATCCGGTGCCTGAGAGCTTGTACCTTCGTACCATCGTCAAGCCTTTGTATACGTTCATTCGGGACCAGGGATATGAGGTAGTCGATGGGAAGTTCGTCCGCCGGGAGAAGGATCACGAGAGCATCATCGGTTATGACGACGTCAATCAGCTCTTCTGGTACCCGGAGGGCATTGCTCGTATTGTACTAACCGACAAGGTACGCCATGCACCTCCTGTTAGCTGTATTCGCGCTGAGATGATTTTGCGCGAAGACTCGGTTGGTTGATCTGCCGCCCGCGCAACGATTCATGAAGTTTGAGCGAATCGACTGGAACCGTGTGTTCTTCAAGACGTACTACGAGAAGCGATCGTTTGGACACCTGTTGGTCAACTTCAATCGGATCTGGGTCATTCACATCGCCATGTACTGGTTCTATACGGCGTACAACTCGCCGACCATCTATAATGGGCAGAACTCTTCAGCGATGAGATGGAGTGCGACAGCTCTCGGTGGTGCGGTTGCGACAATAATTATGATTGCCGCTACACTGGCCGAATTCTCGTACATCCCCACCACCTGGAACAACACTTCTCACCTTACCCGGCGTTTACTTTTCCTCATCGTCACGTTGGCTCTCACGGGTGGGCCGACAATCTATGTCGCGATCGCAGAGAACTCGTCACCTGGCGGGTCGTTGGCGCTCATCCTCGGTATTGTCCAGTTCTTCATCTCTGTCGTCGCCACTCTCCTCTTCGCCATTGTCCCATCAGGTCGTATGTTCGGTGATAGAGTTGCCGGCAAGTCGCGGAAGTACCTCGCCAGCCAGACCTTCACGGCGAGCTACCCGTCCCTTAAGGCTACCGCGCGCCTCGCTTCCGTGGCACTCTGGTTTCTCGTCTTCGGCTGCAAGTTCACCGAGTCGTACTTCTTCCTCACGCTATCGTTCCAGGGTCCGATCCGCGTTATGGTGGGTATGAAAATCCAGAATTGCGGCGATAAATATTTCGGCAATGCTCTCTGTCGGAATCAGGCCGCGTTCGCTCTCACGATCATGTACATCATGGACCTGGTGCTGTTCTTCCTGGATACGTTCTTGTGGTGGATTATCTGGAACACGGTGGCCAGCATCGCGCGCTCGTTCTACCTTGGATTATCGATCTGGACCCCATGGAAAGACATCTACACTCGTTTGCCCAAGCGCATCTATGCGAAGTTGCTCGCTACTGCCGATATGGAAGCGAAGTATAAGCCCAAGGTAAGCCGTTTCATCTTTCTTTCTGTTGTATGCTCTAATCTTCTGAACATCAATCAGGTCTTGGTCTCGCAAATCTGGAACGCGATCATTATTTCCATGTACCGCGAGCACTTGCTCTCCATTGACCATGTCCAGAAGTTGCTATATCATCAGGTAGACGTTGGCCAAGACGGCCGCCGCAGCCTGCGTGCTCCCCCGTTCTTTATTTCACAGAGCGACAAGGGGTTCAAGGGCGAGTTCTTCACGCCCGGAAGCGAGGCGGAGCGCCGAATTTCGTTCTTCGCTCAATCACTCACAACTGCTGTTCCGGAGCCTCTACCTGTCGATGCTATGCCCACGTTCACCGTCCTGACGCCTCATTATAGCGAGAAGGTACGTCGATGATTGGCACGTTGATCTTCGACAACTGATTCGTGTTATCTAGATCCTTCTTTCATTGAGAGAGATCATTCGCGAAGAGGATCAGAATACCCGAGTTACTCTCTTGGAATACCTCAAACAGCTGCACCCCGTCGAATGGGACAATTTCGTCAAGGATACCAAGATCCTCGCCGAGGAGTCAACCATGTACAACGGCCCGAACCCCTTCGGTTCCGACGAGAAGGGTCAGTCAAAGACCGATGATCTGCCTTTCTATTGCATTGGTTTCAAGAGTGCCGCCCCCGAATTCACTCTGCGGACACGTATTTGGGCGTCTCTCCGTGCACAGACCCTCTACCGTACCGTGTCTGGCATGATGAACTACTCTAAAGCGATTAAGCTACTCTACCGTGTCGAGAACCCCGAGGTCGTTCAGCTCTTCGGCGGCAACACAGACAAGCTGGAGCGCGAACTGGAACGCATGGCTCGTCGCAAATTCAAATTCGTCGTTTCGATGCAGCGTTACTCCAAGTTCAACCGCGAGGAGCAAGAGAACGCCGAGTTTCTCCTTCGCGCTTATCCTGATCTCCAGATCGCCTACCTTGAGGAGGAGCCCGCACGCAAGGAAGGTGGCGAAGTCCGACTATTCTCTGCGCTCATCGATGGTCATTCCGAGTTTATCCCTGAGACGGGACGTCGTCGCCCCAAGTTCCGCATTGAGCTCCCTGGTAACCCAATTCTCGGCGACGGCAAGTCGGACAACCAGAACCACGCGATCATCTTCTATCGTGGCGAATACCTGCAGCTCATCGATGCCAACCAGGATAACTACCTGGAGGAGTGTCTGAAGATCCGCAACGTGCTTGGCGAGTTCGAAGAGTACGCCGTCTCCAGCCAGAGCCCTTACGCTCAGTGGGGTCACAAGGAATTCAAGAAGAACCCCGTCGCTATTGTTGGTGCGCGCGAGTACATCTTCTCCGAGAACATCGGTATTCTGGGTGATTTGGCGGCTGGCAAGGAACAGACATTCGGTACGCTCACGGCGCGCTCGCTGGCATGGATTGGGGGCAAGCTTCACTATGGCCACCCCGATTTCCTCAACGCGATCTACATGAACACGCGCGGTGGTGTCTCCAAGGCGCAGAAGGGTCTGCACTTGAACGAGGATATCTATGCTGGTATGACCGCGTTTGGCCGCGGTGGACGAATCAAACATACGGAGTACTATCAGTGCGGAAAAGGTCGCGACCTTGGGTTCGGCACCATTCTGAACTTCCAGACGAAGATCGGTACCGGTATGGGCGAACAGATGCTCAGTCGCGAGTACTACTACCTCGGGACTCAGCTCCCTATCGACCGCTTCCTCACGTTCTACTACGGCCACCCCGGTTTCCACATCCATAACATGCTCGTCATCCTCTCGGTGCAGATCTTCATCACGACAAGTGAGTGTACCCGCTGAATTTAGGAAGTCGCTGTTTACTGACGAGTTCGCAGTGGTGTACTTGGGAACGCTCAAGGGCCAACTCACATTGTGCCAGTACACTTCAAATGGTGTTTCTCTCGGTCCTACAGGATGCTATAACCTCCAACCTGTGTTCCAGTGGATCAATCGCTGTATCATCAGTATCTTTTTAGTGTTCCTGATCGCGTACCTGCCACTTTTCTTGCAAGGTGAGTTTTAAATGGTGTGTACATGTTCTTATCCTCATACCTATCGCAGAACTGGTCGAGCGCGGAACTATAAAAGCCATCCTCCGTCTGACGAAGCACTTCAGCTCAGCATCGCCTGCCTTCGAGGTCTTTTCAACGCGTATCTCTTCCCATTCCATCGCCACCAATTTAACGTTTGGTGGCGCTCGGTACATCGCGACAGGCCGTGGTTTTGCTACTACGAGGATCTCCTTCAGCATTCTCTACTCACGTTTCGCTGGCCCTAGTATATATCTTGGCATGAGGACGCTCGTGATGCTACTCTATGTCACACTGACGTTGTGGACCGGTTGGATTATCTACTTCTGGTTCTCCACCCTGTCTCTTTGTATCTCGCCATTCTTGTTCAACCCGCATCAATTCTCGTTCGCCGATTTCATTGTGGACTATAGGTAAGTTTCTGACATATATGTGACGTGCAGTAGCTGACACGAAACAGGGAGTTCCTGCGTTGGATGAATCGCGGTAACTCGCGAGTGCACCAGAACTCGTGGATCGGTTACTGCCGTCTTTCACGTACCATGATCACTGGGTACAAGAAGAAGAAACTCGGACACCCTTCAGAGAAGCTCTCGGGCGACGTTCCCCGGGCAGGTTGGCGCGCTGTGATGTTTTCGGAGATCATCTTCCCCACCGTTATGGCTGTCCTGATGGTGGTTGCCTACATCTTTGTCAAGTCTTTCCCCGTCGACGCGAGAAAAGAGCCACCAAACGCTCTTATTCGTATCGCGATTGTGTCCATCGGACCAATTTTGTGGAATGCGGCTATCCTCTTTTTACTATTCCTGGTATCCTTGTTCCTGGGCCCACTGCTGGACACGCCCTACCCGAAGTTCGGTTCGTTCATGGCCTTCCTTGCTCACTCGTTGGGTGTCATCGGCACGATTGGTTTCTTTGAGTTCCTGGTACGTAGTGACATGATTCCGGTGTTCCGTTGCTGATGGCCTTGCCCCTCTTAGTGGTTCCTTGAGTTATGGAACGTTCCTCACGCAGTGCTGGGTCTCATCGCCGTCATCTACATTCAACGAGCGATCAACAAGGTGCTCATTGCGGTCTTCCTGTCTCGGGAATTCAAGCACGACGAGACGAACCGCGCCTGGTGGACAGGAAAATGGTACGGTCGCGGTCTGGGCTCGCACGCTATGTCCCAACCAGCGCGCGAGTTCATCGTGAAGATCATCGAGCTTTCGCTCTGGAGTTCAGATTTCCTCACTGGTCACTTCCTGCTGTTCATTTTGACCCCACCAATCCTCATACCTTACATTGATCGCGCTCATTCCATGATGCTGTGTGAGTTTTATCCTCGTAATCCATTGGTGATAGTGCTCATCTCCTGTTCCAGTCTGGTTACGTCCTTCGAAACAAATTCGTGCACCTCTGTACTCTATCAAACAGAAGCGGCAGCGCCGCTGGATCGTCATCAAATACGGCACCGTCTACGTCCTATCCATTGCTTGCTTTGCTGCCCTGATTGCTCTTCGTAAGTCCTAGAATTCGCTACTATGGTCGTCATGTCGCTGACCGCCGACCGCAGCTCTCGTATTACGAGACGAGCTGCACTTCACGTGCGGCATCTGCCAGACGATCTAGTTCAACGGACCCGCTTCACTCACGATCCACGCACTTCACCCATACCATAGATCAGATCAGTTGCACTTGTACGCTTTCACGTCTTCGATTGTATTTGAGGACAATCTCGCTAGCTCTAATCCGGAGATGGACATCTTTTGCATTTCTTTCCTTAATTACCTACCCACTACCTATTCTGCCCTGGAGTGCGACCCATTTAGCCGGTCTTGTGAGCCCGACGATCTGCATACTGAATGATTATGGACATTTACAGACGATATTGATCCCTCTACACTTGCGCCATGCTCAGTCCTCGCGGCGCGGCCTGCTAAGCTTCGCTGTGGGAACGGGATGTTGCGGTATACGATTAGCCCATGTCTAGCTCGATTATAATTGCGCGTTGCTTTAGGCGGCTTATAAGATATGCATGCTATCCACTCTTCAGAGCGAATCGCCCCCCCAGATGACCTGGATGCTCTGCGAGAGCAGCAGCCGAAGGCTCGTCACTGTCCCAAAGTCTCTGCATTGCTCGGGGTGAGGTGCTAAACTCTGCGTGTTGCATCCACAGTAGACATATCTGATTCCCTCGTTAGCACCCGCCAGCATCGACATAAATCCGGCTCGGATATGCCGCGTAGCCCAGGTTTTGTTCCAATCTTACCCCCCTCAATCGCACGCCTTTCCTCCGAATCAACACGGGCCCAGTACATTTCGTCGATAACGGGTAGGTAATACTGCTTAATAGTAGTTTGCCCTGCAGCTGTACACATGAAGCCGAAGATTTCTGCGAGGATGAATTTTCCTCGAAGGATGGATCTCTAGCACATATTGGACCATCCTAGCAAAGGTGGTTGGTGATGATGGTCTTCCCCGTCGAGCAGAGCATTTGACCGTGAAACAATCGTAGCCCGCATAACTTAGTGCCATCCCGGAAACCATGTAGTGCAGCCATGGACGTTCCCCACTGCAAATGTGGTTTCGTACTAGGCTCCTCCGAGCCACGTCCACACCGTCGTGACGTGCTGACGGTATACCATTCGAGGGCTTTCGTACGCAGGGTTTTCTATTGCAAGTTTTGAGAGCGAAGCCTATTTAACATCAGTTTGAGGTATTACGGAGTCACTGAGAAGGGGAAAAAAGTCGAGGAATCGGTACTGCCAGTGAAGCGGGCAGCAGACCCAACAGTCGAAGAACAAACGGTGCAGGAAGCAGGGAAAATGAAGGCCCACCTGGCAGAAAGCACAACATCATGGCTGCAACTCTCCGTCGCGACCCAACGTTACAGAGGTTCGATGTGCTGACCCACCTGACTATGCCACTGTATTTTATTTCGCATTAGACAGGTAGAGACCACGGCTTGAAACTCTCTGGTTGTTTAAACCGGGTCCTCCCATCTGTGTGTAAGGATATGTTGTCAAAGTCATTTCTCGCAAGGTCGGGACTGGAGGCGATGCACCGACACTCGGAATTAATATGAACCGCAGTCCTTCAGGCCGTAGTTGCTGTGGAAGAGACACGCAACGCTGAACGCAACCCTTGTCCAGCACACGCAAAGGCGAGACTAAATCCGGTGACTTTCATAAATCAATATTAGTTTCGCAAGCCATAAGACAGTGCACAATGGAAGATCAACTATGCATACAAATGAATGAGGTAACCCAAAAAACCCATCGCAGCCCCTTGAAGGCCTTCTGATAAGCGAGTAGTATATGCTCATGCGAGCTACTGTGTCTTAGCAGGTAACCAGGCCTGCACGGCGCGCAGCCTCTGGCACTTGCGCCATACAACGAGCACCTTCTAATTTCGAGATTCATGAAGCAGACCAAGTAGAACAATAGGGCGTCAGCACTTACGGCGAGCCACTGCTTCACAACCTGCAGTGTTTCCTGTTTTCGTCCAGCGTCAGATTCATCGTGTTGATAAACACGATCATCGAGCTCGAGTGTTGACACGTCATCGTTTGAAGTAGCGCCAAACACGTTCGAGGGCAACTGTGGAGGCAGACAGAAAAAAGTAACACTGTCAGTTACTGCGTACATGTAATATCGTCCTCTCGTACCAGAGAGATCGGCGGCGGCGAGTCCAGTATCGTGTCCTCGGTGTCGTCTCCATATTCGGCACCCTGAACAACATGTACGAACGTGTATCTGTTTTGAGGAAATTGTAAAGTCGTATACGACGTACCACGACACGTTCCAGTCGGTCATAGCGCCGCCTAGCTCTCGGGTATGGATGATACCTGAAACAACTTCGAGAGCTATACGGGGGCAGTCTAGGATAATGGTCCATGAAGACACAGAAAACGAGCGGGCAAGCGTAAAAGTATCCAGGAGCATCCAAATTACCGGACTCGAGATGCCGTGATGCTCGATGGCGGGAGCAACGACACCAGAGGTGGACGACAAATGCAGAGGAGAGGGCCAGGGCAGACGTCTTAGGATTGAAGGTGATAGTTTGAAAGAGAGAGCACAACCCTGGCGACGCTCGTTAAATAGCTCGGCGAGGCCATGGGAGAAGTAGCCATTTCGTAAATATGGCGGCTCTCGAAGCTGATTTGGGTTAGCGGGCATGCTGTTGCAGCGACGCGACATTCCTTGACATAACCGCCGTGCTCTCATTTCTGACTCCGCGCCTGTGCATATGCCTCCGTGCTCATCGATCGGCCTCCGCGAACATGTCGAACAGCTCTTGGAGCGGAATATGGGCGATAGACGACCATACAGCCAAATTTATTCGAGAGTGCATGGATTGACAGGTTCCCTGCCTCCTGCAGGCAAGTGAAGACGGATTCCTAGAGAGAACAGCTAACTTTCAGTGAATCTTACTCGAGAGACTCTATGCATCCCGATGACTCAAATTTATTTCTTCCGTCTGTTCCCAAAGACACATTCGTCGCGATACGAGGCGCTGCTCGGTATCGCGAATTTCCACGCTACAGTGGGTGCCGCATCACCGACGCCTGTCCACAGCAGACCACAGCTAGCAATTTCGACCTAAACACAGCTGAATATCCTTCCCGCAAATAACCAAAGTGAGCTATCCCCCACGCTTGCCCCCTTTCGCAATGTCACTGTCTCTGGCACTCATCGGTTCGTTTCGCGCAGAACCTGTCGTGCACAATGCGTGACCCGACGTCACATCACGCGTCACTCCTGCCCTTCGGCGTGGCGCGCAGGCGAGTCATGTCGTCCTCTCATAATCAACACCTTCTGAATATGTGTGATGTGTGACGCTGCAGGCCATTCCCAAGACAGAATTGCAAGAATGATAAGACCATCAAGGGGAAAATGTACCAAACAAGCGATCCAGCCGACATCCTCGCGAGTCGCCGCACAGCAAGGCATCAGGCAGACGAGTTCGCAATTCATACACGGAAGGGAAATGTTCCAAGACCGCAATGCACAAGAACGTGATGGAATGTAAGGCAAGAATAACTGTGCAGACTCACGTATTTCCCCAAATTGTGTCCGACAAGCATAATCCCAACCATGTATGCACGGCAAAGACGAACCTCAAAGGCCATCAAACGGTCGTCTTACTAAATGGTCGCCCTCAGTGTTCGCTTGACGGCTTGTGATGCTCCAGGAATCGGGCGAAGCAAAGGAGTTGTCGTCAACCGTGGAGCAAAACTCCAATCAGACCTCTAGCGAAAAGTTTCAAGAGTCATGAATATGTCGGCAGCACAAAGGCGAACAAATGCACAGATTTCTGCGAGAGCCACCAGAATGCAGGCAGAAATTTGCACCGCAGAATCGGGAGGGGAAGACCAGGCCTCGCTCAAAGTCAGTACCGCCAGAGTTGGTGTGGTTTGAATATCCGAAGACACGAATCTAAGTATCATCCACATACAAAGACATGTTTGCTCAGAAAAGTCGTCGTTGCGGTTGTGGAAATGCCCGCCGTGGCCGCAGCCAAACAAGTCACCGGCAGCCGCCACTTGCTCAATTATCTCTTCCCGAGTCTCCCGACTCCTTTCGTTCGTGGACTCAGCTTTTCCCGTCACGGACTGCTCTGATTTATTTGCTTCGTCACTTTTATTGCATACCTTCTGCAGCAGATGAAAGGCCGCGACCAGCTGCAGCCCCCATATGCCGTTTTCTCTTGTGAGCTCATATCATCTTGCACCTTCTGTGATAGGTCCCCTGGTCGAGATATCACTCAAGGCCTTTGGAGGTATTGCTGCACAGTCAGGACACGCGCAAGATGAGGGAAATTTTCTCTGCTTGGGCATTCGATCCCCTGGAGTGGCTGATGACGGAGTTATTGTGGCTGCTAACGCAACTTAGGGTGGATTGACTTTCAGTGGATTTACTTCGAGGTGAGCGTTATGGAACAAATTGCGTAGGCTGAGTTGGTTGCCAGCGCCCTATAGTCTCTCATAAATCACAAGTACCCTTTACTTCGCCTGCAATTGTGCGTTGATTCTCAGGATTGTGTGTCCTGTGCTCCCCTCAGACTCGCCAGCAGACCTCTAAAATAAGGATCGGTATACTCCCACTCGCACTATCAGAGGTACTCATACGCGAGCAGCGGTACATCCGGAGATGAAAAGCACAGGACTCGTGGTCGGAGGTGTGGTTTGAGACTGTTGAACACAGCTGAGATTCTTCTTCGCGTTCCAAGTCTGGGCTCCAGTGCTGTCCACCTGAAAAGCAGTCCCGGGTCGGACGATAATAATGGCACTTTTTCAGCGTACTGTTAAGTTCGCTAGGTGCTTGAAATCGGTATCAAATACGCGTCTACCTACTCACAGTTGCATGAGGGACTGGTTCGTGCATCTTAGGGCAATCATCCACAACACATGGTGAGATGCGGAGATGCGGAGATGGCGGGCACAAAAAGTCGAGCTACGGCGTATGGTCTCACTCGACCCGTACTAGGGCAGAGTCCCGGTCACCTGGCTGCTCGTGGTTTTCGACTCCTTGGCAGTTCAAGGTTCGTGGTAGTCTTCCCAGCGCGTCGTCAGATACTCGGGTGGTTTCGCAGGCGAGGCCTCTAGCACAGCGGACCAGGACTGCAGTGCCACAAATTCACAGCTCCCCAGATTGCGCAAGCGTATGTGGACTATAAGCCTCGGACAGGACGTCGACGCTGAAGCACGAGGCAGGTGCCTATATGGTCTTGGGGCGGGATGAATGAAAAATTTTAACCATTTCACCAAGTACATGATGTGGTTTACCGCGACGAAATAGTACGCGGCTACTGGCTGCCGCGACGTTGTGGATTCGGTAGATATTCCGTGGAACGGCGACTGAAGTAGAATACTGTCTACAATCAGTGGGAGACTAGCTTTCCGCAGATAGTAAGTATAACGGGTAGCTACATACTTGATTATATTTTCTGTTGCACCATATACTAATCCAATTGAACTCACGTCAGTCTTCATGCATGGATCAAATCAGTGAGTGCACCTGGACTCAGAAATTATCCGTAAACCGTGCCGACACGGGTTATAGTCTAGAGCCACCTTGGTGGAGGTTCAATGTGGACCCACAGCAGGATCATGTGGACTACCGCAAACACAACGTCCTTGTGATGCCGAAATCAAAGCTACACTTTCTGACACCACTGTATCATCTGCATCCGCCTGTGCCCGCCGCAACCTACAGGTTCTACGAAAACATTACAAGAGTGAACTACGAATAATGGTAGGGAATTTTCCTGAGTGCGAGGAGTGAGCCAGAAAACTGACCGAACACTAGCGCTCACATCTACCTCTTCGACTCGGATGTGTCTCAGTGCATGTCGTCCGGGGGCACCTCACCATGCTTCTGTCGCCGTACCTGTGTAAGTTGGCCTCTCATGTTTGCTATATCGTGGGCAAATGCAAATATAAACAAAGCACTGTTATCAAGGTTAGCACTGGTATTGGAATGTTGTCGTTAATGGGCGACCAGTCACTTCGGTAGGCTGTGCAACTTCTATTCTGACAACATTGACGCTGTACTGCTTTACAGAGCCTGCTCTCTGCGTTGCCTCTCAAAATGCCGCTACTTTAATCAGATGCGTCCGCAAGCTGTGCGACGTGGAATGCTCGTCAAAGAATCACTGGATGATTGGTCATTCCCGCGAGATGGTGACACCGTGTCCATCTGGTATCGTAGAGCCGTGCATGGGCCCTTTGCCAGGAGTCAATATGCGGAGTCATCGGGTCTCGGAAGCGTCTATCTGTCCTTGGGCGCTGTTACGATTGTCCACACTAGGCGCGCAGCGGAAGCGTGTATAAAGGGCCTAAGTTATGGTCTCACCCCTCTCTATTCAGCGCTGCTTTCCCCCCAGCTGCCATGCATCGCTATCTCTCTCTAAAGAGGTCCTCTACCGTGGTCCCCGTTCCCGAGGTTTCTGCCGAAAAGGAGGATGCTGCGGCGAGTCCGAGCACGTCCCATGACGATAACGACGATACCGACTCCACCGCAGCACTCGTCGCGCCCGCGGCGGCGCTGCCGCCTCCGAACCTGAAGGTGAAGCGCGTCGACTACTACTACAGCACCTGGGGGAAGACGTGGAAGTACAGGAACTCAGGAGCGAAGGTGACTGCGGAGATGATGCGCCCCATGGGCTCGGACAACTCCGACCCCTGGCAGGCGTACTGCTTCGTCGTCGTGCGCAAGATGCCGAGCCCGCAGGAGAGCGACGCGGGAGCGGAGCCCAAGTTCCAGGTCACGGTGAAGAGCCCTTACTTTCTCAAGGCCTGCAGGGACGTCATGCAGGAGGTGCAGGGTATTTCATGGACCGCAGACCCGCTCGAGGTGAGTCGCTATCAGCGGTCTCTGGTGTTAGTAGACCTGACGCTCGCGATAGCTAGACCCGCACCTGCTCATCGCGTTCCTCCCCCAATTCGAAGCATATCAACACCGATTGCAGACCAGAAAGGATCCGTCGACGGAGGACCGACACATCCTCGCGACAGTGGGCGTACTGCTCGAGTACCTATACCGGGACTACCGTAGCACGATCTTGAGGGTCCAGAATTTGACGTCACACGGCGAGATCACCTTCGACCTGCTCTACGCGGTCTTCACTCCACGGACGGTGCTCGTCACCGAGTGCCCCATCACTGGCGAGCCCCGTGCGCTACAACTCAAGTCCGTGACGCGCGTGAACACGATCAGCAGCGCGTTCTACGACCTCGTCTGCGAGAGTATCGACGCCGCCGACGAGGGCGTGGCGAACACTCCGGACGGCTGGTCCCCTCCCATGGACCCAGAGCTGCACAAGGCTGCCGCGGGGAAGGCGTTTGGGCGCGTGCAAAACAGGGTGTTCCTCCCGCTGTTCAAGGGCACGGTAAAAATCAACTCTCTCGATGCGTTTCCCATCAACTACCACCCAGCAGAAGCTGAGCTTAGGAGGACGTTGCTCACGAGAGGGCGGAAGTGGATGTCCCTGCGGGGCGTGCATCACATGCACTACAAGGGCACCTCGGCGATGGCTTGCTCCGTTGGTTCAATGAAAAAGCTCGTTCGGTTCAACGTAAGCAATTGATAACAGTGTATCCATTTACTTTTTTTCACGTTGACCTGACAGGTCAACTCACGAGTCATGGTCGATCGAGGTCAGTGCATGTCGGTGTTTTCTATCATGAGCTTACTGATCGCACGATATGTAGGCAACTTCAAGAGGCTGAACCCCAACTACGAGCTGCCCGTCACTAAGACGGAGGCGCCTATTCAAAACGACGTCGAATATGACCGGTACGGCAACCCAGTCAACAACAGTGTGTACTCCTAGGCGTTCTGCGGGTCACATCATAACAAACATAATTGATACAGATAGGGGCATTCCAGCACTGCGTGTGCAATCGAAGACGCAGCCAAAGCAAGAGGAACTTACTGAAGACGAGATCATCCTTACCTCGCCCGTGGTGTACGGCTTCAGCTTGTCGGACAAGATATGGCGTAGGTGTCGTAGTCTGGCGCCTCGAATTCATGATGCTCATCCTGTTTTACAGTGGAGTTCAATGTAGAGCACATCCTCCCCATCGTCTGGAACGACGAGGCGTTCGCGAATCTGGTGCTCCCCGCGGACCGCAAGACGCTCCTGCAGTCCCTCGTGGAGGCGCACAACGCCGACCTCGGCTTCGACGACTTTGTGCAGGGCAAAGGCCACGGGCTCGTGATCAACCTCTTTGGCCCGCCGGGCGTGGGCAAGACGCTCTCGGCGGAAGCAACGAGCGAGCACGTCAGGAGGCCGCTGTATGTCATCGGCTGTGGCGACCTCGGCACCAAGGCGTCCGAACTGGACCAGGCGCTGGAGCGCGTGTTCGATATTGCGACGAGCTGGAAGGCGATTGTGCTCATCGACGAGGTTCTTCTTTTTCCTACCTCCAGCTAATTGTGAGATTCTGACGAGTTCGCAGGCCGATGTGTTCCTTGAGCAACGATCGCTGCACGACCTAGAGCGGAACGCCATGGTCGCCGTCTTGTGAGTGCCTTACCCTCCTCTCATGCACCCACTCACTCACTCACTCACGGGTATCCGCAGCCTGCGTCACGTGGAGTACTATCGCGGCATTCTCTTCATGACGACGAACCGCATCAAAACGTTCGACGAGGCGTTCCTCTCGCGGATTCACGTCGCGCTGCACTTCCAGGAGCTCTCACAGGCCGCGAAGGTGCAGGTCTGGCGCGCGTTCCTTCAGAAGGTCGGCGCGTCCGTGGACGACTTTGACGAGAGCGTGCTCCAGAAACTCGCGGAACGCGAGATTAATGGACGGCAGATCAAGAACGCGACGCGCACGGCGAACTCGCTCGCGGTCAGTAGGGGCGAGAAGATCACCTTTAGACATCTCACGGAGACGCTCGATGCGATGCAGGAATTTGCGGCGGATTTTGCCGCATTGAGCCGGACGTGAGGCCTTGCGGTATGCTACTGCAGGAGTCGCGGAGGGTGGGTGGGTGTAAGAGTACTGTCGATGATCGTGAGGGACGGACCCGTAAAATATTGGATCCGCATTGCAGTACTTTGTAGATTTACGTTCCTTTTGACGCTGTGTATGATTACTTTGTGTACATGTACCGATATGTTGTAGATCTGTTGACCGCAGATATCATGATGGATAATTATCACAGAATTTAGCCAGCAATCATAAACGCTGTGCATTCATTCATAACCCGAACGGGAAGGCGACCTGCCAAACTTAGAAAGTCCGCACCGCACGGAGCGCTCGAGTCGCCAGATAAACGCCAACCTTGCAACTATTAGCACGCTGCTTACTACTCACCTTATCGCCGAGTCCTGATCGCTAGGAGCGCCCAGCTCGTAGACAGCATTTGCACGTAGACGTGGGCAGTCTCCGACTCAGGTTAGTCTGCTATTTGATCATGTTGTCCGAGGCATGTCTGTTGGCCTCTTGCATCCGGAACATGGTGTAGAATCTTTGTGTTTCAGGCCTCCAGTACTGCTTCAGAAGGTGTTTCTGTTGTTGTACTTCCGTTGCATGCACAAGGGGGAAGTTACGTTTGCAACCTTGGACATCAACAGCGCCGACCAGGAGGGTTCGGAAGCTCAAGACCCTGCTAGCAGTAGCCGGAAGGGCTTATCCACATTATCTACATCAAGACAGTCATTGTCAAATATATGGTCTCCACCTGTATCGCATTACTCCTATCATCGTTGCTTTTCTACATCAAAGGAGGGATACCTTCCATCCCGGACTCGACTGGCTTGCAATTCCCTTTCTCCTCGACCAACGCTCATCGATCGGCGATAATGCGCGTAGCAACATACAATTTACGCTATGACTCGCAGCCGGATGGGATCACAGTGCAACAGTCTCTCGATGCTATTCCCGACCCACTTGTTCGGCCTCCGTTCTTGCAAAAGACCGGAGAACAGCCTTGGAGTCTTCGAAGAATCAAGGTTGCCCAGCAGCTACTCAACGAAGACCTTACGCTCATTGGTGCGTCCAATCATCTACGAGCAGCGCACGCCCTTTATCTTCTCCCTTCTCAGGATTCCAGGAAGCGCTTGTCAGGCAAGTGAAGGACCTCGCCGACTTGCTCGGAGATGACTGGGCGTGGGTAAGTTTTCAGACAGTCACATTCTGCGGAGGTGTAAATCGTCTCGATGTAGGTAGGTGTAGGCCGCGACGACGGTCGAGCAGCTGGAGAATTCTGTCCGATCTTTTACAAAAAGTAATGGTGGTAATTCCTCGACACGAGTGGTGCGCGTGTCTCAACCAAAATAACTTCAGATCAGCTCTACGATTGATCTCATACAATTCCTTCTGGCTTTCGTACGTTCCTACAGATATTTCTTATATCGCAAAGAAATTGATAATCCCATCAGCGACAATCCGTTCGAGCCCTCCAGATACCCCGGTGCAGGCTCTCACAGAGTCTGCACAGTCGCGCACTTCGCCTCCGGTCCCAGAAATTTCGGCGCAGAAACGAATTTGACGCTATTGAATACTCACCTTGACGACAGGTCCGACGCTCAGCGTCGTGTTGGCGCTGCACTCCTTCTCACTCGCGCACGTTACGAAGCATACAAGACAGGTGGCCCCGTATTTATCACGGGCGACTTCAACAGTGCAGCTACTGGGTACGATTCGGGTGCATACCAAATCACCACTGGAGCAATCCCGGCTCCGGCAATTAACTCATCCTTCGTGGAGAAATACGCGGTGCCCGACACGTCTCTCCCAAACTTCGTTATGCACGACCTGAAGGGGCATACACCGAAGCTACGTGTCTCCGGTGACTTTGCTACTTTCACTGGATTCAACAGACCCGGGGACAGCTCGGTCTTCACCCGGATTGACTTTATATTCGGTGGGAGCAATGGTGGCTGGTGAGTCGTCCTATAATCAATCAGTGTATTTGGTACGAATGACACGATGTCGGTGATAGGACTGCGGATGCCTACAAGGTCGGATCGGCGCTCACAGACGATGGAGTTATAGCCAGTGACCATCGTCCAGTCTACGCCGATATCTCAGTCTAGCAAAAGAGGAGGAATGTAGAGATACTCAGCTGTCAGAAGGAACTGTGCATATATGCTTTTTCACTATGATCTTTCCACCCGGCTCCTGTCGCCTGCAGACAGAGTCCCAAGTTCAGCTGAATTCTTATTGTACGAGTAACATGACATGGGGTTACGCAGATAGTATTGTGGTATACGTTGCGGTGTTACATTGTTGTACATTTTATTTTCTATGCAGGAAGCACCCGTGGATACGCACGAAATCCTCAGGGATACCGGACCTCTGATACGGTGCATGAAACCGAGCGTAATAGTAGAACAGTGTGGTTTTGGGTCGAGTTAAATGATGAACGCTAGAAATACAACTTGGACATTGTCAGCAGACACACGGTCTCCGAGAAATACAGATAGGCGAGATCATAGCCTGAGAGGGGAGCCCAGCCGGAGGGACAGAGGAGACAGCACGCCGGACTGGCTTCCGCTTCCGCTGCGGGCTGGCGGGCTAGACGGCGTTGCGGACGGTGTGAGTGGACGCGCGGCGCCTGTGTGGGGCGACCGGATCTTGCCTGGGGGGTCCGGATACACGACATCGGCCGGAACGGGTGCCTCCGCATAAAGCGACCTAGGCGTGCGCGGGGGTCTCTGGTGGTGCGGCGTACTGGTGATTTCAGGCTCGTACTGGGCAGGGATATCCGACGGCTTAACTTGAGGTGTAAAGCTAGTCGCCAAGAAACCAGGCGGGAGCTGATCGAGTGGGAACGCCATGTCCGCGGACGTAAGCCCAATTTCGGGGAGTGGAGGCAGAGGTCTCTGATCGGCGGGTGTGCTGTCACGGACGGCAATGTCTTCGGGCGCCGACAATGGTCGAGGGGTATATTCAGGGCTCAAGAAGCCCTCCTGACCAGCAGTCTGCCCGACGTGTGATGTCGAAGCACTAGGTCCCGTTGACTGGGAACAACCTGGAGGTCAGAGTAATCCAAATCACAGTTATTCACGCTTACAGGAGACTCCACAAAGATATCCGGAACACCACTGCTGCCTGGTGATCGTCTATTGCGATATCGTAGCTTGAACAGCCTTTCTAGGGGGCTCCTTGAGCCCTGATTTTCGTTAGCATCTCTATCTCGGGATCCACCCGGTGACGGTCCAGGCGTCCTGGCCCTTCCGTCTTCTCTATGCCGTGAACCACGCGGCGAAGCCTGTCGCTTCATACGGCGAGATATCATGTTAGTTGTGGAGGAAGATTAGATATCTTAAACTCGACGTACATCCTCCCGCGCGGTCGCAGGTGTCTTCGACCGCTCAACCCCCGGGTTAAATGCCATAGAGGCATCGATCACTTGGTGCAGCCCTGCAAGGGCTTCATGGGGATTTCTGTGGCCGCCTGCAGCTCCCTCACCCCGCGCGTTGACGATGTCGTATTGGGATATATTCGTAGATGTCCTGGACTGTGGTGACATAGTTGTATGGTGACCCGGGAGACTCACTGGAAGGCGTTCGACAGGTTGAGAATAGGCATAGTCTCGGGCACGAACAGGCTGCTCAACAGCTGCTGCCCGTGGGGGATCAGCAGGATCAGGGAGGGAGGGGCTGGGGGAGTGAGGAGATACCGGCCTGCTCAGCTCATGTGGAGGTGGAATGAACATCCCGGTCTGTTCATTGAGGTAGGGGATCCAGTTATCTGGCGGTATGTCGTAGTCAGGGTGAACTGGAGAGGGTGGTGGCTGATTCATTGGAATGGGAGTAATTGGTGTATCTCTTCGGGGCTGCGTGACGCTAGGATCCGGTATGGGAGTGGGGTCTGGTGTCTTGAGATGTACACGCGAAGGAGAAGGGGTGCGCAGAGGTGTTATTACTGAACGAACTGGAGTTGATGAAGTAATAGGAGCAATATCTGAGAGACGAGGAGGACTGCGTCGCGAAGCTCGGCTGCTTGATTGTCTGGGAAGAAGTGAATAATACAGACAATTTCAAAAGAGATCAACGAACCGGGACGGGGCTTGCCAAGATGGCTGCATAGGTGTACGAGCCACTGGGGCGACAATTAAAGACCTGCGAGAATACTGCCCATCGTCTTCAACGTCATCCTCCTCTGAGATTGACTCAATGGGCTTCTGTCGGGTATATCGTCTCTGATCAGCTCTCTCACTCGTCCGCTTCTCATAGCTGGCAAGGTCCTTCCCACGGGAAAAGCCTTCTTGATATCCTTGTCTTCTACCTTCCTCCAGCGCCTTGGCAACAAGATGCTCTTCTCTAAACCTCCTGGCTATAGTCCTCGCTCTCGCCGCCTCCGCTTCAGCATCCACCCTTGCCTGTTCTAGGTCATCAATTATTTGCTGCCCCCGATGTATTTCTCGCTGGGCCTCATCCAAACGTGATCTATACAACCTGAGCTCCTCGTTGGCACGGGCTGCACTAGCCTGGGCGATCATCGTCTCTTCGCGCGCAGCACGAAGCTTGTGGAGGGTATCGAGCACCCGGCGTTCAGCCTCGTCCGCACGTCTAGTCTCTTCCTCAAGCCGATCGGTAGTACGCACCAAGACAGAACGTAGACGGCTCGCGTCGCGCTCCTCCCGGGAGATCAGACGCGAAAACAGCTTCGACCGGCTGCCCAGGTACTCCCGCTCGCGATCGCGATCGCGGTCGACGCGACTGCGGCTAGGGCGTGGCGGGGGGGACACAGAAGACTGCTGCGAATGCGAGCGGAGGCTCCTCGACCGGTAGGGAGGAGAATCACTCGCGGAAGAGGAAGGCTCGACAGTGTCCATGGTGGGAAAGGGATAGTCTTTCAAGCTGGATACTATGCACTATGAGAAGTGCATATGCATGCCATCAGTTCACGCTCACCGATCCTGTTCTTCGAGTAGTCGTGTCGTCGTGAACATGCCTCAGCTTAGACCAGACGCCTGCGGTAGCGATCAGAGCGGCGGGGAGATGAGTGAACGTGGTACATAGCCATAGTCAAGTGGTGTATGTACTCGAGACAGAGATTGCTAGCTTCTCTGTGCAAACCTACTCCCGCGATATGGAGAGGAGTGCATTGAAAACGCGTGTAGGCAGCCTGGAAAGCCTTATCCGTGCGTGCTCAACACGTGTTGATTGATCAACGTAGATTCTCGGACGAGAAAGACGCTATCATTGGATCCGTGCAGAAAGTAATATCTCGAAGAACTGAATGCTGCGAGAAGGTACCAAAGCAAGGGTAGTGAGACTCATGATGCCATCGACCAGTCAGTTGGTCGTATCGGGCGCCTCTTGCCCACGTTGTTAGCTCGTGGTTATGCCGCGATTGGTGGTCATAAGGTTCTGGCGTCCTTCAAGTGTCCATCACAGAACCACGTAGAGCTCACAGAAATCATGACGAGATTTGAATGAGCTACGGTACTCACCTGCACCACCGTGCAACAAAGTGAGGGAGTGAGAGTACAACTGCCTGATACGGCCAGTCGAAGGCTCAGATGCGGAGCCTTCAGTTCAATGTTCATCATCGCCGTCCAAAAACGACCAAGAACGACTTGTCGCGAAACAAGAAAGGTAAGCCCATGATCAAGCTTAGCGCTTCTCAATACTTCATTTTCTGGCGCGGAAGTCACGCAATGCATGCCCATCACAGCATGTCAAAGAAGACGTAGCCACAGGGATGTGATGTGAGAGATGATATTGCCAGACGTCCACAAGCCAAGGATGAAGGACTAAATACAGCGCAGCCAGGTCCAGAGACAATCTTCGAGCACGAGGAACGAGCCACAGCACCATATCCGTCTACGGAGCCGTGATGCGCCCCATGGTAGAGTTAAATGGGAACTCGACGATCGCTAGTCCCGTCACCATTGAAGCGTCACTGAGCGGCAGCTGGTTGCTGGAGACCACACCGACGTAGACGGTGCCGAAGAGTCCAGAGGGGACGGTCGTCACGCCACTCCCATCGATGTTCGTGAAGACGACGTCGAGGCCTGTCATCCACGCGAGGTACGTGGGCGATGCGCCGGTGGGATTGCTGAACGTAAGACCGATAATGTACCCGGCGCTTGGTGTCATCGTGGAGACAGTGAGGGCTGGGAAGGTCGAGATGGGAAGCGGGGGGTTCGTCGATGGGCAGCTGACGATGAATTCCGCTGAGCGTTTGGCGAATACGTGAGTGTGACAAGTTCAACGGCGGTCTTAAGAGGTACTCACAGGCAAGCGAGAAGGCACCGCTCAATCCCAGCGGCGTCTCGAAAGAGCCATCCCATGGCTGGAGTTTCAGCACCGCGGAGGATATCCATCCAGCGTGTCGCGACTCTACAGCCAATATGGACTTCACACCGAGTTAGCCTCAACGCAGGCTCAGACCAAGTAGTACGTACCCCAGCCGCAGTCAGCGTGTTCTTGTCGGAGATATACTGAGCCGCGCCAAGGTATGCAGACGCGCCGACACCTTCGAGCGCCATCGCAAGCGCAGCGAAGGACTTCGGATCCGTGTAGGGGCTGACATCGTCCGAGAGTAATGTGAGACTTCAACCGGTGTACACGTGAAGCGAAGTCTTACAAGTTGTAAGTGCAGGGCTGAGGAGCGGCAGATCCGAGCGCGGCCTGCAAGAAGCTCACATGCTCCGCCTCATGCTCCCCGATCTGCTCGAAGCGGCCGCGCACCCACGCTGGGAACCCGGCTTCCGCAAATGCCTGGTCGTCGAATTGGCCCAACCCGGTGGAATAGAAGTTGTTCTCCAGCAGCTCGAGCGACAGTGCGAACTGCAGAATGTTCGTGTCTGTAGGCGAGGCCATCAAGCGGGTGAGTCCCACGGGTCCAACGACGCTAGAGCGAAGTGAAGACCTCACCGGTAGGCGTCGGAGCAGCGAGAACAATCGCCGCGCTAACGAGGGCAAGGAGGATACCAAAAGACTTCATCGTGACGAGGTAACTGACGTGCTAAGAAAAGAACGTGGGGCCGTGAGGGCGGGAAGGTAAAGAGAGTGATGTTGGCAAGTAACTTGCGAATGAAGAGTTCAGCGAGCGAGAGCAGTCATATATACCTGTGAGGCTGACCGGAGGCTTCCGCGGCTGGACGATCTACGGAGCACGATCGTAGGGCAGCTCGGGCGATCGCTGGCAGATAGAGGCTGGCATGTCCACTTTATAAGGGCTAGAGCATCGGAATGATCGAAGTATAGCAGGAAGACGTCCAATCGAGAGATGGTTGCTGACATTAACGTATCCTTGTATATTTCCACGATACTTCGGGAGTATACAGAACGGAAATTGACGTAGCGACACAACCGTGGCTGTAAGACCGTGGTATGAACTAAAAGTACAAAGAAGTTAGATCTGAATGACAACTCCAGTCGGTAAGCATTGCGCAGACAACATGGCTGTACATATGATACATACCTTGACCTGAGAGGCACTACCACATTATCTCGCTCTGCGGCTCTCTATACAAACAAATACTGAGTTCCCAATCACTTACACGCTTCGCCAAGCGATACATCTTGTAACCCCCAAAGCCACCTCTCGGACCCTCTGTCTCACTTATCATCTCCGAAAATACCTCCGGACTTTTGGTCCGGAGAAAGTACACTTCGCCAAACGACCGCTGGCGATCATAGACCATGTGAAAATCGCGCGCGGGTATTACAATCTGCAGCTTTACAAGGAAGATTTTTGTGCCGTGAATGTTCGGCGGCGGGCGCGTCTCGTCTGGGTTCCGCAAGGCGACTTCGCTGTCCTTGAAGTTGTGCCGCGTCAACATGTACATGGAATGGCCCTCGTGACCAGGCATTATGTTTACGAAGGGAACGGTGCGCCATGTGCCGCCGCGGACAGAGCGACACATGCCTTTGTGCTCTGGCCAATGTGCACGTTGGCAATCTAATATGATCTCTGTCGTATCATCAAGCTGAATATAATGATTCGGGAATGCGCACCCTGCCCGCAGTACGAAACGGAAAAGCACTGAGCGCATAGACTAGCGGTTTTCTTGCCGCACACGAAACACCCAGTGTCTGCGTTAAGCTTTCCCAGGTCTTCGAATGTGAGGGGACCGACAGGGAGCAAAAATGAAACCTTGAAGTCCTGCTCGAGAGCACCCTTCATAGGACTGAAGTCTGCAGGAAGATGTTTGGCATTCATAGCAAGTATCTTAAGTAGGAGTTTTCCTTCCAATTCTGTTGCATTTACTTTTGCACCCTGCCCCAGTCTCGTCTGGGCGCTGACCCAGCGGGGACCGACTCCTGTGGACGCCGCGAGGAAAGAACGATACAGAACGACAAGAACCGGTGTTTCCCAATCGATCTGGTGCACAGAGCTGATCTGAACGTGGGACACATCAGTCGATGCGCGTCACCATCACAAAAGGAGCTGAGGCCCATACCCTCACGGCAATCCGAAACTTCTGGCCCTCTGGGTCCTGAATGACGCACCAGTTGTACCCGTCATCCCAGATGCGGCCCATAACCATAAGCGTCTGGCGTACATCCTGAATCGCGTTACCAAAAAGGTTGAATGCATTCTCTCTGCCTGCTGTACGTGCTCTATCGAGCGCAAAGGCCTCACCCAGATTGTCCCTTCTAACGGCATCATGCACGGAGTTGGCCACCTGGGAATCCGGAGAATACGGCGGCCATGCTGGCACGGATGCGATATTGAGCGGTGGAGCGGGAATGACTTTAGTGAGATATTGAGCGGCATTAATTGCCTGTTTCAAGGGCTTCGTCCGGTAGCTTCGTGCTCGGTGGAAGCTCGACTCCCATGGAAGACAAGATCGTCAAGATTTCGGTTCTGGAGAGAGGCTCCATATTACTGAAGAGCTATATGCATATCTGTAAATTGCAAGACTCCTGTGAGATTCCACGCGTAAACTCTCGCCTCGAAAACATAGCTAACGTTCTGATTGTGATCCAGAGGAATGCAGTACGCAATATTCCTATAGAGATCTCAATACAAGTTCGAATTGGAAGGTCCTTGCAAATGGCTGCTGGACAGTCGGAAACAAGTCGAAAGTGCGGTCTCAAACAAGTAGCAAATGGTGGAACTCGAGCTGTCACAGTCACAAATCGAGTGCCTATCGCTGTCACAGATCAAGTAACTGTCACGTTCACGGGACCGTGACTGAACGCTATAGTCATCTTGCTATTACCTAAGTACGCGCGCTGAAAAATGCTGAAACGGTAGTAAGTGGGCAGTAACGTTGAACGCTAACCCGCTGAATGCTAAACCCCCTGAGAAACATAGTAGCCTGACTGCCCGGATTCTTGGCTGACACTCCAAGCGTATGATCAACCCGAACGCACCTGACGAACATTCGCCCGGCTCAAATAGAATTGCTTGCCCAGGCGGCAGGATGGGAGACGATGTTACATTTCGCATGTCCGCATGGTATACAGAAAGACGAGCTCTTCAGTACGACTGATGTAAACGCGCGTGCTCACGGTTTCCTCAGCACGAAGTGCATAATTTCCGGCGATGCCTGTACAAACTTCAAGATAAGCATCACAAGGATCCAGACCAAATCGACGACAATACCTGATATCACCACTTGACGTCGGCCTGCGGCTCCTTGTCCAAACATATGCTCAGTTCCCAATCACTGACACGCTTCGCCCAGCGGTACATCTTGAACCCGGCGTGCCCTCCTCTGGGGCCATCCATCTCCCTCCTGATCTCCGCAAACAGTACGAGATCGCGGTCCTGGCGGAAGAAGCTCTCGAGCGTCCGCTGCCTGTCATAGATCATGTACGCGTCACGATTCGCGAGACCGATCTGGAGCTTCACAAGGAACGCTTTCGCGCCGTGGGCGTTCGGGGGTGGGTATCTCTCGTGGTTCGTCCGCAGCCCCGTGTACTTATTGTTGAAGTTGAAGCGGTTGAAGATGTAGCTGTAATGGCCCTCGAACCCGGGCATACTGTTCACGAAGCGGACCGTGCGCCACGTACCACCGCGCAGCGACCGGCAGGTGGGCTTGTGTTCCGCCCAGTGGGCGCGCTGGCAGGCTATGAAAGATATGTGGATGAGGAGAACCAATCATGGCCTGTCTACGACCTACCCTGTCCGCAATACAAGACCGACAAGCATTGCGAGCACCGGCTCGTCGTCTTCTCGCCACAGAGCACACACCCAGTGTCTGCGTTGAACTTCCCGAGATCTTCGAAAGAGAGCGGGCCAACCGGGATCAAGAAGGATACCTTGAAGTCACGCTCAACGGCGTGCCTGTGGGGCTGGAAGTCCGGCGGTAGATGCTTGGCGTTCATGGCAAGGAGCTGGAGCAAGAGCTTGCCTTCGAGCTCGTTCGCGTGAATCAGGCTTATTGTGCCAGCATCAGACTCTTGCATGCGCTCTTGGACCCACTGCAGGCCGGGGGACCGGTTGTTCTGGGCGAAGGACTGGTACAACATGACGAGGAGGGGCGTCTTGGAATCAATCCGCTGAACCGAGAGCATCTGGTTCTGTGCGTTTAGACGTCATTTATCACTGCAAGTAACGTGCATATACCCTGATATTGATGGCGAACGTCTGGCCCTCTGGGTCCTTCACCACGCAGCACCTGTATCCGTCATCCCAGAGCTTTGCGATGCACATGAGGGTCTGACGAAGGTCCAGGATTGGGTTCACATAAAGGTCGACCGCGTTCTCCGCGCCCACAGAGCGCGCACGCATACACGCGCCCGCCTCGCCGAAGTTGCCGCGCCTGATTGCATCGTGCACAGAGCGAGTCTCGTCCACCCCGGAAGTACAGGAAGGCCATGATGGGACAGATGCAATGTGGAGCGGAACTTTTGGTATGACTTTGGCCAGAGACTGGGCCGCGTTGAGGGCTTGCTCAAGGCGTTTCTCCAGCGCCTCGTCTGGGAGCTTCGTCGTAGCGGGAAGCTCGATTCCCATGGAAGACAGCACAGACAAGGTGTCAATTCTAGAGAGAGGCTCCATGTTGTCGAGGTTGATCCCCAGTGGAAAACGCATATTGTGAGATCGCAGCAAGTCGCACGAGGTCGTGGCTGTGACCAGCTGCGACCAGCCGCGAAAATTTGGACTATATGCGATCTTGCGCGAGCCCAATCAAATGTGGTTGCAGGCTAGCACAGTGCCAAGCGGGAGAGTCGAGGCATTTCGCATCTAGTCGAATATTAAGCTGCTGTATAATAATTGTATTGTCGTGATTTAATACACTGTGACTACACTCGACGTCGTGTGAGCACCCTCGCCGTCGTGCGAGCTCCTGCGACATCACGCGATCTACTTCGACCTGCTCCGCTCACACCCCCGCCCCCGCTCACACCCCCGCCCCCGCTCACACCCCCGCCCCCGCTCCCACCCCTGCCTGCGCCCCCGCCCCCGTTCCCGCCCCCGCCCCCGCTCCTGCCCGTACCCCCGCCCTCGCACCTACGCACCCCTGCACCTACGCACCCCTGCACGCACGCGCGCGCCCATCCCCCTGCCCGCGCACGCACCCGCGCACTGGCGCGCAACCGCACACATCCGCACTCCCTGTGTTCGCCGTCGTCCCCGTTTTCACACCTGGATGCTGCCCAACACCTGTAATATAAGTAGAGTTAGTGAATATGTGTCATAGCATAGATAAAGAATGAGATAAGGTAGAGAGGTCCGCTACAAAGTCAGTGCAAGCGCAGCTGTTCACGCTCAGGCTGACTGGATAGTCGAGGTCGTCCAGACGGCTTCTCGCGCTCGAAGTGTGCATAAAGGCCCGGCGAGCTCGTTAGTCGGGGTCGTCGGAAGAGAGATGTGTGACCGCGGAGCCTGCTACAGGGGGCGGGGGGTTTTGGACGCCGCAAACGAACCTCTCGCAGTGCGAGACGATCGCCTCGGTGCGCTCGGTCCTCGCTCGGTCCATGTGCCCCCCGCCCGCGCGCCCAAATATCGATCCTCTGACCCCGGATTTCCCGGTATATGCGCCAGAAGTCGACGTGCCGTGTCCGCATCCACATCCTTGTACTCACCTGGTCATCCTAACTTGCCCCATCCCCCCACTTCTCAACTTCTCGATGCGGGTCATGTCTATCGTGCGCGCCAGGGTCGCGAATCGGCGAATGCGGCGCGTGGACGGGACTGCTCGGATGTCTTCGTTTGGCTTTGGAGCCTGGAATGCGGCACGCGTACCGCGCCCAGCCGCTTGAGATTGAGGGGCTAGTCAGTGCCCCCCAATTGAAGGCGCAGATGGAAAGATCATGGGGATCTCAACGAATGTGGATAGTATCGGATCGCCTTCTTATCGGAAGATTAGCATAACATGATCCACACTTGCACGTAGGCAGTACTTACTACCGTAATCAGCAGCAACGCTGCAAGTACACCAGAGGGGGTCTCTCGACCATCTGATAAGTAAATTTAAGGACATTTCAGGTGCCTGGATGCCTGACACAGAAACTGTCGCCGTACCTCGTCAATAGGGGCACATCAGAGGATTACAGTCAGGAAGACGAACACACATTCACATAGTCCGGATGTGTCGCAATGCGCACCACGCGTGCACCAGAAAGCAGTGCAAACTTGTTCTCCCGGAACTGCTGCGAGATTAGACAGGGAATGAGATGTAGAACAGTTCGCACTGTGCGGGGTGCGGGCAGCTGTGCGCACTCGAGCGTGGCATGACCGTCACATTGAGGCAGAGAAGGCTGTTGAGCCACTTCTCGACGGTGTCTTCGGCCGCATATAAAATCGGTGTCTCGAGCTTGCAGTGTGCACGCTTTCGGCGGTGCCTTGACGATGGGCTTCTTGAAGCTCGAGCTTACCACTGCATCGTCTTCGCCCGCGGCGGTGTCTTTAGTACGCGAGGGGTGGGTGCTCTCATGGAGCTGTTGGATGAGCTTGAGTGAGAGTAATCGGCCGGTATAATAAGCATCGTGCTCTGGAGGTCAGAGCGACTGGATGCAGGAGGACAAGAGCGCAGACGTGGTGGCGACATGAGTACGGTGACGCGTCCATGTCTCTGTCACATGATGAGCTCGGCGTGGGTGCAAACAGATGATATAAGTGCAAGTACACTGGGCACAAGTACAACATATAGTATATAGCTAATTGAGACACGCGTGCAGGCAAAATTCGACAGATGGCGGCCTTACGTCGAGCAAAGTGCAATTCAGACGGGACATGGTACAGGATCGACGCGTCAAATCACAGGATGTCTCGCACGTGTTCGACCAGGTGAGATCTGGTTCGACCGCTTGCGATAGTCCAAGTCAAGCCGCGATCTGGTGCGTCTTGGTTCGTTCTTGGAATATGCGTTTTTCACTGGGGTTGATCCGGTGCTCTGTCGAGAATCAAGGAAGAATTCGTACACAGCCAACGATGTCAACGCAGAAGAGTGCTCCCCAGAAATAATCAACACAGCTTGAAAGGCCTGACGGTCAGTATCCCTACACTAGGCCACAGTTATCTTCTCAGGGAGCTTGCTAGTGTTCAGGTGATAACTGACTAGTCCACTAAAACGTTAGCTCTTCGTGCGCTCTGAAATTTGCCGGATCAGGTAACCACATTGCTCGAGCGCGCTATGCCGTCGACGTCACTACACGTGCAGTAACTAATTATAATAAGAAGCCAAAAACATTGTTACGGTCACTTTGCCTCCTACGGAAACACAATGACATTGCGGAAGCGTGCCTCGTTTGAAACGACCCCTTCGTACGCAACGGCGAACTCCTCAAGACTGTATTCCTTAACAATCGACTTAATGTCTGCACCCGGCCAGGATCAGCGACAACCACAAAGGTAATGATAACCAGACGCTTATTCCACTCACCAGAAAGAGTCGAGAACTTCACACAGTGCTCCATGTCCGACGCGCAGCCACACGACCACCCGCGGATGCTCGCGCGGTTCATGTTCAAGAAGAGGTTCCACACCTCGATTGGTGCGTCGGTAGCAGCGGAAACTAGCGTGACCGTCCCACTTCTCCCCAAGGCTGGGATGATCTCGTTGATGTGCTTCGCGCGGGGCGCGGTGCAAATGATGACACGCGCACCGCCGACTGCCTGGAGGCGCTCGACCGCGTTCGTTGTGCTCGAATCGATGTACTCGTGCGCGCCGATGGAGAGCGCGAGAGCGCGCTTCGCGTGTCCGGAGGACACAGCATACACCTGCGCAGATAGTCAATTGAATGTGAAGACAGCATCATGGCTTACACACCTTCAATCCCAGCTTCGCGGCGTACTGGATGGCGAGATGCCCGAGCCCTCCAATTCCTTGAACCACGCAAATGTCGCCCGGGGTAAATGGCGTGGTCCGAATGGCGTCGAACACGGTGACGCCGCCGCAAAAGAGGGGGGCCAGTTCCGCATACGACGCCTTCTGGAGCGCCTCCTCGGCGATGCTCACAACCGCTGTGCGCGCAACCGTATTAGCAAACTCTCTAGATGCATAGCCCGAAATATGCACCCGACTCCGGCGCATACATGTATTGGGCGTGCCCGCCGTCGAACGTGAAGCCCGTGACGCCGCCCTTCCTGCATACTGCGAAGTCACCCTTCCTACAGAAGTCGCACCGCCCGCAATACCCCCCGTTCCAGCCCACGCCGACGAGAGCGCCGACTCTGAATCGCGCGCCTTCGCCCTCCGCTGCGTCCGCGTCCGCGATGGCGGCGCCCACGGCGGCGATGCGGCCAATGACCTCATGACCCGGGATGCGGGGGTACTGTAGGCCAGGCCAGGTTCCGTCCTTGACAAAGTGGTCGGAGTTGCAGATGCCCGACGCGTGCACGCGGATGACGACCTCGTTTGGCGCAGGCTCTCGCGTCTCCTTCGTGACGATTTGCCAGGCACCGTTTGGGGCGGGGCAGCTCGCTGTCGGAAAACAATTAGCCTGTGGGTGCTCTGCTATTTGGAATGACTTACCCGCTTCGTAGGTCTTGGGGAGGTGAGAGATGGAAGTCATGATGCAGGTACTAAGTAGATGTGCGAGGGGACTGACCTTTGGTGGAAACACGGGGGACTTCTTATACCTTTTCGCTATCGTCGGAGAAGATGAAGCAGCTGCATCGATAGTCCGAGCGCATCAAGGAGAGACTTTGATACCGCCATTAGGCATTCTGCCGCAGGTCAACGTCAACTTGTCTTCGAGCGGCGGCTCAGAGGTGGATTCTCACGAGTCGTTACGGCCGGCGGCAACTCAATGTTTACTACTGTATACGATCCTCGGATCGCGTCCCCATGACATAATATCTCCGAGTCCGAATCGCTATGAACCTCACTGACAGAACATGTCAAAGGTGTAAAGCCATGTGCGGACGTCAACCGGCAAAGTGACTCGTGTTCATGATTCAGATGACTGAAGCTCATACACTTGTACATACATACCAGCCTTCAGAGCCACGGATTGAATAAGACCTTCCCGCACTCCCCCTTATCAAACAGCTCGTAGCTCTCCTTCGCCTCGTCGAATCCGACGATCTTTTCCACTAGGCTCGCCTCTTCTCCAACGGCGCCAAACACGTCCTGACGCTTGAGGAGAATCTCGAGGGCTAGGGGGAACATCGCGCGCACTGGACAACGGCCAAAGTCGAACGATACGTTCTTGTCGTACACCTCGCGCCCCGTGAAAGGGATCGGCGGCTCCTGGTGCACGCCGACGGAGCTGATGAGCCCGAACGGGCGCACGAGCTCGTACGCGAGCTTCAGTGCACTGTTGTTGCCTACGACCTGCCGTCAACGATAGACTGAGTTTCTCGTCCGAAGGAATTTCAGGAATCGTGCACCACCTCCAGAACGGCATTCGCGCCCGCACCGTTTGAGTTTTTCTGGACCATTTGCTTGCCCTCGTCGATGGACGCGACGGTGAAACTTCCTGAGCCTTTGCTCGTCGTGTCGATCGCAGCATACACCGCCTCCACCTTGCGCCGCCGCGACTCGTTCGGGTCAATCGCTACAACATTGTACTCCAGCCCTTGTTGAACGCCGATCGTCGCCAACATGTCGAGCAGACTGACCGTGGCGCACTATCAGCGTCTTCAGAATCCGATCTACCCGCACGAAAATACTACAAAGCCGTCTTACCACGCCGACCGGCCCCAAACCCACCACAGCGATGGTCAAGACGCGGTCCGCTCTCTGCAGCGTCGTGGCACCTTGTCCGCTGATCGCACTGTCAGGTATGAACCCACTGGTGGGGTACGCTCTGCCCGTGAGCACCGGCAAGATCTTGGGGTGCTGCAGAGCCTGCAGGGCGGCGAATATGCCTGTAGGCAGGATGTCCGCGAGCAGTAGGAGCGAGCTGTCTGATACGCTCGTGGCGTCGACCTTCCCCTGTGCAGCGAGTGCGCTGAGACTGAATAGGGTCCCGCCGGCCTTCGGGATGCGTGTGTACTGCGCCTGACCACCGGGAAGCTTGGGGATGCCGAAGAGGGTGGAGTGGATGCAGCGGCAAGTGAAGCCTATGCGGCAGAAACTGTGCGGAGTTGGTAGATGTGAGACGGGGTAGCAAGAGCAGGCTGTCCACGTACTGGCACTCGCCGCAAGATACCGTGAACGGCGAGACGACCTTGTCGCCCACGCGCAGAGTCGAGTACAGCTCGGGTCTGTCAGTCGCCCCGGGATGGAAGCTCGCGCCGAGCGCGACGACTTCACCGATCAGCTCGTGCCCGCAGGTCAGGCTGGTGTTCAAATGGATCAGGGAGCCTTCGGTGCGCGTGGGACTGACGGCACGCACTCTGCATCGACATCCTCGTGCCCGCGATAGATGTGCAGATCGCTCCCGCACAGACCTGCGAGCTGTACCCAGAATCAGCGCATTTTGGCGTACGGGCGGTGAGTTCTACCTTGATCATAACAATCGCATCATCGGGCTCCAAGATTCTGTACGGACGGGGGGTGAGCACCCTCGTCGCGCTCGCCGTGCGGAGACTGACTGGGGGATGGGCACGGTCTCCACTCGGATATCATAGGCCGGGGGATACCAGCGTACAGCGCGTTGGGTGCCGGAAGGTGGGATAGACATGATGGGACAGGATGATAGCAAAATCGAACTGCAAAAGACGAACCTGCAGATCCCGAGCTATCTATACATCGATCATGATCGAGTCCATTCAAGTCATTGTGGGGACGATACGGCTCATGCACGGTGCGTTGAAGAGGGTTGAGGCCTGAGGGGCGAGTCACTAAGTAGAGAACGTACCATGGCATACATTACACGAGTACGTCTGTCCCATGGAACAGCGCAAGGATTAGCTATGTACATTTTCTCATTCATGTCTAACATTAATTCTGTATTATCATGGAGCCCTTGAACAGATCAAATATGCTCGAAGTACTGTCTTCTATGCGTACTGATCTCCCAGCAGAAACGAAGTGGATGCTTTGCACAAAGCGACTGAAGCAAACCATGAACTCTGCGCAGGCTCTCACTGATCTCGTCCCGAATCCGCCAATTAATCCGAAAAATATTCCGACTTGGCCAAATCCTATGCCAGAGGACAGTCACTCCGTGTTCAAGGCAATCAGGCGCGCGGATCCGTCTGAGAAATCTCTGTGTATTGACGCACTCATGCGCGGGAAGCGAAGCCCCTGTGGTTTCTGCGGCAAACACTAATGACGCTGGCCAAGAACTGGGACAAGGGAAATTTGTGGTGTGCCATCTAAGAGAAGGGCGAGAAATGCGCCATCGCGATCAGGGTGTGTATACTACGCCAGTAATTTCTCGGTGTTAGTCTGACCACTCCCAACTACTCTCTGTGCATTGGCTGGACAGCGGGACCCCGCTCATCGTCCTGCTGTACCATTGCATGACAGGGGAGAATCCTCAACCGGGATTAGCATGGGTGCGAGCACAATACAGGAAGGCGTCGCAAGGACCCCCGCGAATCCACTGAGAGCTCCGATGCACCCATCCCCGAAAAATGGGCCGCCGGAGGCAGAATGTTAGATCTCCGACCCCCGAAAATGGCGAAAAAGACGTCGAAAGTTGAGTGCAAAACACCCCCGAAATGTGACCCGCCAAACCTGAGGTTAGGTCCAGAACCCCCGAAAACTGAGGTTGGCTGGCGCACGTCTCAGGTTTCGGAGGATGGGCATAAAGTTTAGCCATATGTGGTGGTTTGGGAGGAAAGTTGTTGTAATTTGGCTCACAAAAGCTTGGGTTTTGCGCAGGAAGCGAAATTTTTGTTCCGCAGGCTGTCGAACGTAATTCTAGGTGGCCGAATGTTCGATCCCACATACCCCCGAAAACGGCCGACCCGCCGCCAGGTTGTGTGCAAACCCCCGAAACTGGGTGGTTGGCCACCCCCGAGAAATGTCGTCGCCGGGATCGGAGCTCTTAGTTGATTCGCGGGGGTCCTGCGTCGCAGCGCGAGATGTGCAAGATCCAGGCGACGGACGTGGTGTTGAGGCTGATGATGAAGCTGCTCGATATGAACTCCAAGCATCTCTCCCCTGATTTTCGCCAGAGGAAGGATCCCATTGAAAGATATTTCGCCGTGTCGTTGTTGCTCCCCAGCGGACCGCTCACCTTCGAAGACCTTGGGAAATTGAACGCTGACACAGGCCGTGTGCTGTGTGGAGGAAAGACGGCCAGCCGCTGCGCTCAATACATGTCTATCTCATATTGTGGCAGGGCCTGTATCGCATATGCATTGTACTACCCAGTTATGCTGAGAATAAGTTCAGTAGCGTGCCAGCGTGCCCACGGCCCGACCACAAGGACACATGTCACTCTCTCAGGGACGCGACATGGCGCACCATTCGCTTTGTCAACATCATTCCCGGCCTCCCTTTACCTCCGGGATGACACGGGCAACTATTACAGGACTAATAGGTTTAATTTCCGAGAGGGCAGCAGCACGCATCCGTAGCTCGATAACACAATACCGCACCCGAACTGTCACGGCTTGAAGGCTTCCCTGCAGATCGGGCTTGACCCGATGCAGGTCATGCAATTCCTGATATATGACCGCCAACCGACGTTTGAGGTGTTCTTCATGGAGCCAACGGATCCCGGCTTGTTCGGCGAGATGAAGAGGGGGATGTAAGGCCCCAGGGGTGGACACCAAGGACTGAAGATGTACCGGTGGGTGAAGCGCGTGAGTGATTTCGAGCTGAGTGTCTGTGTGGACCGGGAGCTGCAGACCGACGTCAAGTGGTGATGAGTTCTATTATTTGTATTGTTATTCGCGTATCCATCAGTGTATCTTGAGTATTGCGTGTATGTGAGTGACACGGTGATGATTACAACATGAGTTTGCTCACTTCTTTCTTTCATAAAATGACGCCAGCTAAACATTGCTAAGAGTGAGACTGATCTGCGGGAAACGAGTGAGTGGAACGCGTTGCGTCACATCGTGACCTACTGTGACAAATCGCGTTGAACGCGGTTCCAGCATGACAAAGGCGGACCAACGCCTTCAACACGGCGCACATGCACCGAACCCTGCGCCAAGTACATCAGTGAAAATTTTCCCTCCCTGGAGAGATGCTGTTTCGGTTTCTTCTCATGGGCCAGTTGAGGTGCGGAACCCGTTTTCGAAATTTGAATATGGCAACCCTTGGCATGAATATAGGCTTCCAAAATCCTCTATACGAACCGGCGACGCTCCAACGGATACGCAAGAATGCTCAGGAAATAAGGGTAGCCTTCAGTATAACTAACCCCCTCTACACACACACGTAGAAGGCTAAGATAATGTAGTGTATCTCCCGTCTGAGTATCTTGTTCGGTCTCGCCTTTGTTGTTCTAATTACACATCCGCCGATGGGGAAAGTTCTTCATGCTAATGTTTCCTCCTGGCTCTCATTTGCTATGCAAGACTTTCAAATACATCAGAGTCAACTACTTCGGAGAGGTGCGCAGTGATTCATCTATGCACAGCCTTTACTGATCGGCGAGCAGCAGACCACTCAGGTCAACTGTGCCTCTGGCTATTCGCCCTTCCACGATATACAATGCGGCATGGCCACCTGTAGTCATTTTATCAAATGACCAGCTATCTCGCTCAACCCAGAACGTACGGGCGTTTGGCTTGTCAAATGCATGGTGCGACGCGTACTACGTTACCGATGATGGTGTCGCTAAAGATAGGTTTCTACCACGTCCTAAGTGCTGCAGCGTCCGGCGACTGCAGTACTTTCTAGCCGACGCTAGCCGTGTCTCCTGTACAACGCACCTTCTACAGGGTGCTATATAATCCGGGTCATCGCTACAGGCGTCTGGGACCTATACGAGCTACATGTGCTTTATAATCTTAGCAAGGTTTGAAGTCGATATTTGTGGTGCGAGATGACTTCCGTAACTGGCGATCCCTTCTTTTCCACACTGACGGGTAGCGTACTCACAGCGTGACATTTGGTTCACACAGATATTTGACTTCTATCTCTAACTCCGCAACTGTTACCGGCCCCCGTGCTGAATTTACGAGATAGTTTTATCTCATCACAGCTTCTTGGGCTGTCTTTTGCCGTGCGGTCGATTGGTCTTATACAAGGGCATGAGGATGGGGGCCTGTTCAAGTTCAACTGGCCTCTGCAGCTGCTACGCTAAACCTTTTGTTTTGAGACGCTGATCACAATGTTTTCTTCTATACTCGGCAGTTTTTCGATATGTGGAGTTATATGGGCATTCTGGCGCAATTATATACGATGGTACATTGCCAAATCTCCGTTGGACAATTTACCGGGACCTCCAGCAAAGCACTTTTGGACAGGTGAGTCCCTTTGAATGCTGTTGCTGGAGTCTACTCACGTGCTGTACTGCAAGGTAATCTCTCTGAGTTTGTGAACCGGCACAGTTGGGATTTCCACCTTGATGTGGCCCAAAATTATGGCCCTGTCGTGAACTTCAAGGGATTCCTCGGTGTAAGTGGGTCTGCCTTTGACTGCAGGCCAGGACTGAGATACACATCATGTCACTAGAATCCACTACTTTATGTATACGATCCAAAGGCGTTGCACAGTATCATTGTCAAGGATCAACATATCTATGAGGAGACGTCTACAAACCTGCAGTGCGTTAAGTCAGGTCCTGATCTCGTTACTCTTGAATTGACTGTTGTTTAGCTTTAGTCATATGATTTTCGGTCCTGGTTTGCTAGCGACATTGGGTATGTTGACGTGCTAAGTTAGGAAAATCAACTGGTCTATGGCTTAATCACTTGCAGGTGAAACTCATCGCAAACAGAGAAAGCTGCTTAACCCAGTCTTTTCTATAGTGCATATGCGCTACATGCTGCCGATCTTCTACGAAGTGGCCAACAGGGTACGCTGTTATAAGGGTCATATAATCTCTCATTCATCACTGTATACAACAGCTCGGCACCGCGATGGCCGCTCGTGTAGCCGACGGATCACAAGAGCTAGACATGCTGGGATGGATGGGACGCGCTGCACTCGAACTCATTGGGCAAGGCGGCCTCGGCTATTCTTTTGATCCTCTCACAAAAGAGATAGGTGACACATACGGCGACGCACTGAAGGCACTCGTGTAAGCTGCAGTTCACCCGGTTTCAAGTTCTAGTATACTGAGATACCGGGTTATATTCTGCAAACCAGGCCAACGTCGTTCGGGCTGGGTATCTTCCGTTACGCCCTACCTTACGTTGCACACATCGGTACCCCATCATTTCGGAGGCGCCTGGTGGAGATACTGCCGAGCAGGCGGATGCACAAGCTGAAGGCGATCATCGATACCATGGACAGGAGATCGCGCGAAATATTCTACGCGAAGAAGGCTGCTCTCCAAGAGGGCGATGCCGCCGTCTCTCGGCAGGTAGGCGAAGGCAAGGATGTCATGAGTATCCTCAGTATGTCTGTATAACCTGTGTATGTCAGTTTGCTAACCGGATCTGCAGTGAAGGCAAATATTGCGGCAAAGTCAGAAGAGGACAGACTGCCGGAAGAAGAGCTGGTGGCTCAGATGTCGTGCGTGCGAACTTCCATGTAGTGCTAGGATAGCATTGTGGCCAAATTGACGAACAAATGTTTTTCAGAACATTGACCTTCGCGGCTACGGACACCACATCCAACACCCTCGCTCAAATTTTGCAACTTCTCGCGCAGCATCATGACGTCCAGGACAAACTGCGCCAGGAGCTCCTGAAGGCAGGCCAAGGCGATGAACCGTTTTCCTACGACCAGTTGATGCAGCTCCCATATCTGGATGCGGTTTGTCGGGAGACGTTGCGAGTGTAAGTCATGTCTTCTTCTGCAGAATTATTCTGATGCGACACTGCGGACAAAGATATCCTACGGTGCCAATCATGCCTCGTCAGTAGGTGGAGTCCGTATGCAGTTAAACCACATTTATCTAAGATGCTCATCACAGAGCGCGCAAGGACATAGTGTTACCGCTGTCTGAACCGATCCGGGGTATCAACGGCGAGATGATGAGCGAGATACCCATCCCCGAGGGCACCAGACTCTTCGTCGGTATTGCGGGAAGCAACCTCAACAAGGCGCTATGGGGAGAAGATGCACTCGAGTGGAAGCCCGAGCGATGGCTCTCGCCTCTTCCCACCGCTGTGACTGAAGCGCGCATTCCTGGGGTCTTCTCAAACCTGTATGTAATGACACGTCAGAAGACCGCTGGAATGCCGCTGAAAACGTTTGTTCTCCAGCATGACCTTTTTGGGTGGCAGCAGAGCGTGCATGTAAGTGTTAAATGGAAGGCGCGAAGTTCTCGTGCTGATTGAAAGTGCTTGACAGTGGCTTCAAGTTCTCCGAAATGGAGATGAGTGAGTACTGCGTGTTTCCATCCTGCGTAAAGAGAGTTGATGCGTTTCCTTATGCAGAGGTTGTTTTGGCTGTCCTACTGCCTCAATTCACATTCAACCTGACCGACAAGCCGATCGTGTGGAACATGGCTACCGTTCGTTATCCCACTGTTGGCAAGGAGGGCATTAAAGCGGAGATGCCACTCAAGGTAGGTTTGTTCAAGAAGAGGGATGCTTGAGTTTGCTTCGCAGTTGTTTTCGCTAGAACCCGTAGCTACAGTGTCTGAGTGCGAGAGGTATTAAATCTACTTCGCGTCAGGTACCCAAGAATTCCTTTGAGATGATTGTCAGGATATCGTGACTCAGAATTGAAACACTTCTGAGTAATTCTTACGGAATATCGCTGTGTGGGGCGGTGCGTCTTTGTGCGTCTTCGGTGCACATTTTGTTACTTGGAACGAACCTGAATTGAGCGTTGATTAACGTTGATTCAGCACGACGGATGCAGCGACTACGACGCGTTATGTCACACTGTGACTTTCTGGTGACAACTCGCGTTGAGCGTGATAAGATGGCCCCTGTGCCAAGACTCAGCCGTTCTGAGGTCTGCTACTCACTGTCATTGGTTATGGCGTGAGTTCATTCGGCATCAGTGAAAGTGCGAACCCTAGTTTTTCATACTAGCTGCGTTGCTTATTATTGACACTTTTTCTAGAGCCCGAACCCCCTCGACTCCGTTTCTTTGACGCATACGTTTGAAAGCGCACAGTTGCATCAACTCTTCCGATCAATGGATCCTTTCACCAGAACGGAGATTTTAAGAGTTTTGTCTTCGATGGGTGTCGACCTTCCACCGGCGACGAAACTTCCAGACGATGCATTGGAGAAGCGTCTGAAACAAGCACTCAACGCTTCCCAATGTTTCTCTAGTGTCATTCCGGACCCTCCTCTCAAACCCACGACTATCCCTGCGTGGCCGCCATTTAATCCCAAGGGAGGGAACGATTACTCCCTGCAGGCTGCGTTCACAAAAGGTAACTTCGACGAAGCATTCGCGAACGAGACCGCTCGCATCTTTGGCAGACAAAATGCGGTCGATCTCTATGTCAACCCCATGATTGACCTGCGGCAGACGCTGATGACCATAGGGAAGTTGTGCGACGAGGGATTCAAGTGTTGTGTTGTCCAAGATACGGATAGCCGGTCATGCGCCATCAATATTAGGGTGGGTTTTTTGCGCCGTCTTTCTGCGCTCGTATTTACCTAATGATGCATCAGTTTTTGTCCGTGCATCAGCTGGGCTCAAAAACCCCTATTATCGTCCTGCTCTATCAACCGTTCACCAGGAATAACGTAGCTCAGGGTCTTCAGTGGGTGCAAGCGCAGAGGAAAAAGCCTGGATTCAAGGGGCTGATGAATATCAAGGCAACAGAGCTGGAGCAGAAGATTCTCCTCAGATTGCTTACCATGAACGCCAAGCATCTGTCGCCAGGATTTAAACCCAGCAGAGAGGCAATGGAGCAGAGCTTCAAACTTTCTTTCGTGCTACCTGTCGGCCCGCTTGCGTTCGAAGACCTTGGTAAGCTCAACGCTGATACCGGGTGCGTCGTCTGCGGGGACAAAACGACAAGTCGGTGCACCCAGTGCTTGTCGGTCGCGTATTGCGGACGCGGTAAGCTTCCTTTGACAGATATTTCGATTCTCCATACTGATGAATACACACATGCGCAGAGTGCCAGCTTGCGCACTGGCCGGAACACAAGCAAACTTGCCGCTCGCTCAAGGGCGGCACCTGGCGCACGATCCGCTTCGCCAACTGTGTGCCCGGCTGCGAGGGCATGTACGCCTACACCTTCAACCGGTTCAACTTCCGCGACGATGGCAAACTGGGCAATGTGCGTAAGATCGACGCCGAGACCCCGCCGCCCAACATCCACGACACGAAGACGTTTCTCGTGAAGCTGCAGGTTGGACCCCAGGGCCACTATATGATCTACGACCGGCAGCGCTCGTTTGAGGTTTATTTCATAAACTCGAGCGATCCTGGTACCTTCTCGGAATTTAGGAATGAGATGCTCGGTCCAAGGGGTACACCGCGAGCTGTGAAGATGTATCGGTGGGCGAAGCGTGTGAGTGAGTGGGAACTCAGCGTGTGCATCGACAGGTTGCCGCAGACGGATATCAGGTGGTAAACGATCTGCTGCAGGTGTGCCCTTCCATGGATGCGTTGAATCTGATTCTCGAATAACTATTAAACTCCCCCTTGCAGGATTGTAAATGACAGCAGCTTTCTCTGAATCCGATCCATTCGTGGGGACCTATCCCGGTTTTAATCCGGTTCGAACCACTTGATATCGATCTGGCCATACTACGACGATTCGGCGAAGTTCAGTGTAGGTAGGTAGGTACAATTTATGGTGTGACAGGTTTTTTTGTCAATCCCGTCTGCCTTGTATCGAGTAAGCCTGCCTTCCATACTGCAGCCGACCGAAGGCTTTCATCAGATAGTCGAAGTACGGTGCCTGTGTTTTCTGTACTCACTGTGTAGGATAGGCGTGGGAATTTTCAGCACCTTCCAAATTGAGCGTGACTGTACTTCTGGCAAAACCTCCCGCTGTATGTTGTATGTTTCCCGGAGAGATTCATAACATATAGAAGCTACGCATTTACTTCCATCTAGCTCCAACGGAGAGGTCTTTTCTGTCGCAGTAGTTGGTGACCTGTGCGTCATGTCGAAAAGGCTAGGACACGTCCTGCCCGTCCACCGGCTTCGTGCATCACAATGTCGGCGAGCACCATCACGTACGCGTACTTTCGGTGCATCCACACCCATTTCTAAACATCTGCGTGCAGTCATTTGCCAGAAAGTTCAAGCGCGTGCGTTCTCAGATGTCCAGCAGCACAGCTCAAATACGCCTGCATCAGGCAGCCATGGGTTTGTGCAACCGCGGGGCGCTGCATCACCCGGGACGGCCAGTGCGTCGATAGAAGAGCTCGAGGAGCACCTTAACGAACTGTTTCCGCCCCTCAAGTTCCCCCCAGACCTTGCGGCGCGGATACTAACGCACTCGAGTCACCCTGAAGCGGTCCAGAGACATAACGCGCGGTTGAGCTTCATAGGTCCGTTTTTGTCATCCGTTCCCGAGTCTATGGCAAACTCAACGATTGTGCTATGCAACAGGCAGACGAGTGCTGCAGTCGTACCTTCTTCTCTTCCTGCATGGCTCGCCCGCGCTGCAGCCCGTACATGAGTACGAACTGATTGCCGCGCGCGCGATCAATACGTACATGCTCGGAGAATTCGTCGCACCGCACTGGGAGCTCGGCCGGGTGCTGAGGTGGACGCCTGTGCACACCGGGCCACTCTCTATGGCGGCAGTGCAGCGCGAGAACGTGCGGGACGTGCTGGGCCGCCTCGGCTCGGAGGCATCGCGAAGCGTTGGGATGTACAAGGTGCACGGGACGGCGGTGGAGGCGGTCGTGGGGGGTGTATTTCATCAGTTCGTACGTGTCCGCTTTCTCTCTGTTGGGTCACTCTCGAAGCGGGAATTGACTTGGGATGCGGTGTGTTTGTTTCGCAGGGCGGCTCAGTCGCCCATAGGCTGTTCCATACGCGGATGCTCCCCCACCTCCTCCTGCCAGGGCGATCCGAAGGCCTTCACGACGTATTCCACGAGCATGCGCTGCAGGTGTGCCAGCAGATGGGCGGACCGAATGGGGCGCTGGTCGTGCCAAGCTAGGATATTGTCTCAGGGCGTACATAGTTGTTTAATGTCAGTGCTTCTCTTTCGTTACCTCTGGCGCTACATATTTACTTGCGTTTGCTAGCGAAAGTGGTTGCATTGCGTTTTGAATGCATCATCACAACCTCCCGTCTATAGTGAATGACTAAACTTCTCGAGAACCGGCCATGATAAATTATTACTGGTGAGCCGGACAAGAGTATGAGGTCATTTCGCAAGGATCGGAATGCCGTGCGCCTCGCAATTATTTTCTTATCGCAACGAGTGACAGGGCCTACATCACACCCCTTGAGGGATCTGCACTCGTGCACCATATTGTACAGGTAAGTGGAGTACAACATCATGCCGCTCTGCCTGCGAAGGTCTTGTGACCGGTGGACATCAACGGATATTTGCGTCGATTAGCATGATCTGCCCATCTTAGAACCTTGCCGTCCTGCATCGGCCTAGTGCGCACAATGTTCGAGGTGCGTCGTCCATTGGGTCTACCTTTGAACGCTGAATTCAAGGATATCACCGATGGTGCTGCGGGTGGATTTTCTCGGTCATCTCGGCCATCTCATTTGCTATGCGGGAATCGCCACTCGTAGGTGCAATTGCAATAGGACGGATCGGATTGAACTTGCGCGTGTAATCGCGCATTGAGACAAATTATCGTCGGCCCAAGCAAATTTGCGTCGACTAGCCCAAATGCGCACAGGCTGTCCTGGGAGTGGAAGATTCCACCTGGTTGCTGCCACAGCAACCAAGACATCTCTGCAGCTGCCAGGACCACAGTGCACTTGATGAGGCACGCTTTGGAAATTCGGGAGCAGGTAGTGGGCTTAACGGGGCCTTCATTTTCTCAGACTCGTATCTCTGCGTGCTCACAGAAGTCTAAGTTTGCATGCGTGCGGCAGTTCAAGGTGAGACTCCGCACCTTTCTCCAGCGAGACTACAGTTACTGTGCCCGAGAGTCGTGACTTATCTGATTCCCTGTTGCGTGTTCTCACCGTCTACTGCGGCGAAAGAACCTTCGGTTTACTATTAGCTTCACCCCACGCATCACTACCCCGTTAAGTGAACCTATCGGGCTTGTCACAGTCACACTTGAGCATATGAGCGCTGAAATCCCATAGAATTTAAACTGTCACAAAGGCTAAAGTGTGAATCGTGAACTAAAATAAATTGGTCTGTCACACGTCACACGGCGTGAACCTAAGGTCATTTCTCCACAGTATTTATCGGTCATAGAAGAGACAGTATCGTTACGGTACGGAAAGATACACCTACTATCAACCTCAGTGAAAAAATTGCATGAGTCGTGGAACGTAGAATAACGCTGGGTGGCGGAAAGAGGATTGCTGTATGAGGCGTGGGAAGACAGCCAGACGCTTGAATGGGAGATTCGCAGCCCTCACCGTGACACTCACATGCGATGAATCGGACACTGTTCTGTCACCTTCAACCGTAGCCACCACCTGCTTTTCCTCGCTCTGCGCCGCTCTGAACACCTCTGCCACCACCCAGCGCAATGCCGCAGTCTTCGACCGCCAGCGCTCGGGCACAGGAGCAGGAGTTCAAGCGCGCAAGAGGTGCCATATCTTGCGCAGAATGTCGCAGGCTCAAGCTCAAGTGCGACAAGACCGTTCCGTGCTCGTCGTGCAAGCGCAGAGGCTGCTCCTCGATATGCCCGAATGGAAGTCTTACCACCGGTCAGGGTACAAGGTGCGGAGGCTTTCTTTCTTACCAGCGTGAAGAGTTCTGTGGTGCGATCGGCTTGTCTACAACGCACGATATTAGGACCATGAGGCTAGGCAGAATACCTAGGATTCGCTGCTGGCCGACAACTTATGGTTGTTATGCAAATACTTAAACATCCGTGTTCAGGAGGCATGTCAGGCCAGGTTCAGACTGCGCTCCACCCATAGGAATACGTTTCCCTACTTGCGGCTTACGTTATGTGCATATTCACATGTGCAGTGGATTCAAAGAGCCAGATCATGCACCCGGACTCTAGAAGCTCTGCGTATAGACTTCACATGTTGATTCTCTACTTTGCTATGCACGTCATAATTAGGCGCTTCTGAGGCGCCTGAGAAACACATGTATTGCTCACCATAACTTATCCTCGCAGATTTATCCTCGCCGACACCGACCGACTGCATCGCAAAATCGCAGAGATGAGTGACCGTATCCGCCAGCTCGAGGATGCGCTCACGATCCTGCAGTCGAGCGTCACACGCGAGACCCACCCACTGCTGACTGGTGACCTCCTCCTGATCAAGTCTGGTCTAGAGCTGCACTCTGCCATTAGCCCTCCTCAACCCGAATCGGAGGATGGAGGCCAAGCAGACGAGGAGGTGCAGTATATCGACGCGTTTGGCACGCTGGCTGTCCGAGACGACGGTGCCGCTACATTCTACGGACGCTCCGCGGGCTCCGAGGTACGTGATGGAGTCCCATTCGTTCGTTCTCTGTGTCTCACATGTCTCGCAGAGTTTGCTTCTGGTAAGCGCAGTTCCTATTTTGTTGTTCATCGCTCATCTGGTGCTACAGGAAGAGAACCCGAAGCCTACGCTGCAGCGCAAGAAGGGCAGGGTAGTGCTGCACGACGACATCACGCGCCTAACAAAGTCATTTCCGGCATCCCCCTCTAATTTGCAGGTCGACGACGCCGAGGACATGATCGTGCGCTACCTGCCTCCGTGGACGCGAGCGGCACAGCTGTGCGACCTATATCTCGAGCAGGCGCCCTGGTTCTTCGGTGCAGTCACGCGGCGGCAGCTCGTCGAGGAAGTACTACCGCTCTTCTATCCTGAGGCGGAGGCCTACCGCGATGCCGAGGCCGGGCGCACGAACACAGGGCCCGCACTCAGTAGTTCAGCGTCCGCGTTCGATCTACCTGCGGTAGCGCCAAAGCCTGCACAGTGGTCCGCGCACGACCTCGCGCTGCTTTTCGTGGTCTTCTGCTTCGGCGCGCTCACGGACGAGACACTTCCTCCCGTGCCAAACAATCCGGAGGCGGACGGGTACTTCCAGCTGGCGCGCGCCGCGATGAACATCGAGCCCGTGCTCGAGCGCCCGCCGAGCGTCGTCACGGTGCAGACGCTGAGCCTGATGGGGATATACATGGTGCGTCTGGTTACTGGCTGGCTCCTTGCACGTACTAAGCGGTGGGGCAGGGTCTGGTCCCTGACGAGAATAGCATCGAGGGCACGTGGTCGCTCATGGGCTTGAGTTCGAAGCTGGCGCAGAGCGTGCGTATGTGCTCCATTTTTCTCCGATGTGATCCTGATACTCGTTCTGTCATAGATTGGTCTCCGTGAGTTAGCCGTTGGTCCAAAATGCTGTCGTTTCCACTCATGCACCCTGTTCCAGATCGCGACTGTGCACGATGGAAGCTCTCTCCAGCAGAAGTTCAGAAACGGCGCTCGCTGTTTTGGGAGCTGTTTATTACGGACTGCTGGCAGGTGCATCTTGAGCGTTGTCGGTTTCGTTTTGTGGCTGCTAATTGTTATGCACCAGGCTCTGGCAACAGGCCGGCTGCCCACATTTTCACTGCCATTCGTCGATACGGAGCTAGCCGGGGACCCAGATGAGACCATCTCAGATGACGGTACCGCAGTTCCTAGCTGTAGGTTTCCCTTCTTGCTATGCAAGCTATACTGACTGACGTTCTGTCAGTTCCTGCGTGGAAGGCGCGGTTTGGGAAAGAATGCGTTGCAGAAGTCGTGCAGGGCACACTCACATCTCGTGCTCCGAAGTACACTGTCATTCTAGAGCTTGACCGCAAGATCCGCGATATGCAAATGCCGCGATATGCCATCGGACCTGCGCCCGTTGGCAGTGGGCTCCGCGAGACGATGCTGCACTTCATGCCCATCAATTACCGAGAACTCAGTCAGTGTTCATATTCATATCCTTCAACCATCATCTGATGCCCGTGTCTATCGTTTCTACAGCCTTGCTATACGTGCATCGCTGCTTCTTTGCTCAGGCGCTTACAGACAATCCGATAGACCCACTCAAGAGCCAGTACGCACCATCATTCCTTGCAGGATACCGTAGCGCATGTGCGCTTCTTTTGTCTCTCCGAGAAGCATTTGTCCTCTTTCCTGTGCAGATCGCTCGTTTCTGGGTTCTCTGGACACACGCGTTCTCCGCCGCTGTGAGTATCAGCAATGTGCATGTGACGCGTTGGTCCTTATGCAATCACGTGTGACACGTATTATAGGTTATGCTTGCTTCTGTTGTCACTCACGGAGGGCTCACAAAGACCGCGCAGGCGGCGCTGGGCGAGCTGAGGCTAGCGTATGACCTATTCGAAAAAGCTGCGCTGCACGGCGGACGCTCTGTACAGTTCCTGGTGTGTCATCTGTTTGCGTTGACGCTCAGGCTGACCAACCCTTGGCTGCCATGAATTTGGTTAGCCGATCGTACGACGCCTGCACGAGAAGGCGTACTCAACGTACACGCAGGGCATACAGCCGGTGCGCAAGGATATATTTACGCCGCGCGCCCAGAAGGAGGAATCTCAGGACGAACTGTCCATCTTCAGCGGGCGCACCCCACGCACTGTCGCGACTAAAACGGGCAAGCAGCGACCTAACCCCGCGCGCTCCGTCTCGCGCCGCCGCACCGCTGTGACGGGCGCGTCGAACCCGCCGCAGGCGCCGTCCGATACGAGCTCAGGCTCCACTGCAATCTCGCCGTCCGTCTCGGGTTCCGGCTCTGGCTCCGCGTCGGGCTCGAGCCGCGACTCGACGTCACCGCAGAACGCGACACGCGACACGTTCCCCGCGCTCGACTCGTACGGCGCGTCCGTGCACCCGCTGCTCGCGGACCAGATGCGCTCGTTCAGCGGCGAGCTCGACAGCCAGATCAACGCGTATTATGCCGCGCACGCGCACGAGTACGCGGCGTCCCAGGAGGAGCAACCATACCTCGCCCCGGTAGCCCCCGCACAGGAGGAAGAGTGGTACGCTGCCGCGGACCGCGAGGCGATGCCCCCTCCCCCCAATCCACCGCCGTCGAGCTCGCACTCGCAGTACCAGGTGCATGCGATGCCTCCACCTCCGGCCCCGGCCCCGCCTTCGGCAGCGCAGATGGCCCCCGCTCAGCCCGTGTATGCGCATTCGGAGATGCACGCCCCAGAAGGGCAGTACCACGAGTACGGTGCGCCCTCTGTGCCCGACCTGCACGCGTACGCGTTCCAGCAGGAGCACGGGCAGGGCTGGGGCCACGAGAGCGAGTTGGTGTACTCGGAGACACCTATGGAGGGGTACCACCAGCAGGCCCAGCCAGCGGACTACCATCCGCAGGAGTACCCGGAGGAATACCCGGCCCAGCAGGGGTATCAGGAGATGTACGAGAAGCTGCCGCCGGCGGAGTATCACCAGACCCAGCTCCAACTCGAGCCCCAGCCCCAACCCCGGCCCCAGCATCACCAGCAGTACTACGCCAACGCGCACACGAACGGACAGGATTTCGGCCAGGTGTACGGGCAGCACCAAGGCCACCAACAGAGTTACCAGACGCACCAGACGTACGACACTCACAGCCGCAGTCGTTCGCACAGTCGCCGCCCCAGTGCACAGCAGTATCCGACCCGGATTCATGTGCCGCAGGTGGGGCTGGTGGAGGTGCAGCCAGGTTATAACCTGACGGAAACGTGGACGTCGTTCGTGCAGCAGGAAGTGCCCGCCGCGCTCGCGCCGTCGTATGCGCGTCGCCAGTGACCGCGCTACCTGGTGGTATCGTGTTGTCGTCTCGAATATTGTGCGTGGTGTCTAGTATATGATGTGTATATGCATCTCGCTCGGGTGCTTTCTTGCTCTCTCGCTGCTATTTTGTTTTGTCTGCTCTTGCTTTTTTTGAACGCGTAGATTTCGGATTGCGCTTTACCATATGATTTTTTTTGACCTCAGTGTTTTGTGGATCTGCTATCCATGTCGCCTGCTTTGTTCGCATTTCTGCTCACTTGTCTGGATCTGTCTCACCATGTCGCCCGCCCGGGGGCTCGCTCTATCTACGATACGTCTCAATTTACTTGTGATTTCTTGAGAACGGCCGCGACGTGTTTGCATTGGCGCTGGGCACGATTTTCATTTTATCATTCCACCGTCACATCGGGATCCCCTGCATGCCATTATTTCTCCCCAATTTATAATGTCGTGACGTTAAATGTCGAATCCATGCAGTGACACTGTCTTGACGTAGGAAACCGCTGTACAATGCTTATTAGCAGCTAATGCTCATAGATTAAATATCAACGACTGAATGCTTATTGTGTGATACAGGTGCAACGTCACAAATGTCTCTGCGAAAATCGAAAATCGCACGAATCTTCATAGAATACATAGGGCTACATGCACAACGGCATAAGGATACACAACATGATGCAAGTCCATTTCAATCGAAACAAATGCTCACAATTCAATCTCTAGGGCGTATATGTTCAATATGTCCTCCCACTTCTCAACCCAATCCCTTGGGAAAACGCTTTTCACCTCCTCACCCTGCAGTATGACCAACACGTAGCGGATACGCGGCGACGGGATAGATGTAGTTCCATTCGGTAGATCCAGGTATTTGTCTAAGAACCTCAACCCCTTCTCGCTGACGCTGTGTTCCTTCGCCAACGTAACCTGGTACACTGTGACGTAGTTTTGACCCTTCTCCTGCGTGAACGTAAGCGCGTCGAACGTCGCGTTATTCTTTTCCATGGGTTGATAGTAGTGGTTAAGTTTGAAGTCCGTAGTCGGATCATTCATCGAAAAGAAATGGTGTTGGAGGTCAGGGATCTGCACTTCGACGTCGGGGAACTGCACAGCGGTCGTGTCGGGGTACGAGTAGTGAACGTTTACTTTCTTGACCAAGCCTTGCATCGGGTGCAACGTCCGTGTCCCAGCCTGCAGCAAAATAGGGTGCACATGAGTGTCGACGATCCATCCCGCAATGGACCTTGAGGAAGGTTGACCGGCGAACAATGCGGCAAATTCTGCAATCCGCTGAGGTTCACCTCTCAGATGCATCTCCCACACCATCTTCATAATCTCGTCAGTGACCACAGAGACGATGTATTCCCTTCTGTTGTCGCTGGACGGCTCTACGAGGAAGATGTCGTGGGAGCCTTTCTCCATATTCAGCTTGTTCGCATCTAGGACATCCTGTAGGAGGCGCTCATAATTCAAGTGTTCGAGTGTGCCCGCAACATCTGTCTGGTACGCCGAGATGAGACTGGGGTCAGCATATTGGAAAGCATAACGGATCGATGGGCCATATGTCTGATAAAATTGGTACAAGTCTTGTTCGGTTCCTACGTATTCCTTCTGGTGTGGACGGCTAGTAATGTCGTGAATTTCACAGTTGACATTTACAGCAAATGGCCGACGACACTCACATCATGACGATTTCCGCAAAACTCGGAGGTTTCATATAAAAAAAGTCCACGAAGCCTTTGTACTTTGGCCACCCACTCCACCGCTCGCGATGGGGAGAAGCGGCTTCAATGAGGAACCATCCTGAGTGTTTACCTCCTATGAGCTCGCCGGGTTCCTTCACTGTGCGATTTGAGTCGAACAACGACCAAATATCATCCGATTCCCAGTCCACGGAATGCGGCCTTTGACTGGCTGGGATACTGTAGACGCCGGATTTATGGAAGTAAAGGACGGAATGCGCACTCTCCTGGTAGAAGGTGGATAAACCACGCTGGAGCCGATACGTCAGGACATAAAATAGGAATATTGTCTTGCCTGTCAGCGATGCTGTGAGTTCGACTTCGACTAGGGTTTGCAAAAAAAAGACACGTACCTATGCCGGGATGACCGATTACAACCATATTACCACGGCGTTTCTTCATAGAAACCAGCGTGGTAGCATCTAACGCCACGACATACTCATTGCGTACCACCATATACTCCAAATCCTCGGATATGAAAGGGTGAGCCTTGATCACTCGGCAGGTTGCAGGAATTGGTTCGTCCAAGTTAGCAAACAAGGTACCATCTCGTACGACATCAGCCTCAAAAGGGGTAAACGTTTCTTGACCCCACGCCATACTCCAGAACTCCCCTGCTAAGATATCGTCGTTAGGAAACTCTGAAAGAGGACGCTTCTGGAGCCTAGACCTGAAAGCAGTATTGAGTCGCAGTGACGTTAGAATTGACTGTGGAGGCTTACCCAACCATGGTCAGTCCACTTCGTATACTGAACCTTTGAAGGATAAGTAGTCGGGCGGCGTCGAGCGGGATGAGCTGATACTGATAAGTTAGATGTAGGTTCGATGCAAAACGCTTCTGATAGGGGTCTGCAGGTTGGCGCGGCTGGTTGTTGCCGGTTTGAAGCAGGCGGACACGGACGGTTCTTGGTATAAGACTACGTGGAATCCCGCTATCGAATAACTATTGGACTCACCTTTGCGGTCGGATGCCAGTGGTAAATGACGGCAGTTTTCTCCGAATCCGATCCATTCGTGGGGACATATCATGGTTTTAATCCTATTCAAACCACTTGATATCATCAGGCTATGTAACATGTTATGATGAAGGTTCGGCGAAGTTCAACGGTGTATGTACGCAGGTAGGTACCAGTCATCGTCGGACGGATTTTTTGACAATCCCACCTACCTTGTACTATCGAGTGAGCCCGCATTTCAAGTTCGTACAGAAGGGCTGTTGTCGCATTGTATTTTTTGTACGCACCGTGCAGGAAATGCGTGACAATTTTCAGCACCTTCCAAAATTTCAAATTGGGCGCAACTGGACCTCTGGCAACACCTCCTGCTGCATGTTGTATGTTTCCTGGAGACCCATAACATAGAGAAGGCAGCCATGGGTTTGTGCAACCGCGGGGCGCAGCATCACGCGGGACGGCCAGTGCCGGCGGCGTCGATAGCTCGAGGCTACGGATATCCTGAGTCACGAAGGTTGAAGCAGAGTATCTACAACTACCTTTGGGAGACTACATTAACGGACTGTTTCCGCCGCTTTTCCCTCTTTCCTGTACAGATCGCTCGTTTCTGGGTTCTCCGGACCCACGCATTCTCAGCCGCTGTGAGTATCTGCAATGTGCATGTGACGTGTCAGTCCTGATGCAATGGCGTATCATACGAATTACAGGTTGCGCTTGCTTCTGTCATCACCCACGGAGGGCTCACGAAGACCGTGCAGGTGGCGCTGGGCGAGCTCAAGGCTAGCGTACGACCTATTCGAAAAAGCTGCGCTGCACGGCGGACGCTTGCAGTTCCTGGTGCGTCATCTGTTTGTGCTGCTGCTCGATCGTGCGATGCCTAGACGAGTATCAAGAGATGTATGTGAAGCAGCCACCAGCAGAGTGCCACCAGCCCCAGCATTCGCATCAGTAGCAGCAACAAGAGTACTACGGTGGTGCGGACACGAACGGACAGGGCTTTGGCCAAGTGTACCAGCAACACCAAGGCCACCAACAGAGCTACTAGAGGCACCAGACGTACGATGCTCACAGCCGCAGCCATTCGCACAGTCGCCACCCGAGCGCATGGCCCAGACTCAGGGACTGCAGTTGGGGCTGGTCACGGAGGTGCACCGAGTTGTGACCTGACAGAAACGTGGACGTCGCTCGTCCAGCAGGGGGTGCCCGCCGCGCCTGCGCCCACGTATGCGCGTCGCCAGTGAGCGTACCATGCTGCTGGTGGTATCGTGTCTGTCGTCTCGGGATCTGCTATCCGTGGTCGCCTATTTTGTTCGCGTTCCTGGTTCTGTCTCCCCGTGTCGCCAGCCCGGTGGCTCGCTCTATCTACGATACGTCTCAATTTAGTTGTGGTTTATTGAGAACAAGGCCGCGACGAGTTTGTATTGGCGCTGGCGGCTGCTTACAGTTTTTGTCGCGGCCATTTTATCGTTCCAACCGTCACCCCAGCATGCTACTATTTCTCCCCAATTTGTAACCTCCTAACATTCAATGTTGTCTTGCTGTAGGGAACCACTGTGCAATGGTTATTTGCAGTTATTCCTCATGAATTAAATATCAACGTATGCTTATTCTGTGTACATACAGGTGCAACGTCACAAATGTCTCTGCGAAATTCGAAAATCGCACGAATTTTCATAGAATACATACAGCTACATGCACAATGGCTTGAGGATACACACAACATGACGCAAGTCCATTCCAATCAGAACAAATGCTTACAATTCAATCTCTAGGGCGTATACGTCCAATATGCCCTCCCACTTCTCAACCCAATACCTTGGGAAAGCGCTTGTCACCTCCTCACCCTGTAGCATGACCAACACGTAGCGGATACGCGGCTTCGGGATAGATGTAGTTCCATTCGGTAGATCCAGGTATTTGTCTAAGAACCTCAATCCCTCCTCGCTGACGCCGTGTTCCTTCGCCAGCATAACCTGGTACACTGTGACGTAGTTTTGGCCATTCTCCTGCGTGAACGTAAGCGCGTCGAACGTCGCGTTATTCTTTTCCTTGGACTGATAGTAATGGTTGAGTTTGAAGTCCGTAGTCGGATCGTTCATCGAGAAGAAAAGGTGACGGAGGTCAGGGATCTGCACTTCGATGTTGGGGGACTGCACGGCAGTCGCGTCGGGGTACGCGTAGTGAACGTTTGCGCACTCGACTAAGCCTTGCAGGTGGAATAGCCAAGTCAAGCCCTGCATCGGGTGGAATAGCCATGTCAAGCCTTGCATCGGGTGGAACAGCCGTGTCCCAGCCTGCAGCAAAATAGGGTGCACATGCGTGTCGATGATCCATCCTATAGTGGACCTTGAGGAAGGTTGACCAGCGAACAATGCGGCAAATCCTGCAATCCGCTGAGGTTCACCTCTCAGATGCATCTCCCACACCATCTTCATAATCTCGTCAGTGACCACAGAGACGACGTATTTCCTTCTGTTGTCGCTGGACGGCTCTACGATGAAGATGTCGTGGGAGCCTTCCTCCATATTCAGCCTTTTAGCATCTTGGACATCCTGTAGGAGGCGCTCATAATTCAAGTGTTCGAGTGTGCTCTCAACAGCTGTCTGGTACCTCGAGATGAGACTGGGGGAAGCGTATTGGAAAGCATAACGGATCGATGGGCCATACGTCTGATAGAATTGGTACAAGTCTTGTTCGGTTCCTACGTATTCCTTCTGGTGTGGACGGCTAGTAATGTCGTGAATTTCATAGTTGACATTTACACCAAATGGCCGACAACACTCACATCATGACGATTTCCGCAAAACTCGGAGGTTTCATATAAAAAAAGTCCACGAAGCCTTTGTACTTTGGCCACCCACTCCACCGCTCGCGATGGGGAGAAGCGGCTTCAATGAGGAACCATCCTGAGTGTTTACCTCCTATGAGCTCGCCGGGTCCCTTCACCGTGCGATTTGAGTCGACCAACGACCAAATATCATCCGATTCCCAGTCCACGGAGTACGGCTCTTGATCGGCTGGGATTCTGTAGACGCCGGATTTATGGAAGTAAAGGACGGAATGCGCATTCTTCTGGTAGAAGGTGGATAGACCACGCCGGAGCCGATACGTCAGGACATAAAATAGGAATATTGTCTTGCCTGTCGGTGATACTGTGAGTTCGACTTCGACTAGGGTTTGCGAAAGAAAGACAAACGCACCTATGCCAGGATGACCGACCGTAATTATACTACCGTTGGGTACTTCCCTGGAAAGCACCGTGAAAGCATCTAAGGCCTCAACATACTCATCGCGTAACACCACATGCTCCAAATGCTTAGATATGAAAGGGTGAGCCTTGATCAGTCGGCAGGTTGCAGGAATTGGTTCGTCCAAGTTAGCAAACAAGGTACCATCTCGTACGACATCAACGTCAAAGGGGGCAAACGTTTCTTGACCCCACGCCATACTCCAGAACTCCCCTGCTAAGATATCGTCGTTAGGAAACTCTGAAAGAGGACGCTTCTGGAGCCTAGACCTGAAAGCAGTATTGAGTCGCAGTGATGTTAGAACTGGCTGTGGAGGCTTACCCAACCATGGTCAGTCCACTTCGTATACTGTGATTGAAGCTTTGAGGATAAGTAGTCGGGCGGCGACGAGCGGGATGAGTTGCTTCCATGGGATTATTATGAGAAGTTTCTCTCCCCTGAAATTCCGCTGCAGTAACCCCTGTACGTCTGCACGGAGAATGAATGAAATCTGACCCTCCTAAATGCATTGAGTGGTCCGCAGGGGTCATTCCGAGAATGATCGTTGCCAATTGGTCGATGTCATCTGCATAGGCGAAATTGGAGCGGACAGTACTGCATGGTTCCAGGAGGATGGAACACCATCAACAATGAGCCGCCCGATGGTAAAACTAGTCTCCCAAAGGCAGTTGTAGATACTCTGCTTCAACCTTCGTGACTCAGTAGTCTCGTAACCAGCCGTTCTGAGATTCGACCCTTTTTAGGATTTGTGTGGAGGGTCGTGTCAGAACGTCTGGTGACTTTCGTATAGGCCGGGGGGGTATGTCACATGGGCGTGACCTCAGCCAAAACTCGAAACATCCGAACTCGAACGCGGCGCATTCACGGGTTACCGATGCCTAGAATAGGGTTCGGGGTGCATATGGTTGCATACATGAACAATATTTATCAGCAGGAGGCAGGATGGATGTGCAGGTACACGCGGGATGACCAGCGTGACACGCGCTGCGCGGGAGCTACAGCCAGGAGAGCGTTACATACCCCCCCCCCCCCCTCTATACGACTTTCACCAGACGTTCTGCTGTGCGCCTCTCTTCTGTCCGTTTTCGGTAAGTCGCACGTGAACGTCTGGTCACGAGACTAGTGACTCAGGATATCCGTATCTGACGTCTGCTTTCCTTAATGGGGGTCTTTCTAAGAGGTCGGACACTGCCGATCGGCATATCACGTGCAATGGCAAACGCGAAAATGCGTCCGTCCTACAGACGCGTCGCACTGCGTCTCACTGAGAGGAAAACATACTAAGATGAGGTATGCATGTGCCATACATTCTGGTTTGCCTCGGGAAAAAATTTCAAGCTATATTCATTAGGAATAATGTGATAATAGTCCATAGAAATAAGAATCAATCAGTGGGGTATCCTCATGCACTACTGCCAGGGTGAAGCCATATGATTGACAGGGCACATGCCAAGGAGGATGAACCTTATAATATTGCGTAGGTTGCATTGTTACAGCAGTAAAACGAGAAAAACTGAGGTGTCGAAGCTACTCATATCATCCGCTGACCTCCGACTCCTCGGCAGCAGCATTCAAGTTATACTCACCAAACTTCGGGACATGGTCAGATTATGCTGCTGCAGGGTTTGTTTCCTGCAGTACTAAAATGAATGCATGAGTCGATGAGCCAGGGGGCCGCTGAGCGCTGAGCGGGCCCGCTGGCAGAGGCCACAAGCGCCCGTCGGCAATGGAACGGGCTGTAACCGCAGGCTTATCGATTTGAACTACCGGTGTATCGAATCCATAGTAAATTTCGGGCTCCGTCTAAATTGTCCGACCTCTCGTTTAACCCCCCGCGTCAGAAAGCAGTCTAGGTAAAACACAATTTGAACGAATTTACGATCATTTTCGAGTCTCGGTTCGCCACCTCTCAAACTGTACACGTTGATGTGGGATAACTAATCTATATTCAACGACAGGCCCTTGCTAATTGATCGAGGCTCCAGAGGGCTGGAGACGAACTTTGGAGAATCATCTCGCCGGCATTGCAGAACAGTTAAACTGTAGCTTCGTAGAATGCATGCGCAGACTGCATGTACGTTCCAGTATTCATAATATATTTTCCAATCGCAGGAACATGACACAGAAGAGATAACAGCCACTGGCACAGAAAATGTGTATGGCAAAAGAATGGACACTCGCCGGCACCTATCACGCCCAAGTATATGGCTCACCGAGGCGGTGACAAGTTTCCTGGGCCCATCATAATACTCTGAGACAACGCAAGGCATACGGCAGACGTACCACCCCGGAGGCATGGAATTGCACTAACGAACGATTTTCAGTGTCGCCTTCGTGGCACGATCGAGGAACCGAGGACTCAATGGGTTGACTTCGCGACGCACCCTCAAATCATATATCCGGCACCCTGCACTGCATGTCAATACGATCTCTGGGCCAGTCAGGACATCCCGAAGCTGATAGAGCTCGTTGTGAGCTCGTACTAGGGCCCCAGCCGGGCGAACAACCTACTTTTCTTTGACCCAGCCCTGCGCGTAAGAGGAGTCCAGCATCGCCAAATTCAAGGAAAATGGCACAGTCATCGAGATATCGAAGTCCAGAATCTGAGGGAGGAAGTCAGTTCGCGGCGGTGGTCCTCGATTATAGCCCGACTGGAAGTACCTCGTCTGAGAATCCTTGTGCCCTGCGCAGCGCTTACTGCAGCTTCGACTTGGGAAATAATTTCGGAACACTGCTTTGAGTTGTATCTGACAACTCGGATGGTAGGCTCGTCGCCTTCCCGGGCTTCTGTGCACTGGGCTCTTCGGCGCCAGCAGAGTTTGGCCGATGGTCGCCAGTGGGTGCGTGGAGTGGCCACTGGCCCCAGCGCACGAGTGTTTCTATTCGACGCTATACGTGCGAGAGCGTCGGTTGAGATACAGGAAAGTACTGGCCATTGGGAGCAAAATATTGAAGACGCTATTAGGCCAGCGGTTGTCATTGGCGACCGTACGTGCGCGCACTCGTTCGAATTTCCGACGCGTAACTCGAACTTCGCGCTCGCTCGTCAAGCGCCCTTGTGGGCATTCGTCGGCCGGCTGGAGGTGCAGATGAAACGTTGCGCCCGCTGGAGGCCATCGCGTGTCACCGCAACATTAGTCGGGGATTTTGTGGGGAGGTCCGCGAGGCTGGAGGTCGGACGGTGAGATCTGAGACCAGGGCTGTGAAACGCCGATGCTAAGACGGGGAGAGACATCGCGGATGAGACATCGGATGCAGTGTATGTACATGAGCGGGAGTGTAATACGAAACGTACCCACAGTAGCCCCATCGCGGTATCCCCGACCCACATTCGGCGGTAGGCATCCAATCAGAGGGTCACTGGCTTTCGAGCGCCAGCTGAAACATGCATGACGTCACACCCGGCGGACCAATCAGGACGGGAGCGCGGGGCTGTGCCAGCTTCACGATTGGACGAGAGAGCAGCCGACGGCGTAAACGGACGACGCGCCCGACATCCTCCAATTTACCCCACGCGCCTTACGCGTCTCTCCCGCAGAATATAAACCAGAACCCCTAGCATGCCTGTCCCTTCAACCGGCCGGTTCTCTCCTCTGCACGCCAGCCATGTTCTCTCCCCTCCCTCTCCTGCTCGCTGCGTTCTCTTCTGCCGTCATCGTCGGCGCGGCACCCACTTTCCCGCCCGCGTCCGTCGTCAATGGTGTGTCCCCACCCTTCTCTCATTAGCCCGTCATACTCATCCCGCCCGGCCCAGACACGAACATCATGAACTACGCGCTCACCCTCGAGTACATCGAGCGCACCTTCTACGAACAGGGGCTCGAGCAATTCTGCGAGGACGACTTCGAGGCCGCGGGCTTCCCCCCCTGGGTGCGCGGCCGCTTCGTCCAGATCCGCGACCACGAGGAGACGCACGTCCAGTTCCTCACCTCCCAGCTCGACGCGCTCGGCGCGACCCCCGTCGAGCCCTGCAACTACTCCTAGTGCGTGCCCTTGGCGCGCCTGCGTGCCCGCGCTGACTGACGCGCGCACACAGCCCGTACACGGACGTGCAGTCCTGGGTCGCCCTCTCCATGACCCTCGAGTCCGTCGGCTCCGGCGCGTACATGGGCGCGGGCCGCTTCATCTCCGACAAGGACACGCTCGTCGCCTCGCAGGTGCGCTGCTCCCTTCCCTTCCGTCCCCCGCAGAGCGCCCGCAGCTGACCCCGCGCAGTCCATCGCGCAGATCGAGGCGCGCCAGGCCGGCTGGGTCGCGTCCGCCGCGAAGCACCTCCAGCCGTGGGACGGCGACTTCGAGACCCCGCTCTACTTCAGCGGCGCGTTCTCCCTCGCCGGTGCGTTCCCTCCCCCTCTCCGGTGCTGATGCTAAAACTGACTCGCGCGCGCGCGCGCAGTGGGCTTCATCGACGCGTGCCCCGCGTCCAACCCGCCCATCCCCGTGACGGTCTTCCCCCCGCTGAGCGTGTCCAACTCGACGCCCGCGCACGGCGACACCATCGCGCTCGCCTACAACGCGTCCGTCCCTGCAGGGAACACGACCTTCCTCGCGTGGTACTCCGGGCTCAGCACGACCTTCACCCCGATCGCGAACGGGACCACGACCGTGCCGGACGCGCTCCTCGGGACGGTGTACGCGGGCGTCGTCGCCAACCAGAGCGCGCAGACGGGCGACGCGACGATGCTCACCGGCTTGGCCGTGTTCAACTTCCCGTTCAACTCCAGCGCGAGGGGGAATGCGTAGCGTGCCTTCCCGAGCAGGGCGGAGAAGGAGAGAGAGATCTATGGACTTGAATAGCATGTTATACCTCCGTAATAGCGTCGTCGTTCGTATGCTTGTTCCGCTGCTCTACCGATCGTGGTAGGGTACGTAATATGTACGCGCGAGAAACGAACGCGGTGTGCGATAATGTACACGATCTATCCATATTCAGCGAACCGGGCGGGCCAACTCCAGTGCGATGACGTAACAAACTCGGAATGGCCCGCAGAGGACACGCTCTCATCCTGTGACCTTCCGTACGACACGGTCCATCCGGCGTCGCACCGCGCCTCTACAGCCGACACGCACGCCGCCGGTTTCGTGCACGCACTCGAAGGCGCGCGTACCTCGCCCGACTGGGCTTCCGAAGGGTCAGTGAGCCGGGTAGCTAGAAGAATAGCTGGGCCGGTGAACGACGCGTGCGGCACGCGTCCTCGAGGAGCGCAGGAACATATATAATAATCGGTCGTTTTCTCCCGAGCCCTGCGGGCCGAGGAAGGGGGTCGAGTTTCAGCGGAAGACCGCGGGTGGTTGCGCGGATTTCCGCTGAGCTTTCTTGCTTATTTTCGACTGGCGGTCGTGTCGTACGTCGAGGAACCACTCCCCCCTCCTCCGACATGGGTGGAGTGGTCTGCGGATAGGTCGGTCCCTATCGTCTGGCACGGATTCCCGAGCGTCTATCTTCGAGGCGTGGGTGAAACTCACTAATGAATCGCGCTCGGAGTGGGAATGGGTGTGGCGCTCCTGGCCGTCCGTGCAGGTTGTTCCCCCACGTAAGAGTGATCCCTTGGCGGCGAGGCAGCAGGCAACCGACGCGTCTAGGAGGAGGAAGGTGATGCAGAGTGTTCACTTTGACATGTCGGGGTGTGATACGTATACTCGGCGTTGCCAGCATCTCTCTCTTGGCGGTGTACATCCGTCGACCTTCGGCGGTTAGGAGAAAGTGGCGCCCCTGAAAGACTCCGTTCGCATTGAGAGTTTTTCCTCCAGTTTTAGCCCGGCGGGGAAAAATGCAGCGCGATCAGGTGTGTGCGTACAGCCGGAATGGTGTGGACGTTCGTGCGCCGCAACGTCGTCTCGGGAAGGCGCAGTCATATTCTGAAGGAAGGTGTTTTGCCGTCCTAACAAATATCTGCACGTCCGGAGCCCTTGCTAACGCCAACCACATCGGTCAAGTCGACCTTTCCACGATAGGTGGCGTGCTCACTGTCTCTACGGTCTGCGGTGCGGCGAGTTGCGCATGTGCAAGATCGAAGAAAACCCATCACGCGCTACGCCTGAAACCACAGCTCGACGTCCTCAGCGCGGAGCGCCTTGTACGCAAGCGATGGTGCCGCTCCCCGACGAATGTGACGTGTCTGCACCTTGAATATCGCCATCAGCGTTCCCTCCGATCGAGACCAGGGCGGGCCGCGACAACTAGCGCTGTCGTTTGCCGTCGTTGCGCAAAGCGGAGACGTCCGCCGACGACTTGACTCCATCGAGACGGTGATGAGGGAGTATTGTGACGTTATCCGTGGCGAAACTACGCATAGCCATAGGTAGTTGCTGCGCCGATAGGAGTCCGTGACACCGGCTCCAGTCGACAGTAAGGCATGAAATTGGAGAGAACGGAGGGCAGCTGCTTGAAATATGGTTTGCGCCGTCTCCGTGTGCGATGCTTCTCTTGACCCGGTTTCGAGATACCGAGTGGGCGGAAAGCAGGTGAACGTGGCGGGCTCGGTTTCCATCAGGTCTCTTCCGTCCGTCTGCTCAAAGCCTCCCGTGATGCCGCATGAGCAAGGCGCAAAGTGTTTCTTGCGGTAAATCTGTGTCTGGATAGCACACCGCTGTACCAGCACGGAGCCAATTATTGTGTAACATGCACTCGCCTCCCACGTAGCCAGCATCAGGCCGCTGCAAAGCTCACGATCTGGTGAAACCCTCTCGAGGATATACCGTCGCTGCGATTGGTCATTGTCAATCCAGTATCCGGAAAGGCCTCCAGCACTATGTTATCCTTCATCGCGCATGGTGTAAAACCTGTTTCCCGACGTTCAAACGAAAGACCTGTCCCGGCAAAAATCATGCTGAGCTGAACGTTTCCAAAAGCGTTGTACATCTCGTGCAGTACAGACCGTTGGCTGCCGCCTAATCGAATCGAGTTGGAAGCTTCCTGCCCTCTCTCGGATGTAGCCTACAGCTTGCTACTACCTGGTATATTGAATAAGAGCCTGTAAGGAAGTCAGCCAGGCCAATAAGAGATATGATGAAAAGGCTCGGCACTTGTTATACTGAACGGCGACTCTTCTAACTGGGCATCCTTTGCATAAAGTCCTCCCACACCATTCACGAACAACAAAGTGCTTGTCGCCGAAAAGGGGGAAGTGAAATTACAATGATCATTTGAATTGGAGCCGAGGATTGCAACTGCAGATGTGCTGTCCACCACCCGCTTCTGTTACAGACTCCACAAATGCCAGCGCGAGAAAGCGAAAGTCAGTTAACGGGAGATGGCCGAGGGGAGCAGAGCGCTCACTGGATGTTCCATGGTTCCCGCTATTAGGAGAGAATACTGGTGTTGGCTGCACAGTGACGAAATGTAGCCGGTGTTGGTCGTTACTCAGGACCTGCAATAGTAACGGAATCTCACCACGGAATCTCACCCAAGAGGCGAAACACGATGAAGTCATCTGCGCTGATGACGTCCTGCCTCAAGGAAGGCTGCAGGGACGATTGCTGTTGACTAGACTGCCTTACTTCAGGAGAGCAGTTTGAACGATATGCTTGATAATGGTCTCCAGGATATAACTAAGTTATATGCATCCGTTTGGTTGGCCCCAACTTCCTCCTCTCGCGAAACATCGTAATGCTGCGGTTCCACGACACATGCTATAATTGATGGATCATCGATAATATCGGAACCTGCAAGCAACACTCCAATCTCAGCATGCGCATCTGGAGAGGTTTCCATTCGGAATCGCCTACAGCGTGTTCTCGGAAGACATCTGCACTGCATAAAAGTCTTCGCTCCGTTTGGATACGCTCTAGCGCCACCAGCCTTCTTCGTAGGTTGTCCCGCCGGTGGTGATGTCGAGTAACAACGATAGGCCTTCGGCCGGAAAGTTGCAAGCACGTGACCGTGAAGCAATAAATAATGTCGGAAAAACCTTTCTTGCCTAATAAGGCAGTTGCGACGGGTTTTGCAATAGGAACGAAAATTTTAGGGCATTTTGAGTAATTTTGGCACCATTTTTGTCCCTTACAAGGCAGTTACAAGTCCCAAATAAGGAGTTGTCAGGCAAGGTCCGTTGCAAGGCACATTATTTTTTTCCGACATATTCAAGACCGCGGTTTACAAGTCTGCAAATGAGGCGGACCGTGACGTTTCTGCTTTCAATATATCTCCAGGTTGATCGATGATCTCCGAAACGCGTGGAGTAGATCTGGTGTAACGCGACGCGTGGGTCTCAGCTAGACGACACCCTTTCACGCAAATTTTAGTGTAGTAGTTACCATTCTATTATTCTCCGGAGCGTCAGAATGGCTTCTACAGCCGTGGCAACACCTTCAGCTCGATCTAATTCACCTCAAACCTGCTGACTTCACCTCAAATATGCGGACTGCGGAGACAATTCCGCGAATCCAGGCGAAATTTCAGGCCATAGTCCAGGCCACACTGCCAAGAAGGTGCCTGTCAGACGTTAGACAACACCGAAGCTTCTCCCCGTGGCCCTATAGGCTCAGGCACACTTTTTCTGACCAAGTCTCCAGCCATTGAAAAGTATCATCGGCTCGTCGGCAACACATCCGGCGCCACAAGGTGGCTGCGGAGGGTGCCGATTGTTTGGACCGCAACAATCCCGAGTGGGAAACCGCCTAACGGGACTAGAAGTCGCGTACTACGACTAACAGGGTGCGTTGTTGTATCACGTCCCCTCCCGCACTCAAAAGAAGAATTTTGTAGCCTGCGTTTGGGAAGCTTGTAAATACTTTTGAAACGAATAACAATGACCTCTATGGAATAGAGACATGCATAACCAGGATGCACGCTGCGTCACTGCCAGCCCGTCGGTGTCAGTTTTGGCACACTTATCAGCGTGGCTTCTGACACAAGTCTCATCAGTATCAGGGGCTTCCAGACTGCATAAGGCTAATGTTTCTGATCATACCCACCTCGCCCACAGTGTCTCCTAACCGTCACTACGATGACCTCCTCTCAGCAATTCACGCGCCAGACGGTCAAGGTCCCAAGTGCTGAGGCCGATGTTAACCTGGAGGTTTGGCTATACCTACCAGCGCAACACGGCGACGGTCCGTTTCCCGTGGTAGTCGCAGGCCATGGGTGCGTTTATCTCTCCTTCATTCGCGCCCCATCGCGCTCAGGAATTTAGTGCAGATTGTCTCTCGTCAAGGAGGCAGGATTTGCCGCATTTGGGGAGTCCTGGGCCTCTGCAGGCTGGGCCTCGCTCGTGCTTGATTGTCGCGGCTTCGGTGGGTCGGGAGGCCAGCGAAATTTCTGCTGTATCGCGCGGCAAGTAGAAGACTACCGCAGCGTGATTGCTTGGGCGAAGACAGGGGAGATGCAGTCTCTCTTCCAGAAAGACAGGATTGTCGTCATGGGCAGTGCGATGAGCGGGCTTTGCGTCGCAGAGTTGGCATTGAATGCACTGGAAGAAGGAATTGCGGGGGCTATGGCGCATTGCCCGATCCTTGATGGTATATATACCTGGTCGGCCTAGGCCGATTATGAAGTGCACCAAGTCGCTCACGTATGAGGTTTGATAGGATACGGGACCGCAATGGCTCTCCCGCCGAACTTCAAGTTGCTGTTCATGGTATTCTTAGACTACATTGGAGGGAAGCTAGGTTTCTCGCCACTCTATGTCAACGTCGTCGCGAAGCCAGGTGAGCCGGCGATCTGCAACACTCCCTCCTGCCTTCCAGGTACGCCATTGGTCTCGCGCGTAGATTCGAATATAATGATGTTGAACACGCGGTAGGATTCGTCTCGATGTACGAGCAGAGCGACACGCCCTTCTCCGAGAGAGCAAACATCGTACCGGGGCGCTTGATGGTTGAGATCATGTCGAGTCGCCTGGACTTGAGCGGGATCAAGTGCCCGATGCTGGTGGTCATGCCGGAGAATGATGACCTGATTGCTCCAAGCGTTAGCAGAGAGGCAATTGCAAAGGCTCGTGGAAGTGAGCACGCTTCTATGACGTGTCTCGTTGACGATCGTACTCACGTATCGGCTCTTGCAGAGATACAATCAGTTGTGGTTCCTGGAGGTCACTTCGACGTCATGAAGGGAGGAGTGGTGAGTCGAACACTGTCGATCAAATCGTTGGCTCACCGTTAAACCGTGTAGGGATTCGAAGGAAATATCAAGGCGCAACTTGAATTTTTACGGTCCTTGGTTTTATAAAGTCGAAAACATTGTACTAACGGCTTCAAGAGAATCAGAATGTACTCTTACTATGTCTCAGCGTTTGTTCGTCTCGTCAATGTCCCGTCCTCAGTACATGGTGGTGACTTGCCCACACCAAGAACTCTATACGCAAGTGTACTGCCCCTTATTCAATCGCATTTCACGTCACTCAAATGAACCTTTTGTACGTGGTTGCGCTCCAACTTATTTAACCTTATGGACATTTGTTTACTTCATTGTACTGGTCCTCGACGGTCAGGTCAGAGAGCGCGTCTACGTCAATTCGTCCTCACCGTATGCCTCACGACGAATATAACCCTCACCAATGGTCCAGGGCATAACGGGGCGCGGTCACCCGTGCTCATTTCATATCGGTAGGCCCCTTCAGTAAGAAAATTCAGACCATGGAAACGCTCTCGAAGCTCAGGGGCGGTATACCTTGTCGCATCTTCGTGGCCCGCTCGCCACCACAATGTCCGCGTGCCGGGACCTCGATATTCACTTCTTTGGCACATCCAAGTGTCAGGAGATACCATTTCGCTTGCGGCCTCGTACACGGTTTTGACGATGAGCCTCCCGACATGAACTTATTAATAGCTGTTACATGAACTGCTGCTATGTATGTACGACCATACGCGTTTCTGGTCTTCTTGCATCTTAGTCCGCATCCGATCTCCTCGTACCGTTCATGGCTCTCAAGGCTAGACCGATCGTGGTAACTAATCATCTCGCCGGATCTGTTACAGACATCCATACGAAGGCGGCGCGACGAGCTTGCGCCGGAGCTCAATTGGTCGCTTCCATCCCCCAGGGCACGATCATCTCGAGAATCAGGACATTGCGGCGGTTTCATGCTTCAGAATACAAGCACCATCTCGTGTTTTGATTTGCGCGCACATCACCTCGTGCCTCAGGACTTGGAACATGCAAAGTCGATCTCTTAAGAGAAACGAAGGTGGTGTGCGCCCTTCATAAGCCCGAGTTCCAATCCACCACCTGTATAACCTGTTGCCTGAGATCATGACTGCCCCATTTCCCCCTTTCGATTTCGGACGCTACGTATGGCGGGCCTCACCCGACGACGCCTCGCACTGGAAGCGCGAGGCGGGCGGCGGCGAGTATATTGACGATGTGTTCCACACCAAGAACCACGGAGAGCAATTCCTCTTCCTCGCACTGAAGGCCACGCTGTCTAAGCCCGTGCCCACCACGGAACTCGTCGCCCGTGCCCGCGACGCCTGGTCTGCGCTCCGCTTCAGCACGCCCACCGTTGCTGCGCACACCGAACACGACGCTGCAGGCACGTCCTTGATCACGTATCGCACGGCCAAGGACGCCACTGAAGTGCACGACTGGGCTGCGCGCACCGTCCGCCTCGTCGAGGGAACACCAGACCTTGATGACCTGCGTTTCGAGCTGGGAAAGCTGATGATCCCGGAGCAGAGCGGCGACCAGACGTTCCTGTACATCGTCGCCCGCTCCGACACGTCGTACGATTTCCTCCTGCGCACCTCGCATGTCACCTTCGACGGAGCTGGGATCAAGATCGTGTTGACCCTCGTCCTCACCAAGCTCGCACTCTACTTGAGCGATCCGGCCCTCGTTGCAAAGGAGAAGTTCGAATGGGGAGCAGAGGCGAAGAATCTCCTGCCGTGCATCTCGGAGATCCTGGGTCCGACCGAGAAAAGGGAGGGAGAGACCTATACGCGTTGCCTGAGCAATATGCTGGGCGATCTTGGTGGTGCTATGCCCGTATGTTCTCGCATCTCGCACCTCGCTCTCTTAACTCGGGGAATTGCAGCGCCAATATGGCTTCAAGGTGCGCAACATCGGCCCCGGGCCGACGCGCCGAATCTCGTACAAGTTCTCCGCGGAAGAGAGCAAGAAACTGCTGGACGCCGTGAGAGGGCGCGGATTCACGTTCAACCACGTCGGTAAGGCGCACACAGTATGATTTCGGATACGAGCCGGTTCGGCTGACTGTCGTTCTCCAGCCCACGCTGCGGTGACCCTGGTGTGCGCGCTCGATAACCCCCCGAGCGCGTCTACCCCGCCGGACGCGACGTTCGTGTACTACGGGCTGGTAGACGGCCGCGCGCGCCTCGCCGAGCCGTACTCTGGGAAACTTGGTTACCCGGGCTACGCCCTCGGCATGACCGCGATCCAGGTGCCCGTTTCCGCTGCTGTCCCTGCCGCGGGCGAAGGCGAGAGGGACGTGCTCCTGCGCCTCTCAGGGATCGTCAAGGACGAGTACGCGAAGCAGCGCGCGTACGAGTCGCTGATGGCGATCGTCTGCCAGGAGGTCGATATTATGCTGGGCGGGATGAAGGCGGGCGGACCGTGAGTGCGCGTTTCCTGCGGCGTGGTGGGGGTGGTAGCTCACTCGTTTTTGCTCATGTGTTGGGATGCAGTCCGCCCCCGCCGTGGATGGGCCCGTGGTATGCTGGCGATGGCGTCGGGGAGACCGGCCTGCAGCCGGAGTATGGCGATGCCAGAGGCGCGAACGTCATCACGGTGGACGACTTCTTCGTTTCTCTGAACAAGACCGATCCGGGGCCGTGCGTCTCTGTTCTTCGTCGTACGCGCGTGTTCTTGCAACTGACGTGAGCCTCTTCGGCGCAGGTTCTTCCGGTCGTTCTCGTGGCGCGGTAGGATCACGGTGAGCGCCGATGCGAACGTGAGTGCGATGCCGCAGGGTGATGTGGAGAAATGGGTGGAGAAGTGGGCGGAGCTGCTCCGGTTGGTGCTCTGAGAATTGGGTTTCTGCGGGATCAAATGTAAAATTTGGAGGAGCAGTCGGTCTGTGTGTACAACGTAGATGTTTTCCTGGAATGGTACTCGTGTCCCTCTTGAGGTGCCCTCCGGTTATGCTAGGGGCAAAAGGCGCCTTACAGGAGGCCGGTGTGCGGGGAACGCAGGTTCTTCGAAGGTGCTTTGCGTCCACTGAGATGTGCCAGCGCATCGAGTTCCTGTATTGCCCATGCGCGATGGCCATGGGCGGCGCGCTTGAAGTTGGCGGTGTATTGTGCGATGTTGAAGTCGTGGGCGACGACGCCAACTTTCACTGTTGCTGTCGTCGATCCAGGATGATGCTGGACAACTTGGCAGGAAGGCGATGGCACACTGGCGAGGCGAGGGTACCTCGGTCAATCATCACTCACCTTGGTAGTAATGACCATTTGGTCACGATTTCTTCGAGCTCGCTGCTCCATCATGCTATGCACTCGCCGACGAGCCGTCTCCGACGTCTAGCTCTGATTGCTGTTCCCAGTGCCAACGAAGTAAGCGCTACCTCGCAGAGAGTGTCGAGGAGCTTGCTCAAGCGTGGGAGGAGGGACGCACCCCTCCTTCGTTCATGTTGGGCACCAGGTCTACCGCAGTGAGTCGTGGGCACAGTAAATTTCGCCCATCGAGCTCCCGGGCGCGATGTTCATTAGTATTGTTAGCTGCATCGAAGAACGGTGGGTGATTCTGCTGCTCAAGCACTCAAGCATTGAGTCGGATCATATCGCGCATCCAACGTCGACGTCGGTGTGTTGTAGTGTATAGCTGTGCCACCGTTGTTTTATTATGTAGTGCTACCCGTCCGATCAACACACTGTACACTCTGCAACTAACCATATTTATTCGGTATGTGAGCTGCCGCTACACCATATTCGGTATGTGAGCTGCCTCTTCCAGAATTTCCGACGTCCGAGAACCCCGAGGCTAAATTCCGAGAGGCGCGGGGTGACGTCTACAAGCTGCCATAGACGACAGCTCGGTCGAAGGGACACCCGGCTTTTCCATGTCTGGCGGACGCTGCCATGCATCTTTCCTTCTCGAATGTCGGTGTAGTTGCAATAAAGAGCGGATTCGAAGGAGTGTTCAGCCAGTGAAGACGGCGATTGCTGGCGAAGGATGGCGTGGTCTCGCAGCGTATATGCATGGAAAGGGGCGGGACGGACGGTAGATTGCGGAGTCTCTGCCCGCTGTGACGTCGCAGTGGCAGAAGCTGATGATGATGGGCGGGGGTATACTGAGGAGAGATAGAGGCCATTGTAGATGCGGTGGACTGTACCCGCAATGGCCGGCATAGGCTGTGCGCGTCGGCAGCTGCGGCGCAATGTGTGGCGTCGATGTGCGGAAGATCGTCAGTCAGTACTCAATCTGGCCCGAGAACGCCGGTGCGGCGATCAATCGCCAATCCAATCTGAACGTCGACCAGTGAACGAACTGGTGCCACCACAGCAGGTGCTTTCACAAGTCGCGCATGGCACGGAAAGTCGCTCTGGTGAACCCTCCTGCGCTGCACCAGAGACCGTATACAGGAGCACGTTGCATGACGCCACGCGATGTGAGAGATTGGCATGGGCGGAGGCAGAGTCTGGCAGACTGACGCGGGTCGAGTGTGGGCGACAGGGTGCGCGATGTGCGCGGACGGCGGGGCTTTGCAGGGATGCAGCCGTCGATGACTGCCAGTGTGACGCGGTGGAGCGTCCTTCATCCTGCTCCTTATAATCCGCACCCGCTCCTTATAACCCACATCCCTCTCTCTCTCTCTCTCCGCCCACTCGTTTTCTTCCACAGCCATCAACCCTCCCTGTCCACCCATGTTCGCTCGATCCGCCCTCCTCGCCGTGCTCTCCTCTGCTGCCCTCGTCGCAGCAGCCCCCGCTGCCGCCATCACCGGTGCCCACCGCTCTCTCTTCTCCCCTACCTGTCACGCCTGACCTTCTCCCGTAGACACCAGCATCCTCAACTACGCCCTCACTCTCGAATTCATCGAGTCTGCCTTCTATGAACAGGGGCTCGACCAGTTCAGCGACATCGACTTCGTCCTCGCCGGCTTCGCCCCCTGGGTCCGCGGTCGCTTCACCCAGATCCACGCCCACGAGCTCAGCCACGCAGAGTTCCTCACCTCCCAGCTTCAGGCCCTCGGTGTCACCCCCGTCCAGGCGTGCACCTACTCCTTGTGTGTGCCGCCCCTTCTCGAGCTCAACTTGGCCGCTGCTGACCTGCCCTGCACAGCCCGTACACGGACGTGCAGTCCTGGGTCACCCTCTCAATGACCCTCGAGGGCGTCGGCTCCGCAGCGTACATGGGCGCCGCCAATTTCATCTCCGACAAGAACGTCCTCATCGCCTCGCAGGTTCGTCCCATCCATCGCGCTCGGGGCGTCCCCAACTAACCTCCTGCAGTCGATCGCCCAGGTCGAGGCGCGCCACAACGGTTGGGTCTCGTCTGCGGTCAATCAACTCCAGCCGTGGGACGGCCCTTATGAGACCCCGCTCTACTTCAGCCAGGTTTTCTCCCTCGCCAGTGAGCACCCGTATTTTTTTGGGTCCCGCGCGCCTCCGGTGCTGACCCGTGCACCCCCAGTGGGCTTCGTCGTCGAGTGCCCCGCGACGAACCCCGCACTACCCGTGTCAGTCTTCCCCGCGCTGTCCATCTCGAACGCCGCGCCCGCGTCCGGCGACACCATCACCCTCACGTACACCAGCAACGCCCCCAACAACGCGGGCCAGACGTACCTCGCCTGGTACTCGGGCCTGACCACGATCTTCACGCCGATCGTGAACGGGAGCACGACGGTGCCAGACGGCCTCCTCGGCACGGTCTACGCGGGCGTCGTCGCCAACCAGAGCGCGCAGACCGGCGACGCGACGATCATCACCGGCTTGGCCGTGTTCAGTTTCCCGTTCGGCGCGTTTGCTGCGGGGAACGCGTAGTAGTGTTTGCCGTGTTTGATTTCCCGAGGTGGAGGCGGACAAGGAATGCGAAGAAATGGACTTGAGTGTATGTTATATTAACGTCTCCGTAGTTGTTACCTCTTTCCTCCATGTTGTTACGCGCTGTGCGTCGGGTGCGCGCATGCACGCGATATGTACACGATAATGGCGCAATGCATTCCGCATCTGCGCGCGAATTGAACTCGGGGCACGTAAGGGTGTTAAGTGGAGACGTTCATGCACGCGCTCTGCACTGCACGCGTGTCGACCGACCAAGCGCGACGCGAGCGCACATCCACTGAAGGAGGGGCGCTATCTGGGCGCACTGGTGCGCCGCGTCCCATCCGTGATCAGGAGCAGGGCCGGGTGTCGTGTGGACTGGGGCGAGAGGGTATACCGACAGAGCGCGGGCGGGGGAGAAGGGCGGACTCGGCCGGTACAGGTGCGGAGAGCAGTGGCGGTGCGGACGGGGGAGAACGTGGCGCCAGGGGCCGCCCCGTACGCTCTTTCCGGCCGGGCTGCGTGCTCATCTTGCCAATAGCCAGGACACGCTGGGTCTCCAGTCTGGCGACTTGGATGGATGTGGGGACCAAAACGAGGCGAGGTGGCCATTCCGCGGTACAGTACCGCGACCTGCGGAGTGGAGAGTCGAGAGACACGGGAGCGAGCTCGTTATTAAGGCGCGTATGAGAGAGATAGGATACCGGGAGATGTGGGACGCGCGCCCGGTGCAGCGTTGAGCCACGCGCCACTATCGTATTCGTCTCGGATCTCTAAACTTCGCTGGTTCCGGATACTGCAACAGCGGGGAATGATCGCAAGTACCATATGTAAGACCTCCGGTCTGTCTTGCGTGCGTGCGCGGTTCGAGATGATGGCGCAGCTCCACATCCTGCGCTTTTCGCTCTTCCGAATGGCCGTTCTAAAGAGGAAGGGTCGATATGGGGCAACAGAGCGTACAGATGCTGCTGTCTATGGCGCGAAAGAGGACGACGGCCTCGCCATCCACGATCGCAGCGACGTCGATCCAGTTTGACTTGTGGAGTTGAGCCGGCGAGCGTCGAGACTGGATATGCGCGAGCCGTTGACGGGGGTACACGCTGGGACCGCAAAGGAACACCGCTCCTGTTCCGACTCCGCACACACGGCCGGGAGCACCGGTTCGAGTGGATGAACGTAATACAGGTGCACGCCTTGCCTTGCAGAAGGAATACATCAGTATCGCGAGGCTTGGCACCGTTCCCTATACCGATTCCACAAGGAGTACATTCTTCTGCGTCTGTTCCACGAAGTCGAACAACTGCGCGGCTCACCAAGGGCTTTCCAAGGTCGAGAAGTGTCCGATTGAGTATTTTGCGGGAAAAAGTTGTGGTCTTCGATATACCTTCGTGCTGGTGGACGTCCTGATCGCTCGCCATCTTTGCTCAAGCACACAAGTGCTCTCACATCCGCCCCTATCTTCGTGACGGTGCGAATACTTACATGCATTGTTGGGAACTGGGATTGATAAGTTTTCTCGCAGACCAGAATCTGTCCTCGAATCCCATCTGACGAACGCCTTGCGGTATGGTACAGAAACTGGTGGAAGCGAGCTGTCGCAGTCCACCGCCCCACGCTCTTACGATGAGGAGATTGGCCATGGCATCGACCGTGGCAATTCTAGTCAAGTTATACTTCCGCAGATCAGCGGCTTCGGCGCTCACCTTAGGACAGAGGTTTTGCGATGCATCTGCAGGGTTAGAAACGAGCTTTACAACATTGACCGTACGAAGTTCGAGCGCGGCGGCCGAGGTCAATACAGTTTGCGCGGTGCAACACCAACGGAATATACAACGAGGCAGAAAGATGCTACAATTCCGTCTATCGTGCGGATGAGTGACGCCGAGCTGAGAGGAGGATATACAATGTACAGGATTAACTTACGAGATGCGCAGAGACAGTGAAGTCCCAGTTCGATATATACAGCAGTGCGGTCTGTCCCGGAGTAAGATCTTCACTCACCCTCATAACATCTTCAGCTGAGCACAACCACACGACCCAACTTTTCCAGAAGTTGTTAATCACTCTTGACCCGCTCGTCACCCTTACCAGACGTGACAGAAGTGCCCCAGGCGAACCAACTCGTGCGGCGGACCTGACTAGGCTTTTCCACGCCATGTCCTCCACCCTTATCCCCCTCCACATCGCTCGGAACTTCCACTTCTTCAAAATTCGATTTGTTGTTCCCGCCCGCACGCTCTCGTAACGATGCGTCCGATGAATGGCGCGAGTCGTTGTTCGCCGGAGGTATCAACTCTCCGGGGCCGGACTCGGGGCTTGAGATCGGCTCGACGTCGTATCCGCTCATGCCTGGGGTGTGTTCAGTGGCCAGCTCGTCACGCACATGTCTCCGACGATCTTCGACACCTTGTGCATGCGCAGATGAAGTCGCAGCCTGCGCGACGGAATTCTGGGCCTGGCGCAGGAACACCGCACCTGAAGCAAGGATACCAGGCCCATAGCTTCGCCACAGGCCCTGTGCGAGCTGCATCGGGCCTGAACTCGGATCACCAAGACTGGGGGTTGCAACTGTCTGCGCCGCAGCAGCTTCCGCTAGGGGTGCTTCGTTGCCTGGGGTTGGCATTTGACGGAGGGTCGTGGAGACATGCTCCCATGCTCTGCGAAGGAGGTTTTGGAGGGTCTGGTACACGTATGCTTTGAGCTGCGCGAGCGCGTTGTCGATTCCGTCCTCGTGTGATGCAAAGAATGGGCGCAGATACACACGATACAGGTATGCTGAGCCGGCTGTCTGTGGGAGCGCCAGATAGAGAAGGAATGCGGTTTTCATGGTGTAGTATAAAGGTAACCTGTATGCCATTCAAGCAAGGCTGCACATCATAGCAGGAGAGGTCGTGCATACCATGAGACGAGCCATTCGGCGACGTATTCCACGGCAACTATGCAGCCAAGGACACTCCAGTACATCAGCCAGCGCTCGAGGTCGGCTTCAGAGGCAGGCCGTTGCGACAATGTCTTGTACGATGCATAACCTGGATACAAAAATGCGGCGGACGCGCTGAGGCGCACGGCCATGGGTCAGTGCGTATATCAACGTCGCCAGACAGATTCATACCTAACAACACGCAAGGCAAAATTCAACAACATGTTTACCGTACGATGGAGGCGGGCAGATGGGAGTGTGTAAGGAGACGAACGAAACCAACTCGATTAAGCCCTTGCCACACGCTGCCGCGTGCTACTACAATCGCTTACTACAATCGATGTAGATAAGAAATCTTGATATACTGCATATTACCGCTGTTACATTGGCATGTGGCTGGACTTCAAAGTAAGAACAGAGACTCAGAGATTATATTCGGAGCCAACGCGGCTTTACACAGTTGGGATATGGTACGGTAAGTAAGATAGCAACGAAAGCACACCTAAGGAGATTAGAGCTCCGGGAATAACGGGGCTGGTGCGCAGCCGAAATTGGTACTGTAATCAATGCCTCCAGACAGGTCCCTAAAACAACTTTTCTGTGGTCGGAAAAATAAGATGTGCTGAATGGGATGCTGAGAGGGGACCACAACCATTCGGAGAGCTTACGGAGGTTAGATCCCCATATTTCAGGACTTTGCCGTTCACATAGACTAGCGGGCACCGGCCGCCCTGTTAATTACTGTTAAAAACAAGGTTAATAGCTACCTCGTCGGGCAAGCCCTGGGCTATTACCGTGTGAAGAACTCAGCAGGAGTTGTTATAACCCGGAGCTCTAAAGGGGATCGTAGTCGTACAAAGCAGCAAATTCAGCAAAGCATGACAAAAACACAGTAAAGTGAGAACCGTAGAACCTTGAGATCAATTCTTAGAGTCAGCATGTTCAGTTTGATTGACCATGAAAACCATACCTAAATAACTCTACCGCATTTCTAACAATTCAAGGGGGAACTGTTCATCCAGGTTTCTGTCACCAGTTCTTGTTGTCGTCGCTCCCTAGATGCATGTAGGGTGATGCAGAGCCCTGTTTTTTGTCTTGAATGGTTCCAGTGCGCTTTCGCATGCTGACGAAAGACTTGCAATGCTCTGGGGAACGATAGAGTCAGGCTTCAATGTGCACAGCAGAGATGTCAGTCTGTATAATAATGTGCAAGTCCGGTCGATGCATGATCTTATTGTGAGGTTGATCACTACTACTCACTCGGCTGTTAGGCCATGGGTCACAAGCGCATGAGGGGCTCATGCGGTTGGGGCCATATATTTATACTACACAGTAATTCTAGGAGATTCCAGTATGTTCTCCGACATACCTATGTGCTGACTAATATATGTTTCCTGATTGGGAAACCACCAGCCCTAACAGATCTGGGCTGTCGACATGTCTGAATCACGGTCACGGTACGCGACGCGCGACGCGTCCGCGGATCACGGGAACAGATTGAAGCTCCGACGCAGCGTGTGTGACGCGTGGCTGTGGCGCAGGAAATTATCCAGAATTATTTCGCTGGCAGCTCTTTGACTTCGTCCTCCGTGGCGTGTTGCTCTCGTCTCGAGGGCCGACGCACGTAATGACCCTCACTATCCTTGTTTCTTTCTCTTTGCTTGCGCTGGTCGTCACCTCAAGGCCCATCGTGCCACAGGCCCGATCGGAGGAGTCGTCAGTCATCTCACTTTCTCTGTTTGTCGTGCTGCTCATCCTGACATCGTGGCCGCCAGGATCCAGTCGTCGACTGACGTTCAACATACGGTGCAGGCGATCTTTCAGTATCGGACTGGGTGAGCTACTACTGCTCTATCATCCTGACATCGTAATTCATTGTAGGCACAGTCGCCCCCCAGCTTGTCTGGACTGCGCCGAAGAGGAAGATATCCGAATTCATCTCACTTCGTCTGAAGAACAAGATGGTTATCTCGCTCAATTGGATGGTCTTGATGCCGTCAGGGCCATCCTTCCTCTCGGCCTCGATGGCGCCCTGACGGATGACGAGGCGAAACTGTACTCTTTGTTACGCGAAAGTAAGACCGGGGGCCACTTGGATGACTTGGAGGGCGGAGAACGTCCCATGCAGGATGATGAACTTATTTCACAGACGGGAAACGACCCGCCATCGCCATCCCCCGAACCAAGCACGAGTATCGACCCGGCCACGAATGAACGCGCTCCTACCACCTTTCCTTCTCCCCCTCTACTCGTTCTTGCGCTCTCGTGCGGGGCAGCGCTTATTTCACTTCTTTGCATTATTGCAGTGTTGTATGCGGCCCAAATCTCCAGCAAAGGCGTTTTCACCTCCGACCTCGCGTGGGAGATGATGCCGAAGCTGGAAAAGCAGGCTCTTGGTGGCGCGGACGCTGATGATGAGGATGGCTCGGGTCCATCGAAGGAACGGGATGTCCTGCTGGTGAAAGATGTAGCACCCAGTATTGAATTGGAAGCTTTTGAGATGAGTGCGGAGAAGGTGGAAGGAAAAGAAGGTCTGGTTCAGGCCGCACCTTCGCCTGAACTCACACCGGAAGACGATGAACGCGATGAAGATACGAACGAGGATTATCAGGACGCACCGGACAGTGGTCTCCTCTTCGCAGATACCGGCGGCTCGTCTACGATAAAGCGGAGCGAGTCACCTCGCATAGTAATCGAGGAGCACCCCGACCCCGAGCTGCTACCACTCTTCCCGACCCTTATGACCCCAACCCCCTTCGCGACCCCCGACCATACCCCGCACTCGACTCCCCTCCTCTCGCCCTTGCGCCGGCCTTTGCAGATGCGCGAAACGCCAACTGCGTCCCCCATCTCCAAGCCCGCATGGTCCCTCCGCGCTGCCGACTCTCCGTCGTTTGCGCTCTCGCGCTCCTCGACCCCCCTCCCCTTCTCACGTAGTTCCTCGCCGAAGCTCCCTGGTGCGCTCATCTTTGACTCGTCCGATGACGAAGGTGAATACGGTGCCAGTTCGGAGACAGACATAGGCACGGTGGGGCATGCCGACCGCCGGCACGCGTACCGGGCGCCGATCCCGGAACTGGACATCGCGTTCGCGCTGCAGCTGCGTCCTGGTCTCGGATTAGGTGCAGACCCTGCGTGGCTCGTTAGGTTCTTGATGGCGATGTTTGGCTGGATGACGGTGTTGTTGGGAGGTGGAGGCGTGCGGAGAGAACAGAGGGTCGCACATTGAGCTAGGCGACCTGCACAGCGGGCTTTTCGGCTATACTCATACTTAGTGCGTTGATATTCTCCGTTATGACCTGTCCATTGAGTTCAATGGCGTACCCTCCTAGCTATGCAATCGTAGTGGTCTCATACTAGGTTTCATTCGGGAGGGATGAGTCCCTACCCGCATCTGGATATATACCTCTACTTCTTACTTGTGGAAAGTACTTCCGAGCTACGTAACTGCAATTGTGCCGGTGACGTGACACGTAGCGGGGGTAGTTGCCCCAAAAGGAAACAGCTAGAAGCCAATAGCTTCCGATCCTAACAGGCGCAGACAAAGGGTCAGCTGATGGGCGCGCCCGTTCGCGTTGAGTCTTACCAACACCGTCTCTTCTCCGTCGCGATGAGCATTCTGGTCGGTCCAGCTGCGGGCGCACTCGTTGCCGGAGGCGTATGTTTTTCACCGCGTATGTTTCCGTATGGGACTCACTGCTTTTTCTGTTCTAGATATACTATGGGTTCTCCTCGATGATGCATAGCTGGTGAGCGGTTTCGATTACGTTCCATTTAAACACTCACGAGCTTGTGCTAAACACCACAGGACAGAGAGGCATCGCTCCGAGTTTGTACACTTATTTGTGTGTTGTTCCATCCGCTCTGACCTTTCCCGTCGCATGCAGCCTGCACACACTGTCTCAGCGGCTGCTCGAGGCGCCCTCGCAGGTGAACGCGCCGCCTGCCGCATCCGAACGTATTACGCACCACCCGTTCTCTTCCATGCTCAAGGGCGAGTGGAACGCACAGGTCGCGACGCTCTTCCGAAATGTAGGCGAGTGGAACCGGCGAGCAACCGAATGGGGGCGGCGGACTTTGTATGGAGGAGAGTCACGCAGAACGTAGACGATCAGTGGTTCCGGAGGTTGGCTTCCGTCGGCATTGAACGCGTGCTTTGAAGACTCAAGGATGAGGCGAGGAGAGAGAGGCTCCCGGGAGTCCCGGTTCACGAGGTTCCTTCCTGGTATTGTCCGCCCTTACGCGATGCCCACGGTTCTTCCATCCTTCGATTCTGGGATTCTGCGGTTCTACCGTACTGACGTTCTGTGATTCTGCGGCTCTGCGTTCAGCTCCGTTTCCTTATTGAATTCGAATGCAACCGAAGGTTAGAGGCACGGTTCTCAATGCTTGCTGTTTGACGTCCAACGTCTTACGTTACATTCCTGGGACCCCGGTCAAGCACAGGCTTCGCGCATTATAAGGGTGTGTTCTTCAATTCGCCGTGGTGCTGGAACGTTTCTGCAGATTGCAGGGACCTGCGAGAATGCATTCAAAGCGACTGATTGCCGCGTTGTACACGGAGATGACACTTCTGCACGCGCCTCGGATCCGCCGGGACGGTTCCTGCGTTGTGGTGGTTAATGCAGGTGGGGGCGCTGCGGCCTATACACGGCCCGCTCGCAGAACGTGCATGACTCGCCACTCTCGTCACCCCATGGCCTTGTGGTTTTTCAGAGACGGTTCTGCAAGGTTCTGTCCGTTATATGTGCGCCGTCGGATCGGACAGGGTGGTCGCCGTCAGTTATTCGGCAGGCATGCCTTACGCCTTCAGGGCTATCTCTGCCTTCTGTATTCTATCTGCAATCTCCTAAATTTCCGTTCCAACGGTCTGAATGGTCACTCTTGGGACTGTATTGTGATGCTTTATGATCGCTGCAGTTGAGTTCGATCCGAGAAGCGGATGTCTGACGTCATTGATGAGCAACAATGTCCGTGCATATGTTCTTGCATATAGAGGCTGTTCAAAAAGTGCGCATGCAGCCAAGTATCCGAAATTACTTACTCATGGTCCAGTACTCGCAGTTTACTGCCGATCGTTCAGCGAGAACGTTTTGATGTGTAACCGAGGAATATGCTAGAAGCGCATGATGAAATTCAGGACCGCGGATATGACTTCTCTTCCGACCCTTCGGGGACAACAGGCCGGGAACAAGAGGCCAATGAGAGAAGGTTGAATTGTAAGAACATTTCTGAACTCCTGCTTGACGCAGTTACTGAGCGTCTGGCGTCAAGTAATCTGACATCTACTCCCCAGGTGCGTACATTGACGGTACTTCAGGCGTGAGACCGAATCGCCGCTACGTGAGCTAATTGCATGTCCGGATGCCGACTTCGCAAACTATTTCAAAGATCGTTTGAGCCGACATAGTGACGATGAAGTACTCGAAGAAACCTTCAAGGCCAGATGGCGACTAAGCGCTCAATATATCTGGCGGGACACGGCCTGCCGACTCAGAATGTACTGCTATCTTCACCTGTAATCGAAGCGTTAATTGCATCGATGAGGCTCCAATCCCCTGTGGATGTCCTCTGACGACATGACCCCGTGCTTGATGGTGCCGCCAGCCGCGGTGGCCGGCGGCTGAGGTATTTGGCATACGTTGAACCTTGTATGTATCGCATCCGCACTATGTCTATGCCTGGCGCTGACCCTGGTCCTCCAATGCTGCATGGTGCAGCCCGTATGTTTGGATCGCGAGGGATCACCTTGACCCGTCCTTGGTCATCGACCGGGTGTTCATTGCGTGGCCAAAAGGAAGGCATGTACCATTGGGTCGTCTACCCTTCGCATGCGTCTCTTGATGATCGAGTCGAGCACCATTAGTGGTCGTTCCACCGATCACGGACTGCTCCCCGTGTTCGCCGGCAACTGGTGATAGTGGCGACTTCTATGTACGGCATGATATGCATCGCAAACCACGCCACCGGCGCACTGTTAGTATCAAGGCGCACTCTTCGCAGTTTCTGAACGAGGCCCTGCTTAGTATGGCCCTCATCGTCGCCTGCGGCTTTAGGAACTAATCTATCAGTGGCTCCTGGCATGATTCCTGGCATGACTGATGTGAGTCTGATTAGTTGGTTCTTCGAAGAACAGTACTTATTGTGACAGCCTTTCTGTAAGTAGAGTTTGAACATTTGTCTGACATTAAGCAGCGAACTACAGGAACCACCGCGCATGTTAGACATCTGCGGCCTCCCGAGATGCGCAGAAGCAATGTGATGCAGGAGGTCAGCAGCTGGAGGCCTGGGCGCAGGAGCCCCTCCTGTTCGTCGTATCACCGTGACGATTTCGAACGCACACGGGGCGCTGACATCAAAAACACGTGTTGAAACAGACCTCGGCGTCGCCGGGTTGAATATGCTTCCAATGTGCTTAGCCTTATCGGCAAGGAAGGCGCTGTGCATGCGCCAGCGACCGGGTTTCTCTGGCTTGACTGTGGGTCCCGATTTGGGTCACGGGATAGGCGGGGAGGTGAGTAATCTTACGAACGACCTCAAACATCGTACGGTCGGGGCTACCGCAAGTGGTATGGAGCGGGGCGCGTTTATGCTTCGGCGGCTGAACCTTTTTGGAGCAGTTATTCTGGGCTGTTGTTCAGATGGCGCCGCAGCGTCAGCGCCTTGCAGCCGCCTACCTAACGCTTATGCAGCTACTGCGCCAAGGCCGTTCGAGTAATGAATAGAAATGTGTCATCCTCGTTGCAAGTGGCGTACGCTGCAGTTCTGAGGCTCCGTGCGCTCCGTTTACGAGCCGTTACAGTGTCCGATGTTTCGAATATGGACGACCCCTCTGACACCTTCCTGGAACGTCGATCTCGACCTCTTCTCACTCGATATAGATCTCGGCGACTATTCAGTGATGGCCTTGCTATGCAGTGAGCAGCATTATCATATCGTCCAACTCTCCCGAATAGAACGACCTTCGTAAATTCCTCGTCCCGGAAGGGTGAGTGCTATAAATTGAGCGCGTTCAACCGGACCTACCCTGTTCCCCTTCCAGTCTCGCACAATCCCGCTTGTCAGACTGGTGTTGTGGTCGCCATGCTGCATATGAAGGCTTGCGCGCTGCTTGTGGCTGTTAGCATCGCTACTGCTCATGCTGCAAAGCCCTTCCCTGGTGCGGACGCCCCTGGAATTCGGCCGCAGGATATAGCGTTCGCTAAGCCTGCCTCAGATGCTAGAAGCTTTCCTGGAGCGAACGCCCCTGGGCTTCCTAGGCAGGACGGTTCTTCTTCTGATGGCTCCGGCGCCGGTCAGTATGCGATAAATACTGGTCTCGACGTGCAGCTCGCCACTTCGGAGGAGTCTGCTCCCGATGTGGTATATACGACCGATAACGGAGCGCCCTATACGAACCCTTATGACGCCCAACGCATTGGATCCAACGGTCAGTTGATATCGTCCACATGTCTGGTTTCTCCTACTGAAAGGAATTTTTGCACCTTGCAGGCCCGCTTCTCTTGCAGGATTTCCATTTGACTGAGATCTTTGGTTCTTTTGACCGCGAGCGTATCCCTGAGCGCGTCGTTCATGCTAAGGGCGGTAAGTCACAGAAATGGCACTGTACAGATTCTTTGTTCATCTACTTATTCATTCGATAGCGGGCGCGCACGGTTACTTTGAAGCTACCAACGCTGAATGGGCCACGCAATATACTATGTTGTATGCATTGTCACACTCGATTCATTTAATAAGAGCTAAATTCTCCATATGTATGTTAGGGACATGCTCAGCGAGGTAAGTAATGCACGGTAAGTCTCTTCAGCGAATTAGCTAACTGACATTCAGAATGGCCTCCGTACTCCAATCACAAGTGAGTAGAGCATCTTAGTTGACCACACAGAAGTTTGACCGCGGTCATCTCAGTGCGTCTAAGCACTGTTAGCGGGGAGACTGGCTCATCCGATGAGCTTCGTGACCCTCGCGGATTTTCTATCAAGTGCGTATGTTTATTCACCAGCTAAGTGTGCCTTGTAGCGTGTTTATCTATCGATATTTTAGATTGAGAACACGGAAGGGTATCTTGGACTGGGTTTTCAACAGTGAGGGCTATCAGATTCTTTGTTCATGTTGGATGTTGACTCGTTCGTCCAGACACACCGGTGTTTTTCATCCGCGATCCAGTCAAGTTCCCTCATTTCATCCATGTAAGTACTCAGACCTATTGGTTCTGTACTAAATGGTTTAAGGCGTTATTGCAGACCCAGAAGCGAAATCCTCAGACCAACTTGAAGGACAAGGAGTAAGCTGACACGTGCCGTACATTTGACGGCCTGATAGATCGTTCTGAATTAACTGTGCCTGAACAGCTTGTTTTGGGATTATCTCAGTTCTAATCCCGAATCACTCTACCAAGTGATGCGTTTATTCTCTGACTTGGGAACTCCATACGGCTTCAGGCATATGAACGGCTGGAGCGGCCACACTTATAGGTACAGTTGGTTGATCGATCCCGTATTGCAGAGTATTCTGACTCTGTCACGTCTCTGAGGTTCATGAAAGCAGACGGCAGTTGGGTCTATGCGAAGATTATCTGTGAAACTAACCAAGGTGTAGGTCAATTTACTGTTCTCCAAAGTGTTTCTGACAGCCATGCTCGTCATTAGATCAAGAACTTCACTAATGCAGAGGCAACCACAATGCAGGGTAAGTATCACAAGTCATCAATCGAGATCCAGTACTTTATTTGTATCCGATAGCCGAAAATCCCGATTTTGCAACCCAGGACCTCTTCGATGCGATCGAGGCTGGAAATTACCCCGGCTGGACTGTGTATGCTCAAGTGATGACACCAGAGCAGGCTGAGAACTACACGTAGGCGTTGCTTGTTCATCTAGCGGATAGAGCTGATGTGTTGCTCGGTATCTAGGTACAACGTCCTTGATCTGACCAAGTATGTGTTGGCACTCGTGCCCTAGCTTATGTGCTTACATCTACGTTATTTGCATAGAGATTGGGATACTGACGTACCCATGGTGGAGATCGGCCGCTTCTATTTGACGCAAAACCCGACAAAGTGTGTAACTCCTGACAGCACTGGGTACTGATACTCACTCTATCCAACAGCTACCACGCAGAAATTGAACAGATTGCTTTCTCCCCTTCGCATCTCGTTGATGGTTGGTCTCCTTCAGCAGATCCTGTACTCCAGGCCAGGATGTTTGCATACTCCGGTAATATTTTGTTTCAAATCACGTACATGATATCTGTTTTTCACGAAGTTTTCAGATACTCACCGCTATCGTCTGGGTGTGAACCATATGGTGTGTACACGTCTTACTACCACTTTGATATACTCGTTAACTCGTTGTGGAATAATGTTTTAGCAAATACCGGTAAGTGACGCCGCGTGGTCTACACACTGAAGTGATCCTCACAATGCTTTTTAGGTCAATGCACCTATTACTCCCGTCGGTAAGTATCCACTAGGCCACAATGGTCTCGTTCCGGCTGATATGTTTGGCTCAGCCAACTTCGAGCGTGATGGTGCTATGATCGTTAACGGCAACCAAGGCTCGAGACCAAACTACATGTCTACGCTCAGTCCGATCATGCTGTACAACCGGACATGGACCTTGGACTCCCACGAGCAGTGGATTGTAGGTGCCTTTCTTCGCTGCTCCGTCAACACAGACTTATCTTCTTCAGGGCGGAGCTGTCCAGTCACTGTCGGCTATGACTGAGATCGACTTCAGTTGGCCGCGCAAATTCTGGGCTTCGCTTTCGGATCAAGACCAGCAGAACTTCATCAGGTGCATATTGTTCATGTTGACTTTCAACGTGTTTCTTGTGTGAATATCTTTCACTGCAGCAACGTCATCGGTCATCTTGGTCTTGCTCCGACCTTGAGCGTTCGCGAGCGCCAGGTCGCGTTGTTCGCCCATGTCGATTACACGCTTGGTGCGGCGATCGCTGCAGGCGTTAATGTCAGCTCATGGCAGAACCTGTCCTTCCCGTATGGTCCAACTTGGTACAACGAGACTATCTACAGCAAGTCGAGCACACTGTTCTACTAGACAGGTATCAGACTCGGACAGTATTGAGGTAGAGAGGACTGGACTCTTGGACTCGTAGTCATATGTATAATCGAGCCGGACGAGATTTCTTTTCGTGACACTGTTGAACCCATACCGCTCGTTAGTACAGGGGGGGAAACAGAGATAGTAACACACCTCTTGGAAGGGCGATAAGTACTGAGTATGCGCCAACCAACGATGGTAACTTGTCAGGTGACCGTGTCTCTGGAGGCAAGATGACTGATGAGCATGTCTTTGACAATTTCTGTCACTCAGAACGCTGATCTCTCTAGATCACTGAAGTGTGGCGCACACTTGAATCTAAACGATCCAGAGAATCCTTCATACTCTATCTCTGTAGCTGGTCTTGATATCGATTTGAATATACTATTTTCAATACCAGGTCCAGCCGATCTCTCAGGCTGTTGAAACGGCGTGAAAGTATGTCTTGTACTTCGATTTCTCGTGATCAGTGGACCAATTAGAGATGTTACGCACCTTTGTCCTTAACCTGCTTGTGCACATCTTGCATGTGGAAGCAATGGAGCATGGGGACCAACTTGGTGTGGATTGATGCCCTATATGACACAGTAGGGGAGATGGTTATCGAAAGTGCTGATGAAGACAGTCACATCAAGGCTTTGGAAAAGGTCTGCTATGAACTCACAAAGATTTCATTGTGGGCTGTGACGGGTAAAGCTAGTGCGCAAGTCTCATTAGTGGTGATCAGCGAACAGGGGGGTGTCGGAGAACATGACGTTCCCCATCGGCGTGCCTGCAGGATCGCGTAATTCGTATCCCAGCTAAGGGTTGCCGGAAGCTCTCGACATCGACTGGATTCTTCCCAGTTCGAAGCAATTGGAGGACCTAGGAAGTTCCCAGTGTATTTGACTGTACATTTGTTTCGGTCGAACCAACGTCTTCCCTTTATCTTAGCGACATGGATCTGGGCATCTCATTAAATGCTCCCGCTGGCGACCTAATTGCCGCGCTCCAGGGCCTGCCCGACCTCAGTAACCTGCTTTTCTGCAGTCTCGTGCTCTCCTTCTTCTATTCATTCTCAGAAGACGTTGGCATCGAATACATCAGCCCGTCAAGCTGCAGAGGAACATTGGAAAAAAGATTTATCAGCACACTTGGATGGATGGACCCCACTGCCCTCTGATACGCTCAAGGAGATGTTTGCACTGAGTTCATCGATTGATCCATCTTACTTGGGCTCCAAAATACCAGTCATTCAATGAGAAGTCAGAATGTATTCGGTATACTACCCTGGTCCCATCTTCTTGCATCAACCTTACTCACCCTTTCGTCCATCTTAGAAAAGGAACGACTTCAATCGCCAATCGAAGGTCACTGCAGAATTTGTTTCTCGAGACGCTATTTGTGTGTATCTTTGAACGCGTCTTCGCATTGTCGTCGCTTGCGCAGCTCTTGGCACGGAAAGGTGCGTCGTTCAATGGCGATTACGGCTGATGAATTGATACTACGCAGAGCCGGAGGAGGAGAATGAGCGCCGACCGGCAATTTGACAGAATACGAAGGTACTTCAATATCATCTTTAGTCCTATACAACCGCTGGGCCCCAACGACGACGCTTTTCCTTTGAGATACATCTGTGTGCTGTTGACATGGAATTTAGCTGCTCGTTTCTTGCCTTATCGGCGGGTTCTGTCAAAATATCGACAATTCCGGTTAGCAATTCCGCGCCTCACCTTCTGGTCTAGAGATGGCCCCAGTGACTGATGTGGTGGACGAAAAAATGGCCATTCCCCATAGACTGGATAGTTTCAGCCAAGTTTCGGCGGCTCAGTACACGGTGAAGTGATCCTTATGGCTGTCAAGGCTGCTCCAAATACCCCATCCACTACCACCGCCGATGTTTCTGCAAAAGTGGCCTCCTTCCGAGTGAGTAGAGGTGTGGTTTCAGTGTTTTCGTATATGTTGCTGACTGCGCCTAGGACATTGACAATGTCATCGGTGTCAGCAAGAAATGTTGTTGGTGCTGCGATTGGCTAAGCAAGGATCTTCCTGTGCCAGGGCAGGATGGCTTTGTCTTACCGGGCACTCATGGCACGACCCTTCCCTGGTCTCCTCCCATATTTGACATCCCTTTAGCAACTCTCGTGCCGCTGGAGCAAGCTCTCATGGAGAAGTTATACCAGTGTTCGTTGACAAGGGTACATGTGCCAGGCGGCAAGTGATACTGGAGTTGCGTCAATGTCTGGCAGCTACCCCCTTTCTCCCCGTGTGCGCAAGGGCGACAAGGCGGCGTTGCCTAAGTTACTAACGGGCGATTGAGGGGGGATTGAGCTTTTGCATGGCTGTATCAGAACTTATATCGAACACTGCGTGTACAATACAAGATAATTTGCTATGGGGCGAATTGAACAGGCTGCTGCCAGGTTACCTCACAGTAATCCAAGAACCGTGGTACCTATTTTACCCGACGTCATGGGCGTTTCCGCACAAATATAAAAGAGTACGGCTTGCGAGATCATCCATTCAGTTACACTTATTCAAAGAAACATCAATCTTGTATAAGGATATACACCTCTTCATACAATTTCCCCATGCATCCAGTCCCGTTCAATAGCACTATCGTGAATACCCCTGCGAGTACTGCCCGTACGGCGACTGCTGCTGTTGCTGCTGCTGCTGCGAAGACGGCGGAGGCGGGAAGCCCTGGTATTGGTAAGCGTTCTGTTGCGCAGGCGCGGGCGCCGCTGAGACGTCGTACTGCGACTGGTAGGAGATGGGCGGCGGTGGCGGTGGGAACGGAGACCCTGCTGCTGGAGGCGGAGACTGATATGCACCCGAATACGGAGGCTGCGATGGCGCAGGTGGGGGGTATGTAGACTGACGTTGAGGCTGCCCGTACAGAGGCTGCTGTTGGGGCGGCCGAGGAAATGGCGACGACTGCCGCTGGGGCTGCTGTTGGGGAGGGAGATATTGGGTTGGCTGTTGCTGCCCGTAGGAATATTGCTGAGGCGATTGTTGTGGACGTGGTTGCGGAGCGGAGCTGGGAGCAGTATTGGAAGCAGAAGAAAAAGAGCCGCCAGTGTTGCTGCCAAACATGCCCAAAGCAGCATAAGGGTCAGGAGGTATTGGCTGTTGATAAGGCGGCTGAGAAGGCGGGATACTCGGCCGCGGAGGAGCATACGACGGTCCTATCCCTTGTGAGGGAGATGGGTTAGGATATGCTCTTGCTGGCTGGGAGTTCGGTGGAGTAGGATATGGCGCCCTTGGTAACTGGGCATTCGGAGGGGAAGGATATGTTTGAGGGGCCGGCGACGACCACTGGGTCGCGGCAGGGGGAGGAACCGGTGGCGACGTCGGCCCGTTTCTGCCACGTAGATTCATAGATGCAAAGGACGATTCAAGAGTAGATGCAAGAGAAGGTCGGGCCGGAGGCGGAGGGACGCGGGGCTTCTCCGCCAAGGGTGGCGGTACTGATGAAGACGGTGGTGAAACGGAGAGTCTGCGCTGCGTTTCTGCCTGTGAGGCAAGTGTCTCGCGCTCGACTTTTCGGCTGGACACAAAGTCCTGCACGTTTCGCTTCAGCACTGTTGTTAACTCGGTCAGCTCATTGTAAAATTGCAGGCCCTTTCTGAAAGACGAATATGTTAGTCTCACACTCGGACCGGATACCACGATAGACGCACGTCAGACCGTCTCGCACTTCCATGTAGCCGTCTCTTGCGCGGGAAAAGCGTCTGACAGTGTCGTTCTTTCGCCTCTCTCTCTCCTCCCACTTCCTGGCACCGGGACCACGACCGGCGAGATCTTTCAAGCCTCGCCATAAGGCCGAGAGCTCTTGCAGTGTGACCTGTTCGTGATGTACAGTGGCTGCGAGTCGCTGTTGGTAGGGTCGGAACTTCTCCAGCTCTCCTGCGAATAGACTAGTTTCCACACCAGTATTGCGCCTATTCAGGAGGAGCAGATGCGAAACATCATCGGATTGCACCTGAAAATTCTTGATAAGCCACCGCAACTCATGAAGGCAGCGATGATGAATTTACTTTATCCTTGAGATCCTTCAGGACCTCTTTCCGCTCATGACCAATTTTGTTCAGCCTGCCCAACCGTTCTTCAATCTCGTCCACGAACTGCGCGACCTTAGCGCGCTCCTCGTCATCCTTCGTCTCACTAGCGACGTCCAAGTCCAGCAGATTCTCCGATCCGGCTTCAGATTGGGCCGTGCTCGCCCTGAACACGTCCTCGACTTGCGGAGACAACAACAAACGTATCTCTCCTGTCACTGAATCCCATAGAGCTGCGACTTGCTGATCTGATTGCGCCGCGGCGTCCAGGGCACTGAAGTGCGACTTCAGATCTTGTCGAAGAGCCTTCGTGAGGGACGCCGAGGGGCCCTGGGTCCACAAGTGGTCGTACTTGACCCGCATAGCCTCGCAATCCCTGCTTTCTATCTCCAAGTCCCTGCTGATGGTATCGAGCTCTTTCCTCACGCTGTCCTTGAGTCGATTGAGTTCCGTCATGATGCTCTCCACACCCTCCCTCTTCTCCATAACGCCAATATCGTCTATCCATCGGCGCACCTCGACGGGCACCTCCTCTTCCCCGCCCACGCCACCCTCCGCCATTGCCTTGAAGCGCCCGAGCCCCTGCTTGACACCCATCGAGTCGAGCACGCTGCGAACCTCGGCCTCGGCCTCGTCCGCCTTCTCGACCTCCCCGCGGACGAGCTTCGCTTTCTCTTCCGAGTACACGCTTGCGCTTTCGTGCACACTGAGCGGGATGAGGCGTACGAACATGTCCGCACCGATCACCTTCTGCACGTCCGGCGCCGCGTACACCTCTTGGATCGTAATCGGCGTCGCTACCGCCGCCTTGTCAATCTGCGCCAACGTTTCAGCCGTGGGGAGAACTGCATTATAGATCAGGTCGTTCTCCCGCTGCGCCTCGTTCTTTCTGTCTGTGCACAGGGCCAGATGCGCCTTCGTCAAGTCCGAGAGCGTCGGCCCCGCGTCTGGCGGTAGGTTCGGCGACATTTGCATCACGAACACGGACGCGAAGGACGACGCGGAGCGATTCGCTTCTTTCGCAGCGGATTCGGCCACGGTAAACCGTACAAGGGCGTCACCATGTTTTCCTGCGCTATTGTCTGCGAGTGCTCGGTAGTACTGCGATACGGATGTGAAGTATTTGGCCTTGGTCTGCAGATGAATTAGTGGAGACACGTCATTAATATAGAAGTATGCCCACCTGAATCACAGTGACCCAATTGCGGTCAAATATGCCCTTGCCCATGAACTCCTTCACCTCCTCGTTAAGAGAAGTGTACATGAATGCTGTCTGCGCAGCAATCTTAGCTACGAGCGCGTTCCCCTTCTTCTCGTCCGTGCACTTCTCGAAGAACACCTCTGTCGCCTGCGCGAGTATGATACCTACCAGGAACTTGATCACCTCCCGGCTCAGGTCCGTGGATGGCGCATGCAGGAAGTTGTCGTTGATGTACGTGAGCATGCCCGCACACGCGCGGAAGTAGTAGAATGCCCGCTTCAGACCCTCTGGGTCCGATCTGTTTTGCGACGCTGCGATGGCCGAGTGCGTCGCCGCGATCTGGAAGATGATGGAGGCTTTCTCGTACGCAATCGACGTCTGCGTGATCAGCTTGTTCGTAAAAGCGTCCCGCCAAGGAAAGTTCACCCGTATCTCTGCGAACCGCAGCTCCAGCAGCTCAAGCTGGCCGAAGTACTTGTATAAAAGATCCCGGCCTGCATTCCCTGCGGTCAGGAAATGATCGTAGGATGGCTGCGTGCGCACCTGTAATGTCGCTCCCTGCGCCCTTCACAGCATCCTGCCTGCACCGCTGTAGGTTTGAACATTCCGTTGCGTAGCTATCTGGATCCTCGCCGTACGAGTGCGAGATGGCGTTGCGGATGGGACCTGTCCAATCTACCTCATCTGTAGTCTTCTTGGGAATAGATATCATCGGTGAATGGTGGGCCATGGTGAGGTGATTATAGAATGAAGAGACTCCTCGGGCAGAACTCGGACTCTGATACCGTCTATAATCCGCAGTCCTGACTTGATCGACGACACCCAAAACCCAAAGTTATTTCCTATTAGCCTCAAGATAAAGACGCATGTGTTTGCCGGGAGTTGGTGAATGTCAGACACGGATATCCTGAGGCACGAAGGTTGAAGCAAAGACTGCAGAGTGTCTACAATCTGCCTTCGGGAGACTATGGTGAATCGACGCAGGCGGACACGATAATGGAAGTTGGAAAGAAGTTCCCAACCTACGATCAGACATAGGCTCGTAAACCTAGTACGAGTAGATAGAGCCGCAAGAAAGAGTCGTTTCTCTCTACAGATCAGACACCGATCGCAATTTCATTGGAGCCATATAGAAATCACGATTCATCATCTCCTCATGTTTGATCATTTGTTTTCAACATGGATTTTATCAGTCTGCTTGATTGTGCGCATACATAGAGTACATAGATACCAGTTTACTGCAGAATAGACATTTGTGCATGCTTCGAAGATATTACGACGACCGCCGTGACTGCGGCGCGGACTCTCTGCCAGTGCTGGTCCCTGGATGCCATGATCTGCTGACCGTTGTGGCCCAGGTAGAGAGCGACCAGACTTACATTTGCAGATTACTCCGTAATCATGTAGTGTTCCTCAGCAACGCTCTCGCGCAGACATGACCGCCGCAAGCAGAAGACGCGCCACTGCAGAGACTCGATTGGCTCGAGAGTCGAAATGCCAAATGTCGGGCGGTCACACGTCCTGGTTAAAGAAAGCATTCGGTAGCTCAGTACACTTATACGTTGGCATACATTGAACAACATGCAGGACGGCGAATAATTGTAGGAGATCAATTAAACATCCACGCTGTATACGACAACATAAAGAGACGTTCGTCTACTTCAGCGACGCGAGTGAGTGACTGCTCAAAGAGCACTTGCACCTACGCAGATTTAACTCAGACGGGGCAGAACAAACAGAAAGAAATCTCGTACCAGTGATGATGTCGACCAGCTCGTTGGTGATAGCCGCTTGGCGCCCACGGTTGTACTGCATTTGCAGCCTGCTAATCATGTCCGACGCGTTCTTCGAAGCATTGTCCATGGCGTTCCGGCGTGCACTCTGCTCGCAGGCATGGCCCTCAACCAGCGCAGCATAGATTGCGTTGGCGAGCGCGAACTCGGCCAGATCCTTCGTCACGTCGTCCTCCATCTCGTATGCCCTGAAGCCCGCTGCATGACGATAAACTGTTTGATCGTAGAAAACACAAGAAGGGTTTAAGGCACGCACGCGATTCCTTCAGCACGTTCTCGGTCTCAATCTCGACGACCGCGGGCTCATACGAAATTGCTGACACGAACTTGTTGTACACAATCGCGATGCTGTCGTACTTGACGTCCGCCTTCGAAATAAGATCTGCCACCCCCGCAGCGTCCGCGAACGTCGGGATGTCGCGTCCAATCTGGTTGAACGTCATGACGAGGCTCTTGGGCATCGCGCGAGACAGCTGCGCCTTCGACTTATCACCAATGACCATGACGGGAGACTCAGGATCCATCGGGACCTCCTTGTCCGCGAAGGTCTTGCGCGTGAATTTTGTCACGGAGGAGTGGATACCACCACACAGACCCTTGTCCGAGGAAATGACGAGAAAGAGCTTGCGCTTCCCCGAGGTTTCAGCAGGGGCATTCTGGAATACCTCTAATTCGCACGGGTCAGAAATGGGACTCTAACCAATGCAGACGAGATACTGTGTGCAGGCTCCCACACCGTAAGAAAGCGTAATATCCGGTGAAAAGGGATAGCCAGAATACACATCGAGGAAAGGTATACGATGCTTCGGATCATCGGCACCACCCTACGACCCCCGTAAGACGGATTAAAAACTCGTACGGCAATATGTGGAAGTTCGTAACTGGAAAGTGTTGAAACAGTGCAATGTCGAATACTGACCGGAATTAGCGATCCCATACTCCTTCCCGGCAACCATCGCGCGCTGAGCCCTTGCCATTTTTGTTGAGGCAATCATTTTCATCGACTGATTATCGCACTCTTCGTGAGTACTCAGTCGAATCATTGCAGCTATTATCCACATACCTTCGTGATCTTCTCGATGTTCTTCACTGACTTCAGGCGCAACTCGATCTCCCGGAGGGTGGCCATGTTGCGAGCATTTGAGGGGGCTGCCCCCAGCACCGCAGGCTGAGAAGCAATACGACCGAGCGTACGCCGAGCAAGCATTGGAAGAAAAGGAGGAGGGAAGGAGTGGTGGTGGTGGACTTTGCCAGCAGCGGCCGGGACAGTGCGGAAAAGCCTGGGAAAAAAGCTTGGCGGAGTTTGGGCCCACTGACTCTTGCTTGAGCTCATCGACATCGGCTGGGAGCTCACTTTTCATCTCAAACATCCTCGGTACTAGTACCACTCTCAGTTAACATGGCATCTGAGGGACCACTGTTTGACCCGTCGTTGAAGAAACGAAAGAAAAAGCAGGTCGCGTTCTCTGAGGACCCTCTCGGTGCTGATGCCGACCCTACCACCCCCGCACCCGCTGTCATTGACAATACTACGACAAATGGAGATGCGGTGGACATGGGACCAACCACTGTGCACGAGCAGATGATGCAGAATGGCATAAGTGGCGCGGATGCGGAAGGTGTAGATAAGAAGGAGGAGGACGAAGACTTTAAAGCAATGTTTGGTGATCTGAAGAAGAAGAAGAAAAAGAAGGAGATCCCACTAGATCTGGTATGTTCTGACAGCCTCGAAAATCCTGTTCCTATGTGAATGCGATTTCTGTCAGCCGGAGGAGGGTGATGGTGCAGCAACACCTCCTGCTGCCTCTGAAGATCTTGACTTCTCGGACCTGAAGAAGAAGAAGAAGTCGACGAAGAAGAAGGCTGTGCTAGATATGGAGGCGTTTGAGAAAGAATTGAACGAGTCGAAAGCAAAGGAAGCGGAAGAGGATGAAGGCGGAGAGGAAGTACTCGCAGAGGTCGACGAGACGGAGCTCGGAGAGGATCCGTTCACGCGAAGTGAGACTGCTTCGAGCTTAGATGCTGGGAATGAGCCATGGCTCAATAGCGACCGCGACTATACATACCAAGAGGTGCGATTCGATGTTAATCTGACTTTGGTGACGTCTGACAAGCCTCGTCTCCAGCTGCTTCAACGATTTTATGTGCAACTGCACGCATCCAACCCTGCCCTTCTTAATGCTACTGGCAAACGATACACGATTGCTCCTCCCCAGATCATGCGAGAAGGAAACAAAAAGTCGATCTTTGCGAATGTGTCGGATATTTGTAAACGGATGCACAGACAACCGGAGCATGTCATCCAGTATATGTTTGCGGAGATGGGTACTACTGGTTCCGTCGACGGCTCGGGTCGTCTTGTTATCAAGGGCAAGTTCCAGCAGAAGCAGATCGAGCATGTGTTGCGTCGATATATTGGTATGATATTGTTTACTCGTCTGTGCCGTTCGATCGCTCATGTAGCTCGTTTTGTGTTCGTTTAGTGGAATATGTTACGTGCAAAACCTGCAAGTCCCCCGATACACTCCTCACGAAGGAGAACCGTATCTTCTTCATGTCTTGCGAGTCGTGTGGATCACGGCGATCTGTGGCGACAATCAAGACTGGTTTCCAGGCGCAAGTCGGAAAGCGCAGCAAAAACAAGAAGGGCTGAGCTGCTTGTTTGCTGTGCAAGGACATTTCATGTGTTATGTGCATCCTCCGGCATCTGCCTGCCTCGTGTATATTCGGCATTCAAATCATGTACTTTTACACGCAGATACGATGCGACGAACAACACGGTACAACGGTTAGACCTAACTTAACTGCTCAATGATATCGTAAGAATAAGATGCGATCCAGAACATATAAACGAAAACAGAGAATACGACTAATATGTACGATACAATATAACCACATAATCAAGACCCAAGCTCGCCAACCTTCGTGAGCGCCGCCCGACGCTTTTTCTTCGGTGGCTCCTGGCCTTCCTCGCGCGCTGGGCCATTGCTTCCATCCCCGCTAGCAGGGGGATCATCAATAAGAGAACGCGAGCCTTGCGAACTTTCGCCCACGCTCGGTGCGGGAGTTAACGGAGTCTCAGCTCTCCGCTTCAGAGGTAAAATAGGCGTCACTGCAGGTGACGCGGAGGGTAATGGTATTGACGCCACGGACGGCGTCGACATCGGAGTTGCCACGGTCGAGGTGCTTGTGAGTGGCAAGGAATGCTGATGAGCGATCGACTGTAGCTGGAGCGTCTGCTGCTGAGTGTGATGTGTTGGCAAGATCTCGTCGAACACAACGATCGTGCAGTAGCCGTCTCTGGACGAGATAATCAGACACTGGCCATCTGGGGACCTGTCCGAGGACATGTGCATCAGAAGGGCTACCAATCCGAGACGAAAGATCGCGCACCACGACATATCTGTAAACTCATCGTAGTGGAGCTTCGTCAACAAACACACGGGACCCGCCTGCTGAGTATCGTAGATCGCAACAGTATCCATTGTGGCGACAGCATACAACATCCGGTACGGCAACGAGAAAATCGAGGCAGTCGCTATAGGGGTGACAGTAGGCGTGCTGGGCTTGGAAGCCAAAGGAGTAGGCGGCCTGAGGGAATCGGTCGCAGATAGTGCGGGCGAAGGCATCATTATCATCCCGTGGGAACCAGATGGTATAGCGACGCGAGGAGAAGGCGCCGCAATGGATGGTGAAGACACGATGGTCGGAAAGCTCTTCAGAGGAGATTCAGGGCTGAGGATATTATGGGGAAGACCCGTTGCGGACGAGGCGCCCGCAATATCGACATTCACCGTCCGGTCGACACCTTTCTCCAGCACTACTGTCTGTGGCTCAGGGGGTGTATCCGCTGGAGCAATGTGCGTACGCAACTCGAACAAGATGGGGGAGAACTTGACAGCTATGCTTGCTTTCTTGTGCCCCGGAAGTCGGGCAATCGGCGGACGCGCAAAGTTGGCACGAGAGTAAATGTATACGGAAGATGATGCTTGGTTATCGGGGGCAACAGGTGAGAGGTTACCCCTTCTGCCCCGAGGTTGATCATCTGCTCTTCCGTGGCCGTTGCTGGACGCACGTGAAGATCCTGGAAGCACCGAAGGATCTTCAAACTGACCCGCAGGTGTGAGCAATAAGCCACCGTCGGGACTGAACGTGAGTCGTCTGAAGAAATTCGTGTAATTCTCGTCGCCGTAAAGCTTGACGGAAGTCCAAGTGGTAACCGCGTTTGGCATCATACGAATGGCTGGCAGGGCAGGCATCGGTGACGGTGACCGGGCATGGCGGCTAGGCATGAGTGGTGAGCCTGCAGCAGTTGACCCGCTGAAAGAGGATCGCCGAGACGAAGAGTATTCAACCGACGGTGGAGGGAACATACTGCCAGAGGGCGTGCTGGGAATTGACGCTGTGGGAGTCAAAAGAGCACTACTATTGTGCTGATGTCCAGAGGTAGATGACACCACCTCGTCTCTGAGCTGCTCGCTAGCGCTCGTGATGATGGACTCTGTCTCGCTAGCCGTGGACTCACGTCTGAAGGTCCGCGGCCGGCTATGTGAACTCGATGTGCGGCTGTGGCGGTGCGACATGCGAGTATTCTTGCCCACAGCGTGCACTTCCAAGGTACCCGACTTATGGGAGATGCTGTATATGTGCATAGAGCGGTCGCTGCTCTGCGTGGCGATGTATTCGTTCAAGGGATCCCATGCAACGCCTTGCACATAGTGGTTGTGCTCGGCAATCTCATGAACACATTTGCCTTTAAGATGTGTCACCAAAGCAGTTGAGGAACGGCATATTCTGACTGACCTTCGTTCGAGGTGAAGATTCTTGCGCAATTGTCTGTGCTGCCTGCAATGATATATTCCCCTGAAGGACTCCACGCAAGATCGTATACTTGCATTGTAGTGCATCTAAGGTACGAGGGTTGATTATTCAACTGATTGTTATACTGGATGTGAGGGCGCACCGGAAGGTCGTTCGCGGTTTCCAATGCTCTTTCTCGTATTGCATCTCTTCAGGACTCAGGTCACTGCCATAGCTAGTGGCATGCGGACTAGTCGTTGGAGACCATATAATGATCATTCCATCTATGTCGCGTGAGTACCTATGCGCGCAGATGTAGTGTCATAGGATACATACCGTCACCGGCCGAAGCAATCAGCTCGCCTAGAGCACAGTCAGCTTTGGCACACAAGACCCCGTATAGGTGCAACACTTACCGTTCGGGCTGAAGCGCACAACATTCACTGCAGCGGAGTGTCTACTCAAGGTAGCGAGGTACTCTACGCGAGGTGGTCGGAGCGTTGGCGTGTTGCTTGTGGCCGCCGAGGTCGACGCGCCTTCTAGCACTGACTGTGGCATTATATTCGGGTGCACCATCCATAACTTAACGACGTAGATCGTTAATGATTCGTATGGCCACTGGTGATCACTTACTCTGACATGGTTGTCTTCACCACCTGTGGCAAGTCTGTATGACTGTCCCGCGAAGTTCTTGTCCTGCGCAGGACGCGCTTTCTTGAACTGAATTGGTTGAAAGTCGCAAGTAGCAATAGGTTTGCTGTCGTGCCACCGGATTTCCAACGTACGGATGCGCATTTCTGGACGTGTTGGGCTATCGGAAGAGTTAAACAAACATCCGGGGGCGACAAAGAGGGTGCTTCGTATAGATTGGCTGCCCTTTATAGCTGGTTTATTTGGTTTTGTAGCCGAGCGTTAGGATCAATACAACCCCATCAAACGCGGGTAACGCCGAGACTTATCCAGTACAACTATTGCCTGGCACGCTAAGAACGGCACGCTTCCCACAAGGACAGCACAGATATATCGACAAACGTCCCATAGGTCAGTACAACATCACAATACATGTAGCTTCGTAAGGATGGGTGGAAAATGCACAGCCCTCAAACAAGATACATGTATGGTATATCACCGTTGTGCTTCGCCATCGTACGGTGGTTGCAGCCTCAATAGCCTGTACTGCCGCGCAGTGTCGACGCCGACGTCAACAATGCGTTCGGTTCCTCCTCCTTGACACTGGTGCCCTGGATGACAGCCAGGTCCTTGATGTCTCGCTGCAGTATCTTGGTGAGATGAGCCAGCCCAGCTTGCTCATCGGCTAAAATCTAGAAGATGCTCAGAAGGTGTCCACGAACTGGACATGTGGTACACACGCTTACCTGAGCGATTTGACTCAACCCTTCATCGTCAACAACAGTCCATTCGACAACGCCGCCTTTGCGATCCCTCTCTCTAGCGGCATTCACAGCACCTATGAGTGCCCATAATTCATTCAGTTTGCCTCGCATCCGTCCCGTACCCCCCGGTCTTCGAATGTCCTGATCAATATCCTCCAACGCTGTGCGAAGCGCTTCCTCTTCCGGACGGATGGCAGACGACCGCAGTGTAGGAATCAGGAGATGAAGATGTTGCACGAGTTTGAGTACCCGATGCGTCAGTTGGGTCTGTAGCATGGAGGCGCGGTTCAATCGAGATGCATTCGATAGTTGATGTCTTTGTGACAGTGCTGCAATCCTCGTCTGGAGTTCCTGTTACAACAGTTGGTGGCGAACCTCTCATGTCAGTTAGAACAAATCGTACCTTCAATCTTTCTTGCTGTGCAGTAGCTTGTTGCGATTGAGCTTCAACACGCTTCTGCAAGTCATCAAATCCTATCGCAATCACAGGTACAAGGCTGAGCCACTTCGTCAAAACACTGCGTTGAATAATCGGAGATGAGGCGTGAGAACGTACCAACTTGGATCTGGATTTTCGCGGATAGCTTTTTGCCACAGTGCGTCATTCGTCGCATTAGCTGGTCGACCATATAACTGTACCTGACTAGGATCTACTAGATTGTAAAAATAATGCTGCGAATAACGAATGATCAACTATCACTCAAAAATGCATAGAAATGCGGAATACCTGAAAGCGACATTGTGGAGAAGCGGGGTCCCACGCTTTCACAGTACTCTCTATGCGTTGAACCAATGATGCGAACTGAGACTGGGCGTCTGCTGGTTGCTGACTTGAGGGAATAGCTGTCCGAGAGAGAAGGCCGGATGACACAGCATTGGGTTGCGTTGTGCGACCGAGAAAACTTCCCCCCAGAAGACTACCCCCAGCTGGTGATTGTCCCGAGTTCCCGAACAATGACCCATACTGCGGAGGTTGTCCGAGCGTGGAAGTGGGTGGTTGTCCCAGCATTGAGGGAGGCGGTTGTCCCAGCATTGAGGGAGGCGGTTGTCCCAGCATCGAAGTGGGAGGCTGTCCCAACATGGACGACGAACCTTGCTGCTGCCCTTGAGTGGAGCCAAAGAGAGACGGTGGAACAATAGGCGGGGGGGCACCAAAGAGTCCACCACCTGTTGTCGAGGAATTGGTGGTGCTTCTGAAGAGACCGCCTCCCGTGTTTCCCGCGGAAGTGCCAGTGGTGTTACCGAACAATCCGCTACCAGGTGCAGTCGCACTACTCCCTGCTGTAGTATTGTTGAAGAGTCCTCCGCTCGTTGCCCCGGTTGTGCCTCCAGCAGTGTTGCCAAATAGACCGCTGCTCGGTGCATTAGTATTGCTCCCTGCTGTGGTGCTGCCAAGTAAACCACCTCCGGTCGTATTTGAGCGACTTCCTCCAGCTGCGTTGCCGAACAAGCCACCGGTCGTGTTGGTGTTGCTTCCCCCGGCAGGGTTTCCGAACAAACCACCTCCAGCAGGTGCTGTGTTGCCTCCGACGGGCGCGTTTCCAAACAAACCGCCACCAGTTGTCCCAGTGTTACTTCCGCCCGTCGCGAACAACGGGTTAGGACTAGTCCCAGTGCCACCAAGAGGATTCTGAGGAGCTGTACCAAGCAGTGGGTTACCGCTAGAAGTACCGCTGGTCGCTACGTTCGACTCAGATTCGATATCTCTGTGATGAGCTTTCTTGCTTACCCCCAAACAATCCTGCTCCCGCGGCCGGCCGATTTTGCATATTCGTGCCCCCAAAGAGTCCTCCACCTCCCTGGTTGGCCGAGTTACCGAAAAGTCCTCCGGCCGTAGATTGCGATGTTCCTTGGTTGCCCCCGAGGAGCGGATTGCTACCCGCTCCGGTCTGTGGCGCGCTGCCACCAAATAACGACGTGCTGCCCGGTGCCGCTGAGGGTGCTCCTAGCAGACCTACCGCATTGGACGTGCCAGCCTGTTGTGGTTGTTGAGAGGCATTCCCAAAGGCACTGCCGCTAGACGTGTTTGGGTTGCTGAAAGAACCGAACATCACCAAGTAGTCCTAGACCTAATTTGTCACGCAATCAGCTTTCGCTCGACTATATCCTGATCACGTACGTCTTAAAGGTAGTACGCCACCTCGCAGCAGGTTTCCAAAAGATTGTTGCGAAATGTTAGGCGCGAAGTTAGACACGAAGGCTCGTGGGAATTCAATCAGAATTAGGGAGGTAACTTTCACCTTGGGGATATTTTTGAGTTAACCAGTATTTGTGCTTGTTAGGATCAGAAGGTAATGACCTTTATGTGGAAACGATCTCAACCACCGACGTCAAGTCGTCGTAACGTTGTGAGATAGGTGTTTATATCAGCTTTTTCATGGCAGTTCTGGTCTGCCAAACTTGGACTTAGCTTCACTAACGCTGAATGTTTTAACTGGGCTCTTCATATTCCATTCCTGCGCATCTCGCATGTGCTGTCGGGGCGTTTGCGTTGTGCAGGTGGGCTTCATATGGACTGCACTGAGCTGGGCTTGGCCACATGGTGTGCTTTGTACGCTTTCATGCTTCTTTACTTAGGACTCTCTGGGGTTGAGTTTGGTGCGACGTCCATCCGGTTTACCCAAGCCTGGATTGCCCATTCCCGAGTCATTGACTCCCCATCAGTGTTTCTCAGCTTCGGTGCCTGCGCTAAGGCCAACGTCCAATGTAACACTATTTGATAAAAGTGCTTCTTTGTCAAAAGGCAAATGTCACTGACACCCTGCGTCTCATCAATGGCTATGGCGTGTGCCTCGTCGCTTGACACTCCATCCTATAGTTTCTGCTGGAGGTGCCTTTAGCATAGATTCCAGTGCTGTGATTTTGATATGCTCTTCCGACCAGTGAGTGCCGATGAAATGATATTCTTCCTATTAGGGTTCTCATACTTGGGACCGGTGGGACCTGCGATTGTTTCGCAGCTCATGCTCCTCTGTGTCCATACAACGGCATACATGCTGATCGGAAACAGCAATGGCCCATCCGATAGATGGCGTTCGTCATTTGGCGTTGACACCACCTCGGATGAGGTCTACCCCGCAAACTCGAGCGTGTGGTGCCACCACGCCACTAGTGAGTTCAGACCTTTCGTCGATGATTTTCTGCCACCTTGCTCACACTTCCCACCCAAGATTGTTCCGAAACGCTGCTTTTAGGAGGCATGCAACTGTGGCCGCTTATCAGAGCCATCTCGATTTATACAGGTCGGTCGGCACGGCGTGCACCATCCGCGTGATCTTGCCTGATTGTGTCCCGTTAATTCTCAGTCAAGTTCTCAATGACTTGTGGTTTCCTCCTCCTGTCACATCACCACTCGACTCGTATGACTACAGTCTGCGCTCTCACTGGAGTGTTTTCAATATGATTTCTATCAGTTCTAAACGCTGCAGACAACCTGAAATTTCCACCAGTTGCTGACCTTCGATATTCCTTCCCTAACCTGTTATTCTGTGGTACTCCGGCATGACAGCTTAAATATGTGCTACTCTGTCCGAGTTGACTCGGGCGTACTCTGTGTCGAAAACTACGATTTAGGCTCGTTTAGCATAGGAATTCGCTCTACAATCTTGTCCCGCACAGCCATCGGACACCTGGGGTATTCCATCTGGGATATTTACCTGCTGGGCAAAATTGAAGCTATAGATGGTGTAACAAATATTTGTGTCAGGACGATGACACGCTGGGTGGGGTCATGTCGTTGAACTCGTAAACGTGCTGTATTGATACATCCGACAGACATTGGTATACAAGAATCCCGCGTTAAATATATACGCAAGAAACGAGCCCAGACCTCTACCCAACATTCGGAAGTCCACAAAGCACAAGTGAACATTAGCTGATACTACGCTAACGCCCACCGCACCAGGCCGTGCAATAAAATGCAGGTTACAACGGACAAAAGGCCCGCCAACATATACAAGAAATGAAAACAGTCGAAAGCTGGATGGCAGCCGCGTCAGTTCATGCTCGCCGCGAATGCAGAGGAATCAGTGCACCATGTCGAAGAGCGAGGCCGGTGAGTGTGCTATCCGCCCTCGAATACACGACCCGTTCCCCCGTCTTCACTATTTGAGCTCTTGCTGTGTCGCCTTTCCTTGTGCCCTCTGGATGTAGCGGCCATCGCCGGAGAAGCAGACGAATTTGACACAGGGGAGTGTACTGGTTCAGCAACGAGGTCATTTTTCTTACGCCTTTTCCGCTCGTTCTCCCGCAGATTTAAGCGCACACCGAAGAACGAGATGTGCTGCGATCATTGTCAACAAAGGTACGTGGACGACACTCTGTTCGTGACTAACCTTTGTCAAATCAGTCGAAGCGCGAAGACCTGGGAACTCCTTGGTGGAATAAATCTTGAAAGGGCCACCATAACATTCGGCAAGCACTGGAATCTCCTGGGCACCGTAGGCTTTGGAGAATATGTTGAAGACGCGGTACCGCAGTATAAATGTTCCTTCTATTTTCACAGCAAGGTCCTAAAGCACCAAACGAATGGTCAACAAAACTCCCAATGAACACAAGACCTGAACTGCTATGCCCGGGACGTGCAAAGCAATCTTTGACACGAACAGAGAAAACGAACATCAACGCTTTCTTCCCCTTGTATTCCAAGCTGGCGGATTGGACAAATGTTGCGCCCACAAGTGCTTCGGTGCAACTGGAGCTCTCCGCTATGGCATAATCACCGTAATACGCGACCACGTCAGAGTCGACAAAGCTTGTCGATGGATGCAGATACCGACTGCCGGGCGGCGACGACATATAGCCGACATTGGATGGCATTAACGTGTTCTGATTCAGCCCCGGTGGAGGTGGCGGCGCTGGAATTGAATACGAATGTGTCCAAGACGCAGGAGTTAAGGTCGACATGGGAAACATGTTCGGCATCGTGCCGGCAGATACCTGAGCGGAGCCGGGATATAGTTCATGGGACATGGAAGGAGGCGGCAGCGGCGGTGGGACGGTATATGAAGATGACAACGACGGTGGCATTGACGAGAAACCCCGGTTGACCTGGGCCGATATTCCCGGAAAGGATGAAGGATGCAAGAGAGATGTTGACATGGTGGACGATGAAGGTGCAGAAGGACTCTCATACTGTTCTTCTGGTCGAAGCCTGGAGCTCTCTACCTGCGGGACATCAGCGTCGTCATCTCCCGGGACTGGGAACAGGTCGACATGACATAGAAGACCGAGGCTCTTAATATCGCTGCAACAGAACAGTGAACACGAACTTCTCTCCGGTAGACGAGCAAGCGTACTCATAGTTCTCGAATTCCTTCTCAATCTCTCTTGGCGTACCAGCATTATACACCTCAAACAGTCGGAACTGGACCACGGGAGGTGGATCAAGGGGTCTCCGGTCTTTCCGCGCATATCTTTGGACAAATCGGTCAAAGGCTTCCAACAGCAAATACCCACAAACGCACTTTCGCCCTAAATCTGCCTTCTGTAGTTCAATTAGCTCTGCCCGTAATGTGTGCCCGCCGAATTCCCCGTCAATGAAGGTGACAGGGTCGCCAATAGACGACGACCCGACTCGTCTGGCTTGCTTAGCGGCTGTCAGACCTACTGATGTTGAGTGTTGAGTAATCGGACGCACAATTAGGCCCGAAGGCATCCGTTCAACCGATGCGCTATCTGGGAACCGCAATGTTGTCTGCATTGGCGCGTGCATGAGTGGCAGTGGTCTAAATTTGGGACAGACCTTGTGAAGTATCTGAGCGTTGAAATTGGTTGAAAGATGTTCAGCGACGAAATTTGTTCGTCTCAGAGCTGGGTTCCGGGACGAAGGCTCTGGTAAGGTGTGAAGTGGGGAGATCTGATGCCGATACTAACGCCAACGTTTATAAGCACTTCACATCCGACTTACCTGTGTGTGGCTTTGTATTGCGCTGTTGAACGCCCGCTTGGAGTATGGCTTTCGGGGTTTGTATTATATTGTAGATGGATAAACAGGTCCATTACGCCGGGGTAGCTCCGATCTTATCATATCTCAGATATTCTGGCCAAAGGTTCGGGAATGGGCTCGTGCCTGCTGGAACACACCTCAAGCTCAAAGTCAACTCGTCCTTTGCTGTTACCTTTACCGAGTCGGAGTCGAAGTGCCTCGCTGCATTTCTGATTGAACCACTCTTCTGAATGCATGGGCTCCGATGTGAATCGTAATCGGAGTCAGACCATGTCCTACTGGTCGCCCTGGTGGTAATCAATCCATGCCACCAATGGTTATCCTGTGGCAAGGGTTGCTACTGTACTGTATTTGAATCCATAGGTATGTTTCACACTCATTTTATTTTGCTTCAATTCGACACCATGACTCCGGATTGATCCCCTATCTCACTCGGTTCATTACGCCAGACGTTCATCGACTCGGAATAATCTGGCGATGGCGTACGGCTTGCAAGACATGATGCCGACGTATATAGCCCCATTATTAGTCGGCTCTTGGCTTCATACGTGTCGCTCACCGCTCTATGAATGGCCAGAAGGATTAGATGCACTACTCGTGGTCAATTCCAGGGTCGCCTAGAGCATGTTCTGGATGGAACAGAATTACTGTACAAGCCGCTCTTCCTCCGCCGCAGCTGCATCTGGTCGCATTCCATTACCCGAGGGCAGGACAGACCTGTCACCAGTTACCAGTCAGATTGTCAGATATATCCTCGGTATTACACATTTCTCTCATACGGAATCTAGTCACGGCTTTTTACGAACAAGGCCTCCTATCGCATCCGGAAGCCAAAGGAATCGTGACTTGGGTCGTAATACCTTCGAGCTTTTAGCGGCTACTGGCAGATCTCTCGCCGTGTCTGCAACGATCAGGCCTTATCCTTGAACTTTGTGCCCTCTACATCTTCATCTGATGTAGTGGTCCCATATATGCTTTCCCGGAAGAATCTACTGTAATTTGTATAAACTCGCCTGTCGGTCAAATCACAGTCATGATCACGGTCCTTCGTACTTACTTACCTAATCGGGCATGGACGCTCGGATACAATCTGTGCCATCTACTAGTCTCGTAACCAGACGTTCACGTGAGCAACCTGGCGGTTACCAAATTGGGCGTTTAAGATGTTGGGTCGCTCCCGATAACGTCTGGTGAAATTTGTATAGAGGGGGGGGGGTATGTCACATGAGCGTGACCTCAGCCAAAACTCGAAACATCCGAACCTGAGCGCGGCACATTCGCGAGTCACCAATGCCTCGAATATGGTCCAAGGTACACGTATGGTCACACACATGAACAAATTTTTCCAGCGGGGTCAGGAGATGCACAGGTACATGCGGGATGACCAGCGTGACACGCGCTGCGCGGGAGCTACAGTGGGGAGAGCGTTACATACCCCCCCCCTCTATACAATTTTCACCAGACGTTCTGACAACCCTTCCACCTCAATTCCCAAAAAGGGTCGAAGGTCAGAACGGCTGGTTCCGAGACTAGCCATCTACATCGGAATTGGGGTGAGCCACATTAATATTCCTTTACTACACATGTACACTATAGCTAGCCACATGTGCTGATCTACATATAAACTAAGTCGGAGCCGTCCGTGTCTCGTTGTGGACAGAATTAACTTTGGCTTCGGTCAGACAGCCGCTAGGTTCGACACAAACCCCTCTGATAATGTCAGAGGGGTTTGTAACAAGGTACCGGTTATTGAAGTCGTCTGCAGGGTGGCGCGGCTAGTTGTTACCGGTTTGAAGCTGGAGTTACAACGCGATACTGATTGATAAGAAACCTAGTTATAACTCACGATAACAGATTTGTAACGAATTGCCCACCCTGCAGACCCCTAGTATTATTAACGGCGTCCACGCGGAACGCGGACGGTGCTTGGTATGAGACTAAGACAGCCGCCAGAGTCGAGATAATTAGGAATACCAACTTGCCAAACACGAGCATTATATGGCGTGGCATACAGAATGCAATAAAATACAGCCGTGTACCACCAGAAGTGTCACCAGTACAATGTTGGTACAGTGCATAAGGAAAACCACTGGAAGAAGTGGGCTACACGGTCGACGTTTATCGACATCATCGAGTCTCCGCCATTTCCGGCCAGAAAACCTCAATCACGACTTTCGAGACAAGGTCGTCGTCATACGCGGCTGGCTGCACATATGAGCATCCGTACCGCCTGCGGAGGTGTGCGCTGAACGTCTCCTCGCGCAACACCTCGCGAGCATTCGCGATCCGTGCCGCGGTCCGTGCACCAAGCTGTTCTGCCTCGTCATCGTCCAGGGGGTGCGGTCGGCGGCACAGCTCCCCATAAGCCGCCGCCAGCCACTCCGGGACACTGTGCTTCATCGCGAGCACGATGACCTCCACAGGGCTCATGGCGTCGAGCTGACCCGAAAGCGCCCGTATGGCCCATCGGCGGACCCGAGCGAACTCCAGTTGCGTGGCGACGCTGAGCAGGATGATCCATTCATTGAGTATGAGCGTTTCTGGCTCATAGACACTGGTGAGACGGACGAGCAGGAGGGTCAATATGCTACGATATGTCTGAATGGAATTACACACCCATAGTACAGGAAGTTCAGAAGGCAGTCGAAGTCGAGCTGAGTGACGAAGCGCAGTATGAATGCCGTTTCGTCACACCTGCCCTCCTCAGGACTGCGTAAGAGAAATAGGCGACGAAAATAGTCCGAATCTTCCTCCAGATGATGGCGGTGCACCCTGTATATGCACCCTTGTACCTAATATTCAAGTTACTGAGGGTCAAAACATCGTTGGACGCTGACTGATCACGACAACTGACATTGAACGTCACCAAGTCGTCGCCCATGTAGAACCGGGAGTGATGTGGACGACGTATTGTTTGAGTCGATAGCTTGGTGGGTTCGCTGAGTGAGTTTCGATGACGGTTCTCAGAGGCTTGTGGACGCGACACGGGCGCGACGATGGATGACGACAAGGCTGCAGCCGATGGAGGACTGAGCGATGCAGGCACCGCCTTCGCGGAACCGTGCAGAATCTTGTGAAGCCTGTTTACCGCCGAAGTAGGGGAAGGCGACATTGGGGATAGAATTCCGACGGTGAGATGGTTGAGGTCCTCATGCATGATGTTCCCCTTGGACGGGCTTGGGGCTACCAACTCCAAAGAGGACGCCCGACTAGACGATCGGGTGGAAGTCGTCACCGGATCCAGCGAAAGAGCGGTGCCTTCGAAAGACGTGTGTATAAACACTGGAGATAACTGGAGGGCAGAGATCTCTCCGGAATGTCTGGAATGTCCGAACTCGCTGCTGCCACCCTGAAACTCAGACGTTGTGAATTTCAGGCCGGGAGGGGAAAGTAAGGAAGGCGATCCAGTCGTGCATATTCCTGGGGAGCTCTGGTCTGTCCAGATTGGTGCACTTGAAGGCGACGTCGCATGATTGGGAGACTGCGGAGGATATAATTCAGGTACGTAGAGTGGGGGCACAGGTGCTCTCAGAGGAGGACTTCTGGAGGTCATTGTGAGGGGGAACAGGAAGGGCACTGTGGCGAGATACTCGACAGCGTCTGAGGGAAGACTGAGTTAGAGGCACACTCACCGCATGTTTTGATCCCGAGTAGATCAGCCATCGTGGAGAACACATGTTCGGGGTATGCCGCTTGTGCATCATTGTGCTGCATTAGTATACTTGTGTTCGTCGAGTCAGCTGAAATATGGCCAGCGGTGTCACCAAGTCAGTGTGCATTGAAGGCGATACTTCGGTCAATATGAATGCGGTACGCGCAGCTCGTGACATGTCATTGCATGAGATGACACGACAAAACATAGGATAGCGGACATGTATCATGAGAAAACATATCGTGTACATGTAGCGGTTTTGGTGCCCTCCCCAGCAACAAGTACATCTAGAACTGCAAATGGGTTGAAGCAAGTGAGCACCCGTCACTCCAGAATGTGGGAGATTACGCACTCGAAGTGGCTGGAAGAACCACTTGTTCTTTCCGCTAGTGTATCTGTCCTCCAGCAACTTCTTAATCTGCTTCCTCGAGTCTTCCCGCTGTGAGACCTCCTTGAACGTGTCCGCAGCCACGACACCCTTCAGGCCCTCCAACTCCAGTGCGTATCGCGTAGGGAATAAATGCGAGTAGTTGACGACCTGACGAGCGGAATTGTCCGCCTAGTGAACATACCATGCCATCCGGACACACAGAACACACGCACCTTGATGAAAGGCTTGACCTTGCTCCGCTTCGCCACCTTCTTCGAGCCCATGCGCTTCGTCACCTTCAGAGGGTAGCGCTCGATACCAGCAACAATCGCGTGGGGGTATGGCCGCTCCTTGGTTCCTTCGTCTAGCTGCTTGATGACAACCACCTTCTTCCCCGCATGGCGGCCTTGGAGGACGAGTGCGACCTAAAAGGGATATCAATATTTTTACGCCGGCAAATTCTATCAAAACCACACTTTTCCGGGCTTGTAAACTACGGGCAGCAGTGTGAGATTCGGTCCATACGCACGATGTGAGAGACATACCTCGAGGCATCTTCAGGAGGGCGAGGGTGCTTTGTTCGTATGCTATGTTCGCGATTCACTAAGGCGAGCGGCAGCCACCCGGATACTGCCGCCGAAGGCTGTATAGCTCATCAGATAAAGTATTTAGATTGATTCCCACGGTTCCCGCGGCGCTTCAGGAATATGTATTTCGGCCATTTATCTGAACAAGCAAATATTCACTGCACACTCGCTTGACCACTTCTCAAGTAAATTCTGAGATTCGTTCACTGTTCCATCGGAGGAAAGATTGGATTTCTCGCTACAAGATGAAAAGGACTCGGAATGCTTCATCAGAGCGTGTCCCTCGTCAGACCGTATCCCGTGGACCTTTTGCCCACAGAATGCCATCAACACCTCTGGCCAGTTCTGCCATCTCGTGAGACTTGGCTTTACGCTGCATGGCACTTCGGCGTAGCGCACCAACTAGATACGATGTCTCGTTCACTGGGTCTAGGCTGAGTCTGTGCACTACAATTTTGTGAAGCCATTCAGTCTACGGTGTGTTTTTCTCTGCTGGTCGCATGACCCAGACAAGGTTTGAATCATAATTACAGTAGCAGAGCCTTCTTTCCGCTCGTGTTACAATGATACTCGTGCCGCAGCTATTTGAGGGAACTACCCTACACGTTTGTGATGTAGTCAACTCATCAGTCATGTTTCAGAAGTACAAGCACGATGTGTGCCCGAACGCGCGTAGAAGCTTCCGTTCCTGACTCCCGAAAGCATATTAATGTTTCTGCTCTTGTCTCTGTTATCCCCAGTTGGACCCGCCATGGAAGTTTCTGCGTCTACTTTGACAATACTGTCAGCGCCGTCCCTACCTGACCCCCCAGACGCGGATGCCCCGCCGTGTGCTCATTCCAAATATTACCTTGAAGATGACCTGGTGATTTTTGTTGTTCGTACTTATCTTATGTCAGTCGTCGTGCGTACCTCTGAATTATTGTTAGGTTGAGAACCACCTCTTCAAAGTCCACCGTTATTTCCTGGTGCGCGAGTCGGACTTCTTTCGGACGATGTTCGAGTTGCCGCCGGGAGAAACGCCAGCGGAGGGTCAGACCGATGATAAGGCGATTCCTCTCCCCGGGGTCACCCGTCGCGAATTCGAGTGTCTGCTTGACTTCCTCTACTATGGGTGAGCAGTCGCGAATTGATGGCTCTTCGTGTCACAATCTGAGCGATGTTGTCGCAGGATGCACAACATTCTTTCTCGCTGTCCGCTTGGGTGAACATTCTGTCCATATCCACTCGATTCATTTGCGATACAATTCGTGACCGCGCGATTCGAGAAATCGACACCTACCCCACAGCCATAGATCCCATTGAGAAGATCGTGATCGCCGTCAAATGCAATGTGCCACATTGGCTCGCGCCATCTTATGCAGCGATCTGTCAGCGGGTCAACCCTCTCGAGGTAGAGGAGGCGGAGAAATTGGGGTTGTCTACCACTGTACTTCTCGCTCGTGCGCGGGAGGCAGTGCGACAGGACGTCGACTCTAGCGCACGGAAGCCTGAGGAGGTAGTATCTTGGTCTCGTGCATCGTCCCCAATCTTAAGACAGCCTTCCCCCGAGCCGATCCTCGACCGAGAGTCTCCATTCCCAGTCTCCGACTATCAGCCTTACAACAGGAGACGCGTCATGGAGGTCGTGCGAGACGTATTCTGGCCACTTCAGCCTATCCCTGAGATTTGACAGTGGTCACCCTCATCCTTGGATGGTTCTGTTTGTGCGCGCTCGATCTTTCTGTCGCGACGTTTGTTACCGGGCGTGCCGTACTAGATGACTTATGGTTTATCATGCTACCTGTGAATAGTGTAGTGATATTGTATAAGGAGACACGTTTATGCTTTGATTGGTGACATTCAATGGCGACACCTTCGAGCAAGTATCGCACTTTGGACCGTCGCGAGAGAGGCATTCTGTATGAATTGATAAATTATAGCTCATGCGCTACTGATATCTATATCAGTTGTGACAGAGATAGACCTATTAGATTGAGAAGTGGATGTGCCAGAGGAATCAAGATCTAAAGATCAGAGATGAGCACAGTCGTCTACTCCGAGCTCAAATACATTACCGTAGCCGTTAGTTACACCTCCAGCTTCTCGTCCCCTGATGTCGTTTACGACACCTGCGGTAGCATTTTGGCTTAAAAAACCGGCGAATCACTGTCGCGGCAGAGCCGCGCGAACGGCACTTACTTACGAGCCCTGCGTCTTCGGCATCGACCTGCTCGTCTACTTTTGCGGCTTGTTCGAGCTCCCACTTGTCACATAGCGAGCCCAATTGTGCGGCCCAACACCACCCTTGGGTATGTGTTTGTCCATGCCGTGCTTCGCCACGGCGTGGTCTCTGATGACGGCACGGGGCGACGAGGCACCCTGGGTCCCAGTCATGCTCAGAGTATGTCATAACTTTAGAGCTGGTGGTAATTAAAGGCTCGCGCACGGAGCAGCTGGATAAATAGCAGAGCTGCACCGTGCCCGGCGAGGATGGTCACGGCTTCAGGAGCGTTCTGATTCGGTTCTGGAACACATCAATCGCAATCGATATTTCTGTCCAACTTGTCCAACAATTCGAATAACAACATCTCAGCGTGCAATTTTGTCCCGAGCTCGGTAAAGTGCGGGCAACGCGAGACGTCGCAGCACGAAATCGATGGTGAGAACGTCGTGGCGTTGAACAACCGTGTATGGAAACACGATCACCTATTACGGAATGACGTGAGGCTGCACAGAGTTAAACAGCACTTGCAGCCTTTGAACTTTTTTGAGCATAGGGACACAAAGCGGGTGCGGGGCAAGAGAATCTTGGTTCATTGCGTCGGCTGCTACGACGACGTTCCTCTTTTCGCCACTTTTTTACATGTTTTGAAGCCACACTAGTACTGCGACGAAAGAACTCATCCGGAAACAAATACGTGGAGTTTATGTCACTCTTTTATGCGAATCCGGCAGCGGATGTATTTCTGTGGAAGTGCAGATCCAGTCTATGAAGCACTGCTCAGTGATCAGTGAGAGGTACTCATGGACACACTGGCAAACTCTCGCCGGAGAGAGGACTTGTTTATTCTCTTCAACAACGGCCATGAACTCATGTTCCTGCCGGTCCGTGATATTCGTAACACATCTTCCTTCAGGCGCGGTATCACGAGTGCAGACGACATCCTTCGAACTAACATCTCGGGTGTCCGTATCAAAGACGTGGAACACCGTTTATAAACCTGCAGTGCATTGTTTGTCGGCATCCACGTCTTCGCCGCTAAGACAATAAGATGAATAAAATTTCTTGATAAAAGTACGACACCATCTGTATTAAAGGATTCGACAGGGTAAGTAGGTGATGGTCGAGTTAATTGCACCAGCAACTACTACAGCGGTATTGAGAACCGCAGAGGAGAGAAACTCTCTATCAGGGTATCTTCGCACATGGGATACAACTTGCTCTCGGTCGCTTCTGCGTCAGGACGCAAATTTGACTTGTGGCCACATGACGATAGTGACCGTACCAACATTGAAGATGCAAGTTCACTCACGGGCGCGGTCAATAGTGCAGCTGAGCCAGTACGACAGGAAGCGCACGGCACTGGCTTCCTCCATTCCAAGGCAGGTCTGCAGAGGTTATCCTCGCCTCGACGTGACATGGAAATTGTGTGAGGAACAGTAATGGTATTAAGTTCTGGCCAGTTCAGTGGCCAGGAAATCAACAAATCGTGGCACTCCAAACATTCGGGTCACAGCAACCTTATCTGGATGGTGCATACGATCATCGGGCTTGGCCGCTGAGCGCTCCCGGGCCAGCGCCAGACTTCAACAAGACTCCCAGCTCTAAGATTCACAATTCCACAAAGCCTTTGGTCACAGGCTCACAACGGATGCTCTCGTGTCCCTAAATGTCTGTCTCGTTGCAGACGGTGCTGCAGTCACTCCTGCGTCCTTCAGAAGTCGTCAAGGTCGCGCTAGAGACGACTCTCGTGCCCATCAACCGAGACCCGGAGACCTCTGAATATGTTGTTGTCAAATCGGACAGACAAGCGAAGAAGATACTCGTCGTTGTATCTCATCTCGATTCAAACAGTGGTAGTGAACAAGGATGGTGAGTGTGGTATCGTGGCTTCCTCAATGAAATTCGCGAAGCTACACATTTTCTGTGGTCTTCGCGCTGTTTTGAACGGTATAGAGTAGTATACCTCAGCCTTGCAGCTTCCAGGGATAGGAATCGTCCAGAAATGTGGAGAACCTAATGAGAAACCGTACTGCACCCCTGACATCATCATGGCTTGGTTCAAATTTGTCTCACAACTCCCTGGTAGAGCAATCGGGTGCTCAGTTACAGTAAAAAACACGGTCTGAAACATTTAATATTGGGGTGGTCTCAGAGCTCTTCGCGTATCTCGAAGTTTTGCAAGGTCCTATTGTCCTGAAGTTAGCCGAAACATTGTTCAATGACCAGGGCATTGAGAAGTTCTCTACAGACTAATGATCATATTGACTTATGTTATTCCCGTTATTAGCGTCTTTGTATTCAAGCCCAAGACACAATTCCACTCAAACAATTCCCTTGAGTACACAATAGAGCACGTGTTTCCAGTTGTTGGTACCTTCTCCATTTCCATGGCCCAACCTCGTCGTGGTCCCGTTGACCTTTCTGCGGGTGCAGTTCTCAATAGGCCAAGGACAGGTATGACCAATCCTTCAAATTCTCCTGGGTTATTTCTTGCTACTTCATGTATCATGCATAGATCCACTGACACATTCACATATTATTTTTAGAGTTCATGCTCACCATCAAGGCTGGGCACGATCCAACCGTGGATCCTCTTCCCTTACTGACAGACAACATACGGGAGCTGCGCTCAGTGATTGCAGAGTGCAAACATTTGAAGGAAGCCTTCCGTATGTCTTCCTGTTGACTTCTGACCTCCATTTCCACTTCTAAAGTGTTAACGAGCCTCTCTCCATACACAGCCGCACAACCCGTATATGACGTTGCCACGACTTTCTCTTGGATCGCACCTTATCTGCTGCAGGACAGCCAGCCACCATTGTGTACGTTTATTCTTCGCCGTGACATGCTGCCTACCGAACTTGTTCCCGCGCAAATCTAGTGTCCCCAATTCCGCCAGATCTGCGCGGTAGCTACAAGCCTGTGCACACGATCCTGTCTCCAGCAAGTGCGGGCTTCCCAGGCGACGAGGCCCTTGATATTGCGTTGATTAGAGAAGACTGGATGCGCAACAAAGTGAGAGAGGAATTAGTAGAGAAGTGCAATGAGAAAGCATCCATAAGGTGTGTCAACACAGTATTCTTCAAGAGAATCAATTGCTCTGCGGGCTCGAGCAGGGATAAATATAATTTATAAGGCATTATCTTCTCAGGATTCGGACGGGCACATTCAATGTGAATGGCAAGATGCCTTCTCAAGATCTCTCTGTGTGGGTCCAAGGAAGAATGCTTGGTGTCACGGAATTGATCCCTCCGCTCGCGGAAATTTCTCCCCTGTCGTTAGGCGAAGTAGTGAAGGACCCCATGGATGATGTATCTGGTGCGCTCTTCATATCACTCTCCCTAGGAACTACTCATAGAGGGTGATAGGCAAGGATATCAAGAATTCTACTTCGGAAGGCCCAACCTGTACTAGAACACTGAGAGTTGAAACCTTAACAACCGCTGACTCTACGCCCTCCTCATCCACTGCCTCTGCAACCGGCACAGTGGTTCAGAATCGCCCAGAACCCGGAATAGATTCGTTAGAGGACTCAACAGACCCCGATCTCATTGTTCTGGCATTTCAGGAACTTGACCTCTCCACGGAAGCGCTGCTCTATTCGACCAAAACCCTGCGCGAAGACGCGTGGTGCATGGCGGCTTTTGCAGGTCTCGGTGAGAAAGCCGTGCTGTATGAGAAGGTAAGGATCATTGGATGTGGTGTGGTGTACGGTTACGGAGATTTTGCCACTTTATGGGCATGCTTTTACATTTGATCCCATTGTTAAATTGTGGACTGCGGACGGAGCTCACAATGAGGTGTTCATGAGAAGTCTGCTCCCAATTGCGGGATGCCGCTGCCACGATTTGTGTGTTATGGACTGCGGACCTGACTTCGGCATGCACAGCTTACCTCTAGACAACTCGTTGGAATGCTGTTGGTTGTCATCGTCAAGAAGCGGCTCAAGATGTGCTTTGGTGACATCAAGACTACGTCAGTGGGTGCGGGTATAATGGGCGTAATGGTAAGCACGGTGACTCCATATGCAACTATGCACTGACGACGATTTAAGGGTAACAAAGGCGCCACGGCGATACGCTTGACGTTCACCCCGGTCGTCGCATCTCACGCCACCCGCCCAAGGCCGCCGCCGACAGTTTTGACATTTGTAAACTCACATTTAGCTGCGTTCGAGGAGATGTACGAAAGGCGCAATGCAGACTTCCACGATTTGTCAAAGCGCTTGGTTTTTGATTCAGGAATTCCTGTGGCTGGCTCACTGGACCAGGGAAGAGGGTATGTTCCCGCAACTATCCAGCTTAGCGTGTTCGAGACAGACGCTTTATTTTGGATGGTGAGTTACAGTCCTGAATAAGCTCGGGTCGACGCGCCCAACGACTCATTGGAATGATGAATCAGGGTGGTCAGTGTCAAATTCGGCATAGCTCGGGAGCAGTTGCTCAACATGTACCACCAGATCTCAACTACAGAATTAATCTCCCTGACATTGATGTTCGGACCCTTCTTTCCTCCGATCTCGGGATTAAAGATCTGAGGGTTCTTTTGAGCTTTGATCAGGTTGGCAGACCGATTTGCGTTTCATCATGGGCGCTAAGTTGGAACGCAGCTAGGGCTGGCAATGCGCACGGGAAAGGCGTTCGAGGGTTTCCATGAACACGCAATCACCCATATCCCGTATGTTGGTTCGCATGGCGCAAACCGCGTTCCACTTTTCTAATCGTCATGTGCAGGTCGTACCGCTTCACCTCGGGTGTTCCAACTGATAGTAGGGGATATGACATGAAGTACGCGCCCAGTCTCCCAAATTAGGCATCGTTGTTCACGTTGTGCAGGCGAAAGCCTGCTTGGACGGACCGCGTACTGCACATGGCCTCATCGCCGATAACGATCAGGCAGCTTAATTATTACAGTTGCCCGCAGATCACAATGAGTGATCATAGGCCCGTATCCGCTGAGTTCGAGCTTGAAGTGTGTTATGTCTTCCGCTGGCATTACAATATTGTCCTTCAGGCTCATAGGGATTTTCTCCAACTGCAGGTTCCTGTAATCAATATGGTGACATATGAGTCATTCATCCATGGTCTATGGCGCGATGTTGCCAGTATGGAGGATTCTGACGACAACTCAGCAAGAGTGCGAGTCAGCAGTACAAGCATCGACTTCGGAAAGATTTCGTGAGCCGTTTCTCTGGATTCTTTGTATTGGATTTGTATCAATAGTACCTTCATTAGTTACAAACGCCGCATGACCAAACACGTAGATCTTGAGAACTTTGGGAAGGTATGCATTGTTTCTCCTCAAGGCGACTTCTTTGCGATCTTTTCCGACAGATACCGTGTACCTTCAGGTTTGTTTCAACAAGCACCGGAGCGGCTGTCAGTTAGTGCATTTCAGCCGTCTTGTTATTACGCTAGTACTGAGTGCTTGACGCGAATTTGTAGACCCCGAGTGGCTTGAGATTCAGTCAAAAGCTGTACGAGGTCCTTTTACCTTATCGGCCTGCAGTTGAAAATTTTATTGTTTTTGGTCTCGCAGGGATTGCTTTTGCCCTGTGAGAAGACAACTATCGCATTCTCCGTGTACGTGGACCATCGTGTAGCTTCTCGCCTCAACATGGGACCCGTCGATCTTGAGTGGACGCTCATCTTACATGTGGCGCTGGGAAAAGATCATTTTATCTCCGTTAACGGGCAATATGGTAACTGCGTGTTTGTTGCATGGTCACCCGCACTCACCGGTTCACGCTTCTAGAGCGTACCTGCTTTGCCATGACCCTTGCCCAGCTCACGCGACTGCCTAGACCCGCTCGTGCTCTCAGGACGGCGGACGAGCTGTTACCAGAAGACGCTGCCGTTGCGGCGCCCAGGGAGATTATGCGATTAGTGAATTGGCTCATGAGCAATGCTGTTGAGGTGGTACGTAATATTGCATTGGTTTCTCATGCACCCACTAAGATGGCATAGAAATCCCAGGCTGGACTATTCGTGGAAGCCGCAGAAGAGGCCCTTGTTGATCGCATACATGAGGTAGTGATGGATGGGTTTCCCTAGCAAGTTAAATCGCTTACGCGTGTACACAGTGCTTGGATACAGGGGCCGACCTCGACTGTGTAGAGCAATGCAAAGAATCTCGGTTTGCTTTGGCAGTCGGAGAATGTCTTCTTCAGTTGCTGGCGGCACTGCCGGAGCCGGTCGTCCCCATTGACTTGCATCCAAGATGCGTCCAAATGACTAGTAGAGATGAAGCTTTTGAGGTATGATTACTAACGGTAGCGCCGCCAAGCACTGACTGATCATCTGCGCCTCCAGCTTTTAAATGAATTCCCTAAGGAATCGGTGAACGTGTGTCGTGGTTGACTGCCCAGCGCTATTGTGTGTAACCACTGATAAACCGATCAAAGGTCTGGATATCGATAACGGCTTTCTTGTATTTCATCGGTCAAATCTCGTCGTCCCCGACAAGGACCGAATTGCTCGGTACGTGCACCCTTCGTACGTACGTTCATTGATTGACCGAGCTTCCTTGCCTAAAGTGGCCAAGTTCTCATCGGTGCTTCTGAAGGACGACGATACTTCGATCATACCAGTATCGATTGTGGGCAAGCGCAATTTCCTGCGGTATTTTGTAGAATGATGCCGGGTACTGCAAGCACATTGACAATAATCACAGTTGTATAATGAAGCACAGCAGAGCGTGACGAGCAATAATAAAAATGCAGCAGTATCGAATGTAGGACAGTTCGAAATACACAGCACTACGAGATACAGCGGGATTAGATTCGGAATTAGATTAAGAGAAGGTAAGATGTGCGTGTGTGGGAAGGATCCTGTCCTGATTACTTGCAATCTTGCTAGTAGATTATTTCGGAGTTTGTCCGCTGCAATATCTCGTGAAGCTGAAAATTAAAGGTCAAACAAAGATAGACACTTACACTGGGACATAGGTACACGGTATACCTCGACGATTACAATTAGAGCAAGTCTGGCGGCCATCACACTTCAGTTTGCGGCCTAGAATAGATTCAATACGATAGACAGCTGGCAAAGTCAGGTTGCGCACCTCGGCAAAATTGACAAGCCATAGGAGTACGACGAGGGGTTCTGGGAGTGTCGTACTCATCCTCAGAGTCGGTATGTTCGTGGGGATTCTGGCTCGTGCTCGCCTAGCATGAATGAAGATCAATTGAGACATACTGTTAGCAGCAATGCCAAAGAACGCACTTGTGCACTCATTGCTGCAAGATCTCAGTGAAGGCAAAGAAAGCTAGTATGAAAGAATTAACGAAAGATTGGATATGATGCAAAGCTTGCGATACGGACGAGCCTTTATATCAGAGCATGGGGTCCGCGTCTCCTACTTCATAGCCACTTCAGCTTTTCCGCAGTGCAGGATATCCATATTTTTCGACGTTGCTGCGCCTACAGACAGAAAACAAGATAGACCAGATAAGGCACGTACACAAGCACTCTGATGTACTGAGTCCACCTGCTGATAGGTTAGAAACCGGAGCTCCAAAGACAGCGCCAGAATCGCATCATACACCGCAGAACCCGGCATCGGCGTTAGGGACCTACAGCGCGAACACGCAGAATTAGAGACTGGAAACACAAGTGTTCACGCCGCCCGGACACGGAACTTTTGATGGAAAAGGCACAGCACCTCATCCAAAGCCTGCAGAGAATCCAGCGCTGGATCCTTACGCGTGGCGAGAGTCAACACGAGCAGGTTTCCGCAATACGCCGACTCGGAATTGAGAGTTGCGCTACGAATAGTGTTTGGCATCCCACAATTAGTGCCGTGGATATAAGATGAGATAAAACCGAAGTTCGGAGGACATCTCTGTCAGGTACGACGTTAGCTTCTGGATCTGCAGCTGCGCAGGAACGCGACGCGTTCACGGGAGGAACAAGCGGTGTTCTCACTGCATACAGTGATGCCCGTCGTCAAGTGCAGCCATAAAGCAGTTTGCGTAAGCCACTCACTGAAACACCCCCATGGCGCTCGACGGGGGTACTGACCTGCCGGATCCTGACACGTATGTTGACACGCACAGAGACTGCGTCTGGTATGCTGCATTTTCGAATGACCGCATCAGTCAGCGTCCCGACACTGACAAATGCGCAAGAGGAAACATGATTTCTTGTCGGGCTCGGGGTCACAAGTGGATCGTGTGCTTTCGGATCGAGTCATTCCAGAGATAGCGAGTCGCGCAGCCAGCACACCGAAGATCGAACAGACGCACGGGAATAAATTGCCGAGGTGTGGTACAAACATGGTGAATAATGCAGCGCTCAAGAAACATTTGGACGCCCACAGTCGCTCACGTGGCACGGGAAAAGATCGCAGGAGGCGCTATGATGTTCCCCGGAACAGATTGAATCCTGCGGCTTGTCCTGTGGAGCTAGGATATGTGTCATCGTAATCCGGAGGGGAATAGACGATCGGCCGCGGACCGCTCGAATATGCAGTCGCAATCCCCACAAATTCGCGCTGTAGAGGCCTCTCACAGTCCTCAGCGTGTGCGAATGCGACTGCCTTGAGGGGATACAGAGCCACGGAGTACTACGGCCGGATCAGAAGCCGGCAGACATAGCTATCGCTCGTTAGGCGACACTCACCGAAAGCTTGAAATCACCAAGCTCGCAACTGGGCTTCAATGCAAGACCTGAAACGATGACGTGTTCTCGTCACAACTTCAGCGAGTTATTGAGAACGGACAGATCATGCCTAAAAGTATCTCTCCGTGAAGGGTTCGCTTAGATACACTAGCGTTTCGGCTTTCAGGTGCCCACCACAAGGCTGTCTTCACGTCCTGGACTGTAGGCTCGTACGGCACGCCACGGACACTCCTACTATTCATGTCACTGATGTTCGCTAACCCCATCGAGATGTGTCGGCGCAAACGGACGATGACGGCTTTCGGTGACGACAAAACGTCGAGGGCTTGAGAATCCCCGGTCTCGATTGTCATCATGCATGGGATTACACTGCCCCTCGTATAACACAGCTGACGGATGTGTCCACAAAGATTGGATAGGCATGGGGGGATGACATGAGAGCACCTACAGGTTTCGCGAGCCAGAGCTGGCGGAGGTGGATCAGGAATCACATCCCTGCCTGACCTCATGTGAGGCTCACCGTGCAAGTCACTTATACGGCGCGAGCGTTGAAAATCGACCCTCGTATCATCACCGGATTCAAGGCAAACCAGCCTTCTGGATCCCCGTCAGGTCCAATGAGCGGGCTGCGCTCGATGTACGCAATTTGACGCACCATCGATGGCGGGTCGGGCTGTGTAATGGGCGTGTACGAGAAGACAGTCCCGAGGCTGTTCATGCATCGTGAACATCAGTGACAGGCATCCCAAATTAATTTCACGCACTCGCTGTCCACACGAAACCTCCCGCGACGGACGCGCACGTTTAGCCTGTACTGGATGTGCACCCGCGCCATCCGCTCCGAGAACGACGGAGGGAGACGGTAAGCTTTCGACGAGCCCCCTCCCAGATTCAGGGTGACGTGCGGGGGCATGGTGAGCGAGAACGTCCACGCATGCATCCCGCGAAGTCTCCCACCTGCGGATAAGGAAGGAACTGACGCCGCAGGATTAGTAGATGGTGCGGAGTATAGATTCTGGGATAGATTAAGGAAATTGTAGACGTTAATTGTGGACTCGGTCATCTGGCCCTGGATCTGAGAACGTCATAGTAAGTATGGACTAGAGTAAGATGAGATCGTGCGGCTACACGCTAGGAGGAAGACGTTGGAAATGCATTCGGATGAAGCATGAGTAGGTTCACGCGTTTCATGTGTATGTGGACGTCCCACCGTGGAGAAGCACGATAACATCAAGACAGACGGACTGACTAACTGACCACAACTGTGATAGATTTGATCGTTTCCTCCCTCTCGAGATTGAGCTCGACAGCACCTGCAATAGCCTCGTCTTCGAACAGGCTTGGGAGATGGGCAGGGGTGGGAGAGTGGCTTGGTACCTTCAGCGTCAGCCACCGCCTCTTGTTGCTGTTTGTGAGAGTATAACGATGCTCCGTGCGGGACCTTGTTCCCGTGTTGGTACCGCTGGCTCTGTTGTATCCAGATGTACCGCTGCCTGCAGCATAACCCGGTAACTCAAGATCTGTGGCGACTGGCGGGTGGGCAGATACTGACGAAACGTCCATGATAGGTGGGTGCTGATAGATGACTGGGCCACTGATCCCAGCTTTATATCCAGTGCAATGTGATCAGCGCAGAGGAGACTGAACCTTCCACGTAAAGAGCCGCCCTACAAGCAACGGTCCATGTGCTCGCGATGAATGACCATGTTGAAAGACCATGAGGAGCCTGACGAACTTGACCGTGCAAGGGCCCTTACCACATGTCTGCACGCGCGCCCTTGATGCGTGCGGCAGATTCGACAAGACGGATAACGGAATATCTCTTTCAATGGTAGTATGCAGCTGCCGCAACGCTGGCATACGTTACGGCAGCGCAAGTTTGATAACTTGGAATGGTGATGGTGGTACACGATTTGAGGGAAGGTAAGGTGGTTTGATTACAGAGTTTGTGAGCGTGAGAAAGGCTTCCATTGGCTCCTTCAAGACTCCAGCGTCTGTCGGCCTTCCCCTTCTCACAAAACTCTTCTTCACTTCCTCCGGCAAGACTAAAGCGCGCAGTTGTTTAGTTGTTTCTCTGTTATCATGCAATTCTCTCATACTTCCCAGATTGAGCTCTAGCTTTCTGTAAAGAGGAGTTTCATCTGGGATTGAGTGGATTGATTCAGCAGAGTTGGCATACTGTATACGGGTCAAGAAGTCTTCTCAGTCCCGACGTCACTGGCCACTGGCAGGAGATAAGCAATGCCCTGTTTGATGATGGACCTTCGCAACTCCCATGACTGCAAGACCGTCCGCATAGAACCTCCGTCATCAGCGCTTGCTGCACTCATCAGGAAGGGTTCGTGACAACGATAAGTATTAATTGTCCTGCTCAGGAGCAAAGGACTGAATCTAATGCTGTCTTGCAGTTAGCACTCTCCAATGTATGATGGTCTAACTTGAGCAGTACTGGGTACGTTTGTTTTCCATCTCTTATGTGACGTTATCGGCATTGAAGTCACGCCTCCAGGCATCGTCCATATTTTGAAGTAGAAAGCAGGTATCTGAGGGAACACCAAACGCGTTCGTGGGCCTGAAGCAGGTTGCTACCATCTGTTGAGCCCCGAATATTTCGACTTGTTAGCATGCTGTATGTTCTCAGAAAGTGCTCGTACTGCACTCGGGATTATTTTCCACGAATTCACTGCATATTTAGAATATTCGTCAGCAGGTCAATCTGAATGCAGTCCCCCAATATACGACATATCACGCATAGGATTAGTGTGAGTTGCGGGCTCTCCAGTATCATCAATTGTGTCTGCCTGCCAGCTGCCTTCCAAGCCTCAAATTTCGGACTCGTTTGCGACGCGCTTCCCGAAGGCTTTATAGGAGCGTTCCATACATAACAACAGCCGCGACATGTCATGAATGATTGAGTATTACCTTTAGTGTTTCCAGTCAGAGGGTGTGCTTTTCCGAACTGAGAAAGAGCTCTCTTATATGTCCTTGTTGGACTCATGCATGTATATTTCGCAGAAAAGAGTGAATTTCGGGAAAGGATGGATAGCAACCCTAGCGTGTATGACCCTAACCTTGTGCTAGGTGCCTGAAGGCCGGAATCGGAGGCGTGACCAGCCGGCCCTCCGGAGCCCAGAAACTTCTGGTGATTTCTTTCTGCCTTGATTTTTGGCACTCGTGAGCTAAATACTCAACCGCAGCGTATGTATGCTAGCTTGGACTGGTGTGCTAGATATCTCCTAGAAACTCACTCAACGTGTCCGAAGGCATACGCGATCTAAAATCTCGCGATGGCGTCCGAGAAACCGCTCACTCTCACGTATTTCGACATCACAATTGGCGATAAATCCGCGGGGCGTGTAGTCTTCAAACTGTACGATGATGTAGTCCCAAAGACTGCAGAGAACTTCCGTGGGTTCTGTTCTTTTGATTGTCGCGGATAGTCTGTGATGTGTGTTACATGGACAGGCGCGTTATGTACAGGCGAGAAGGGCAAAGGCGCAGCAGGGAAGGACCTATGGTACAAGGGTTCGACGTTCCACCGTGTCATCAAAGGGTATGTCCCAGATCTGCAAACATCATACACAGTGATCGACCCGTACGTGCAGTTTCATGATCCAAGGTGGTGACTTTACCAATCACAACGGCACGGGTGGCGAGTCGATCTACGGAGAGAAGTTCGAAGACGAGAACTTCGAGCTCAAGCATACGAAGCCGTTCCTGCTCTCTATGGTGCGTTACTCTCTCTTCATCCGCTCGCACACGCTCAACACCTCCCGTCGCAGGCAAACGCCGGCCCGGGCACGAACGGCTCTCAGTTCTTCATTACCTGCTTGCCGACGCCGCATCTCGATGGGAAACACGTCGTCTTCGGCGAGGTCATCCGCGGCAAGTCGATCGTGCGCGCCCTCGAGAACCACCCCACGGCCTCGGGCGACGTCCCCACCGAGCCGTGCGTCATTGCGGATTGCGGGCAGCTAGCGCCCGACGACCCATCCCTGGTCGCGTCCGGCGCCGCTGAGGACGGAGATCCGTATGAGGATTTTCCAACAGACCAGGAACCCGTTGACGGCCAGGACGTGGCCGACCACCCAGAAGTTGCTCTCAAAATCGCTCGCGAGATACGCGAGATCGGGAACAGGCTTTTCAAGGAGGGCAGGGCCGAGGCAGCGCTGTCGAAATACCAAAGTGCGTCGCTGATATTTCTCCTTTCTGTATCCCTGATTTAATGTGAAATGACTACGGTGTTGTTGCTGTGTGTGCAGAGTCTGTACGATACCTAGATGTGCATCCCATCCTTCCGGAGAACGCGCCTCCAGAACTGAAGGACTCGTTCGACGCGCTAATGGCGCCACTCCTGCTCAACTCTGCGCTTGCTGCGCTCCGCGCGGGCGGCGCCGCGCACGCGCTCATCGCACTGCGGAGTACGGAGCGCGTTCTGAAGAATCTGCAGCTGAATGATGCGGACAAAGGTACGTCCCCTTCTTCGGGAGGAAGCTCCAGGGGAACACTCCACTCTGCTTCAGCGGACATGTGCTGATGCCCAGCAACAGCCAAGGCGCTCTACCGCCGCGCGCTCGCACGCGGCGTGTTGAAGGAGGACGACGCAGCGGAGGAGGACCTTGTCCAGGCGAACGAGCTCGTCAAGGACGACAAGGCGATCCTGTCCGAGCTGGAGAAGGTGCGCCAGCGGAAGAAGGAGAAGAAAGATAAGGAGCGGAAAGCGTATAAGAAGTTGTTTGCATAGCGGGTGGTACTGGGGGCGTCTACTCGTCTAATTTTCTGTGTGGCTCAGGGAAGCGGAACTAAACTTTTGAGATTGTATAACATCTATCTAGTTCAATATAGAAATATCTATCATTGGACTCGACAGAAACAGTCTCGGAAAGGTCTTTCATGTAGGAGCATTTCTCACAAAACTAACAGGCATTTGTATGCTGTGAGGTATGCACGTAAGTCTCACAGAGAAACCGAGATACGTCACGACCAGAGCTCCAGGTACGCATGAGAGGAAGGGGTAACGCTGAAATGGCGAACATCAAAGTAGCTCAAGACATAGCATATAGATCGCAACGGGAATGTTCTGAGCGTGAGTTGAAACGGGAGCTAGTTGAGAGTTTCGCTAGTTACGTTCAAGCCTTGTTAGCTAACAGCTCTCCGGATGCGACTTTCAGTCGAAGAAAATGCCTCCATTGATGTTGATACTCTGGCCTAGTCACCACATATTCGATCAGCCAACTTGACAGCTACGTACAGATTACGCCACGTACCGCTGACGAATTGAGATTCTGGTTTTACGAGGTAGGAGACCAGATCTCCGATGACGGAGGGCTGTGCGCTTGGAGTTTCCTTCCCGAAACCCACCTTCTCCACCTGTACAGCTGCAATGAACTACGTTTCACTAGGACAATGGCGAGATACCTACTGTGCTTGAACTTCCGTCCTTATCGGTCTGTTTTACTGTCCAAGGAGGTCTGTCAAGGTCTGTAACTGTGCATCAACGTTCGGACGCACACATTGGTGTGTTAATAAAACCAGGAGAATAGCTGTTGACAGTGATGTTGTGCTTCGCCCATTCAAGCGCTATAAAGCAGTGTTGAGAAAGAACACCAGCTCAACCGTGAATTCAATGAGAAAAAGAAGACCGAGATGGACGCACCACAAGTTTGAGTAAGTCCACGTACTGCAAATTTTGATGCGCAGTATGCAGAAAGGTTGATCATTCCTGCGTGTGTGAAGTGCTCATGAATTCGAGTGCCTGCGTTGGCGGGTGCTCCGAGACCTACCCGTCTTGCCAGACAAGGAACAAGCGCCTGGAGATGACTGATCAATACGCGCAAAACGTGGCAGCTAGGCAGTACCAAGAATGACTGACCTATAATTCTTCCGCCCCGTCCCTGTTTGATCATTCGGATGGCCGCATACTTGAAGCACAAGAAGACACCCTTAGCATTGACAGACATAACGCGATCATATTCTTCGACAGAAACTGCGGCCCTCGATCAGCATCGCAGTTTCCGAAGAAGACAAGATGCAGACTCTCGACAGCAGGCTTCAACACGGTGATGCCTGCGTTTGCAACCATCTGTGAGTCAACAAAGTATTCAGAATAAGTATGCGGTACTTCATTTGGACACAAATGCATACCACGTCCAGTCCGCCGAGTGTCTCTACGACCTGATCAAGCATGACCTTCACATCATTTTCGCTCGACACGTCTCCAGTCACAGCGAGAGAGCGTCTGCCTTTTCGCCGTATCTTCTCGGCAACCGCTTTGAGCGATTCTGCCATTGAAGGAATATCGTTCACGGCAACGTCAAGCCCATCTTCTGCAAGACGCAAGGCGATGGCCTCTCCAATTCCTCGAGAGGCACCGGTGACGATGGCAATGCGCGTAGTAGACATTAATAAAGAGACGCTGGTGAAAAGGCATCGCTCTGGAACTGCGTTTTAAGGCAGTTCCTGCATAACTAGTTCAGTGTCAGCAAAATGCCGGCGTGGCCTGTCAAGCGTTCTCATGACCTATTGGTCAACGTTGATTTGGCGATCTGCGGAAGTCCTAGTTTGATTTGGGAAGATAGACCTCTGTCGACGTTGTAGTTCAAGGAGAGGTCTGCCGAAGCACCGGTGACGTTACCAGATGACCGTCGAATGTGCATGACTTGAGATTTGAGCGGTCGTGCATATTCTTTTGACACAGTACCGTAAATAGCCTGGAGATATAGTTTCAACTAACAGAAATATGCCAGGGTTAGTGACAGCAGGCACACACTATTAACGTGGCAGTGCCTCAAGGGTTTGTGGGTCTACCGACAGTCTTGCTCTTGTTGAAAATAAGTACGGCGGTGTAGGAAATGCAGAAGGTCCAGAATAGAACACCCGCAATGCCAACCTGTGATGCAACAACTGTTGGTGGCTGAGATCCCATGTTCTTCAATCTCGGTCATCTGAGATGCATAAGAGCCTGGCCAGTGCCTGAATCTCTTGCCTGTTTATAGGGAATATTGTAGTCATACATATCAGCTGGTATCACCATGCGAAGGGAGAAACCTAACAGTGACATCAGCTGGCCAATCACGGCATTCGAACTTCAGTGCTATCTCCATTTCCGTAGCAACAACCCACTTTGGAGAGATTCCAGGCGATGCTGGATGTTTTGCTTGGTTGTTGTAGGATAAACTTCGTTGTTGTCAACGATGAGGATAAGACCGTCGGCAGCCTGAGTGCGCCAAACACATAGTAATGTAGGGAATGTGCTTAACCTGCTGAAAGATGGCAATGTCGACCGCCATGGAGGCGGCGCGGCCAGAGATCACATTTGTAGATTCACATATTGATATCCTGAGGACAGAAGTGCACAGTGGAAGCAGGACAGAACGAAGACAGACCGTGGACATCAGTTTGTGCTCTGCACAACGCACCGGCGATAACCACAGATATTACGAAACTATGGCTAGCTCGCGAACACACACTACGAGGAGAATAAGTCTCAATACGGAGACGAAGTGCCGAAATTTCACCGTCAGAACCGTCCCTGGGAGGGCACCTCCGTCAACCATAACGGCAGCACCTCGTCCTCGCCGACCTACGAGAACAGCCTTGACGGCTCAAAGGGGGCACATGTGTCATGGGTGACACCCATGCTAAGGATATCAACCTTCTCCAGCTTGAGCACGCGGAATCGCACCTCGCTGCGTGTGCACGCACTCGCCAGATCAGCGAGCTCGGCGTGATCGCTTTGCACGACGACTGAGAGAGCGTCAAGCTCACTCTGGCCCTGGCGCACACGATCCAACACTTTGATGGCATCCTGCACTGGGAAAGGATGCCGATAGGTGCCTTCCAGCTGGAGTGTGCGCAGACCGCGAGGCAAGCGGTCGAATATGGCATTGCTGTAACTCCCGTAACCGCAGTGCAGGTGCAGGAGACATGGGAGGTGCGCGACAAGGTCGTCGATGAAAGGAGTTGATGGGATATGGTATGATTGGATGGCGAGGGTCCGGACACGGCTGGCGTGGCGCTGGATGACCATAACCAGCTGTTCAATCTCATCCTGAGCGAGACCGGATCCCGAAATGTCAAGATCAATGTGATCCAACTGGGGCCCAAGGATGGTCAGGAGGTGGCCGATGGTAGAATAATACTGGTATGCGCCAATGCTCAGCCGTCTGAGTTTTGGTATGGCACCCAGCGTCACTGGGCCCCATTCCCTTCGCAAGTGGAAGGAAAACCATTCCAGCGATGGGAGTTCCAAGCAACTGCGCAATGTCTCGGCAGATGTCACCAATAAGCCACGAATCATTAGCTTGGGTACCGTACGAACCGCCGGAGATCGGAGCACCAATTGTTTGAATTGGTCGTTCCTCCCGAGCAGCTTAACTGCCACTTCTCGAAGTCCATGTTCGGGTATCAGCTCCAGCCAATCGAAGATTGCAGTGTCCCTTGTGGCGAGTCCAGAAGTGACCGCTAAAAACCGTACACAATCCCGTAGATGCGGACAGGTGCGCATCGTATGAGCAAGCGAGGAAGCATTTGGCGCGTCTGATTTGAACGACATGCGTGCATACAGCAGCCGACGAGCGGTTGGGCTCCAATCACGACAAACCAATGCTACTTGAACCAGATCTCCCGGTGTGGCGTAGTGGAAGATTTGGTACAAAACGTCCTCGTTCCAGCGAGGCGCAAGTACAGCGGGAGGTTTTGTCCTTCTCAGCTGAGAGAAAACGGCTCGCAGCATATCCGAGAACATTGCTATGATGGACAACCAAATGGTCGTGCTCTGTCGCACAGGATCACCACCTTGAAGCATACTGAGAGAGAGTGGGCGAAAGCGGTAGATGTGAAGCAAACGTTGCAACGAATCTTTTCTGCAGTTTGGTTATTCGGCGTTAGACAATATTGGCATGTTTAGGCTGTGGTTGAGAATCCTACCTAGTCACTTAAAGATATGACAGGATATGGTATTCGAGAGTATAAGGATGTTGGAAGTACTTGTCTATGAGGTGGACTACAGCTAGGCGTGCCTTGTTTGGTCGGGTTACCATACATGTTAACTTGACCTAAGTACATGCTTCCGAGTCGTGGGCCCCGAACTTGACAGTGGAAAAACAGACACAGAACCAAACGAAATGCATGGAACTTCATTGATCTCATCTCTGTGCTGACTGTACTGCCTATCAGAGACTGGCCGCTTATGTGCACATGACGGCAGCGTGGGTGGAGAGATATTCATTTTCCAGGTTACATTCACTTCGATCAAAATAACTGGAGGGCTTCACTCGAGAGAACCGTACAAGTGGCAGACAAAGTAGTAAATGGCTATTGCGAGAAGGTAGAGGTTGACAACAACAATTCACTGGCCACACCTATGTTCGGTGTCAGCATCTTCGGGGGTACCAAGCAGAAAAGACAGGCACTCACAGCATAAGTGGAGCATAAACATCCTTACCCACAATGTCTACCAGCGGCATGTTGGTAGGGTCAAGAGTGATCATAGTCTTCGCTGAAAGCTCCATAGCATACCGTATGAGAGCAAGCAAGAAGTCCGCCCAGGCACACACAACGGCAGGATCAATAGTGCCTTCGTGCTGGCGGAACTCGATGGTCCCATACTTCGATACACTGACGAAGTTGACCTTGTAATCCCGCATATAATTCATCGGCTTGTTATCAGAGTCAAGGAGATCATCGAGGGCGGGATTCATCATGCATGTCAATTGCTTCACATCACGAGCGGACAGAATATGTTCAAGTACTTCTGATGTCTCGTAATCCACGAAGAATAAATTAGACCTGTTGCTTCTGAGCATGGTATTGGTTATACCATGCCCAGCTGAACGATGGGCTGGGTGCAGCTCATCAATCGCTTCTATAAAGGTGGATAGAACAATAAGCAACATAAAATACGGCGGAGGCAGCCAATAAACGTACTCTCGTAGAGGATAGTGATCACTGCAATCTTCTTGAGCTCGTCCAGGGTAAACGTCTGCCCTGGAGCCTTGCCGATACCAATATGAACATGGTATCCGGTACTCTCATTCGTACGCAGTAGCACGGTGCTGCATACGGAACCGAGAACATCACAGATTTCGCTGTGCCAGGTAAGGCGAGTGACCGTGTCGGCATCGGTGAAGACGGGAGATATAAGCTCGACACCCTCCATCCGCCTGGTGAAAGCCTCTCTGCCTGGAGCGATGGAGTAGTCTTTAGCAATGATCCACGATGTCTCGCCGGTGGAGGGCCCATCATCCGAGACCTTGGCGGTTGCCGGGTGAGGGCCATTAGTGATCGCCTTGGCAATCCTGTCACGAGCATCATAGCCCTCCGCAACAGCTTCAAGCTCGACACCGAGAGTGAGCAACTTCATGGTTGGGGGAAGTTTTATCGAGGGATGGAGAAACGCACCAGTCAAGACCGCTCATATACGAGACGATTGGAGTCCCGGGCGTCCACCGAAAATCGGCTCTCGTCCCGGTATCAAGAAATGTCGTAACATCAAGCCAAGGTCAGGCCATACATAACACACTTACAGGGAAAAAAAGAGGAGCTGTAAGTAGACAGGTCCTATGTAGAACAAGGGTACAAGCATTTTGGGGTTCTGTGGACGATGTGGCATCGGTGGAACTTACTGTGAAGTGTCTCGCGTGTCCTCGTGTATGACTTGAGCATCGATTTCCAAAAGCGCGGGCAGCCAGATAAACATGTGGTACACCAGGACAAGAGAAGGGGGAAACGAGCGGAGATGTGGAAGCAGCGAGAGCACGGAGATGTGCGTCCCAGTGTAGTATTAGCCTGGGTCGAGTCAGCCATGAATAGTTGACCTGGGTATTTCCACATGCTATGATAGGGAGTCAGAGTTCAAGAGAGGTATGTTAAAACAAAACAGGATGCATGCGAAAATCAGCCTGATGTGGAGTCAGCAATCATACTTCTGGTGGAACACGAGTTACTTCGGCCCTCGGAAACAAATACTAAAACAGAGAAGTGGACATTCACGCCGTATCAGACGACGCGTACTGGAGAAGAAAGAAATCAGGGACGGTCACATTCCGGTCAAGAAGGCTTTTTGCCTACCTTTGAAGAGCAAGGACATCGATAAAGGCGTTGAAATCATCCTGAAAAGCCGTGGTGTGCACATGAGAACTCACCGCACAAGCAGCTTTGCCAGAAGCTGGGGCAGCTGTTGTCTCCTTTAAGCAGACTACAAAGATAATCCCTTACTGAGTAGGAGAAGGCGGGGTTATTAGGGTCAGGCGTATCAAACCTTGATCAGACCTGCCAGTGGCCCACGGTCGAATCCTTCTCGGTGACTCGGGCCCGGATGGTTTGAGATCAATTTAATTTTAAGACTCGTGAATCACGCAAACAGAGGGCGGTCGTTAGGATTCGATTGGCGCCCAGCGGGCGCCTGGTCACGTCACGTCCAGCGTGAAGTTAGTTTGGATCCTTGAAATCCAATTACCATCGTTGACCCGGATATGCCAAAATTTGGCACTTCTGGTCCCGCCGCGCAACACCTGGCGCGATAGTCTCCGGCAACCCATATGATATGGGTATGGCACGTAGAATACAACAGGTGGTTTTTCTGGATTTTTTCGAGCAATGTTGACCATCATAGAGAGATGCCGCTGTGTGGCACCAGCCAAGTACAGTCCTGTGATTGCGAATTTTTTGGGATCCGAGCAGGCCACACATACTTATCAAAAATTTGGAGCATCAAGCCCAGTGGAAAACGCGTATTGTGAGATCGCAGCAAGTCGCACGAGGTCGTGGCTGTGACCAGCTGCGACCAGCCGCGAAAATTTGGACTATATGCGATCTTGCGCGAGCCCAATCAAACGTGGTCGCAGGCTAGCACAGTGCCAAGCGGGAGAATCGAGGCATTTCGCATCTAGTCGAATATTAAGCTGCTGTATAATAATTGTATTGTCGTGATTTAATACACTGTGACTACACTCGACGTCGTGTGAGCACCCTCGCCGTCGTGCGAGCTCCTGCGACATCGCGCGATCTACTTCGACCTGCTCCGCTCACACCCCCGCCCCCGCTCCCACCCCTGCCTGCGCCCCCGCCCCCGTTCCCGCCCCCGCCCCCGCTCCTGCCCGTACCCCCGCCCTCGCACCTACGCACCCCTGCACGCACGCGCACGCCCATCCCCCTGCCCGCGCACGCACCCGCGCACGCACCCGCGCACGCACCCGCGCACGCACCCGCGCACGCACCCGCGCACTGGCGCGCAACCGCACACATCCGCACTCCCTGTGTTCGCCGTCGTCCCCGTTTTCACACCTGGATGCTGCCCAACACCTGTAATATAAGTAGAGTTAGTGAATATGTGTCATAGCATAGATAAAGAATGAGATAAGGTAGAGAGGTCTGCTACAAAGTCGGTGCAAGCGCAGCTGTTCACGCTCAGGCTGACTGGATAGTCGAGGTCGTCCAGACGGCTTCTCGCGCTCGAAGTGTGCATAAAGGCCCGGCGAGCTCGTTAGTCGGGGTCGTCGGAAGAGAGATGTGTGACCGCGGAGCCTGCTACAGGGGGCGGGGGGTTTTGGACGCCGCAAACGAACCTCTCCAGTGCGAGACGATCGCCTCGGTGCGCTCGGTCCTCGCTCGGTCCATGTGCCCCCCGCCCGCGCGCCCAAATATCGATCCTCTGACCCCGGATTTCCCGGTATATGCGCCAGAAGTCGACGTGCCGTGTCCGCATCCACATCCTTGTACTCACCTGGTCATCCTAACTTGCCCCATCCCCCCACTTCTCAACTTCTCGATGCGGGTCATGTCTATCGTGCGCGCCGGGGTCGCGAATCGGCGAATGCGGCGCGCGGACGGGACTGCTCGGATGTCTTCGTTTGGCTTTGGAGCCTGGAATGCGGCACGCGTACCGCGCCCAGCCGCTTGAGATTGAGGGGCTAGTCAGTGCCCCCCAATTGAAGGCGCAGATGGAAAGATCATGGGGATCTCAACGAATGTGGATAGTATCGGATCGCCTTCTTATCGGAAGATTAGCATAACATGATCCACACTTGCACGTAGGCAGTACTTACTACCGTAATCAGCAGCAACGCTGCAAGTACACCAGAGGGGGTCTCTCGACCATCTGATAAGTAAATTTAAGGACATTTCAGGTGCCTGGATGCCTGACACAGAAACTGTCGCCGTACCTCGTCAATAGGGGCACATCAGAGGATTACAGTCAGGAAGACGAACACACATTCACATAGTCCGGATGTGTCGCAATGCGCACCACGCGTGCACCAGAAAGCAGTGCAAACTTGTTCTCCCGGAACTGCTGCGAGATTAGACAGGGAATGAGATGTAGAACAGTTCGCACTGAGCGGGGTGCGGGCAGCTGTGCGCACTCGAGCGTGGCATGACCGTCACATTGAGGCAGAGAAGGCTGTTGAGCCACTTCTCGACGGTGTCTTCGGCCGCATATAAAATTGGTGTCTCGAGCTTGCAGTGTGCACGCTTTCAGCGGTGCCTTGACGATGGGCTTCTTGAAGCTCGAGCTTACCGCTGCATCGTCTTCGCCCGCGGCGGTGTCTTTAGTACGCGAGGGGTGGGTGCTCTCATGGAGCTGTTGGATGAGCTTGAGTGAGAGTAATCGGCCGGTATAATAAGCATCGTGCTCTGGAGGTCAGAGCGACTGGATGCAGGAGGACAAGAGCGCAGACGTGGTGGCGACATGAGTACGGTGACGCGTCCATGTCTCTGTCACATGATGAGCTCGGCGTGGGTGCAAAGAGATGATATAAGTGCAAGTACACTGGGCACAAGTACAACATATAGTATATAGCTAATCGAGACACGCGTGCAGGCAAAATTCGACAGATGGCGGCCTTACGTCGAGCAAAGTGCAATTCAGACGGGACATGGTACAGGATCGACGCATCAAATCACAGGATGTCTCGCACGTGTTCGACCAGGTGAGATCTGGTTCGACCGCTTGCGATAGTCCAAGTCAAGCCGCGATCTGGTGCATCTTGGTTCGTTCTTGGAATATGCGTTTTTCACTGGGCATCAAGAGTAGGCACACAGGCTTCTACCTCTGCAATTTCGAAGTGATCAGGTAAGAGAATAGAGCCGTAGGAAAAAATTTGGCACTTCTGGGACATTTGGCATATCCGGGTCCACGATAGTAATCACTGCAAAACCGAGAAAATCTCGGACCCTGAAGACAGTCTGAAGGCACCTCCAAATCGACGCGTCTTAGGACCGGAACAACAAATATCTTTGGCCCCGAGAAAAGGAGGGAGCGGCCACCTTTTCGACGTGTTCGGCCCTGAAGACAGCTTCATATTCAGAGTACGAAGACGTTGATAACGGGTCGTATTCAGGGTAGGAGATGTTTCAGCCCCCTGTCTTCAGCATCTGAAGACTCCTACAATACACTCTGAAGATTCATATGAGATTCTATCTATTTGGACTGTTCCATGGCAAAATGTCGCATAAAATGGGAATTATATTTGATAATATATTATGTATATACACCACCAGCATGTCCGACCTGCCCTATACCACTCGTGCACTGCTAGAAGATCTCCCGTACCTCGTCCGCGCTCTGCACCAGGATTTTCACGCAGTGAAATTGATGGTTCTGCAAGAATGATAGGATAATGAGAGGCTGGAGCATTAACATACGAAGCGCAGTATTTAGCTCGATGCTTGCACGTAAACCGTAAGCCCGGGAACCGGGAGTCCAGTACTTCTGCTGCAAGGTATTAGTGTGTCAATAGGCAGAAACATGATGAGCGCGGGAGGGGCAACTACGCACTGAGCGAGTACACGGTGTCATCCGTGGATGCGACGAGGGCGCTGATACAGCGCTCCGCAACAGCGTTGCACTCAAGCTCGCGGGGAAGGGCGGGAGGGCTGAGGAAGGTGATGGTTCTGGTGCAAGATGCACTGAAGGACTTGAGTGAGGGTATGCCCTTATAAACCCTTTGCCCAGGCCTGTCTATGCATCCTCAGGTCCGAGCATTCTGCACATCTTGAGAGGGAGAAGACAAGAGAAATAGCACAATTTTTGAGCGAAAGATGAACAACAGCATCTTCAGAAAGTCAAAGATGTGGTATCAATTGGAGTGGGAAGATGTTGCAAACAAGACGTCTTCGACACAAGAGATAGCATGGACCGACAGTGTATTCAAGGAATCTTGGGAGTGCCGGAAATACAGGATGTTCGACATCTTTGGTGTCCCGTAACATGCCGTCAACTCCGAAGATGTGAGAGATAAGGTAAAACTGATGCGTCTTGGACTCTGACGATTTTGTGGGTTTTGCAGTGAATAGACATATGTATTTGACACGAGGGAAGTGCCGCCTCCTCGCGGCAGAGACCTTGCTTGCGAAATTTGCCACCGCATAGATTCGAACTTGAGACGTCGCAAGCCGAGTCGGGACTTATGTCGGAGGATTTACTGCCGACATGCCTTATCGGGCCAGCCGAGCGCGGGCGCCCCGGTTCGCCTCCCCTATCTGGTCCCGCGCCCAAGGCAGCCGATCCGGCCACGTGCCCTCCGGGTGGCGAGCGCCCAATGCAGCCGATCTGACCACGTGCCCTCCGGGGTGCGTGGGCCTTGTGCACGTGCGCCGGACGCGCGTCGTGGTTCCTCAGAATTAGTCCTCCCGCCGCCGCCTTGCGACCCGCGTCGCTCGCGCGGGTCGGTTTTCATAAGGAGGTGACCACCCGCCCTGCGTTCTCCTTCCTCCTGGCTCTCGATCCGTGGTTCCAGATCATACCCGCACCCCCTCGTGCCTTCGGTTTGGGCCCGCCTCTACTCTATGATCTACCACATCTCCCCCAGCGCGCCGACGACCCGACTCGCGAGGCCGCCGCCCTGTCCTGAGCTCGCGGCCCGTCCTCGCTCCCATTTTGCAACCGGGGACTGCAGGACTCGCATGGCCCCCCTGTCCTGCCCATTTTCTTATTTTTTTTTCATCCATGTTCTCGTGCCGTCGGCATTGTCGTCGTTGTGATATGCTCTTCACGGTCACCTTGCGAACCCACTTTGTTTTTGCAGGAGGGCCCTGCCTCTGTGAGCACACTGCGGGGTCCACCATCTGCTCGATTCCCTGAAGGCCTAGAAACAGTACACACACTATGTAGATTCTGTTGTACATACATGGCTACAATCCATCTTCTTCCTCCGAAAGGCCCGTGAGATCAACAACTCCCTCATGTTGGATCATCCAGTCTTCACTCGAGGCTTCACCGCCACTTCGGGAAGGTCCTGATCTGGCCGGAGGATAGTCTGTGAGAGTGCGGGCACTTCATGCACGGAAGGAACCGGGGAGTCGGAAAGCGCAACAATTAAGAGGGTGGAGAGACCTTGCAAGCAAGGTAAAGCAAGGTAATTAGAAACCCGCAATTTGGCTGTAGTGGGATAAGGAAATTGGCACTGTCAGAGCAAATGGTGCACAGCGAGCAGCAGAATCGCATTTGACATGGCGGTACGACTCGGAAGCATACAAATATTGCGGTAAGTACATCAAAAATCGTAGCTACCTATAAGTACCTCCGGCAGTTCCAACAGGCGCGCAATGCCCGACGCCCGACATCTGACTGGCGCACCGCGGCGCCGTCCTCTTCTTCTCGATACTGATGATTGCGCGGAACGTGTTTTCAAATTTCAGGACCAGACAAACGTTGGGCATGGTTCGGGCAGCGACTGGTGGTCCACCTACTCCGCTCGACATTGGGTTTGTACTCACGATATGAAAAACGTCACAGAGTACAGGCTCGTACACTTGAAACGCAGCCTGGAGCCGCCGCCCTGAGCGAAACTTTGCACCGGTCTTGACCTTGTGGATCTCTTCCCGATTCCTTGACAGAGATAATTATAACAGAATAGTGCGCGATAATACAGCACTCACCCAGAAGATGAGAAGAGAAGAGATTGAGCCAAGCCCGACGAAGTTGCTGTATACGTAGTACTGTCGGATTCACCAAGTCTGAACGTTGAACATTCAAATTGTAGAAGGCGAGGAAGCAATTTTGGTTCCGTGGCACTCGAGCATCCGGCTTGCAACTGATCAGCTTTGCACGGTACGACGATCGTGTAGGTGTGTATGACTCAAGATAGCATTGTGACACAGCTGTCACTTCAACTTGACTTCAGTGTCCTAAAATTGTAGCACAAGAGGAATTCGCGGAATCAGGTGTTCTCTATGCAAACATACATTTTGTTACTGGATTTCGTAGTCGGGGAGGGAGTAAAACCAAGGTCCTTTAGGTTGTTCTAAGGTAGATAAGCGACAGTAGGGTGAAGACGAAGTCAGGTAGATAGGGTGAGGAGTCAGATAACAATGCACGCGCCGCCCAAATGATTACACACGAACGAAGGTCGAACAACAACAGCACTCACTAGCTATCCAACAACGATAAGTCCAGAAAAGTGCTATAAAAATAAAGTCCAAGTGGGCGGTGCACATATCAGGGCCCGGGGGATCGGACCGGAGGGTATACGTGTAGTAGAAGTCCGTGTTGACATGGTGTGGCGAAGGGGTCGTCGCCTGCGTACGAGTTCGTCATGACGTGTAGGGTATGTCGTTGAGCACTGAACGAGAGACGTTATACGGTGGATTCCATAAGTCGCGATGGAGGTGTCGGTCGTGGCATCCCCGGAGCACGTCGTGGAAGACGGAGCGGTCTTCGTTGCGACTGTGCGAGACAGCCATGATATTAGAACTCAACGACATGTCAGAGGACTGCAGCTACTGACATGGCGTGACATGATAATCTTAGCCATGGATATGGGAGCGTAACCCTTTATATCGAATATGTGTGATACCGCTGAAAAAACCCGACTTTAGTGAAACGCTACGGTCGAAGATGAAGACTGCCCACCTGATCGTTGTCTGCTAACTTGCCAATTCATCCTCACAAGATCACCTCCACCTATATACCCTGAATAACCATTGTTTGTGGTTCGTTTCTCGTCTTCTCCGACAATCGAGCCCAGCGAAAACGACACAGGAAAGCCACTCCAATTCCACAGAGGTTTCCACGCCTCCGCGCTCATCAACTGAGAACCGACCTCCGCCTCGAACTTAGCGTCCAACCTATGCGACAGCCGATAAAGCGAGCCGGAACCGACACAGAGGACGGCAAGGATGGAAGTGAGGAAGGATAGCACGGAAACAACCTGGAGAACAGACAGCGACAGGATTTCGCACATCGTAACACCCTAAGCTGAGTATGTCTGTGCTGGACGAGTGAACCGGTGCTGCAGTCGTCGCACTAGCGGCCCCGACAGACGCAGTGAGAGCAGATATCGAGGAGAGGCGACGAAGGATGTCGAAACAAGGAAGCTGGGCTGGGATGGAGGTTGGTCCCTGAACGCCTCCCGTCGGCAAACCCCGCGAGCACGACTGTCGTCATGCATCATGTTGGCTGCAGAAATGCTCGTGTGCCCATCTTGTTTCGGGGATGAGTCTCTGTGTTTTGTCCGTGGTTACGTTGTGGGAGGTCATGTTTGTTTAGCTAGAATACAAGCTTAAGTGCAGCGCCAGCCGCTTCCGCAACGCCACTATGATCATACATATGTTCCTGGTCGACAGACGTTGATATCCTAGAATCGTCGTAATAAGGTGGGTGTTAAAAGCAAGCTTCGAGACTGCAGACTTTATATTCACTTCATTAATTGGCGTCTGAACGTCAAATTCATGGGTGAACGTCCGAGTCTTCTGCCAGGCATATCAGAGAGTCAGATATGCAAGTCAGTGGTGGAAGTTAATATGCAGTATATTGACACGGTACAGGATCAGAAGTACATCAATTATACATGCGCAAAATCTAAAAACACAACCAAGATCTTAGCACGACGACAGTCATTGCACAAGCGTGGGCCACGAAAAGATCTGAAGATACACAAAGCATGATGCATGATGACGAAAGGAGCGGACGAATGAATCACACCCTTCAGTAATCCCAGTCTGAGATCTGCAACTGCTCCCGAGCTTTCTGCGCCTCTTTGTCGACCATCTCGTGCCATGCACTCGACTTCCGTTGGCGCTTCTCTGAGTCGGGCTGAGGCCCGACGTAGTCTTTCCATGAGATCGCGCGCCCAAAATCAATGATGCGAAAGCTCGGGTTCTTCTTCGACCGTTTGTCGGGGGGTGCGGTGAGCGGCCCCGGCTGCATCAGCACGTTGCGCACATACATGGACTGCTGCACAAAATTCTCGTAGTGCAAACGAAGAATGAGGGAGTAGCACTCCGATCTAGACGTCCCACAAGACAAACAAGACAAGCCAGTCAGACGTGATCACTAGAACGTAGCAATAACGACACACCTCTCGTCCTCATTGAATTTGTGCGGTTCGATAGGGTCGCCGCACTCTTCCATGAGGAGAATGGGACTCCCGCAGCGCAGCCGCTTGTCGTGATACTCATCGTAACCTTCGTATTCCTCGTCTTCCCACTCGCCGTTGTCGCCCAATGGCACGTAATACCCATAGAACTTGGGTACCACGGGGCCAACCGGTACGGGATGCTTGACGGGCGTGACGAGGTTGTAACCACACCAATCCTGCATGAGGTGCTTCGGGAAGGCATCATACGACTTTGCCTCGTTCCGCAACTGGTTGTGAGCGGAAGCCAAATTGAGAGCTGTTTTCGCAGCAACAGTCACCTGCCCCGAGCGCGACCGCGCAGTCAGCGGCGCAGGGAGTGTCAGCGGAGCGCGTTGCACGAGCGAGTGGTTGCCGGCGCCCAGCTTATTCTTTTGCTTCAGGTACAGATGGCCAACGCGCTCCTCCTTATCCGCTTTCTTGTTTTTGCTCTCGGTCTCCTCTTCCTCTTCCTCTCCGTCTCCCTCTCCGTCTTCCTCTTCGTCTTTCTCCTCGTCTTCCTCCTCATCGTCCGGGGGGTCCCTATCAAACTTGGGAAAAATCCGTTTATACTTCCGCAATTCCTCGCGGTCCTCGCCGCCATTCGTCAACAGCTTGTGTACCATGAGCACGTCTGGGAAGAACTGCTCTGGAATGAACTCCTCGAGCTTAGGGAGATCCTTAGTAGAATAGAGCGCATTGTCCGAGGGAGGTGGTTTAGCCTTCCGTATTTCGTCGACCTTCTCCTCTAAGAGAGCAGAAGAAGCAGCGCCGCTTACAGACAGCTGCGTAATATCCTCCTTAGGAGCAGCGTCAACTACGGTCTCCGGAACGATGACTGGTGAATCTTGAGGGAGTACCACATCCGTCCCAGACTGATGGTCCGGTTTACTGTCCTCATCTACAGCGGCAGTGTCTGCAGCATCTTGGCCCGCTGCAGGGCCTTCAGGCTCGCTCTTCGGGGTATCATAGACCTGCATCGGGGCATCTGTCAAATCGGACTCCACTTGCAACGGGCTGGAAATGAGGGTAGAATCATCATCAGGGCTGTCCCCAACCGGCTTATCCTGCACATCTGATGCAACCCGCACCTCTGCGGGAGAGACGTCATCTATTTGCATCGGTGTGTCTTGAACGACAAGCGAGGTGCCGTTCAGCTCGGGCGACGTGAACACGCCGACCGACTCAATACCGGTTTCAATGACGCCATTCTCTTTATGAGCAACTGCGTTCTCTCCCTCCAGCATGGAGGCGCCGCCGCTTCTCATAGCCGCGTCTGTGCTCACCGCCGACACGGCATTCTGCTGAGGAGAGGAAGACGTTGCATTAGCGGTGTCGTTGTCTGTAGAGAGACCAGCTTGTGCAACGACAGCACTAGCCTCAGCCATATCGACATCCAGAGGAGGCTGTGGGACTGTAACTTCCTTTGCGTTTGGTGTGTCGACGTTGAAAGCGCGTCCAGCATGGCGACATGCACAACTATGGGATCCAGGGTGAAGGCATAAGCGTGGACCTAGAACGAGACGATGTACGGTGCCATCCACAGAGTTGACCTGCTCTGTCACTAGAACTTCCACAACACCCACCGCATCCGCGGCCTCGGCTCTTTTCACCCCGTTTTTGCCGTTTTGACCGGGTGGCACGATCAGGGAGATAGGCGATAGCAATTTACTATCGTGAGCGTATGCGAACCCATTGTGCAATTCAGGACTCCAGAGATGGGAGTAAGGAACGCCAAGGGGAGACATGACGGGGTTCTCGGAGTCGTTGGGTAGCAGGACATCCTTGTCGTCGGTATGATCAAACAGCGAGCCGCCGTGTGTGGCACAGCAGCAAGACTTCTCGTCATCCTCGTCATCCGAATCGTCCTCTAAAATGCGGTAACGTACGATGCCGTCGTCCTCATGGTCTGAGCCCTCGTCCATTGCGCTGAGCGGGGGGTCAAGCCACATTCTGGCACCCTTGCGCAGCTTGAGTACGGGCCACGGCTTGCGCAACCTCGGGCGTGGCTCGGGGGCCTCGAACTCTTCTTCGAGGTAGTTCTCATTGTACTCTTTGATCATACTCCGGGACCAAATCGTCATGAGGCCTACGTTCGGTATGCGCTCGATCCACATGAAGTCATCTATAGAGTGCGCCCAGATGAGGCCGTTGGGCGTGCGCATGCCCTTGGGCGGCGGTTTCGTGAGGAGGGGTCCATTCGGGGCTCTTGCCCATTGGTGGGTCACGATGCGAGTGCGTTCGAGGGAGAACATGGTGGTTAGTGAGGGAGATGGACGACGATAGGGAGGGCTCTAAGCATTCATGAAGATGGATGTGCCACAAACAAAACGTGGCCTTGGCCGTCAACAAGTTTGGACCAAAGCAAATTGGCAACACGCGGAAAGCGTGTATCAACGGAAAATGGGGACCCCTGAGGGGTCCCACAACCTCCAAAAATCCATACGGAAGCTCCTATATGTGTTTTAGTGGTATGAGTGAACATTCCTGCAGAGCTTCTAGGACTATAACAGGCGTACCCGCACAGAGTAGAAATTCGAAATACTGAGAATCAGACATCGTACCGTCGAAGAACTCGTCGTATTGAACAAAGAATTGTCACGATTGGACGGCACAATGGATAATCTCTATTCAAACCGTGCATGCGTGGAATTGCATTGTTCTTTGTTCCTTTGTCGAGTCAGAAGTGCTGAAACTAGACGACGCCTGCCATTTTTGGAAGGCAATCAAAATAGAAGTGTGACACATGCGTGACGCTGTGGCGTGGCGCTGACAGAGTCTTGTCACGTCCCTGCTCTTTCTCCCACTGGCAGCACACTCCAACTCTGGCTGTGAAGGCAACCTGTAATTTGGGTTCTTCCCCCAAAACGCGGACGGAGCACTTAGTATCTCTCATATCTGAGCTGCTCTGAGTTGCTTTGACCCCAGGTCAGAGCCTTTCTAACGCTCCCCGTGCACCTCTAAAGCCGCCGGCTTACGCCTCTTCACGATCTGGTACGAATTTTTCACGCTGTTCCTCCGCTTTTTTTAAAACCTCGTTGTAAGTTGTAATCGTTCATATTTACTCTTTGGAGTTACTCACAATTCGTACTTAGTCTCCAAAGCGCAGCTGCAAGCATCGTGCTACATACATCCAAAGTAACAGGCATTAGACTTATTCCCTGTCATCCCTCGTTGACTCCGCACCACGATGCGTTTCTCCTTCATCCTGAGTGTGCTCGCACTCTCTGCTGTCGGCGCGTCCGCTTTTCCGACGCCTCTACATCATCTAGCCTTCGCATCCTCATTAGCTGAAGATGTACCCCCGCGGGTCCCCGACAAGCAGCCTACTCCTCCTTCCGCTCCCGTTCAGCGCTCTCATACCTGGAGTCGTAGGACGAGAGCCCACCCATGATTACCCAGAGACTTTCGTCGTCTTCGACTACCATTATGTTATCGCTCTCAGACAATTCTAGTCATAGACAGTACATACTCATGGATTTTCTGCTTGTAATTCGTGTCTAGCTGCGCTATCCGCACGGAACTCTCGTACTGACCTGCTCCTTACTGCACACCTCTTATAGATGTATCCACTCACTGCGACAGCCTCTTCCTTCTATGCCGTACACTTGTAGCTCGTTTCACTCCTCATCTCTCGGACTCTAGGACTCTGATATTTGTACAATCTTGTACTGCCCGTACATCTACTTTAGATTTCTTTAGTCTACTTCCCAATCACGTCACCCAACTGTGTCTTTGGAATTGCTTCCGAGTATGCCAACTGCTTGAGCCGAGTCTTTGTCGCCTGTTCATAGGCGTACGCGTATTTGATCAGGCTGAATTCGCTGTACGCTGTCCCGAGGAATGAGATCCCGAACGGCATGTTCGGGCCTATGGCGCGCGTGGGCTTAGCATCGGAAAGGAGCACATCATGCGGCTGGAAGCCAAGGGGGACTGCAGGCGCATTGTGAGTTGCAGCGACTACAAACGCAGGGCTGGCTATTCATTATACTGACCAGTGATGACAGGATACGCTGCGATAGCGGCGGGCTTGGACGCGTCGCTCGTCGGGGAGATTATAGCGTCCAGGTTGTACTGTTTCAGTGCCCCGTCGATCCCGCCTGACCGTCCCATCGCCGTGTTTGCCGCGAGCGCGTCATAGAATGCCTGGTCTGGGGTCGTCTCATTCGACTTTATGAAGCTGCACCAAACGTGAGCACGACTGAGAAGATGTATAACTCCCTTAAAGACATACGTGGACTGATCCTTCCAGTATGGCTCTACCAACTCTATATCCGCGTGTTCCTTGTTGAAGGTGATCAAGTCGGAAAGATCCTTCACGCCGGTGGGCACCTCAACAAGCTGTGATATGTACTGCTTGACGTTAACCTAAGGGGTATAAATATAATATAAGCCATGACAGTGAGGATATGGAGCGGCGAGCACCACCAGCCTTGAAGTCCGTGCGGAGTACGATAGTCTCTCTCTGAGCGATAGCATCATTGTCGTACTCAGGGAACTCAGCAGGATCAATTATGGTTGCTCCCAATTCGCGGAAGACGTCCAAGGTCGCATTGAATGCCGCAATGATGTTGACATCCGCTTTCTCGAACAGCTTCCTGGGCACTCCGAGCCGCGCGCCTTTCAAGCCGTCTGCCTGGAGTGCCTGGATGTAATCCGGCGCAATTTCTAGTTGTGAGAGCGAGTAGCTGTCCAGAGGATCACGCCCGACGATGGAATTCAGGATGACCGCCGCGTCGGCGACGGTGCGACACATCGGCCCGATTGAGTCTTGATGCTCAGAGATAGGGATGACTGTGAGATCGAGCATGAGGCTGATCCGGTTAGACGGACGCTATTGCGCGCACCTCCTGCTCTGGAAGTGAGACCAACAGTGGGCTTAATGCCCACGATGTTGCAGTAGCTGCTGGGCGATATGATCGAGCCGTCTGTCTCCGACCCCAGAGAGCCCGCTGCCAACCCGATTGCTATTGCCACACCGCTCCCAGAGCTTGAACCGGAAGGATTACCGAGCGAGACGTACGGGCTGATACACTGTCCTCCGCGTCCTGAAAAGCCAGAAGGCACTTCGCCGCGCCAGTTCGCCCACTCTGAAAGACTTGCCTTGCCAAGAAGGATAGCACCTGCAGCCCTCAGCATGGCGGAGACAGTCGCATCGCGGGGAACGACGGAACCAAGTAGAGCATAAGAGCCTGCGACATTGTTTTAACACATCACAAATGAAAAACCCTGGATACAAACCTGCTGTGGTGTTCATTCCTACATCAATGCACGAGTTAATTCCTGGCAGCGTCGAAACACAATCAAGTACTTACCTTGGCTGTGAAGGGTTGCAATGTTGTCCTTCAGAAGTATCGGTATCCCATGAAGTGGTCCACGAGCACCGGATGTCTTTCTCTCATTATCCAAGACAGCAGCCTGCTCTAGCGCATTCGGAGTCGTCTCGATGACGGCATGCAAGGCGGGCCCCTTGAGATTGACTTCCTCTGTCCTCGCCAAGTATGCCTAGTAGTGGCATCGTTAATGAATGCGTCAAATTCATGCACGTGAATCAATCAACCACAGAATAATGCATGTACCCACGTTCACGAGATCGACGCTTGTGAAGATACCTTTCTCCAGACCATCTTGGAGCTCGGCAATGGACGCCTCATATAGATCGGGGTACTTGCCCATGCTCGGCTGTCGCAGCAGAGATGTCTGCAAACTATCTCACGATATCGGACAATGTGCAACTGAGCACCAGGGTAAGGGCAGTGAAGACAATGAACTGAAGATATATCCCAGCAGTCATCGAGTCGATGCCCCTCAAGGTTGCGGGACCGGAATATCATTGTCCAGCACGCGGACACGGTCCTTATCTCTGTGTGCTGATGCCCATTAGTTTGGTGCTTATTTTTGTGGAAGATGGCAGTAAATTGTTGGATAAGAATCGGGTTGTCGGAATGGCATTCCCTTTCAGCTCCAAATTTGGCGGGTGCGTTCGATAATTCTTACGCGCACACGTGACAAGAGGTGCCTTACCCTCATCATGTTTGCCTCTCGCTCGAACCGTGACTCGACTTCAATCTGAGCTAATTGGTAAGTGTTTGACGCCAGCTCACCATTCCAAATCGGATTCATCTTCCTTTTTGCCAGCATCATAGAGGATTTTTCTTAGCCCCACAATGACACCGAACGAATTACTTTTCGCGGTCAAAGGAAATATACCAGTCTCAGACCTCCGGACCCATGTGTGCTTCTACCAAATCCATCCTCGTCTCTCAGCATTGTACGGGTCAGATGAAGAGCAGGAGCTATTCTTCAAGTGTTCCTGTTGGTTCGCAGGGGTTGGGTTTTGCAGCTACTACGATGCCAATACCACAGATCTCTCGTGGAACCAGATTGCGTTCGAATGTATACGGAAAGATGGCTTCTGTCGAAGTCCAGACTGCGGAGGTACTCTACTAGAGAAGCATGGTGAGCACCGTATATAGCTCGATGATTGCACATCACCAATAATGCTTTCAGCCAAAATTTTGGAGAGACGATGAAATCCCGATGATGACTGCCCATCCGACATTAGGCGAAGAATCCACTCAGCTTGACGTGAACTCGATTATGAGCGGGATCGACTTCATCCGAAGAAAGGCGACGGGGCCGTGTGCATGCATATATTTTGGTCGCAGCAGCAAGACACCAGATAGAAAGATTTGGGCTCATGGTGTCACGGGTTTTGGACGTACAGAATACCATCTCGAAGCAGTAGGCGATGTTTTCTCCGCCACGAACGTCAGCTGATATTGCGATGCTCAGATTGGAGATCAACCTGCAGGTGTACGACGTTGCTGAATTTCTGGATAATTTTCTGTCTAGTGCTGAGAACGATGCCGAAATGCCTAACTGGAGCATCTCGAAGGCATTTAGTCGATTTCAAACCTTGCTCGGCCTACTAACCGTCTTGTGCGTAATTTCTGTTGTACTGTTAATATTGAGCTCTTGAACCCTCTCGCAGTGGATTTGATGGTATTGAGTATGAAGATATTTCTGACACCGGCCAATTATCCTCGATTTCTCTCAAGCTTCGAGATTTTAAAGATGGGAAGGATCCGGCACCCTTTGCAGCTTGGTCCGGCTCAGATATCGCTTACTTGTAATCTAATCGTGAACTTCGGTGGCAAATTGAACTCAAGAAATGAATTCCGGTGGATACGTTGTACCCTGTCTTCACAATCGACTCATACATCGCAGAACTTAGTGTATAAAATACCTACGTACGGCCGAGAGATCCGCTTTGCATACATACTACAGGTATAGCGCACCACGAGCAAGGTGTTGGCACTTGGGTTTAGAAGGCTTCAAGGGTGCACGAGAATTTTAACTGGGTGCAACCTCACAACTTAGTGAAAATCGCGTAAGTTGAACGCGCTGCTCACTCTGCGTATCTTTCTCGTGAATAAGGGCCAAGATTCCCTTCTCCACGACATCTTCGAAAGCGATCTTGCGCGTTATAAGAGCCTCAAGCCCCGTCAGCTTTCCGTCCGCCACGGCCCGGATAAGGTCGTTGTGCACTCGGTCACATCCGACCGCAGCTACGGTCACAGCTTAGCCGTACATGCGTGAATAGGCAAGTTACACTTACAACTGATCGTGACTTCCTTGTGAGTCATGGTGGTGAGGTCGATGACGGGCGACTTCTCCCAGATAGCGACGTTCGTGACATTTCCCCGCGGACGCGCCGCGACTATCGCAGTATCGATGCTCGCCTGAATGCCTGCGCAGTCGAACACGACGTCCGCACCCTGACCCTGCGTAGCGCGACGTGTCTCTGCAACCACATCGGTTGACGATGGATCGAACGCGATTGACGCGGAGAACTCGACGGCTGTTTCGCGGCGACGCGCAGCAGGCTCGGACACCCCGATCCATTGTGCGCCACGAGCCCTGAATTCGTGGGCTAAGTTCGTGTCCTGCACGTCGCATAACTGTCATCGCACCTCAGAACTTTGAGAAGTAGCAGCCCGATCTGCAAAACTTCCCGCTTAGAGCAAATATGGCACATCCAAACTGGACGCTCACTGGTCCCGCGCCGAGGATCAGCACATTATCCCCAGGCTTGAAGTTGGATCGGTTGATGGCATGCCAGACGATTGACAAGGGCTCCATTAAGGCGCCAACTTCCACTAGCAAGATAGATTCCTCAAAATCCTGCAACAATCACTGAAGAGAAAGAACGCACGGGGAATGCCAGCTGGTAGAACGTATACGAGGTTCTGCTTCACGGAGATGTATTCGGCCATGCCACCACCTCCGCCGCCAATGCCCTGAATATTTACCTATTCAACACGGCGGAGAGTGCGATCTACGAAGAGGGTGCTTACAATGAAAGTCAGATGCGGACAAACGTTCCTCGTTCCGGCCGTACAGGGGCCACAAGAGGGCTCCATGCACGACAGGACGGGTTCGCTAGGTGCGTAAAATTAATAATTCGCTTGATCTCCGAATTCAAAGCGCATAAGTACACAACGACATTTTGCCCTACCGCATACTTGTCAGAATCTACACCCGCACCCAGTTCGACAATTGTGCCGGATAATCTGGCCAACCGTATTATGGACGGCTAGGAAGGCGTGAAAAAGACGTGCAACCTACTCATGCCCCATCACAACCGGGAGAGTTTCGCCCGTCACATAGTTTGGTGTGATAAGAGTGGGAGTAATGGGGGGTAATAGCGCATGATACAAGTGCAAATCAGAGCCGCAAACTCTCGACAGCGTGAGCACAGGATCGGCAATACGCAATCAGTGCAGCAGGGAAGTATACATACTTCCGTTCCTGCCAGAGAAATTAGTCAGTTAGCGGACAGCCCGACCGATGGTTCAATATGGGTCGCAGCTCACCAAGCAACCTAAAGAATAGTCTCAATGGTCGTAGAAACGGTAGGAGATTCAAAACATACCTTGATCTTGATCTGCCCGTCTCCAGCCACCGGTTCCGGGATCTCCTCTACACGGACATCACCTGGTCCATGGTAACGCACGGCTCTCATCATCGTTCGTGGCGTTGGACCAAAAGCGAACAAAAATAGGGGAGCAGACACTGCTTTAAACGTGAAGCTTGAGGTAGCACATGGACACCGCTTGGGAATATTCTATGCCCAATGGACCATCATCGGAGAAAGAGAAAGAGTGACATGCCGGAGTACCCGCCGCCACCTCCTCGTGAGACTAAGATCGATAGGTTCATGAGAACGCTGTCAGACCGTTTTTAAGCCTGCGAGTACATTTCCACCGTTCACATGTACTCAGACCCGTGGCCGAATCATGAACGCCGCTGGATACGGCTACTGGCTCATTGGGCACTCCCGTGGATAAGCTGCTTTCACGTTACAGGCTCCAAGGTGAGAGGAGCTCCTCCCGGAAATAGGTGTACACTCTACCCGGCTTGCATGGACCCATGACTGCACATACGTTAAATCACTGAGAAGAGCCCCGGAAAAGAAACACAGACCCAATACATTGCTGTCCTTTCACTTGATGACAAGCAGCAAGAGATATGAACGCGAATCAGTTGGGAGCTAAAATACTCGCCAACGTAGCTTTGCTGCTAGCGAGATGAGTATATTGGCCGGCGTTCCTGACAATATGCCGCAATGAGGAAGGATCGACCACCGCATGAAGGGTGTTCGCCGGGAGATATATATGCACTGTGCGGATGCCAAGCAGTACGAGAATATCAACTGCAATAATTATGAATGCGACAGGTTTGAGACCTCCCAGTTTCTCATAATGCAGGAACATTCAGAGACTGTTTGCGGCGTCTAGAGCAAGTAATTGCATCAGGAAATATGCCTGTATAGTACTCAGCAGCCTATCTGAGTCTGGCCGAGACTCGATGAAGATGTTCACAATCGTGGCACTCACTATTCAGAGATATACCCCCGTGATACACCCGCGCAGAATTATGGGATACACGTTCAAGCCAAAGAAATATCCGCATTCATGATGTATCGGAGCAGAAAATGGGACCATGCGCGAGATGTGAGGATAATGCGAACTCGACGTCGACATTCGGAAAGCTTGGCGTCTATTTGGGCGTATTTTGCCACTCTCCGTCCCACCATGTCGTCAACATCCACGCCATCCAAGACGTCCAGCGAAAACATTGTTGCTCAGAAAGTACGTTCTGTAAGCTCCTGGGTGGTCTTATTACTTACGGGGTGCGCAGTATGACCGCTGCTGTAAGTGTCTTCCCGTGATAAACAATTCTGACAGACTCTAACCGCGGTGCGCATATCACGCATTGGACGTTAAAGTGGCGGATCTGCTTGTGAAGTCGTGCGTCTCTCTTCCTGCTTTCCAAATGCCTTTACCGTGCTGAGGCTACTCGTGTGACAATTTAGGGGTGTGGGCTTTAGCGCAGGCGTGATCGCGTCGGTCATCCTCTTCCGCAGTTCGTACTCTTCCATAATTTCCTTCCTTCACCCCCACCATCTTCCTATTTTATGCACCGTGCCTCCAGAGGGAAGGAAGGGAAGCTAATAGTTCTACATTGATAGGGCGGGCATGGCCCATCGCTCTCGGAACAGGCTTCGGGATGGGTGCGGCATATGCGGACTGCGACCGTTCCTTCAACCCTGCTCGGATACCCGGTACACGTATCATTCCCCACAGCGAGGCGGAGAACAAGTAAATGTTGGGGCGGGTCCGAGGCGAGGGCGATGGACACCGGTTATTCCGCAATATACCAACACAGACGATGGTATATGCCCTCGTTCGAGAAGACGTCCTCCGTATAGTATACATCTCATCCTTGCACTATTCCATGCGCTTTGGTGCTCCAAGACACGCATCTCAAAGCAGTTATGAGCGTGTTGTTGAGTCAGGAACATGTCCACTTTCTCCCCATATTGCTTCCTCGGTTTTCCGCTCTGCTCTCCACGTGGATCCCTGAGGCTCTCCCTTGATCTCCAGAATTTTCTTGTCTGACTGCGTAGGGTCTCCACGGGGAAATGTCCGTCGCGGTTGACCCAGAACAAGACGATTGTACAGCACCACTAAATGTGAACGATTTCTGTTAACTGCTCATCAACGGAAGAAACGTTAGACCTACGAGACGTTGCCCCAATGATCGGTACAGTGACTATGATGGTACGCAACCGCCGGGCAGTGGGTGACAGCCTCGCAGACATTACGGTTTTCGCGGTTATGCAGAGCAAGGGATATGCCGGCGGCAACTCGAAGGAACCTACCACGTGATGCGGCCATGTCACGAATTGACCACCACCACCACCACACCACCTGCAGTGTTGTACCAGCCTCCACTGGCCTTCCCGTAGCTGTTTAGAGACGTTCTAAAGCTAAATTTCGTCTCTAAATCACTCCGGCATGTCGGCCAATTGATCTCCGACGAGCCTGTGAACAAAGTGATACCTTTCTAAACCTTATATCTGGAAGGGGGGGTCGACCCCCTTCCAGATTCTAAACATCTCCCTAAACTATATTTTTGACCAAGGGGCATTCAGCTGAGCAGCCGGTGAAGGTATCTTCATGGTCGTCCTCCCCAAACTGGTAGCCGGGGTCCTTGATCAGAACTTTGAGATGCATTTTCACTCAACTCTCGTGGTACGAGCACTGTTCTACATATTTTGCCAATCGGGACAGGATCTGAACTAAGTATGAAGCATTCCATATTGCTGTGTAGTCATTACCTCGAATACCATAGTGGAAGCAGCTGCTGGCGAGGAGAGGCCGGTGAGGCAGCTCTCTTATCAGCAAGGTCCCAGATGATCTTATCAAGTCCCGAGATCTACAGTGAACGCGAACGCGTTCAAACGCGCTTCGCGTCTCATCCTCTCGTATCTTCGGTGTACTCTGCAAGTGTTGAAGAAAAAGTCCTTGATAACCTCTTCCAGCTGTCGGTACCATTACAAGGAGATGATGTATGGCGCCGCACGCAATGCGACCAAGAACTCGCCATGCACTAATGTACCCAGGCTTCACTGCCCACCGTGTCCAGTAACGACCTCCGGGCAGCGCCACACCATATGGAAGTACAACATCCCATATCATCTGACCTCCGAGCACACAACAGACGACGGCGACTTTCCTGCGATCCTGATACAGCTTATCGTCGACTCTTTCATCACTTCGCGCGAGGAGGGTTGGATGGAAATTGATGAAGTAACGACTCAGAATTGGCGAAAAGATAACATGATTCCGGATAGTGATGGTTTACTCGAGATGCAGGAGAATCTGAAGCGGGGTAGGGCGGCGTCGACACTGAGCGTAGGTCCTAAGAAGAACACTCGTAATTCTAGTAGTAGTAGGGTGAGGCGGCGGTGCGGCGTAGCCTCAACGATCTTATCTGTAGTCATAGCCGAATCTTATCATCAAGGTGGTGGTCCAACCTGTGTTCGGGGTCCTGCCTCTAACTTTCGAAACATGATTCCAAAAACTTTCACTCTGGTTGCCCCTTGTTTTCGACCTCTGCACCCTTGCAACCCCCATCGTTGCCTATCTTTGGTGTTCGGCATCACTTACATCATCTTGCCGTTGACGAGATTGTAGTTCTGTCGCAAGCCGGAAAGGTGGAGTACGAGCGGAATCAAGTCCGCGTGGGGTCTGAGATGCGATGAAGGAGAAGAGTCTATTCCAGAGGTATGAGGTGGGTAGCCCAAAAGCGTAGCTAGGAAAATGTCTATAGTCGCAATGATCGCTGGAAACGTGTCGGACTAAAATCGCACTGCCCTAAGGAGAACGCTGAAACGCGGAAATGCAAGACTGCCCAGAAAACGCACAAAATGCAAGACTGCCCAAAGACGCACTAACTGGATGGGATGGGAATGTGAACGAGTCTTTTCGCAAGCGTACCTTCCGGGACGGTGGTTTTCTCCCCGACCTCTTCCCCTGCCATCATACTTAACTGGTCCTGACCTTTCCTGCCCTCCCGATACTGCCCGCATCTGCTTAACAATCGCTCCACTGAATCACTGCCCATCACGCCATATCTCGCAATCCTGTCCCCCCATGCTCCTACTCATTCCGAGGGATCCTCCATCACCGAACCCGCCTGAGCGCCTAATAAGGACCCGCCCATCTCGGAGGCATCTCCCATCCTAAACTCAATCTCCCATCTATGGACGCCAGCATCATCCTTCGCACGCGGAAGCTCTTCTTCGCATTGAGATCTTTACCGAGCCCTTTGATCTGATCCTGTGGAAAGCATGGGCGGTCCGGATGCATGTCCTGCTGGTGAGGCCCCCACGGGCATATGATCCTTCGCCATCTGACCCTCACATGTCTCTCAGGTCTTTATGGTCCAAGCCCAGTCTGAAGCGGCCAGCGTGGGGATCATCCTACCCCTTCCGCGCGATATCCCTGTCCTGGCCCAAGTGGAAATACACCTGGCAACAGCTCACACTGTAGAAGGCGGTCGTCGGATGATACACCTGGCAACAGCTCGCACTGTAGAAGGCGGTCATTGGATGATACCCCGAATTGCAGATCACCTTCCTGCAGTCATTCCTCGTGGTTTGACTGCCCGCGTTCTGTATGATGACCCCGCTGTCCGTGAGGACTTTGGTTTAGGCCACCCGCCGGATGGTCTCCCTGACATTGGTGCGCAATCATCCTGTCCCTATTTTCCTGGAATCGTGTTCCTCAGCTTTTTATCGCCATCAGGAACCTTGCGCCTTTGGGTTGAGACATTGCGCAATGCGGCCCGCGAACTGTATGATGTCATGCGTGGAATCACTGGTAGATGCGAGCTGGCGGATGGTACCTTGAGGCGGTTGCGGATCGTAGTCGAGGAATTGGAAGTAGCGTTCAGGCTCGTAGCATGCCCTCCTCCGATAACCAGCTTCTAACTGTTGTCGGACTAGGGGTCGGTTGTGTAGCACCCTGTAGTATCTCCAAAATGTGAGACCGCTTCGCGGATGTGATTCTCACCTCAGCGCGCTCTGCGTCCCTTCACCGTTCGTCCTCTGACTGTCTAGAACTTGATTTAGTGATCATGGTCTCACGTCGTTATGGTCTTGCAAATCTTGCTGTTCCGACACAGTGGGGCATTTCATAGTCCGCTTTATGATTTAGAAACACTCTAAATCCTACGGGAAGGCATCCAAGTAGTCGGCGAATAGTCAGAGTTTTCACTTCCGGTGCACAGATTATGAACATGAACATGGCGGTGTGCTGGGGTCATTGATTCCATTATGTGGGAAAGGTGAAGGGAGATGTCGCAACTCGGCGGGAAGGCTCGGCGTAGACGACCGTGATATGCGTGCCCTCAAATGGACGAAACGTGGCTCCAGAGGATACAAAAGTGAGGTAAGAAAATGGAGTATACTGTCGATGGGTCGGATTCGATTGGCCCTGTGGGCGCTTGGTCACATCACACCCTGATTTCAAAATACTTACGTCAACTGGAGGCTTCCGTGAATAGGTAGCACTGCTTGTAAAATTTTTGTTACGCTCTAAGAAATTACTCTAATGGGTAATGCAATGTGGACTTCGGCTAACGGCAGCCTACTATCGATGACCCGGATGTGCCATAATATGGCACTTCTGGTCCCGCTACACACTACCTTTTCTGATTGTCTTCGGCACTTCAGAGACTGTTTCTGTAGCACATAGAACCCTAGAGACTATTTTTTCGGATTTTTTGGACTAGTGTTGAACATTTTGGAGACATGCCGAGGTGTGGCACCAGCCAAATACATTCTGGCAATCCCGGATTTCATGGGACCCAAGTGGGCCACATTTAATTCTGAAACTTTTACAGTATTAAAGTACAATGTATGAGAGCATCCTTAAATAATTTTGAGGCAATCAGTGCAGAGGATCAAACTGTAGAAAAAAGTATGGCACTTCTGGGCCACATGGCATATCCAGGTCACTGATAGTACCGTTGGTCGTTCTCTCCCAACAAGCACGGACAGTCGAAAGTGGCGGTGCCACACTTGAGTGCTCTGGCAGTCATTGTTAGACTGTGCGTCGCTGTCGCCGATGTTGCGCGGATGGTGTGCAGCCCGCGCCCAGCGGTGCCTGTGGACACGCGCTCCCGATGGCCTACGAACTCTCTAACGTGCCTTGTAATTGCAAACAAGGCTGGTAATAACCTGTACTACAATGCTTATCTTACTCATTGCTTGCAGCACTGGCTCCGGTTGCAGGGCTGGCAGTAGTGTTGTTGGCAAAACCTCGCCACCTCGCCGCGCCTGGCGTGGCAAATGGCGAGCGCCAGGTTGGCGCACTGACCCTGGATGGCAATACCTGGCGCAACTACGAGGGCACCTCCCCAAAAAGGAAGTACTTTGGCCAATTTCAGGGATAACCGACCTTTGCTGGGTGGCTAAATTTGGTGTTGAGGTCTCCAACCCCTAATATAGGGTCTGAATTAATTTTGCGCACCTCTATCTCGGCCTCCGGGCGATTTGGGGGCGAAATTTTTTGTTTCCTCGCGCAAAAGGGCAAATTTTAGCTGCACCAGTTGCGCCAGCTCGCCAGCCCACGCCACGACCATGCGAGTGCAGTTTCACCGCGCCGGCGATTGGCGAGCCCCTCTGAGAGTTTTGCCCACGACACTAGCTGGCGGGAGAAGAAAGGCTGATCACCGCCAAATTGACAGTCCATCGGCGCCTAATCCCGGAAATGTCACGTGCGAGCCGAACGAGCCGAACGGCGCCGAGAAGGACCCCATGAACCGGAGGCCGCGACACGAAGGGCGGGGCGCGAGGGGCGCGCGAGAGGGAGCGGCGAAAAGAGACTGCGGCGGGAGGGTGCGCAGTGCGCACGTCAAATATTAAGGGAGGGCCAGGAAGGAGGGGCGCGTCCAGTAGGGAGGGTCGGGGAGAACAAGACAAGCGCCCTGGCGTCGTGGCATCGCCCAAAGGAGGAGGCCCCGCAAGCGCCCCGCTGGACTGTAAACGCACCCACCAGGACTGTAAATCTGCCAACCTGAAGCAAGCTGGGCTGGGGGCTGAATCTCGCGGGGAACCGCGCTGCGGCCCCCCACGAATGCGCGACTGACCGACAGATTTGCAGTCCACAAATTTACATCCCCTCGGTGAGCTCCCCGGCATGAACTCCCGGCGCTACCTCCCACCAGCGGTGCCGCCGTCCCCTCGCCGTCTCCTGCAGGCTGGACTCTCTACGCATCGCCCTACGCAGCAACGATGCCGTGTACCCGTCTATTTTTACTCGTCTTTCGCGTGCTCATCGACGAGGCTCCTGCCGCCCTGCCCAGTCTCGAGCGCCACCCCGCGCGACGCGCTGTCACCTCAACCGGGTCCTCGACCTGTCCTCACCGTGCTGACGCACCTGCCTCCGACAATGACTTGAGTCTCGTGGGAACGTGCTCAACATGGGCGTGAATGGCCTTTGGGAGGTACGTCCATCGCTGTACCTTGGTAGCAACGCGATCTCACGCATGCGTCCATGTTGCCCAGCTTCTGAAGCCCGCTCGAGAGGAAACATCCCTCAAGCTGCTCGCCTTGCATGACGGATTCGAAGGCCGTCCCGGCGAGTGGCTGTATCGGCTTGGTATTGACACAAGGTATGTCCCTCCCCACGCTCAAATGTGAGTGGGTATCTCACGCGAGGTCGCCGGTAGCATCTGGTTCCATCAACTTCAGGAACAGTTCGCGGCCGGGCACGCCAACTCAGGTGAAAACCCGGAGTTGCGCAGCCTGTTCCACCGCCTCGCAAGACTGCTCAAGCTACCCGTGCGCCCCCTTTTCGTCTTCGATGGACCGGGCCGGCCTGCACACAAACGCTCCCGCAAGGTCATCAGGATGCACTGGATGGTCGGAAACACACAGAAGCTCCTCGACACATTTGGGTACGAGTGGCGCGTGATATGTATTTTGTGCTCTCCGTGCTGGCACTACTGACCCTCGCACTGTTTTCTGCCCAGGCCCCTGGTGAAGCTGAGGCCGAGCTGGCTAAGCTGAACCAGCTCGGCATTGTCGACACCGTTCTGACGGATGACAGTGACGCGCTCATTTTTGGCGCCCGCACCGTGATCAGAAAGTGAGTCTCACCTTCCCACCTGCGGCTGATTTTACCCTAATGGACGCGGAGGATGAGGTGCATGCCTTTCGGCAATGCACTATCAATGCACACAGCGCGATTTCGCTCTCATGCGGCAGCCTGGTCCTTGTCGCACTTCTCTGCGGAGGTGACTATGATGAGGTGAGTATGGCGATGCTCATGTGTTTCGCCTTACATCTGACCATCCACACTCTCTGCGTGTCCATTTAGAATGGCTTGCGTTGATGCGGGCCTCAGACCGCCCTCGCAATCACGTGCTATGGACTTGGCGAGTCGCTCTGTGATGCTGCTGTCAGGGATGGCAGTGACGGGGTCAGACCCCGTCAAGCCGGAGGTCATGACCCGTCCGACCCCGAAAGGTCAAAAAGGTCAAGGGTCAACCCGTGACTGACGCGTGATTTCGTATGGCGGCGGAAAGGAATAAGTTTGGTGTAAGGCTAGTGTTAATCTGTATGTACAGTAGGTCTCTCTAAGTAACGAAGTATCTGAAATTAGTTTGATTCCTGTAGAATGTCGTGGTAGGCTATCTCATTACCCAATCCCTGCTCACTTGAACGCCAGAACTCTGCGAGCATCGAGAAGGAAGCAGAGGATGATACATTAGAAGATGTAGACGGATAGTAAAATAGGTTCCTCAAGAGAAGATTGTCCTTTGAGAGCATGGATGGTGCAGCAGGTGCAGGTCCATGGAGTGTAGAACGACCGACAGATGGTATATCAGCTTCAATAGATGCTGCTGTGGCGTCGTCAATGAGATCGCAAGCCACGGGAAGAAATGAGTGTGAGTGCGGCAACGAGATGTCAATGGGTATCGCGGGAGATATAGAATTCTCCGTGGTGATCTGGGTAGCAGCGGCTGATGATGTCCCAGCCACTGTTGGGGGAACATCAACGACAATGGTTTCCTCTTCATCCTGTTCTTCGGCATCGTCGCCAAATTTGCGCTTGTGTTTTCTCGGTGCACCGTAGCGAGCATTTGTATCTGTTCTGAGTATGACAGATTTTCGCACCTTCTGAGGATCCAAGCGGTTGCGGAGCTTCGTGTGTGTGATGCCAAACTGACTGAATGTTTCTTCGGTAGGCGCAGAATTGGGTACCATGCTGAGGATGCGCATGGCCAATAGCGCGAGACCGGTCTTACCATTTGGTGCTCGAGGTTCAGAGTTGCTCGTGCCCTCAGCTAAGGCGACGTGCTCGCGCCAAATCTGGAGCAAATCCACCGTGGTTTTCTGGCTCATTTGCATGAGCTTGATTGTGCTAGTGTGGTAACTGTACGGGACGCACCAATTTCCGGGCATTCTCTTTTCTCGCATCCAATTCCATGCTCTCGTCACTCCATTCACCGAGCCTATTGAGATATTGGCTGAGCGCGGTCCGAAACTCGTTGTCGGGCTCAACACGATACATCCGCAGGTAGGCATTCTTCATGAGCTGCCAAACATGGTGAAAGGTGCGTAGGGGACTGTCATGTGTGAATGGAGATACACGAAGGTAGGGGTTCAAGATAACGGCAAGAATGAATATTGGCTGATCGACATTTGCCCAGCGCTTTTCCAGGCTATTCAACACTGCTTCGCACACTCGCGGGTCAAGGCCTGTGGTGGGGTTAGAGTAGATGCGGTAGAGATTGACAATGGTGAGGACGACAACATCCAATCGTGCGTTCGTAGACTGTGTGGCGTTCGCAGCCACAGCCAATGGTCGAAGGTGATCTTGGATTCTGTCATACGAGAGTAAGTACACTATTGATTCAATGGTAGCTTAGCACTGACTTGCGCAGATTGGCCCAAAAGTCGAACCGTTCCAGAATCGCAATGATCTCCCGTGCCTTGCGCTGTGCATCGGCTTTAGCACCAGCGCACAATACCAATTCCGGGATTGAGTCCAATAGAAGCTGCTTGAATGCGATTTCAAGTTCGAGAAGGCGATGGACGGATAGATAATGAGATGTCCAGCGAGTGAGAACTGGCAAGATTAGGCAGAGCACCTTGCCCAGCTTCATGCGTTGTACGTCCTTCAGCATACCCAGTGCTCGGCTATGGTTATTGAACCACTTCACCACTTCTACGGCATCATCAATCCATTGAACAAATAGATCCTTGACCTTGAAGATGTCACCAACCACCAGGTTGACCTAACCTTCCACTGTGAGTGCACATTGTAGTAGAACTGATACTAATACTCACCTGATGACACCAGCAATCTAGCGCAACCAGAAAGGGGAACCGCTGGACCAGAAGTCTACGCATCTTAGCTGACTCGCCACTTGCGTCGGTACACCATGCCATCAGGATCACTTGGAGCTTCTCCGTGTAGTACTTAATCTCCGACAGTACTATCTCAAGCAAGTTTTCTGCTGTCTTGGGTAGTGCAGAGATATCGTAAGTGTTCATCAAGTATGCCTGACACAGTCACTGTGAATATAGCGTTTTCGTGGTCTTCGAAGCTATGTACTCACAGTGTACTCCACATTGACCATTGACGCAATCAGCGAGGTCTTGGCGACATTCTTCCATCCATCGCATTGTCCCGTAGCAAATTTGTTGTGCACCTTCTTGATGATCTCGTCCATGACCTTGTCCACTTCCCCATCCAGAATCCGACCTGACAGCTCACGTCGCCCTGGGAGAAGTGCCCGAGGTAACCACTTTTGGAAAAAGGCTCGCCAATATGGTTGCTCGACATTCCACCATGCAATGTTGCAGACAACAAACAGACGACAAAGATCTGCTGCAAACTCGGCTTGTTTGGACTCTGCCCATCGTGCTACAGAAACGGTTTCACCATAGAACACATCCGGGCGAGGCAGCAGCAACATAGCGGCAGTTGCATCAGCGGTGGAATTTAGTCGCTTTGTGGGTGGTTCATGTACTTCCATGGAACTTGCCGATCCTTCGCTAACTGTGACTATGGATGCCATGCTTGACGTCCTGGTATCCGCAAGAGGTATGTGTCGTGTTGCCGCAGAAGTTGATGGACCTGCGTGATCATCAGGGGAAGTGACTGATAGTCTCGACAGCTCTGCGTTCTCCTTGTCAGCTTTCATCGCACGGCGACTCAGCTTCATCCGTGCAACATCTTGTTTCTCTGCATCAGAGGCATTTGGACATTCCGTAGTAATATGCCTAATAAGAGTGTCGATCTTGCCGCACAATGGCTCGGATGTGATGAAGACTGTCACTCTGGTGAGTGGATTTACCCTCGTAGAATATGAAACTGCTAACGCTGTTCCTCAATTTCCTCCGCAGTTCGTGCCTCCGTGAGACTTCCCTCGATTACGGCATTCAGCTCTTGTGTGCGGATTTCACGAACCTTCACAGCGACACAGCAAATGCACCGTGTTTCCCAGATTGACTGGTTGGTCTTCCATTTTATGTCCCCTCTGCGGAAATACTTCCAGACTGGGTGGGACATGGAAGAAAGGATGTATGTACTGCCAACGGTAGGTAGGGAATAAACATATATTGCGCCATACTCTACTTAAGACTGTACTATATTGCCAGCGGAACGCATTCTGTTTAATGCAACGTGATCAGAGCTGAGTCGCGTCGGTCACGCCTTGACCTCTTGACCTCTGTGACCCCAGAGGTCAGACCCCGTCAAGGTCACAGACCCCGTCAAAGGTCAAGGGGTCATGCGTGACCTTGCCATCCCTGGCTGCTGTGGTGCTCAGCAACAACGAGACCAAACTGTCCGCATTCCTGTCTGGTTGGCGTGACAGGCTGCAGTCCATCCTTAGCACTGATCCTGACAATCACCTTGGCCGCCGTCACATCGCGCTGTCAAACTCAGTCCCTGACTCATTCCCTGATGTCGCTGTGCTCCGAGCATACCTCAGCCCCTCAACATCAGCAAATATCTCGCACCTCCCAGCTCATCCCCTGCCTGTTGACCTGGCAAAGCTCGGCACCTTCTGCGAGCTGCACTTTGGCTGGGGAACAAAGTCGGGGATCGTCAAGCATGTCCACGAGTGGCTGTGGCCTGGTATGGCCCTCAAACTCCTTGTCACTGAAGCAGTCGCCTATGACCGGCGGCACCAGAAACAGGTGAGCGGGAGTCTATAAGAGTGGACATTTTCTGACGCCTCCTCTACATAGGGTGCACACTCCACTCTCGCAGCACCACTGTTGGAGGTCTGGCTGCAACCTGATCACTCCATGGACCAGGATAATGTCCGTGTGATAGCAATCGACCGCGATTCTGCTGACATTGCCATCTCCAACCTCTTTGGTGTACGACTGTCTCCTCACCCATCGGGCACGCAACAACCGAACTACAGTGCGAGGCCTCTGAAGCTCTGGGTTCCTTTGACAATAGTTCATCATGCACATGCCTGTTCCTGTGGTGTAGACCCATCAACATTCTCTGAGGTCATCAACCTGACCGCCAGTGACGATGATGATGATGATGTGGAGCAGCAGGAAGTCATCTCTCTGATAACGGATGACCCAGTTGTTATTGATCTCACCATTGATGATAATTGATGCTTCTTCTTCCCACTGTACTAGTATCTGCATGGTGATTGATTATGTATTATAGCTGAAAGCTTTCGTATTGTACAGTTATGCCAGTTGGGCCAGAACAAATAAAATAAAATATCTCTTTTCCTTTTGAATGCACAAACACAGCTGCATGTCTGTTGGCACCCTTGACTGCACTGTGTTAAGCGCACGGACAGGTGCGACCACAGGCTGTGCAAGGATCGCTCTCCGCACGTTTTGGATTGAAATAGTCTTGACGCTCGAGCATCGGAGTGTCGGTCCAAGACAGGAGGTATTTGAATATTGTTCTCGGGTTGTCAAAGTCTTCTGCCCATCCGCCCCAGGTGCAGATGTGCCACAGCAGCCAGCGGAGCACCATTGCAAGGTACTGGCAACCACCACGGCGAAATGAATGTGTGCCGTATGGTCGAGGATCAACCTTGATGTCACAGAGGTTGTTGCGGAAGCACTCGAGGAAGGCGTCATTTGACTAAGATAAATGCCATACCAGTAAGTCTGCCCAACATGATTGAAGATGGAAACACTGACCATTGCATCACCTGCATTGACACTCACCCCATCCTGCCCAATGCGCTTGCGGAAGACATAACCCTGTGGCTCAATGCCTAGTTTCCTACATATCACCCACCACTGTGCGAATGCTTGCACTGGACACATCCAGGGCCGTGTTGTGTCCAGATACAAATAGAAGGGTGCGATGCCTGATTACTACTATCAAACCACATCAAACAGTGCAGAACACAAGTAAGCTGCTCACCTCCATTTTGAGCTGTCTTGCGAAAGGGAAGGTCAAGACGCACACGAGAGGTGCCGTCACACATCTCAAGATGTACATCACTCCACATGATCCTGAGTGCCTCGTCATACCACAGAAGACACAGCATGGAGACAACATAGAGAAGGTGCAGCATTTGCCTCACCCTCCATCCAGCCCACTGCTCGGGTTGCTCCGCCTTTCGTTTTCAGCTCACAGGTGCATACTGCTCTTGTGGGAACTCAATATTGAAGGCCCACAGCATCCTCATCATCTCTTGGTCAATAGCACGTGCGCTCGTCACAATCTCCCCTCCACGAATCTGTGTATAGCTATGGTCTCAGCACTGGGTACACGTTGACATGGAGTACACACCTTACGCCGTCGCAGACTGACCATGTACTGCGAGACGGTCACAGACAGCGACGGATTCCCAATGTACTCTCCCGGCTTGAGTGGATTCTCAATCCACTGCTGAGTACCCAGCCCATAATGGCGTCCGAACTTATGACTGATGGCAGCACGCATCTTCTGAGCAGTTCCATAGGTAACACGGGCAACGGACGGGTCCTTCGGTTTTCCAGTGCGCACATCCAACTCGTCTGCCCTGAAATTGTTGGCAATGATCTTGGTCCCTTCAATGCTCAGTGGATGAGTGTAGTTCACTTACTTATTCATGATCCAGATAGCAATCCACGTTGGAAAATCACTCGGAATGTTCGGGTACAGATTGTCAACATCTTTGGGCTCCTCAACATACCCAAGTTCAGCACAGAACTCGGTGAACTGTGTCCAATTTCTGCAGAGGAAATATGAGTCCAGGATCTTGATCTTCGAGTCGCATGAGACTCACCTTCGGTACTCGTTCTGCGTGTTTTCCACAATAACATGAGCAGAAGCCTTTTTCAGATTCTCAACGAGATTCTCCTTGCTAGCAGATAGCTTCTGTTTCTTGTGAACAGGATCGGGCTCTCGCAGATAATGAGAGTCAGCATCCAGACGATTGTCAACATCCATAGCTTGCTCCATGGACTCTTGCTCCTCAATCTGCTCATCAACTACTTCTTGGAAGCAGACCATCTGAGCCTCCAGTAGGCATGCTGCAGCACCAGGCAGCTGCTGAAGATGCTGTGGATCCATGAGGTGAGGGATGAACTGCTGCCGTCAGATGTAAGATAGTTATGAGTTGTATGTAGCCGAACAAGGTGGGTCGGCTCTGACAGCGCAGACCGATCGCCATACATATGATCGACTGCACGCACATGGATCAGTTTCGTTCCATGGCTCATACCACTCTACAATATGGCTCCCCATACTAATAAAAATTCTTCCACTCATTCTCATGAATCAGAACCCGAGACCGAGATTTTGAAGCTACCGCTGCCTGGGCAGACTCTCCGAGAAGGAGACCGTCAACTCCAGCTGACCGAGGTCACTATGTGAGTACATGACGGAATCAACAAATTTCCGAGAGATTTAGCAGCTATAAATACCCACCAGCACCGGTAACACACCTACCAACAAGATTTTGAAACAGCATCTTGCACAGTATGGGCTGCCAGTGAGCGGGAACAGAAGAGTGCTTCGAACCCGTCTCCGAGACTTCGCCAATGATCCCGAGCAATGGGCGGGGTGAGTCCTGAATCTCGATCTGCAGCACTGTCTATGTGACTGATCTTTTCGCGCAGGTTGTTTCAGGCAAGTCGGAAGCGCAAGAGGGGCGACTACACAGGCTCCCGAGCGAACAAACACTCCTCGAAGCGGATCGTGACCCTCTTCGGAGAGAGGGAACCTGTCGTGGAGTATCCGAGTAAGAGGAGTGGAGATCTACGCGTACCTCAGCCTTTGCAGCACTCTGTCGTTGCGCATAACGACACTTGGGTACGTTGCAGACTTTCGGCTCGTGATGATGCACTAACGCCGCAATCTTGCAGTCTGATGCTGTGCTTGGGGACACTGCCACCGGCAGAAGACAAGAACGAGAGCGTGCCGCAACCCCTAGTCTAGATTCCGCGCGACCGGTTGCACCGTCAGCCAGGGAGGGCTCAACTGTTGCAAGAAATAGCGAGAGCCCACAGGATGCTGATGACGTCGAGATAGAGGGCGTAGAGGGCATAGAACAGGAGCACCAGGTAGGTTCTCCCTTCGAAATCATGATACTGTACCGCTGTGCTGAACCCAAGTTGCCAATTGTGTGCAGCTGGTTCCTATCAGACAGGTCCGGCGTGAGTTCCACCGGTTCGAGCGATCCATGTTGGGCAAAATCGCGAACGTGATCGGTACAAGGATCCCCCCTGCTCCGCCGCATGTGCAGACTCTTCCTGTCTGCCATGCTCCCATTCTCGTCCCTTCCAGACCGGTCGTTAACATTCAGCAGCCGACAATTCCACGGAATCCAAGTTCTGCGCCCCTTTATGCCTCCAATCTTACTCCTCTGCCGGCTCCCTCCGCGACTCCTCAAGCCGCACTTCCTCAGAATCGCAAGGTTGTCAATCTTGGTGGCGAAGACTTCGCGTTCGACAAGACTCAAGTGCCGGATCCGCCCAGTATCCACTTCTCCGACGACATTCCGAGGCTCTTCCGAGAGTGGCACTCCTCCACCGTGCTCCGAATTCCCATCAACACCGGACGCGGTATCCCCATCAAGTACTGGGACCTCTTCTACAAGAAGAAGAGCAGTGTGCCTGGCAAGGAGAAGGCATGGGGCCGAGTGAGGATGGAATGGGGGAACTGGAAGGTATGTTGCATTCCCACTTATCCCTCTCCCTCCACTGACCCCTTTCGGAAGTTTATTGTCGAGGAGCGTGACGAGCTCGGCTCCGACGACGCGTTCTGGGAGGTCTACAGCAACGAGAATGGAGAGCGGCTGCGCTATCAGCAAATCCTCGACAAGCTCAAGGCAAGACGGGCGGATCGGAGTGCTTGAGATGCCGCCGCCGCTCGCTCGTATTTCGATGGGAATCTTGAACGAGCGGATGCGAATGGTGCATTCCGATACCACAAGCGTGGCGTGTGGTACACGCACTCGAAGGACGCCGACATCGCGAAGCATTGGAGGTCTCTCCTGAAGAACAGCCCGGAGATCGCGCACAGCTGGGCATCGATGCAGGTCATGTCGGTGCCCTCTGCGAGCAGCAGCGCAAACATGGGCGCGAACGCGCGCGCCGCCGCCTGAGTGGTCGGTTGCGGCGGCGGCTTTCCGACTCCCACTCACCGTCATTTCACGACGCGATGTCGCGCGCTGTTCGTCTCTCGTACAGCGGCTCTCCACTCCTTTCCACCGCGGAAATGTTTCCTACTAGCTTATGATCCCGTGAGTTTATTTCGTACCTAGTCTACTACGTGTATATTTGTCTACTTGTAGTACTCTCGCTAATCCTATGCACCGCCCTGTCGGGGCCTTATCTACCCCATCGCGCCGAATGGGGAGCATGCAGTCTGGCTAACCGACCTTCGCGGACGCACCGCGACCTTCGCGTGCGGCGCTCGCATGTCCTCTCGTGTCCGACGTCCGTTTTCCTTCCGTTCAGCGAGGCTGGCTGGGGACTCGCGCCGGCGCTCGGTCAGGCGACGCGCGTGGACGGATTAGGCAAGAGGGACTGTCAACGGACTGTAATGCCGCGCGTGACCGGCGTGACGGGACTGTCAATCTGGCGGAGGAAGCCCTCAGCCGTGACGTGACGAGGGGCGCCGGTAGGGCGCCAATCGAATCCGACCCATCGACCATGCCCTCGCGCGATCGTCTTAAATTTCCTTGATGAAGGCTGATCAAGATGCGAAAGTGAGGTAAGAAAACGATGACAAATGCTGATGTAGGCGCCCCTTGATTCATTCAGACGGGAGTGTCTGGAGAGTCTTTGTAATATATCCATCACAAGGAAGCAACCTAAATATTGGGAGGCGGTGAACAATATATAACACGAGGCTATTCCGTCCTCAATATTATTCTCCCAACATCATCAACATCATCTCATATTGTTTCCTAGCTCCCTACCCACTGAATATACGCGGAACGACGTTGACAAGGTGCTGCCAATCCTAACTGAGGACGGCATACAGCGTTGCAGTACGGTGGTTGTCCGTTGGGCAACGATGTCTCTATTTCCCACTGTGTCTGTCGAAAGCACCGTCTTGCTCAGTGCTATAGCTGGATTGGTACGTGCACTGCCTTCTCAACAAGTCGAAATTGATTGCCCCGCGTAGACATCTCACATCATCTTCAAGAACTACGAGCCGAATGATCTGTATTCTCTTGTCGCATTGTTGGCAGTAGTACCTGCTCTACCTGTGGTATGGCTTGGTCAGCTCAGCACGCCGTTCGCGTTGCTTCTCTCCTACGGAGTGTATTACGGAACATTGCTGGGCTCTATCGTCACTTACCGTCTGTCGCCATTCCATCCCCTGTCCAATTACTCCGGCCCGCTTCTGTCCAAGATCTCTAAGTTGTGGCTGGTGTATGTGACGTCGAAAGGCAAGCAGTATCTCTACGTCCAGCAACTGCATCAGAAGTATGGGCCTATTGTCCGTATTGGTGGGTCATGCGTCGCTATTGGGCTGATTCTCAAATTCACTTCTCTGCAGGCCCAAATGAATTATCTATCATCGACACAGATCTCATTCCATACATCCTTGGTTCAGAGGGGATGCCGAAAGGCCCTCGTACGTCGCCCGTAATCGTTTCTTGCATATGACCTGAGAGTGCTTTGCAGTGTGGGAAGGGCGGGAGTTCTCGAGCAAACGGGACACCGCGGTTAACAGGGACAAGAAGGGACACTTCATTGGCGCACACGACTTCGCGGTTCACGCCGAGGCGCGAAAGACGTGGAACCGCGCATTCACCACAGCCGCGGTGAAGGGTTACGAACCTGTCATCATCAAGCGCGCGGCACAGCTGATCGACGAGCTGAGGCAAAGATATGCACAGTCCGAAGACGAGCAAATTGAAGTGGATCTAGCGAGGTGGCTGAGTTACTGCATGTGAGTGGTCAGATGTCCGAATTCGCCGTTCGCACTGATCAGAGTTGTGTCAGTTTTGATTGGACGGGAGACATGGTGTAAGTTCTGCTGATAGATCTTAAACCACTTAACCTCACAGCTTTTCTAGCTACGGCGGCGGGATTGAGCTCATGCATGAGGGGGACAAGCAGGGATACTATCACACAATGATGTCGGGCCTTTAGTGCGTCTAGAATACTAACATAGTAAGCTCTTCACTAATGTTGCGCGCCATTAGTCTTCCCGCACTAACTGGGCACATACCTTGGTGCGGGCGTGCCCTGCCATACTTCTCTTTCGTCGGCAAGCACACGAAGGCACTCGGTTTATTCGCTTATAAGCAGCTCACTCGCAGACTCCAGGAAGGGTCTGTGACAAATGACTTGTTCTACCACTTGGTGCATTCAGCTGCTGTAAATTCCGCATGACAACTGACTGATCGTGGTATCGTGACCTTTAGCTGGACGAAGGGAAGGAAGACGGCAACCCGTCGACGCCATTTTCAGTCATCATGATCTACGCCATCACCGCAACGGTTGCGGCCTCAGACACCAGTGGGACCGCACTGTGCAATATAATGTACTGCGTGCTCTCCAATCCCGACTGCTATGCGCATCTGAAAGAAGAGGTCGACACGACGTTTGGCGCCGCAGAGCCGGTCGATGCGGTCAAGCTTGCCAGCATGGAGTACTTGAACGCTGTTATGTAAGTGGTAATGTCGTCGTCACTTTCATAGAGAGTACCTAATAACGTTCAACCGGACCAGCAATGAAGGTCTCCGACTCTTTCCCGCGCTTCCCACCACGCTACAACGGGCCCCCACTCCCGGAAGTGGGCCTCACCGGATTGGCCCCGAGTACGTTTTTAAGTAGAGTATCACGAAGTTTTCGCTGAGATTCTCGTTGAACAGTATTGTCATTCCTGAAGGAACGGCCGTCATTGTTCCCTCATACACAATGCAGCGCGATCCCCGCTACTTCTCGCCCGATCCGGAAAAGTTCGCTCCAGAGAGATGGCTCGCTGGCAAAAATCGGCCCTCGGGTGGTGTCCACAACACCAGCGCCTTCATACCTTTCTCCACGGGTCCCATGAACTGTGTGGGGAGGCCCGCGGCTATCCTCGCTCTGCGAATGGTGCTCGTGTATCTAGTGCAGGCATTCGATATGCGCTTTGCGGAGGGATATAGGCCGCGCCAGTGGGAGGAAGATCTGGGAGACTACTTCTCGTGGCAGAAGGGGTCCATGCCTGTCGTGCTGACTCCCCGTTTCTAGAGACTTCGTTGCTCACGGAGACTACATTTTATACAATCTGTCTGCGTGTTGTTATGGCCCCAGGACGCGTTAAGGACACACAGTACTGAATACCCGCTCTTAATCTATTTTCTTTGCCTCCGAGAAGGGCTACTTTGTCGAACACAACGATACTCGCGATGATATTGATGCACAACTTGGCCTTATTGACTTCGACGCTACATGAAATTGAATATCAAACTTGGGAGAAATTCATTCCGTAATGTACACGTCTTGAATATTTCGCACACGCTTCGCATTTGCTCCCGTGATTATCGGCCCCCCTCCACTCCACGTACTCTCTACACCGTTGTTGACCATCCAATCACTTCCGAGAAGTATCTCCACCGGGAATCCAAGATCAGTGACCCAACAAGGCACATTGAACTCGAAGCCGTATGCATCAAAGCTCACATCAACGCGACCGTACACCTTCATGTTGCCGCCAAAAACACCCGAGAGCTGGACATCGTCAACTAGGCGCAGAGGTAGCATCCTGTGGAGAATGCCTGCAAGGCGCACGAAATTCACATCGACGACAGACGTGCTGGATGCAGACGACCACATTCCACGCGTGTTCGGGATACGGATGGGGTGCACGGAAATAGGGAAGCCCATGCTCATCTGGATGAGGCGGGGGTCGCGAGACTCTGTCATTGCCATCGCCCCGCCGATGCGTTCGCGCACAAATAACGGCACGCCATGCTGCACGGGAAGGGGCTGAGGAAGGAGTGCGCGAGCGGCGGCGTCTTCGGGGTCTGACTCCGCAAGAGAAGAGACCGAAGCGGAGGAAGGAGGAGAAGCTGGGACATCAACAATTGCAAGGCCCGTTGTCGCAACGAAGCCCAGGGGGCTCGAATTACGGGGTGCCTCAGCACTGTCAGTGCGACCACGTCCGCCTTGAGCTGCATCTCCCCCATGGGCAGTTTGCCTCCATCCACCGTGACTAGACATGTTGATTTCTGCTACTGTACAGCTGTGGAGTGAAGAAAAATGTTATCGACCTGGACGACTCACATATTTACGACTCTGTGCCACTCTTGTCCGAAACGACTCCAAATTGATTGATCTCTGTAAACCTCTTTGCACCCGGGTTAGCTTGAGGTAGAAGAATATCAAAAAAATATCATTTCGGTCACCTAAAAAGAGCTCGATTTATTCGCGCAACGACTTGCTGCTATGCGTCGAGCACGAACTTGGTAGGAGCTGCCAGTGCGCGACCGGTCGATCCGGTTATATCGCCTCGGCGTCAAACTCGGATGTAAGGTTCGCGATCGTCGCTGGATCAAGTTTTGTACACGAAAGCAAACACTGGGATCAACGTGAGTGTGAACAGACAGTATTCCGAAGCCACTCCCGGCCTTGGGCCTGCAATCATGTACATACCCCCCTGACTGCGACGTTTGACGTGTCTTCGCCATCGCCACTCGAAAGCTAAGTACTAGCAATGAATTACTCTGCAAGAAGGGTGAAGAAACTGAGACATGACTACAAGACAATAAAACGAGTGACGTGGAAAGGTAATTTCACCGCGACGTCGACGTCCCGTATGTCATCAGGCATTTCAAGTTTAGTCGAGGGGGGATTGAATGCACCCCGGATAGCCGCGGAACGGAGGGTAAACTCACCACTGAGTATGCATTGATGAGGAATAAGCTCCCCAACTATAAGTGTACCTGTTCACCATTGGCCTATGTCATGAATTCTGAGCAGCTGAAGTTTCAGAATTTCTCAATTGCTAGGTGCGACATACTACAGAGTAATCAAATTACCTACGAAGAAGGATCTACGTTCACAATAATCCCTCCTGGGTCATATCTTCGGGTAATCCCTCGCAACTACTTATTTTGCTTTGGGAAGAAGAACCCCACAGTGTGTAGATTTGAATCTGTGGACTGGTCAGTGCGGCAGTCATTGCCGGAAGATCATTGACACATACCCCATATTTTCTCTCTTCGGATCGAAGAACGTACTGGACCAGGGCATTGTCAACAGCCTATTCAATTGGCAGAGAGACTCTCAAGCTCACATATATCCCCGATCATTGGGGACTCCAAGCTTCTCCTCGAAGAAGTCAAACAAAGCCTTGCTGTATTTCTCGTTGGATTCGGGGCTTAAATTGTCCAGGCTCGTCTGAAAGATATCAACACATGCAACGAGATATGTGCCAGCACGAAACAGAACTAACAATAGTGAGTAGAAAGGCAGGATCAAAGGTGCCATTGAAGGTAAGGTTCTCATTATAGGTATAACTCAAAGACATGGCGGAGGGAGGCTTATTGAGCACCTTAGCCCCAAACTTCGATGCAGTTTGCATGCATAAGCATATTCTGCAATATCAGGTGGAATATAAATGAGCTCACTAAATGGAACTCCAGAATGAATGCCTTCGGATCGGTGAGGGCAACGTTAGTCTTCAACTCAAGAGCGGGCATATGTGGCAACGGACAAGGAGCTAAGCAGGATAGGTCGAAGGAACAGGGCCTGATGATGTTACTAACGAACAGGATCGTTACCAGATAAGCCCACTTCAGCTTGGGTGCATGAAAACCCTCAGCCGGTCAGCCCGGTCTGCGTGCCACGAGTGCAGCACCTTGAAGTTCCGGCAAAGTTCCGGGATTCGACCGCAAGCGTATATATCGCAGAAAGAGTAGATGTCACCATTGAAGCTCATGCTAAACCGTCGTTACAAAGATCGGAGAGTGTAATGGATTCGGTTGGGAATATTGAAGTTCAGTCTTATGTACTATGATGCCACGGCATTTCCCGAACTAGAAAAAATACATACAGACTTTTCTTTCCAATTTTCACCGCTGCACTGTACCATACAACCATCGTAGGTGTCAATACTAATGATACCGGGTTCCCATGCGCTCGGACTACATACGCTAGAAGACAGAGGAAAAGTATCTGCCTCAGGAGTCAGGATGCGCAAAGATCACGTGCACTTCGGACTGGCGTTTCGGAGGCAGTTTCGGCCTCCTAAACAGAAGCGCGGTACCTTCACCATCAATTCCTGAGCGGTAACCACTATGTTATTCCCTTCGTCGGACGACCATCTCTAGCGAACCACATGACGAAGACACCGACAGCGCGCTCAGTCTCCAGCGCAAGCGCATCGAGCACCGCGTCGCACGGGGCTAGCCATGGTTTCCGCTCTCAGATTGGACACTTACTGCTTCCGAGACATGCTGTCTTTCAAGTCCGAGTCCACATCGATCAGCTCTCCAATGTACCGCTCATAGGCGGCCAGTTCGCCGTGCGCTGGAAGTTCAAGAACGTCCAGTCCGGCCCGAACCTACTATCCAAGATGAGGGGCCACAAAACGTGGACCGCGAAGAGAAAGGGGAAGGCGAGGGCGAGTGATATCGGCCTCGAGATCAACGTCACACCGGGGGCGGACGAGGGGCATGGCGAGGAGGAGGATGGCGACAGCAGTGCGCAAGAGCAGGAGCAGGAGCTCGAGGAGGAGGTTGAAGACGAGGTGAACGGAGAGGTCACCGCTACGTACGGCGGTCGGCTCACGTCTTCTCCCGCTCAGACGGCGATGCCACTGCCTCTCGTTCCGGGCACAGCCACTGGAACCCAGCGGCCCGCTCTGCGGACGCCCAACGGGGCACTGCAGACGAGCTCGTCGACGTCGGTGTCAGCGACCGGCGAAGGGTGCTCGGTCGCCCGCGGGATGACGGAGTGGGTGAAGCTGCAGAGCTACAACGCTAAATGGGAGCACACGGTGAACGTCGTCGTGGAGATGGACGTGCACCGGGAGACGGGGGATCTGCTGCCGAGCGAGTTCAAGCTCGTCGTCATGCAGCGAGTTATCGCGGGCGACCCTGACGCGCCCCGGCATCCCCGGCTAGGGAAGCTGTATCTGAACTTGGCGGAATACGCGGACGCGGGGTCTGTGACGCGGCGGTATCTGCTGCGGGAGAGCAAGACGAATGCGACTCTTAAGGTGTGCCTACTGCTCTGCTCATTGCCCCTGAATGTGCCTGACACCGAGTACAGCTGACGATCGAGCTGGAACACATTGGTGGTGAAAAGAATTACAAGCCACCTCCTCTGCGCAAGAGCGAGATCCTCGCTTCCGTCTCTGGTCTGCTCTCAAACAACGAGCTGCTTCGGACTAGCGTTGCTCGGCAATTGGATGACTTCACACGTACCGAGTTGCCTCGCACTCTCTCATACGATGGCCCGCTTCCAGACGGGTACTCATGGGTAACTGATACAGGGATCATCAACGAAGAACGACTAGCGTCGTCGTACGGTTTGCGTTCCACCGAGAATCTGATAGAGGCGCTCTTCAACCCCGTTCCCACCAATTCCGAGACTCCATCACCCTTCACATACTACGTGCCTCCCGGTGAGAGTGACGTGGGCGGTTCAAGCGACTCGTCTTCGTACGGTGGAGACAACAGCATCAGTGCGGACAGCACGAGCGGCCATACAGGCAGCAGTCTGACCGAGGATCTAAGCCAAACTGGGCTCAGCAGCATGCTTGATCAGGTTGTGCCAGGGTTAAGCGACGGTCCCAGGACCTGGTGGCGCAAGATCCGGAGTCGCCCATCTACACCCATCACCCGTCAGCATAACAAGCAGCTGCTCGCAACTCCGTTACCCGCTGTGCTCGTCGGGGTACCGCCTGGCAATGCATAGGGTATTTTTATTTTCCCAGGGCAGCGAGTTTGAGGACATTCATTCGTTATCTGTCTTCCCTCTGCTCTCTATGCCTTACGTCTGGTGGCATCGTTCGTTGGTTTTCTATATGGTACATCATAAATTATCGTCTTATCGCTAACCACGTCTGTCTCAGCGTGCAGAATATTATCTTGTATTAGTTGTATTAGTTGTTTCTTCGTTGTGCTCTTTTTCCAACGATTTGTGCAAACATCCTGGTAAGCGAAAGTAGAACGATGATCATTGGGCGGCCGAGACGTGGGCAACGCTCGGATGTCTATAAAGATATGTTGACCATGGCCATGTGCGCAGCCGCATCTTCGCCACCCCGAAGAGTGCATCGCGTGGAACCACAGTAAATGTACCCAGGCCTTCATGCATGGACGCAGCACCATTATTAGTGAAAAATTAGTGTAAAGCTGGCGAGACTGGATATGAATCAAGTGTGCGACGCGTGAGGGTACAAATTACTCACTGTACGCGGAAGTGGTAGATATCACGAGGCAGCCTGGACAGCCGGCTGCTGAGAGGTTGGTAACTGTTGCTGCACTACTGCATTCGCCTCCTGTCGCTCGCGCACCACCACGCGTATCCGCATACCCTCCCAGCCCAGTAGATCCGCCTTTGTCCGCAGCACATACTGGTCAATCCCTCCGTACTGGATCGAGCGTGAGTAATTCGGTCAGGACACACGACACACGCAGCAACGAGCAGTTTGACACACCTTTTTGATAGTCTTCAAGGCACGAGTGCTGACCTTCACCCGAATATACTCCTGTAAGGCCTCGGAGAAGAAGCGTTTGGACTGGATATTTGGCAGCCATGTGCGCCGTGTCTTGTGCTTAGAGAACGGGACATTATTTCCGTATTGTTTAGTTTTCCCTTGGAACAGGCCAAGCTGGGCGCGTTTGAAGGGCGCGCTAATCACTTGGCCAGTGAAGAAAGGGAGTGAGGGAAACATGACGGTTGTGCTGGACCTCGACAGTGAATCCACCGGAACAGATCGATTACGTAAAACTACCGGAGTCTGCAACAACTACTCGCGTCTCATATGCGCCATTATTTAATTTGTGGGTTTTGGGTCCTTTCTACGCCTTGTTGAGATCGTGTCGTGCTTTTCTTCCGAATAATAACCGTTGACTGTATGACTTGAAGAGATACATCATCCGTGGACCGCTCGTGCGTTTCTCCTCTATCGTTCAGACTCATCGGACACATGCATTGTTGACATGTCGCCTTGTTAGACGAAGAAAAGCAGAGTTTCGTCCGCCACAATGTCAGCTGCGTCTGATGCAAAGTTCTTAGTATACCGCACGGTTGCTTCATGTTGACCGCACGATATAGCATGTTCGGACTGTCGCGTTTCTCAACTGTCTGTTTCGTTCGGCTACTACTCTCTGCTCAGTGCATTTCTCTTGCCATTGGTAGTATCTCAATTAAATGGGAGGTTCTCTGCCAATTTGAATGGTGTCTACCTCCTATAGGTATGGAACAATTGCATATCTTACTTCTACCGAGTTATCTCCTTCGTCAGGTTCCTGTGCAGTCTATCCCGGCCGAAAATATCCGCGGCTTGTGCTGCCGTGTGAGCTGTGCACAAGACCTGGTGAAAGAGCTGGTCAGCCATCGTCGTCGTACCTTTGTCCTGCAGTTGTGCCATCGCGCAGATAATTGACGGGGGCCGTCGACTGATTAGTCCTGTGCTGATCAATCCTCAATCCCTCTTTTGCATGGATCGTTGGCCACCGATTTCATGCGTCATCCTGTAACGTGGAACCTCTGAAACGCGATCATGATACCCTGACTCTCCGAGCGCGCGTATGCGGTTTGGCTCTTCAGCACCTTGCAAGTCACATGCCGAGAAGAGAATACTGGAGGTTTTCAGTGTGCACTGACTCATTACTGGATGCCTTCCCGTAGCCGTTTAGAAACGTTCTAAACTAAATTTCGTCTCTAAATCAGGCCGGCACGTCGGCAAATTGATCTCCGCATACCGTGAGAGCAGAGTGAGCTCTTTCTAAACCTTATATCTGGAAGGGGGGGTCGACCCCCCCTTCCAGATTCTAAACGTCTCTCTAAACGATGATTTCGGTCTCCGCCCACTCGCAATGCCCATCTTTGCCTATATTTGGTGCTGCATATTGCTTACATCATGCTGCCGCTCGTCCTCCGACCCTCTAGAACTTGGTTTGATCATCATCATGTTGCGACGCTACGGTTTCACAAATCCTGCTGTTCCGACACAGTGGGGTGTTTCGCAGTCCGCTTTGTGATTTAGAAGTGCTCCAAATCCTACGGGAAGGCATCCACTACTCGTATTTCTGACTTCAGACTCTTCCACGGTCGAATAGAAGACGCGAATCAGCTGACAGATGAATTGGTTTCTCTGGACAGTTCTCCCGTGTCCGCCGTCGCTGAACCAGGAACCGGGAAATGGGAACTTGGGTCTAATTGTAGCGCTGAATTCTAAGGCCCTGTTCGGGATCCCGATAATCATTATAGAGCCGCTCTAGCAATGTCCCAAAACAGCGCAGAGATTATCGCACACCTGTCATGTGATGAAAAGACCGTTGGCCCAGAGCCTCTAACCCTAGCTTAGGTGCCCGAGCCTCAACCGAGCCCTGACCGACATCTTCATTGCACTGGGGGCAAAAGTGGATGTTCTGCCTTGGAACAGTGTCTGAACATCCAAGGAACAGATTACGTTTTTGGACATGTCACATGTTCTGAACATGATAAGGAACATCTAATATGTCTCGCACAATGTTCTATTGGAGAGCATGCTGGAGACATGTTGCATGTACCATTCTGGAACATATAATATGTCTCACACAATGTCTCATTGGAGAATGTCCTGCAGACTTGCTGCATGTTTCATTCTGGAACATTTATTATTTTGCTACTATATTCTGGGCTTATCTCTTGATGCAATATGCTCTGTATAATAAGGATTTCCCATGGCCAAACACATTACATTTCTGGCTGCCGTTAATCTTCAGAACATTGTGAGAAGATGTTAAGTGCTCCTACTCCAAACATACAAGATGTCCTGACCACCAAGAACATCTGCAGTACATGTATGATACATACTAAAATTATACTAAAATTTTACATGTGCTGCAAATGTTCTTGGTGCCCAGGACATCTTGTATGTTTGGAGTAGGAGCACTTAACATCTTCTCACAATGTTCTGAAGATTAACGGCAGCCAGAAATGTAATGTGTTTGGCCATGGGAAATCCTTATTATACAGAGCATATTGCATCAAGAGATAAGCCCAGAATATAGTAGCAAAATAATAAATGTTCCAGAATGAAACATGCAGCAAGTCTGCAGGACATTCTCCAATGAGACATTGTGTGAGACATATTATATGTTCCAGAATGGTACATGCAACATGTCTCCAGCATGCTCTCCAATAGAACATTGTGCGAGACATATTAGATGTTCCTTATCATGTTCAGAACATGTGACATGTCCAAAAACGTAATCTGTTCCTTGGATGTTCAGACACTGTTCCAAGGCAGAACATCCACTTTTGCCTCCAGTGTTGGGAAGGGGCGTGATTTGCCGAGCAACCGATTGGCTAATTCCACATCAGTCTCGGTCTGTCGTGACCAGTCTCGACTTTAACACGTGAGCGGCAAATCCCCGGCAACATGGGATCTCATCTTATCTGTAGCCATATTGGGCATTCTGGAGTCCATTTAACTTTTGGCGGGCAGAGGATTCTACAGCGGCCGGATTATCGGGATCCCGAACAGGGCCTTATGCTCTGTGGGCCCTATACGGCTGTCTTTAGACTTCGGCTGCTCCCTGCCCTTCCGATCATAGTGGCTTATCCGAAGCAGACTCACTAAACAGTGCTCACCAGGAGTTCTCCTCGATTTCTGGTCGAACTTGGGCCCAGTCAGCGCTGCCGCGAACTTCCGATCATACGCCATGCCTGCTGTCTCTAGGACTGCTCGGTCTCTCGCCTTTTATCAGCTCCTGCACCTGGGAGGTATTTGCCCTGTTCAATTATGTCCCTCCCTAATTTCCCTACTTTGATCGCCTCGGCAGGTGCCTTATTTTAGACCCGCATCTCGGCTAGATCGGAGTTTGCGGTTGCTCGCGCTCTGCTCTGTGGATGCGGGCTTCCCTCATTTTGCTTGAATTTTGGATGGTTTGAAAGCTACTCATGCCCCGAAGAACACTGGAACCTTTCCTATGAAGAATGCATGCATGATCTTGCATGCAAAGTGTCGAGATATTTTTGGCACATCTTTTACATAATGCCGAAGATCACGACGAGTGCCAAGCCGAGAGTAGGGAAAGTAGGGAGGGACATAATTGAACAGGGCAATTTTTCTTACTCTGGTTCTGCGTATGTTGTGCTTCTTCGTATCATGATCCAGCCCTGCACGAGGCATACATGGCTGTGTTCACTGATATTCCGGAATGGCCACGTTCGTCGCGCAGAAGAGGTGCAGATTTAGTTTCCCAATCCATGATGCTTCAGTGCAGTCGTTTTTAGTCTGCCTACTACCTCTGCAGAGGCGACTTTCACTCAACATCTTTAGAACGCCTTCTCATGCAGGGCCAGGGCCGCACAGTCTGATGGTATTCCCTTCTGATCGTGGTTGTGTATATACTTGCCATGGTCTTGAAAGAGGTGAGCTTGCCGAACCTACGTGCGATGAGTAAATTACCTACTGAGAGACACGCTTAGTCCCTCGACCCATGTCTTATTTCACTGGTCTGCTTCCCCGAGATTCCTCCCAGTCCATCAACTCGCTGCTCAGATGTGGGGCCGCTATCTGAATAACCAAGACCCTCGCGGAGGTTGTTGATTCCGCGATCTCATTGCCATGCGTATCCTGCTTCTTACATTTATTTTGAGCAAAGGGGCTGTCCGCGTATAAAACAAGATACAGACCTGCTGCGGGCCACCTCACGCCTCGAGTGCTGTTCCGGTTAGCCCACCATGCTCGCTCACCTAAGCTCCCTCCTCTTGTTCTGCGTGGTGGCCGTCTCGGCGAGCCCCATCGCCAACCGGGACACCCTCACGTGTGGCATGTCCTTCACTAGACGCTTCAAGTACAATGGCACGACTACTCTGAGGGACATTGATCGCGCCAGAGCTAGCCAGTTGCTCGCCAATGCGAAGAACAACAACGTCAAGACCGCTGCGGCCTCAGTCTTCGACGTTTCGGCCACTAATGGTGCGGTTGAATACACCGTCAGTGTGAGTCACTCGTTTGATCACTTCTGCTACACTGTATCTCACTTCATGTTCATGGTACGAAGACTGGAATTGGTAGCCCGGCGACATATTGTAATCGCTGCTCCCTTCTTTATGATGTTTGATTCACACTCATGGGCTTCAGACACGCTGATCGTGGACACTGGTAGCTCCAATACGTGGGTCGGCGCAGACCAGGCCTACGTTGAGACTAGTACGTCTACCGCGACCGGACAGACTGTCGTATGTACTTCCATGCCATTGTATATGAGGAATAGTCACTAATTGTCGTGGCGCGGTCCTTGCCAGTCCGTCACATATGGTTCTGGGTCTTTCTCCGGTAAGGTTATTGAATCGTTCTATAGGTATAGAATACCTGAATGGTGACGTAGGTAACGAGTACACGGATGATGTCACCCTCTCCTCTGGGTTCACCATCACGGCCCAGTCTATAGGCGTTGCAACCGAGTCATCTGGCTTCTCCGGCGTTGATGGTATCTTGGGGTGAGTCTCAACATCCATACTGTGGTTAGTTGTGTATACTTAAGCATCAATCTCGCAGTATTGGACCCCAGGACCTCACCTGCGGTTGGTCATTCATACCATCTCTAATTGGGGTGTCTAACCGAATCGATATCATGCAGGAACCCTATCGTCTGATACGTCTGCTTGCATTCCGACTGTGACCGACAATGCATACTCGCAAGGTCTCATCACCGCGGACGAGGTCGGCATTTCTTTCGAGCCCACGACCTCGGTGTCAGACACCAACGGCGAGATTACCTTCGGCGGTGTCGATTCGAGCAAATACACTGGAACTCTCACCTACACGTCTCTGGCTTTTTTGCGATCCGCGTGCACCTGAGCTAATGAACTTGTACAGCGCAATCACAACCACAGAGCCCGCGAGTGAATACGTCGGCATTGACCAGACGGTCACGTACGGCACGAGTGACACGGAGATTCTGACGAGCTCCGCTGGTATCGCTGATACCGGTACTACTCTGATCCTGCTTTCCCCCAGTCAGTTCATCCCAAATGTCATTCATACACATTGTCTCATTGGCGTTCATGTATAGGTGCCTATGACCGGTATGAGTCGGCGACTGGTTCCACTTACGATGACAATACTGGCCTTCTTCGTCTCACCACGGCTGAGTACGACAACCTCGAATCTCTCAACTTCAACATCGGCGGCGTGAGTACTATGGATGTTCCTGTCGTAGTCTGAATTGACGCCCCCATTCCTGCAGACCACCTACGAGTTCACTGCCAACGCCCAGATCTGGCCACGTTCTGTGAGCATGGTCGTCTCCTGACCGAATATCCTTTGACCCAGATCCGCGTGTGCAGCTGAACGAGGACATCGGAGGCACCTCCGAGTACGTGTACCTCATTGTCAACGACCTCGGCGATACCGCGGAGACTGGCTTCGAATTTATCAACGGCATGACCTTCCTCGAGCGCTTCTACTTCGTGTACAACTCCGGCTCCAGCGAGGTCGGCTTCGCCACAACCTCTTACACGACCGCGACCACCAACTAGATGTTTCTTCGATGGGACTCAGGCTTTCTGACAACGAATGAGAGGTGATGAGTATATAGGTTCGACGTTGTATCATAGTCATGAAGAACGAATATGGATATAAAATTCGGTGTTGATCCATTGTGCGCTCTATGCTCACCAGAAGGTGAGGCAGTAAATACAACCTACTAGTACATGATATGATTCCGTTTATCTGGTAACGAAGCGATGACACGCTATTCTACAGTACTAACGGTATATCTAGGATCCACGGAAGACAACGAGACATACCCCATCCCTAAATCTACTCTTTCGCCCCCTTCCGCGCCAATGCAGGCTCAGGCTCTCCGTGGCTGTCCTGCGTCTTCGTCTTCGTCTCGTCTCGCACCTTCCACCGGTGCTCGTCGTAATCCTCCGCGATCTCCCCAATCTCCTTACGTAGCCGCTTCGCCTCGCTCACGAGATCGGTCCAGCGGTCGATGTCGAGCCCTTGCGCTTGGTAGAGCACCTCTCTGCGTGCAGAGATAGAGCGCTGCAATACTGAGGAATAGGAAACTTCGCGCCCTTGGTAAAGGAACCTACGTCGTCTCGTTAACTTTACCCCAGTAGGAGCAGATTTGAGACGAACCACAGGTATCCAAGAATAACGGTCGATAGACCGGAGAGGTATGTTATAGGCTCCATCACGCCCCTATAAATAGTCAGAGAAATATTAACGAAAACCCTCATGGAGATACGCACCAACCGAAATCCCAGAACGTCAAGCGAGCAACCGCCGTCCAGTACACCACGAGCATACCGAACCCACCCATCGCCATCCTGCGGGCACCTCGGTCAGCCTCAGTGTCGCACTTACGTTTGAGATCCTCCATCCTCTTCAGATCCTCCTCGATCACAGTTAAGCGCCGCCTCAGGAACCGCGTACGATCTTCGAACGAGGGGATCTCCACACGAATGCTGGACCGCGCATCCTGGGAAGGATGAGCATTGGTGCCTGCGCTCCCCTCTCTAGATCCCGCCACCTGCGTGTACTGCTCATCCTCCACACAGATCTCAAATTCGGTAGTACGAGCCGCGTCCCGAATAAAGTCTGCTACATCAGTCGAGTCGGACCACTGGTAGGTCTTCCCACCCGGGGAGGTACTCCGGAAGGAGATAGTTGGCGTAGCAGGCGCGAGTGAGGCGGCGATGAGCCGGCTGAGATGTGAGAGCGGCTGCGAGGGGTGTAGCAGGAAGATCGTAGGTGGGGGGAGCTTTGCTACAACGGAAGAGGGGCTCGACGTGCGGGATTGCAGCTGTGATGCCTTGCTGCATGTCCTCAGATGCCCTAGCGGGAGGATGAGCTTGAAGAGATGGGATGACGTCGGTGACAATTTGCCTGTCGCACATTCCATTATTCATTTTGGCTCCATCGCCGCTTCAAATATTGGGACATCATACCTTTGCCATCTGTGGTAGATTGGAGATCATCTGCTGCCACTTGGGAAGCGTCGTTGCCAGAATCCCCTGCTGCATCAGTGTCCTTCCACTTCTCCTTCCTAGACGCCTCCGCCAGAAAACGCGAGTGACCAACGCTGGTGTTCTCGATATCCTGAGCCGTTGACTGCCTCCTTCTCTGAGCCATTGGGGAGATTATTGATGGCCTCAATAGACGCGTAGGTTGGCATCGAATCACCAGCCGCTCAGGACGAAACACGGACATCGTACTCGTTCGTGCAATCATCGTGCTTCCGCTCAGCGTTGATTTAAATTATGAGAACGTACCGCTTCAATGTCCTGGTGACCACGGTACCTGGTCCCGTACTTCAGCGCATAACAATTCTTAGGGGAAACAGCGAGTGCAATGCGAATGTATTGGATGCTTTCTGGTCAAGGTGACTCGGACGTATCCTCAGCGTCAACGTGGAGCCGGGCCGGTGGGTATCATAATTAGTCTACTGTCCAAATTTAGTAAGCGTAGTAATCGTTCCGGCAACAAGTTACTATACTTTATACTGTAACTGCCTGTGATCGATGAACAGGCCTGAATGTGGTTCATATTCCCACCCGACTTGGACTTCTACATATGTGCAGTATAGCAGAACACAGGAGGACTTACACGATGCCCTGGACTCTGACGAAGAGTCAGGACGAGACATGGAGAACGACCTTGCAATGGATAGAACCCTCGCAGGACTGAGACTGCGACCTCTTCATTCAAGATTGTGATTGAATCGTTCGTGCAGGTATCGAAGTTTGGACCACTGGAAGGCAGTGCGTACCGATATCTTCGCACCGCCGATGTTGTAGTACATCTTTTTAGGCTTCCTAAGCGCCGAAGGACGACGAGGATGACCTACATATCGCTTAGGCAATCCGGCAGATGTATCTCTGATGGAACAGTGTCGCACAAGTAGCCTGGGACTGGAGAGATCAATGCGCAATCAGCGGAGGCGCAGGCGGCGCCCCCGCACATTATTACAGTTTTACGGGATAATCAGGTACACATCTCGAAGCCATTTATAAGGGAAGGGGTAGCAGTCGTTACGTGAGCTACAAATAAATTAGTTCATCCAGCCCATGAAGATTGTGAATGAATGTGACAGTGAAGTAAGTGTCTTCCAGTACAACCTCATATATAGAGACCTTTCTCGAAGAAATATCTTTGTGGATGAATACAACAGTATCCGCTTGATCGACATTGAGTCATCGCTATCCAGAAGAAAGACAAAAACCCTGGGCATGATATTGACATACCGGTCAGTCATTGCAATCTATGCGGCAAATCAAGACAAGAAGTCCATATGGGTGAAAAAGAAGAGATACAGTTGGCGCGGGTGCGGAGGATATAATGAAAGTGGGAGCACCTCAGGCTCGTTGAACTCGAGGCCGATGTCGAGCAAGTGAAAGAATTGCTGCAGAGGAACGAAGGGGGAGACGCAGACGAATTCACCTGGAAGGGCCTCGCGTATATTCTCCGGACACCATCACACGTCCTGAAGTACTGAACGGTCAGGCATAGTATTGGGATGGGGGGGGCCTGCTCTGTGATACAAGCTTATAAGCTACACGCGCGCGTGTCCTCCCGCATTCCACAGAATAGAACTTAATCGAATCGAGCCGGAACCACGAGTCTCTCGCCGCTGAATTCTCCCCCAGCTCGCAGAGTTTTCAGGGAACACCTTTGCTCGAGAAGTACTTTTCGTCTGAGTCGCAAGCAGTAGATGAATCTTTCTTTACAAGTTCTCTGGAATTAGAGCATCGAGAGTGGTCAAAGTGCTGGCGACCGTATTCAATATTTGTCGTGTCCGAGTCTAAAATGGTGATCAGCCCGAAAATCTTCGCGCCACCACGAGAATGTCTCGTGACCGCGACTTCAATATTTCAATCGCCAAACCTTCGCAGCGAGAGACCAGCTGGCCTACGATTCTCAGGCTCAGGCCTGGGATCATCGGCTACATTCTAGATGTCGTATTTTTGGAGCCATGATATACGGAGTGGTCGGTGCGTGAATCCGGTACAACATCATCTGACGGCAAGTTTGAGTAAACTGAAGTGTTCGGTACGTATGATGACTTGATTGTACGTTCAAAAGCATCACTGAAGTTGCTCTAGTAAAGTCTTACAGGAGTTAGTGGGAGTGTTCTGAATGTTGTCGGTCAAATGTAGGGGACCGAATGCCATGGAATTAGGAGCGGGCTCTCTGGATCAAGGGTTGCCAGTTAAAATAAAAAGAGGAGGTCGCGCTGGCCCTGAAGTAGAGACAAAGTTTCTATTTCGCAACGTCTCCAGTGCTCGCATGAGCGGCATATTATCAAGGTAACCCTTCGAAATTCATTAATAGACGTGGCGCTCTCTGATGCTTTTCATCTTCTCTTGGTCGTAGAACTGCCAATGGGGCCACCGGGAGCCGCTGCGGTCTCCCACTTTTTCCCGCGCCGTGCCGCATACCCCGCATCCACGTTATCGAGATGCCCCATGACTTGGACCTGTATAAAGATCGACGCTCATCAAGTGTCTACGAGAATTTGCAGACTTACTCATGAAATTCAGACCGTATCTCCAACACGCGGACGCTTTCCTGCTACAAAAGGGTCGGAAGACTTCACGAATTTCCACTCCGTCGTCCCTCCCTTGCTGTATTCGGGCCTTCATTCCAAATGCGCAGCTTCTTGATTGGATCTCCTAGTCTTTCTGGGCGTGCGCTGTCGCGTTTGATCAGTCTGGCATGTTCAGTCGCTTTTATCCTATTTGGTTATGGTGCGCCGTCAAAGTTTAAAGTACTCGTCCTGCCTGTATTAACAACTGCAATAGAACAGGGAGTAATGGGCGGTATTATCACTGGCCCGGCCTTCACGCAACAGTTCCCCTCGATCAACACCACCACGGGTAATGGTAATACTCAGCTGCAGGGATTCACGGTTGCCATTTACAACATCGGATGCTGGGCCGGCTCTTTGCTTACCATGGTGGTTGGAGAACGTTTGGGTCGGAAGAAGACTATCATCGTTGGTGCTACCGTTCTTGCCATTGGGACGGTGATTCAATGCTCGTCTTACAGCCTCGCACAGTTACTTGTGAGTAGCACTTCATTGCTGCGTTCCTTTCACATACCAATCTTGAAACTTTGCTAGGTTGGACGAATCATTACCGGCACGGGGAACGGCATCATCACTTCCACAATCCCTGTCTGGCATGCTGAACTATGCAAAGCAGAATCTAGAGGCAAGTTCGTTACCGTGGAACTCTCCACTAACGTTGTAAGTGGTCACGTCTTGACGTTGTTGCACAGCTGTGTCTGAGCGACTCTATCCCCTCTCTAGGGCGGAGTTGCGGTGGCGTACTGGGTTGACTACGGCATGGGATACGTCAACAGTGGTGCACAATGGCGCTTCCCGATCGCCCTGCAGGTCTTCTTTGCGCTGTCGACCGTCTCCCTCGTCACGTTCTTGCCAGAGACTCCACGGTGGCTTCTCTCTCACGGCATGGATGCTGAGGCTAAAGACATCCTGACTCGTCTCCATGTCGAGGAGAATGCCTCGGCCGCGGAACGCGAACGTCTTGAAATTGTCGCGGCTATCGCACAGGAGCGGGAAGCCCAGGAGCGTCTGGGTGGCAAGGGGTGCGCTGCGCTATCATCTACATCCCATCAGGCTGACATTATCTGATTTTCACTAGTTCCATCAGCACCATTTTCACCAATGGAGAGCAGCGCTTCTTCTATAGAACCATGCTAAGCGTATGGGCAATGATCATGCAGCAACTCACCGGCATTAACTTGATCACGTACGCCACGGTCATCTCCACGACCTTTCATTTGACACTGATCATAATACCTCAGTTACTACGCTCCGTACATCTTCATCAAGAGTGTCAGGTTCTCCCAGAGGCTGTCGGCGCTCATGTCCGGCTTCCTGAGCTTGTTCTACTGGCTTTCAACCCTTCCTCCGATCTTCATGATCGACAGGGTCGGTCGCCGCCCGCTACTGCTGATTGGCCTGATCGGCATGGCATGCAGCATGTTCGTCCTTGCAGGCACAACCTCTGTTGTGAGCTTCGCCCCTGGTGTCGTCGCGACGGTCGCGCTCTTCGCCTATGATTTCTTCTTCGGCATCGGATGGATCCCAGGCCCGTGGTTACTTGCTTCGGAGTACGCGCCGCTCACCATCCGCTCGCAATCCGCGGCGCTCGCGACGTCAGCCACCTGGATCTTTACGTTCTTGGTCGCCGAGATCACCCCAGTTGCAATTGACAATATCAGGTGGAAGACATACATCATCTTCGGTGTCTTCAATGTGGTGTTCTTCCCCATCGTTTACTACTTCTACCCTGAGGTGAGCTTTTTTTTCTCACTCTGCTAGCTCCGCAGTGTGTTGAGATCGCGACAACAGACGAAAGGCAAGACACTGGAGCAGATTGATTTACTTTTCTCCGGTCCGAAGGTGCTCATCGATATCTCGCAGGCGGAGCTGCTTGAGATGCAGGGCAAGCATATCGAGATGGCTGTCAAGGCGCGCAAGGTCGATGTCGACGAGTACGACGCCGAAAAGATGTCCACGACGCATTACATCGAAGGGGCCAAGGTATAATCCCCACTCTTACAGGTTCAGTCCCAGAGGCCAACACGGGACTTAACTCTAACGTCAGCCGTGGTAAACGAGTTCACGGGGTCCCAAATTTCACTTTATAGTCGTATTTCTCTTAACTCTTCTCCAGAAGCCTGATCAGACCGTTTTTGCTGTAAACCAACCAGGCTTGACACTTAAAACCTGTATACCACGTCAAGTACATAGCTGTTGGATCTATCTTCTGACAGGTGTTGGCTCCAGCGAGATTGTCGCTGCCCAAGGTCCTCGGCCCCGGCCACTGCCACTGCAGGCGCGCTAGGTCGTTCGGGCCTGCTCTAACCTATGGTCCCTCGCATACGTGATTGAGCTCTCACCACGGTTTATCCCTGATATATTTTCAAAACTTCAGGTGTAACTCAATGAGAAACCTGAGGGTGCCGTGTACCTGTCGTTGGTCGTTCGTATCTTGAGTCTAAATTTCCTTTTAGGGTGGTGGTCATGGTATGGGCCTTATACCATTGGGTGTATGCTCCCGTGTTTTCCCTCTGAATTTTGTCGCCGCAGGTCGTTGATGAAGATGATCCACGATCCTTTGACCGATCCGCTGTATATCCTGTCTGACGTGTGACGCTTGTTGTCGGTGTCTCTGGCAGTACTAGCTACCGGATGTCTTAATATGAAGTCATAGAAGCGAGCAACTTGAACTACATAGCGGTCATAAGGAGCTGGAGTGTAGGAGTATTGAACCATGTTAACCTATAGAACATTCATACATTAATGAGTGGCCCAAGTCCTCTTAATAGTATCCAAACCATACATGATGGTCAGTTGGAGTTGGATCTGTAACCATCGCACTCGGCGGATTCGTACACTTTCCCGCTCCTCTTTGCGCCCCCGCTCCATCAAGTACGCCCATCACATCCTACACCTCCTACCTCTCCTTGTTCATCCCCTTTTCCTCCCCGCCTAACACATCCCAACTCACCTCCCTCTTTACTCTAGCTGCCTTGTATAAAGTAGGTCTCTGTACGAAATGTGATTGTCGGCGCCCTTCAAGTTCGGGTCTCAGTTGAGTGACGACAGACCTATCCCGATGGGAAGAAAGTGCTCTACTGCTTGTCAGAGACTTCATCCGATGGTCCATATTCGTCGTCAGAGAACGTGCTGACCGGACCAGTGAAGTGGAAGCGCCCCCACAACGTCCAGCAGAAGCCGACAATTATGATCACGCCGCCTATGGCGACGATAGCGTAGTTCATGTTGAGGGAATTCACCGGACGTGCTGTCGGCAGAATGAATAAAACGCAGATGAACACTGAGAACTGCAAGCAGAGTAGTCTCGATTGAAAATGAGCGTGAAAGCGTGGAATGGCTCACTAGCAAGCTTGCGAGATTAATCGGCCACGACCAGGCGCCTAGGTCGAAGGGACCACGTATAGGGAGGCTTTGCAGGTAGAAGACAAGGATACGAATCTGATTAACTCAGATGGAGGTGGTAAAACTTTACCACTCACGATGACGGCCAGAACACGCGGATAAGGATAGGTTGAAGATAGCTTAGCATGACAGCGATGGCAGCGGATGACAAGATAGCATTGAACTGACAAGGTATATTCAGCGAGTAGGCAGCAGTGTTGGTATTTGCATCACGTACTGCAATGGCAGAACCAATGTAAGCGCACGAAATGATGCATCCTATCAACACCGATGTCCAGATACCCCAGTATGGCGCCTGATACTTATTGAGGGTCATGAACTGCTTCTTGAGCGGGAAAGCGTTGTCTCTCGACAGCGCGTAGAACAGCCGCGAACTGGCGGTGAACGCCGTGACGGCAGCCATGAACTGGGCGAGCGCGACCACGGTCAAACACATAAGGGTTAGACGCTTGCCGACCGCGTCGTAGTATAGCTGAGCAATTGGGATGGCGTAAGATGTAGCCTGGACACTGGCAATGCTTTGGACGGAGAAGAGGAGCGCGAGCATATACGCTAGGCCTATCAGCCAGGAGCCTAAGATGCTTCCGACAACGGCAATAGGTGCAAGAAACTCAGCGCGCTTCGCTTCCTCAGCCACTTGCGCGGCAGTCTCACAGCCTTCGAGAGTGTACACAGCCTGAAAATTGGGTCTGATATAGAATGGCAGGCGAGATATCGAGAAATCCTACCTGTAGGAAACCAAGCAAGACTACGAAGCCTCTGTTACCCCAACCAGTAAAGCTGCCCTCGCCATCTCAGTATACATATAGCGTCCTCCAAGAGGTTTGTTACGTACTTTTCGTAGTCGGTGAAGACAAACGCCGCTGAATTCTAGCTCCGACATAGACCCATGCGATCAGTTCATAATCACGATGTTGCCGCGCAGAACACCCCACCTTCACTGGGGCCTTCACTAGGAGTGTGATCACAAGTACAAATGTTCCACCGAGGGTCCACCAGAGATTGAATGAACTCATTGCACCTATGGCTCGCGTTCCGATTGTATTGATTATGCCGGAGGCAATGTTAACGCCCCACGCAATGGCAGCTATCTCCACCCTCGTAAGCGTGCGGCCCTGGCCGACTTCGGCCAGAGATGCTAAATAAAGTGCGACACTGTAAAACTAGTTCAGAGGGAATACGGTATAACTATTGTAATCGATGTTACCTGAGGTTCCCCGACGTCCCAGTGAATACCATAGCAATGCTGTAAATCCAACCCGTCTGAAAAATACGCGCATTTATTAGTAGGCAGTTTTAGGCGACAAGTTATGCCCTGAAACTGACGCAGACTGGTCAACGGTGTCAGACGCAAGCGAGCTCTCCACGGGGGTATCGTAAGTCAACTCACAACCTAAGATCGGAGAATCTGGTTTCATCTTGCAAACCCAAAAATACAAACCTCCCATAGTGGGACTACGTATATCAGTTCGTCGGGAGAATAGTTTAGTAAATATAGAATACCTACTATGCGCTACATATCTCCGCCAAGGATAGCGCAATGAGCAGCATGAACAAGCTACAAATCTGCAATTATGAGGTTGAGGATTAACTTGGGACCATCTACGATGCCAAACGCACATTCCATCCCCAGAACAGGCCTAGCGGTCCTCCGGAGAACAAGCCTGTTTGGAATGCGCTACTCATACCTGTCAAAATACCGATGGCGCAGAATGAGATGCCTAGCACCCCTACGAGTGACATGTCGCGGCGAAATTCGCTTTTGTACCCCAGATCGTGTAGCCGCCTATCCGAGGCATCTCCTACTGCCTTCGCAGATGCAGGGCTCTCAACTCGCTCGATATCCATTTTCTCCGAGTTCATCGGCTAAGAATCGCGCAGAGGAGAGCTTGGTTGAATAACAGCGCGGGAAGGGAGATGGGCTTCTGAATCCTCGGCTCTCCCATATCTATAGCACCGAAGTATGCGAGAGATATCGACTACGAGTCGATATGGGCGCCACGCGATAAGGCAGATGCCCTTCAACCTCGATCACTGTTCATCCCACTATGATAAGCTGTAATAGCACTGATAGGCATGCCCACTGTCAACCGAGTCTACACAGGCTCGCAGAATAGTTCGGGCTGGATCAAACACAAGGCACCCCGAGGTGTCCAGTATCTGGCCGGACGTCAGCTGAACAGGATTGCAAAAAAATCCCCAGGGAAGGATGAAGCCTGATACTAGTAATTAGTCTCCGTTCTACAGCGTGTTGCATATGCAATTGCAATCATGCAACACGCTGTAACCAACTCGAAATTGGGCGCCTGCGCGACCCACGTGACAATGATGGGCGTCAGCGTGCTGCCGCGCCGCCGGCAACTTAAACTCATGGTTTCATCTTTATTTGACTGGAGTTGCAAGCATTTTGCGTTCCTTTAGCACCGACAAGAATCACGTTCGAAGGGATCTGTGTATACATTTGTACACCTAAATCTCATTCGGGTTGTTGCAGGCGTACTGAATCCCAAGTTTACTTATAACGACTTGCGCAGCAATTAGGCTTCCAGTTGTGTCGAGGTACGAACTGCTCGGTTCTTCTAGGACATTACCCTGATAGAATATTTCCTGCATGTCTAACCATGAAGGCCCTGAAACTGATGCGTCGTGAACAGGATGACTTCCGATTATAAGACGTCCAAGGAGGCATTCGTCTCAGGAATGACGGGGTCGAGCATAGGTCACATTAATATGGTCTCTTCGGTGGCTCTTGTGAGTGTTCAAAATTCGATCTATTCTTTCCACTTCGTCTGAATGAGACTCAGTCATCCGTAGCACTCTATTATGCGTTTCGCACTCGTATTCCGTGGTCCAAGACATACCAATTTACGACAGAATTCTCATTATTGGTGGTACCATTGCTATGTTCCGTGACACTTTTTGCAAATACCCCTGGCGTGCTCTCTCTATGCATGTCGATTGCTGGCGGACTATCATTACTACTCCCTCGACTAGAAACTGGGATACCCTTACCATCTAGTTTGCATCCCAGCCGCGCGTCTTCTCCTCAGTGCAAGCGTGGAACGGACCCGTCCCAAGAGTATGAGGCAACACAAAATACCCCTGTAGCACCGCTTCCTGCACTAACGACGTATCGTGCGCACATGCTGCTCTTGACATTTCTGTGCATTCTCGCTGTGGATTTCCCTATCTTTCCACGTTCTCTAGCGAAATGCGAGACATTTGGTGCGTCCTTGGTGAGTGCAGCAGAGCTCAAGACGGACTTGAAATCTTACGTCAGGATAGATGGACGTGGGGGTCGGCTCCTTTGTCTTTTCCTCCGGTATTGTGTCTGCAATACCGCTCATCAAGACTCCGTCATACCTTTCCGAACCCTTGATACCGAAAGTTATAGTAGTCACTCGCAAATGTGCTCCTCTCATGCTACTGGGCGTATTGAGGACGCTCTCCGTCAAAGGTGTAGAATACCCCGTACGTACGATTTAATCACTAGCGTGCTGATTCCTTACATTCGGGCTCAACAGGAACATCAGTCGGAATATGGCGTTCACTGGAACTTCTTCTTTACTCTTGCCTTCGTCCCGATATTGCAAGTCTTGCTCCATCCTTTGATGCTGCGCCTGCCCATATCCCTGCTCGGAGTTCTGGTGTCCCTCTGTATGTCTTTCTTTCGTTGTTGCTAGAACTAACTCATCGGTGTGCGACCCTCAGTTCAGCAGCTCATCCTTTCTGCTGGTTTAATGGGATTTGTTCTGACCTCGCCTCGCGTCGGCTTGATCGGCGCTAACAAAGAAGGTATCGTATCTTTGACCGGTACGTACCCATCCTTCACTTATTATGCCATCCCTTATTCAGAGATCGTCAGGCTACCTTGCCATATACTTATTGGGTATCTCGACGGGCACTGTTGTCCTCCCGCCGTCCCCGTCCTACTTCCGGCGACGACAGCAGCAACTTACCCAAGTTCACTCCAATGCTGGCCGCAAAGCCAAGTACAGTAGTGATTCAGACAGTGACGAAAGTGGTGTCGATCGTCGAGGACTGCCTCGCAGACTGCCCGTCCCGTATATGCGAGAGAATGACAAGACCGCGATTGAGCTGTCGTCGTATGCCGTAGTTTGGTGGGTCTTATTCGCCGTCGCAAAAGCGTTCGGGATCGGAGGAGGTATCTCTCGCCGAGTGGTAAGGCATCAAGTCGGATGAAGTCCCGTAGCTATTGCTGATATTCTATCGTGACGACAGGTCAATCTCCAATACATTATCTGGGTGTCAGCTTATAACACCAGTTTCCTGTTGGGGTACATCCTACTGGACCTGATATTCTTCCCTTCTCCGTTTTCGAAATCCACATACTCCCCGACCTCCAAGCTCAAGGTTCATCCGGACCCAGGGCTCCTAGATAAGCGGAAGAATAAGCCCGAGTTAACGGAGACCCCCCCAGCGTTGTTCGAAGCTGTCAACCGGAACGGGCTGGTACTTTTCCTCCTGGTAAGATTTACTAGTCGTCTGGGTGTAAGCACGAGACGATTTACGATGCAATGGCAGGCGAACTTTGCTACGGGACTTATAAACCTCTCCTTGCCCACGATGTACATGTCCGATTGGCTTGCGATGGTTGTCCTCTCAGTCTACATGCTCAGTATTTGTTCCGTGGCGTGGTGGTGTAGGAACAGAAGGATACTCAAATTGTGATATAGGACCTCTACAATCCCATGATGATACCATTCGGTTTCTACGTTAAGCTCGTCGTACACGTTCAGATTTTTCCGGAATTCCTCGGGACAAGTTCTACCAATGCAGACTGCGCTACTCGGACTAATGCAACTCAAATTACGAACAATTATGGAGGTTGAAAGGACGAGAGTACATCCAGAAACACGACGTTACTTGAAGTAGCGAGCAACTTCTTCATCCGCGAGTCCGAGATCATCCTGCAAACCCTGCAGCTCCGAACAAGACGGTCCGCTGCATTTGTGGCCTATCCATGCTGTCTCCAAGTCGATGATATGAACTCCTCCCTGGTCATCTATGAGCACATTGCGGGGCTCGAGATCGTCGTGGAACACATTAGCGTTGTGGAGAGCAACAGCGGTTCGGTAAACTGCAATCCTAGAAAGGCCTTAGCATTGAAACTCCATATGTAAGTTCGCTGGACGTACTTGTCGAAATCGTTTGAGGCGAATTCGTCAAGTGGTCGGCCCGCGTAATTCAGCACGAGAACGGTGGTGCCAAGAGTATCGACAAAGACGCCATAGCAGTGAGGTGATGCACTGGCTCCAGACGTGGCATTAATGTCGCATGCTGTAGCTTGCAGGTGCTGATAGATCTTGTATTCGCACAGCAATTGCTCCCGGCCACCGTTCTTGATGCTAACCTTGGCCACGATGTGAATCTGCCGACCGTTGGTCTCCAGTATCATAGATCCCTCCCACGTTATGCTATTCCACCCGTCCGATAGCTGAGTGTCCAAAATAAGACCAGCCCTCTCTGCAATTGGGTCCACAATTATTTGGGAGGATACTTCAGTGTCTGACACCATATCGGTTGGGCTTGGGGGACCGTCGATCGTCGATACAGGTGGCTTCGGGGTAGTCGAGGCTAAAGGAGCGTTTGACCCATTGTCAGTGGTACCAGGCTCCCAGGAGATGAAGTGGCTGAAGCCTGTTGACTGATACTCGTTGCTTTGGAATGCGAGGTGAATGCTACCGATCTCTCCCTGTAACTCAAGTGAGATCTATGACGTTCAACTCGCCTAATCCACCTACCAAGTGTGTCTGTGCATCGCCGGGCGTATTATGAAGCAGAATGCCACCACGCTCAGCTACTAACGCCCGCGACTTGACCTCTTGATCCCGATCTGCACCCTCGTCTTCTGGATCACGTCTGCGCTTCTCGCCATCCGGCTTCTGCAGATGTGGATCGGACGAACGGACAGACTCTTTGCAAAAGCTTGCGCGATTCTGCGCATCTTCGAATGCTTTGACAACAGACCCGGTCAAGATAGGCACGATATGATCTCCTGGAAAGAAAAATTCGGATATGGTGGCGGAGCGCTTGCATCGGTTTCGATGGATGACCCACGAAACTTGGTAAGAGCTGACGAGGTGGTATGTCGTATCATGACGACACATCTCAGACCATGCCTGACCAGTATTTAGCGCACGAGGATTATAACGCACAAATGATAGGGAAAAACCTGAATGGTGATCCAGACGGCATTTCGGAGCCAAGCCTTGATATCGAGCTGTAGTGTAGGGTCGTTTATGTCGTATCTGGAGAAGAGCGCATCCAGAATATAGCGAATTTTTACTAACTCCTCTAAGTCATGATGAATAGACATATCTGACGAGCTGGTTTCCTGTGAGGCATGCTCATTTGTTGTACCTGTGGATTCCTCACAGCGTGGACGGATGTGATAGCGGTGAGATCCGACAACTTTGTCCCATTCAGGGATACGTTCAACTGCACGAGTAATGGCAACCCTAAGACCTTCATCGTCTACGTGACCAGGTTCATAATTTGAATCTTCAGAAACACACTGGAAGTCGCCCTGCATGGCGTCGAGAAAAGCATGGCTATGAGCAAATCCCTCACATCCAATACAGTCAACCTTGCACCAAGGGAATACCAGTTCTTTGTGGTGCACAAATGTCGCCGAAAGTAGCAGCAGTGAGAGATACAACCGCGGATCAATTGCCAGCACGTTCTTGATCTTCAGTCCGTAAAGGGGGCCCAACTTCAACCATTCCTCTGGTAGGGCGAACGTCGGGCTAATGTCCGAAGACTGGGTTGCATAGTCGGCAGAATGAAATTGGATGATCAGATCTGCATTAGCTTCACTCTTCCTCGAAGATGCGACCTCCAGATATTGATATGTGGATTGATCTTCTGCGCTGAACTTGATATCGCATATGGCAAGAGTGGCCAGTTCGAGTACCCCAATGAAGACAGAATGTAGTCCAAGCTCAATGGAATGCTCGTTGTTCACTTGCCCCACTATGCCCTTCGAGATCCGCATTAGGGAGAAGTCCGCGATTCTCGGCTTCGTCTTGAGGTAGGTTAACAGGTGCTCCCTGGAGTGCAAGCATTTCTCTAGAGTGATGCGAAATTGGGTCAATATTTCGGAGGAGACATGTAGAGAGGAAATGTGCAGTCTAGGGGATAGATGTCGGTCATATAATGACGGTGGTCGTGTTTGCACGGAGTCAGTGTGGTCGCTACGAAGAGCAGCATCGCGAAGTTTCACGTCGCTCAGCCTACTTAGAAGTACTTTCGCTGCATCATCGTATGACATGGTCGGCAAGGAAGTGACTTGTATAGAGTAGAAGCGATTAAAGCTGAACCTGATGGGAGTCGTATCCAACCCTTCTACAAATACCTACAAACTTAGGGAGGACCCCCCGCAATCCCCTATGAGCCCCGATGCCTGAATCCCCGAAATTGGGCCCGCCGCAAGCCGGACCTCCGATCTCGGACCCCCCGAAAATGGTCGAAAAATCGGTACAACTTGTGTCCAGAAATCCCCGAAGTTGTCCCCTTTGGCCCGAGGTTCAGTGCGAAACCCCCTAAAAATGGTTCCTGGGAGAAGTTTTCCTGGGGGCCCTCAACGTGGAAGGATTTTCTGCGGAAAATTTGTTTTGAACCCGGCGGAATCCCATTTCTCACCGTAAATGTTCGATCCCATTTTTCCCCGAAACCGGCCGGGAGGCCGGGACCTTGGGTGCGAAACCCCCGAAAATGACCGTGTTCCTGACCCCCGAAAATGGCCTCGGGATCGGAGCTCTAAGCGAGTTACGGGGGGTCCTACTTGGGGTGACGACAGGCAATAGGGTAGTTCAGAGTAGGGTTTTCGACCGGGTTTCGAGCTGGTTTTCGATGCGGTTTTCGATGCCGGAGAAATCCGAAAACGACTTTGGTTTTGAGACGACGGCCCAAAGCCAGTTTTCGGCTTCTTCGGCATCAACTTCGGACTCTGAAAGTGAGCTGTGCAAGATGCCGATCATCGACGATGGGCACGTCGTCGCTGTTGTCGACGACAGTGATGAGGTCTTCCGGTGGAGAAATTAATTTTTCCGCTCACTTATTCTGGAAGGGTGATACTCATGGAAATTATGAAAGACCTCTAAAACATGGCAGACAATAAGTGCTTAGGTCGGGGGATGCATTTCGAGACAGCGGCGCTGTCGCGCACGATGAGCACAGCTACTTTGGCATCACCGACAGCTCGGTAGGCATGCCCGAGGTTCTCCCGTAGAGCGGCTTATTTGAAGTCCGCCTCCCAACAGTGTCGCCCGCGCCTAGCCGAAACCTGTTTTCGGCGGGTTGTTCAAGGTTGAAAACAGTTTTCGGGCTTCTCGGGGAGTCGAAAGCCAGATCGAAAACTGGTCGAAAACCTTTGAAGTGCTTGGCCGGACAAAAAAGAAAAATGGATTTCTAATGACCTAGTTGACTTTTGCAGTACGGTTTGGACGTCTTGACTCCGTTTTCGCCGTGCCGACTTCAATTGTGGTTCGTCAATCACATTTTCACAGCACATATCTCGTTTTCGGTTAGATCCAAACGTGACAGATGTCACTATGTAGTGGCACCTGTCCTCCGTTTCTCCACTGTTTCCCCCGGTGACTTGCTGGCATGCGGCACTTGTCTCTGGTTCCATGTTGTCTCCTCAGCTGATTATACTTTTCAAGGTGGTCCTTCAGGTAATGTATTTTTGATATATATCTACATTTCACTTGGATATCACATTTTGAACTCGTGTCACGGTGGACACTGGTGCGAGTCTGTTATGCACACGCGTTCCTCTCAGGTGTTGAAACATTGAAGGTGCGAGATTATGCACTGTTGCATTTATGTAATTCTGCAGACACAGATATACTATGGTATGGTCCCTCCCCGAGAACACCACCGCAACTCCCAGCCCTGGAGGAACACCTGTATTAATGCACCATCAGACTCCTACGTGGGAATGGCAGGTCGACCAGCATCCCTGCTGGCAGGTCGACGCAGTCACTTCGAATGTGAGCCGTTGCATTGCACGTAGAGGTGCGTTTTTTGAGGTACCATGTCTTGCTTCAGCTGATACTTGATGGGCCTGCCACCTGCACAGTACTTGACCCACGTATGGCACACGTCAGTCCATCACCCACGGACTGCGCCACTGGCTTAGTATGCACCGGCCGGGTATACCAATGCATGCGGCGCGCGCGACGTATCGTGTGTACGAGGTGAGCACGTCGGTGCATTTGCATCGCGGCGCATCGCGACATCGGATTCTGCGAGCAGCGCATTAGCGTGTGATGGTTTGATGGTGTGGACAACAAGCTTGTTGAGTATGTACACTGCTTCCATGAGGGGCAGGTGCTGTGTGTGCACGAGGATCCGTTAGCATGTGTGCTAGCAGTATGCAGTGTTGGGGGATGGTGGTAGATGGATCGAAAATAATCTCTTTCTATATTCACCGAAGCATGTACGCTCATGAGGAAAAGTTAGAAGTTGCACGGTGCGCAGGCGCACGCTACAGCGGATGCCCGAGCGACTCGGACTCAAGGCCCCGCCATCTAGAGTTATCATAAGACTATTTCAATAGACTGGGCGCTATTACACTGGAAGATGTATAGCAGAAAGAGACATTTATATCTTATCATATGAAGACAGATTTGTGTGTACCATGGTCGGAAGTATGATTGAACCTTTTCCCCGAAGAAATATGCATTCAACCATGAGCGCTGCATGGCATCGAGCAGCGCTGCTTGAATTCACTGGGTGTGATATTGACGTGGGTATTAGAAGAAACTACTCACTTCAACATCAAAGAGTTTTACTCATTTCAATTCAAGCAATAGGTAGATTGCTTATAACGCGTAGAATTCTCAACCTTAGACATTAATTTGCTTTTCAAGCCGACTACTGGAAACGCTACGAGACTCCGAAGTTGTGGGAGGAGTACCAAGAATCTTAGTTATCTAATCCAACTGCAGTGCCGTAAATATCAGATTACTGCGACAAATAACGACAGCTCAGTGGTGAGAGAGATGAAGACAAGCGCAGTATGTCCCGCAGGTACAGCCTTGAAGCTTGCAAAGACTGGGTGAATTCTCAGAAAGGCAAGCACGTTGACATCTGTCACGTTCGGATCTAACCGAAACCGAGATACGTGCAGCGAAAACGCAAGAGACGAGCGAAAACGGAGTCTGGTCGACCAAACACTACTATGAAAAGTGGAGAATTTTGTCCGCTGGGGCCCTTCATAAAAACCAGCTCGAAAACTGCTCGAAACCTCTACTCTGAACTACCCTAGTGTCGCCCGCCCCCAGCCGAAACCCGTTTTCGGCGGGTTGTTCAAGGTTGAAAACAGTTTTCGGGCTTCTCGGGGAGTCGAAAGCCAGATCGAAAACTGGTCAAAAACCAGCTCGAAAACCGCTCGAATGTGATGGCTCGCTACCCATGGTGGTGCTGGATACCGATACCGATAGCGTACGTAAGCACATCCACGTGAGATTTCCTTTCTTGACCGGTGAGACTTCGGGACTTCGAGAAGTCACTGATCAAGATAGACTTTAGAGTTAGTCGCACTGTAGTAATACCTAGTAATACTGAACGTTAAACAGCAGCGCGTCGTCTATCGAGTGTCGACGTGTTCATGGTCGAAGGACCCGTGTTTTCTCTGGCTGCGGAATGTCAGAAGGATTGAGGGTGAGCCCGCGACACAAGTTGTTGCCGCGGGGTCCGCTGCAATGTCGCGTCATGCTGGGCACCCGTCTCTCTGTTGCTCTTAGACTCGTTCGAGATGGACTTACTGCACGTTCAAAGGTGCCGAAATTCGCATTGTATCGAACACTGTGCGCAGGTACCCCAATACAGTCTGCTTGTCTAACTCTTATTCCCGCTGCCTACGCGAGCTCGAGCCTAACTTCCGCGACAATGACTGCTCTTGCTGGCGAAAAAGGCTCAGCTTTCAACAATATTGAACCCACCCCTGATACAGATGAATTCACTTCTGTATATGGTGATTTTGATGATGCTATGCTACATGCAGTTATGGACGACATGGACATGAACATGAATACGGGCATGGAGGAGGAGACCGGGATGTCGGTTGAGAGCTACAACAGGTATGTCATCTATGTCATACCATCATATATCTTGTGTTCTTACCATTGTGCTGTCGCTCAAAGATGCAATTTTCCACCGGTACATGCCAAAGTCGATCAAGAATTGTGCACGCCAGCCTTGTCTCACATAGCGGTGTTGAACACACCGGAAACAAATGCACCGGCAGAACCGTCTGGCACACGCAAATGCGGCCGGCCCAGAAAATCGGACAGGGTGGAGTCAAGTGCCACTGCTGCTCTGGAGGGAGGCTCTGCAACTACAAAGCGGAAGCCGGGAAGGCCAAAAGGAAGTGGCCCCAAGCAGCAGGCTCGCAAAGCTGCCGAAGAAGCTGGTGAGATACTTGAGGTGCCAAAACGACCCCCTGGCCGTCCGCGCAAACATCCGCAACCGAGCATCTGTGGAGTTCGCGTGGAGGTCATTTCCGTGAGTATCCTATTCATGCGCAGACTCCGTCATCCAGGCTAAATGATCACATACAGGGTAAAATCTCTGTTCCAGGGACAAGGGAGAACTCACTGCGACGTCACATTGTCGACAATACTGACAGCGGTGCAAGTCAAGCCCAACTGCGGCACTCTCCATCAGTTGAATGCTCTGCTACAGATCCTCAATGCCGCAGCACTGCCAGACCAGCCATTGTACTGGAAAATACATCCCCTGCTGCACCGGCAAGCCCCCTCTCTATGAGCCATACCGAGTCACCGACTCAGCCTTTAATCCGCCATATAATTCCTGACGAGGACCCAACACAACCAGTGGAAACAGTGGATGATAGTGAGAGTGACGAGTACGCAGGATTAGCAGGAGATGGAGTCGGACGTGAGGATGACGTGGGGGTTGACGATGATGTGGATTCAGATCCCCATGAGGCTAATGCAGGAAATGCTGAGGGGAACCGAGATCATACGAGAACTCAGAAGTGTCATGCACTGCCATCGTGGCTAATGGCTGAGTTCAATGAAAGGGTCGAGGATGCTGCCAAACGAGGGTCAGATGGCCTTCCAATTCTGTACCGTCAAGGCACATTCTGATACTCGCAAACAGCGACATACTTTCAGCTCAAGGCAGGTAATCTGTCGCCTCAGTCACTCTATGCACCACGATTCTTCCTCTGGGATCCCCTTGCACTGATGCCAGAAGGAATTTCATGCCCACGCTGCAAGACCAAGCTGACTCGGAGCGGCCATGTTCAACATCCTCGTTGTGTTGTTGATCTTGACGAACCTTTTTGGATTATTGGCTATCGCTATCGATGTCGGTCTTGCATTAATCCAAAGTCAGGAAAGGTCAGCAATCTCATCTTTCGCAGCTGGGATAGCCGTATTCTCGACAAACTCTCTCCGGAGCTTCGAGTTGAGTTTCCTGCTCGACTCAGTTAGCGTAGCGGGATTTCATTGCGCGTATTTGGTATTCTGCGCTCATGCTTCCAAAATGGGATGGGTGCAAAGCAATTTTCCGATGCTTTGCGAGTCCAGCACCTTCGCCATTATGATAACCTCCACCTTCAGTATCTTCAATTTCTGCAAGGCCGTCGTATAATTGCAGAGTGGCCACGGGATCAAATATTCCTCCCATTCCTCCCTTTTGATGACACCTCATTAGATGGCTTTCATGGTTTTGTTCCAAGCTCTCAGTGGCTCCGCGACATGTATGATCAGTTCATGGAGGAACATGCATCTGAAATTAACCAGCACACTGCCATGTTAAGCGGAGAGATATGCACTATTGATCACAGTCATAAGGTAAGCTATTTGATGTATTTATCGTGTTTCTGGAATGACTGATCAGACATTCAGATCACGAAACATGTTCTGAAGGCCAATGGAGTGCAGTTATGGTGCGGATTGCTCACAGTCACAAATGAGAAGGGAGAAATCCGTGTCTGTGATCTTGTTGCAACCAAGTCACACTCTCAGTTCGAGCTTGCACTAACAAGGATGAGACAATCTCTGGACACATATGGGCATTGTCAGCCAACTCTCTTTTATACCGATAACATGTCGGACAAACAGTTTCTCAAGACATCCTTTCCTTCACTTCAAGAGAACATTGTCGCTGTCGAGAAGTATGCTCATCTTGAGCAACTAGTGGTTCCAACTGGAGTCAGCATTTTTGTCAAGGAATCCTCTCTTGCTATTGATCAGGCAATCTTCACCATCATTGATCAAGTCAATGAAAACAATCCGATTACTGTTGGGTTTGATGCAGAATGGAACGTCGACCTTTCACAAGCTGTACAATGCGAAGGACGTGCACGAACAGCTGTGATTCAAATTGCCTTTGAGAATCGTGTGTATATTCTCAAGGTATATACTTATATTCACTGTCTATTAACATCTCTAATTATTCACTGCAGATTGGCCAGCTTCTGGCAGCTGGTTCATTTCCTATGCACTTGCGATCATTTCTCTCAAGCCCCTATATACGCAAAGTTGGACGACTTGTTGATGTTGACTTACATCACCTTCAAGTGGAAAGTCACTCTCCAGTTCCTTTTGTGGGAGGTCTTGATTTAGCAAAGCTGGCAAAGGAACGTCAAGTTGTGTCCAATGCACGTGTCAGTCTCTCTGATCTTTGTGCTGTTGTTCTTCACAAGTGCTTGAACAAGTCTGTGCCAGAGCGGGTTAGCACTGCATGGGAGAATGATATGCTGAGTCCAGAACAGGTCAATTATGCTGCCCTTGATGCTTTCGCATCATTACGCATCTATGAAGAGCTTCAAAAGATACCAGCACCTGGTCCACTACCTGCTTATCCACTCCCTTCTCTTCCTGTGCTATTGTATCACACTGACAACACTCGTCTTATCGCATGCAGCAAAATCTCCCATCACGCAACTGATCCACAATATGATGGCATTAATATCAGCAAGACACGCACTGTCATTGAAGTCGAGGAGGTTCTTGTCCCTGGTGCTGTCATTGGAACTCACTGAAAGTGTCCACTTTCTGACTTTGGATCTCCACCATTCAACCTTGTTTGCCTTCAGTCCCATCTTCGTGCCTGGCAACCTTTTCCATCACAGAGCGCTATTCACCAGCCTGAGCTAGGGTCAGCTCTCGGAAACTCTCCCACCAGGAATTCTGAGAACATTCCATCTATAGCGCCACCATGTGATCCAACTTCTGTTGACTGTAGTGGCCTCTCCGATGCTGGCGAGGAGTTTGGGATTGGTGAAATTATGCTTGACCATGGTGATGTTGAGACTTCTCAAGCCTCACATTATCCCTGTGATGTACAAAACCTCCAGGATATTGAGAAGGACAAAGAAAGTGAAGCCACTGGAAAAGCACTCATTCATGACAAGCCCACTCTATGGGATACACCAATTCGCAGTCGTGTCCTAAAGGATGCCTTTCATGTTTTTAATATGCTTTACATCTCCAAGGCCCATGGACTCCGTGTTGCTTTTGCTCGTGCACTGCGAGATGCAATATTCATCCCTGATAAAGATGACAAGAAACAGATTTCTCGTTACCTTGCATCTCTGAACCCAGCACGAACTTGGGATGACATGTTGCGGACATCTGCCAAATGGCTCTGGAAGCGATGCAAGTGACTTATTCCTCCTCCGGAGATACTCTACTTCCATGTCGCACAGGTGTTTCAGACTTATGGCCCTCTGAAAGATGCAAAGACGGGCTTGCCACTCTTTAATACAGCTGCTTGGCATACAGCCAAGAATATTCTCTCTCTGATCCAGATGGGCTATCTCTCTGACCCACCAGGGATTGGTCTTTACTATGTCATTAGATTTGACAGCAGGGCAGGTCACCTACCAATGTACCGTTGTGTCCGTGGGACCAATTGGACCAAAGGAGGTGTTCACAAGCACTTGCGCTCACGACTTCCAGTGTCAGGTGTCTCTCCGCGGCATATGCTTGCCTGTTTGCTTGAATTTATTCTTCGACACAATCTGTTGGTGCGTCTGACCACCTACATATGTCTATAAATTGTATTATTGAACTTACAATTCTACATTAGGTCGAAACATACAATGCAACAGGACATCAATATCGAGGTCACTATGACATCTGGCTAACAAACCAACTGCAAGAAATGGTGATTGCAACAGCTGACATTGTTCCTGGAGCACAACTTCTAGCAGGCTGGGTGAACGGAAACTTATACATGCAAAGCACCGAGGTTTTTGGCATCCTGCCTATTCCCGATGATGTCAGAACAAACAGTGGCATGCAGGAGTACCAGCCTTCACTCGATCGGAAGCAAGAGCACGCATTCCTTGCGCTCAAGCAAGGAACCCGCAAAGCTGTGCTACCAGTGCATTCCGTGGCAGAGTATCAGTTGTTTAGCAAGCTGATGCGCGAAGATCCCATCTTCAACCGTCCTGACACTGAACCCAGTTGGGCTCAAGCCGTCAAGATCTGGAATCGAATTGCAGAGTCAGAGAAAGAAATTTCATATAAGGTACGTGATTTGTCATTGCATGCATCATGATCTGAGCAAACCGTCATTTTTCACAGCTTATTGAACACTTGAAAGTCTACTACACAACCTGGAAGTCCAACATGAATGTTAAATATACCCTTGCACAGACAAAAGAACATCGCATGGCACTCAATAATACTCTCCGAGATCCCCTTCGATCACAGCATGCTCCACCTGCTCCCGAGCGCAGTCAACGGTTCCATGACATTGTCTCTGGGCTTCAGTCATTGCAAGAGACTGGTTCAGATAGTGCAATCTCAACCATGCCCTCGGATCATAGCCTTGTTGTACTTGACACCAGAGTTCAAATACCTCCTGTATCTTCAGAAATGCCGCTTGGACTGCAGAACACGATTATGGCGCCCGCCAATCAGATGTATGCACTGGCACACAAGCGTGCAGTTGATGCAACTGCAGTTGAGCCACCAACAAAGAAACCATGACAAAGTAGGTCTTGCATGAAGTGCGGTGATACGGAGACATGCAATGGGCGGCAGACTTCAAAACGATGTCCAAACCCATGTCGAGACTGCCAAAAGATGGATTGTCGGGGACGGAACAGTAAGAGACCACACAAGCCGTGCTGGAGTGGATGGGACTAGCATTCTCAGCCGCTACTAACACAATTGTTTCATATATAACAAGTATAGTACTCTAATGTCTACAAGAAGCTTTGAAGCTCAATGCAACAACATGCTGGTGGGTGCGAGAAGCGCAGGTGGCACTGGGTGCGTGGGCATGTGCACGACCGCGGACAGGATTGGGACGACCACGAGCGAGGGCACGGCTGCTGGGACACCATGGCAGCAGAGGTGGAGGACATGTAGGAAGAGCCAGAATCGGTGTATGCAATCTCTGAGTGCGCCGTCAGTAATCGATCGGGGAAGTGGACAATGATAAAATACTCACAAATATCGGTGAACATGGATTCGGGTAAGGGTCTCTTATCTGACAGTTCAAAGTTGTTACCCAGTACATGGGGCAAGAGAGGGGATTTCTTTCCTTGTGCGAGTACTCAACGATTAGCTTTAAACGTCATAACCAGTAGAAAGATCGTACCTTAGCACTATCGCGAGATCGGGTCGCGGTCCACCTGTCGTTGCATGTGCGAGCACCAGGACGAGTTGCGGCACACGACATACAGAATATGACAGCAAGCATGCTGCTGCAAAAGTGCACCGCCTCACGGATGACAATGCTGCGGAGTGCAGCGCTGTGCAAATGCACACTGCGAGTGTCCACACCTCGGTTCTGTGTGGAAGTCTGCATGCATGGCATTGGTGTATGGCAGGCATGCATAGAAGAGAGGGGGGAATGCTCACCGTGATGACGTGCGGAGGTGCAGTGAGAGCGGGCAGCAGAATGCAAATGACAACTGGGGCATCCGGGTCCATTGGGAGTCGCACTGTAACTGAGTCATTGATGTCAGTCTCCAATCTATGACTGCATTGACATACCTGGCCATATCACTGCATACCCAGTACCAAGTAGCATGGGCCACCTCGATGAGCAACAGAGCTATTGGCTCATTGACGCCGTCGCTATCTTCAGTGCGCTTACGCTCGATTTTCTTTTACATTATTATTTTATTATTATATTTTCAGGCACTTCTATCGGTATCAAGCCGAAACCTCTACTCTGAACTACCCTAATTATGTCACATGTTTAAAGACTGTTCGATTGAACAAAAATGCTGCCCTCTACGCTACAAGGGGGCCTTTTATACTACAGCTATCGAAGCTGTACGAACGTCAGAGAACATGGCCCAATAGTGAGGAAACAACTTAATTAGGGGAAAAGTCTGAAAAGTTACATGGAAAAGTAACTTTATACGCACTCAAGTAAAATGGGGCACCTTTTGGTGAGGGGATCGGAAAGGAAGTCAAAGTAAGTATCGAGTTGGCGGAGTCCGCCACAGTGGTGTCCACCGTGTCTTCCCTCTCCTCTCCTACAAATATAAGGCTGTAGCGCCGTGCAAGCACGGCAGGACCCGCTACCTGTAAGGTGAAGGAGAGGTGAAGATATACATTCAGCGCATTAGAGCGCGAGGAGATATAAGTACATTAGGTACGAGCAATACGGTAAAGGCAGCAGAATTACTGTCGTATGTACGAGTATAATACAAAGCAATACGGTAAAGCTGGGTGAAAATTTAAGTACAGTAGGAGAGTGAGATGGTTACGTTGTGAATCAATCGGTTTTGGCCTTCACTTTTCCTTTCGTTACATCGGCCTTGGCTTTTTTGGGTGGAGAGGCGTTGAACTCGGTGAATGCCGTGAGAGGGTTGGAAGAGTGGGCGGACACGCGGACGATAGGACTGAGTGTGGGCCGTGGAATGACGCAGAATTCGTCGGATTCGGAGAGGACACGAAGGTTGTGTGCTTGCACCTGGTAGGTCTAAAGTTGGGGAAGTGTATTTGTATTGTGCAATAGGGATAGAGAATGTATGCGCACCTTACGAGTAGGAAATTTGGGATTAGTGGGAGGGTAGATCCAGCAGTGTAGCGACACATTGAGCAAGACAAGAGTGCCGCGCCGGAGTGCAGTGAACCAGTCCCATGGTGGGATGAGCATGCCATCAATGCCACGGAAGTCGTGCTGGTGAAGACGAGCTTTCTGATGGTCAAACAGGTTGCCGCCATAGTTGAGGAGCAGATGGGGGTCATAGTTTGCTCCGATGCGGATGTCGTCACCTGCAAAGGGTAAGTATATAAGTGTGGTTGGTGTGAGTGGCAATAGAGGTACCTGTAGGTTTGGTTAGCTCCTGTTGCACGTCTTGCATTTTCTCAGCTTCGGCGTTAGCTGTTCTTTTCTTCTTGATGTGTTTGACCTTCGGTGCGGCAGTAGCGGCTGCGTTGATGGGTAAGTTGGCGCGCATCTTGCATAGATGGCATTAGTAATGAAGGAAGTAGGGGACGGCGTACTTACAGTGTACTTAGGATCAGCGATGGTGACAACGATAAGATCGGAGGGTTTGCCAGGTTCCATGGAAGATGAACGAATCCATTCTGTAACTCTGAAGTTCTGGAAATTGGTGAAGTAGTGTATGACGGCAAGAGTAGGTGGCACTCACCTGCACCGCACTTTCCTCCTCTTTTTCATCCATCATACGAATGTCATTGAGTGTGCCAATTTGGTCGTAGTAGAATTCGGTTAAGTCTGTGGTCACCTGCGAGGGGACACAGAGAACGAGGGTGTTTCGAACCATGGTGTCGTCGGTAATTTTCTGTGAAAGTTGGTGAGCAGTGTGCGAGTGTGAGGAGAAGAAGGCAGTTACATTATCATCATATGGTCGAAAATTACCCTTGGCATAGAGATCAGTTCCCCATTCGGACACCATGACTTGACCGATGATGAGAGCGCTGAATTCACTCGGGTTGTCACCAGTAGAATAATATTCATAGTGGCCTTTGCGGTTGGTGGTGCGAGCGAAGTCAGCAGGGTAGTCCTTCGAAGCAAACATCTGGTCAAGGCTCTTGCTTAGCTGTGCCATGATTCTGTCATAGGTGCCATCCTGACGGCGAGTTTTGTAGCAAGTGGGCAGCTGGTTACCGGCGACAGAAGCCATGATGGTGGGAGAAGAAGAACAGTGGATTAGGAGGAGAATCGAGAGAGCTGCTTGGTCATAAAGGGTCAGCTGTGAGGTGATGACATTGGTGACAACAACGATCGAAAAGGAGGGTCACGAGAGGACACAGGTGGTGTGACAGAGAGCGGGGCCGGCGAGGGACAGCAGCATGCGATCCAGTAGCAGATGGTATGCAGCACGGACAAGGGAAATTGGCGGGGAAGCTTCCTTCCAATGTACAGCAGTGGGGGGGGGCAGATATAGGGCGTGTGCCGAGTGTCACACGCGATGTGTACTAGAACTGCGAGGGCACTGAAGAAGCGTGTAAATGCTCCACTCATGAGGGATTTTGCCCGATTAGATGCTAGTTAACTGGTTCGAAATGGGCGGCGAAATGGGGCTCATGCCATTCGGACCAGTCGGGATATAAATATCTTCGCCGAGATAACCGATGCGGTCGACGAGAGTGATGACTGCCACAGTGCCTGAAGAGCGTGAACTTAGCACGAAAGAATTAGAAGTGTTGTCGGATTGCTCGCACCTGTACCGAAGAACTCAACCAATGTGCCCATCTTCTCAGCCTCTTTCACCTCCTTCATTGACACTGAATGCTCTGAAACAACCAGATTATCCGGAAGGTCCGCAATCTTTGCTTGGTCTGACGCATGCCACCGCGCGAGGGAGAGGACGGAATCATGCGTCACTCGATCGGGACGCTTGAAGACTATAAATGTGTTGGATATCTCGGTGATTAGGTGGTCGGGCCCATGTAGAGCTTAGGGAAGCCAAGTGGGCCGGGTGAGGAGTAATTCGTCACGGCGATTCGTAATAAATGTGCGCATTTATTGTCGTTTGCAGAAGAATTGGCGGTCGCGCATTTCACGCGCGTCTTGCAGAAATATGACGCTCGATCTTCCGAGCTTCATATCTCCTCGACTGTCACTCGGACTACCTTGAACACATATATATTCTGAATCCTCTCATCGATGACATGTGCGCCCCAGTATCAGATCCGCGGTAAGTGCTGTGGGACATGAGATCTCGAGAGGTGACCTGTATACCAACATATTGCCTGTATCTCGAAAACGATGAAATATATTTTGATCAACACTATGCTACTATATTCCTGACGTGTATGTGGAATGCGCCCCAGCAAAATCAGGACCGGAGTTCGATGTTGGAGCTGTGCCATATAGACATCCTCGTTGTCGGCTAGTCTCGCACGTCTTTGGCTCCTACACTCATAGCTCACTGCTATGCTCTCTCTGATGGCCTGTACGGTATACTTCTTAACATGTTCTGCAATCTCACCATGCCGACAATCACTCAATACAAGTGTTCATGAGGCATATAGTCGGCCGGGCGCTGTCTGACTACCAGTGGCATGGGAGAATGACTTGCGCAAAATCTTCTGGAGGGTGTGCATATGTCGGATTGGCAGTAGCTCAGGATGTCTGAGTGAGTGACATATTGTTGTGAATGTCTTATGTGGTGAAGAAACTCGGCCTTCTTACAAGAAGCTGTGGATTGTCTGCACAGTGCCGGTCCGATGTTGAAGTCCATTCCTGATTTTGCTGGGGCGCATTCCACATACATGTCAGGAATACAGCAGCATAGTGTTGATCAAAATATATTTCATCATTTTCGAGATACAGGCAATATGTTGGTATACAGGTCACCTCTCGAGATCCACAGCACTTACTGCAGATCTGATACTGGGGCGCACATGTCGTCGATGAGAGGATTCAGAATATATATGTGTTCAAGGTAGTCCGAGTGACAGTCGAGGAGATATGAAGCTCGGAAGATCGAGCGTCATATTTCTGCAAGATGCGCGTGAAATGCGCGACCACCAATTCTTCTGCAAACGGCAATAACTAGCCGGAATTGTCCACATTGTACAGCTGGATCTTTGCGGGAGGATGCGACATGTGGAGGTTCTTTGTTTAGTGGAGTGAAGTTGCAAAATACTGGTTGGTACGCATGGAACAAAAATCATTGCTGAGTTCGGTGCCGTTTATGTGAGTACAGTTCAAGTTCTGTTGCTTTGCGCTTATGGATTCGAGTGACAGTCGCTGGAGAAGATGGAGCTGATGAATTAGGTAAAGGCTCGGCACAGGGTTCAAATTGATTATGTTTACGCTTGTGAATACGGATAGTTTCACATAAGGGAGAATTAGCAGATGAAAGAATTTGATTCTGGGTACGATCAAGGAATTCATAGTTGTCATTGCTAATTGGGTCTGACAGAGAGTGGTGATCAATAATGATTTGTGTGTCGTTATAACTGGCCAGTTGTTTTCGGGCATTGTCTTTTTCTGCATCTGTACCATGTTGTGTGAGAGTGAAAAGCTGCAAAAGCTGCAAACGATGCATTTCTAATCGAGACTCTTCAGAACGATGGCAAGTGATCTTCTCTCGTGTGAAGGGTCTAAGAATAAGTAGTCCGTCAAGGGAGGTTGCATGAGAGATCATTACATAGGGTGCTTCTGTTCCTCGACAGCTTTGGAGATCAATTATTACCTTTTTTAGTGATTGTCCTTGTGCCTTGTGAGCAGTCATTGCAAAGCCAGGCATGATGGGCAACTGTGTGCGTGTGATTCGACACTTTCGCTTAGAATGTGGGTGGGTGAATGTCAAGTCCACAGTGTCTTGTAGGATGGGAACATGATGCAGTGGTAAATGTGGTAAAGGTTCTTCAGCACTATCAGGAACCTCAACTACACAAGATACTAAGTGGCGATCACCATTACTATTGGTAGTGTAGCGAATCATACGAAGTATTCCTGCACTTCCATTAACAATCCCGCCTTCAACATCATAATTATGTGACAGAAGTACTGGCATTCCAATGACAAGAGGTAACTTCCCCAGTCTATGTTTAGTTTGACCTGAATGTAGATCTTCAAGCTTTGATTTTAATGCAGGATCAGTTAATATTTTACCTCCATGTCGATCAGTTGCATGATACCACATTAATTGCTGTCCAGTACGAGCTGCAAATGCAGAGGCGGCTTGTACGTTCAATGCATCTTTGATTGCATTATCATAAACTATAACAGGAGCATCACTCCATGAATCACTGAGTTGACCAGGCTTAATTATTCTTGAATTCAGTAAGTCATAGTCTCCATTTGTGCATTTACCTTCTCGAAGACGATTCAAAAGATCAACAAATGGTTGATTTTGTGTTCCATACTGACGCATACTTTGGGATAGGAGAACAACCGTTGAGATAGATAGCCATAACAATTTGCCAAAAATAATTGCCTGTTCTATCTTTTGTCTGCGACTGTGTACCTTTCCAGTGTAAAGTTGCATAAATAAACGTGAATCTCCTACTGGGGCTAACTGAGCAAAATCACCAGCAAAAATAATGCTAATTCCACCAAAGGCAGCATTATTACCTTTTGCCTGACTTAGTGCTTCACTTATTTGAGTCATGAATTGGCAACCTACCATAGAAACTTCATCAACAAAAAGGTAATCTACTCCTTCCCACATGGCAGTAAGATCTCTGTTTGTCTTACTTTGACTATTTGACTTTGTTCGTTGATTGAGACATAATGCACTATGTAGTGTCATACCTGAAATGTTACGTGCTGCAACTCCTGTGTATGAAGCAAGTCTGAATCGTCGTATTTGTCCTCGTTGTACAAAAAAGTCACGTAATGCATTGATTACACGAGATTTACCTGTTCCGCCAGGACCACCAAGATACATTCTAAGTGGTTTCCAGTCAGAAGATGTATTTCGATTCATGAGAGTGTGCTGTGCAATAATTGTAAATGCACGTGTTTGTTCAGTATTCAAGCCATACTTTGCAATGACATTATCAATATTTACTGGTTTTTCTGCTGATTCTGACTGAAGTGAATCATGAATTATAGGAATATTTGGCACATTTTCCAAGTCACTTGTTCTAAATATAGAACCATCATTTATAGATATAGTGGGTGAATTCTCAGTTACTTCAGAACTAAAGATAGACTGTGTATTTTGAGTTTGTGATAGATTGGATTTCCAAGCCTCTTTGCGTTCATCATATGCAGTTCGCCATTCTTCTTCAAGTGTGAAAGAAGTTTCATTATTCAAACACTGAATAAACTCTTGCTGTGAATAATCTGACACTGTTAAATTATTATTTGTATCTTGTTGTGTATGATTTACATTGCCATATATTCCAGATGTATACATATTAGAAAGACATTCTGCAATTGCAACATTTGATTGGAGATTGTGTGTTGTAGTCGATGATTCAATAATTTCAAAGTGTTGCAATATTTCATCTTGTACTGTATCACCAATGAAGTCATCAGTTGTAAAACTACCACTCATTAATTCTGAATTAATATTGTCTTTCCTATTATGTGTTTGCATACGTCTTTTCTTGAAATGATCATCACGACTATCTTGCATTCATGTGGAATTTGCATGTTGTCCATTATTTTTTGAATATGAACAGAGCAGGTCTTTAAAAATGATTGAAATGCATGTATCCAAGTTTCACCATGCTGTCTGAGTTGACGTGCATTATACCATGGTTTAAAAAAGATTAGCATTAGTCTACAATAACGTGAATATAGTTCTTCACGATCTCGTCTTGGAAGCGCAGGACCAATAGGCACTGGTACAAATCTGTTATTTGGTCGTCGCAGTCGAAGAAATTTTTTCTCTGATTCTAAATGCTGAGAATGCAGAAAATCACGTGGTTGAGTATGTTTATTATAAGACAGTAAATCTTCAGCAGACATATCTTTAAAATGCTAAGATATATTTATATCTGAATCTGTATTATCATTAGTTATAGCCTCATGTGACTCAGTCTCAGAGTCATTAGAGAGATCATTATTATCAATATCAATATTATCCTTCTTTTGTCTGGTGGAAGAATATTTAGACACTTTATCTACTTGTGCAACATAATCCCATAGTGAAATATTTTTAAAAGTATCTCCACGCATAATATAGTCGGTAATTTGGCTTGCACGTGGAATAATGTTACCCTGTTTACCTGAAGTAATAGTCACTTCATCATTATTGTCAACATCTATATTTGTAGGAATATTAAGACTAGCTGTAACATACTCAGTATTAGGTATATCTTCATTATCTAAATCCGTATTTTCTTAATTCAACTGAGTATCAGGTTCATCATCATATCTAAAAGCATATTGTGTATCTTCGCTAGATGATTGTGGGTTACAATCTGGATGCATTGTATGATAACACTCAGGACTTGGATCTTCACGTTCAATCATACTTTCTACAGTTGTCCAGTATAGCTTACAATATTCATGGCTTGTAAAGTGATCTTCCAACTGCTGAAGATATGAACTTACTTGCTGCGCGGACAATTCTTGATGAGAAATAATCTCAAAAGAGCATTTTTGCAGTAGTCTCTTAGCACGCACAGTAATATTATCGTCATTAGGATTAAATTCACCTAGTTTTTTAATGGCAAGTTTCAGTGCAGAGTATGAAACATGTGCATTCATTTGACTTTTAGTAATATAATCTGTAATATAAAATAAGACAGCCTTTGCAGACTCCCCTGATCCAATGAATTTAATATCCATATTGCAACGTACACATTCTAATATGGTTGCATTAAAGTTATTTACCATGCCATCCAAGTGACGCAATTTTATATCACCAGTCTCCTCATCAATAGTACTTTCTATTGTTGTATTTTTTTCATCAAGATCAAAGCGACACTCTTTGGGTGCAGGAGGACCTTTCCAATATTTGAAACATGTTTTTGAATGTGAATGTTTTTGACAACAACATACAAGATTACGTAAATCTTGTTGATGTGCCATCTGACGCTGTTCATCTGGTAGATTACAATCGATACCTCTAATACTACAGGGATGTGCCTTTAATAAATCAGTCTGAACAAAATCTGGAGAAGGTGGTGGTATTTTATTACATATGCAGTCATCAAGAAAAGATAGTAAGCATTGCTTAAATTCAAGATCATGATCTTGAACAATTTTATTTCTAATTTCATTTGGATTTAAGCCTCCTTCAACCCATATTAACATATGACAATGTAAAGTGCCTCTACCTTGTGCTTCAACACAACCATAATATCCTTTCACCAATCCTAAAATGCCACCTTGTAAATTAACATGTTTTGGATCATATGCTAGAACAGTTGATATAAAACATTTCATATAAATATTAAAAAATTTTGCTGCAATTGCAGGATTACGAGCTATTAATATTGACTGCTCCCAAAAATCAGGAACCTGTTCTGGTAGTAGTTGATCAACATCTATGTCAGCTCCAGCTAGAAATTTTACAACAGGATTAAAAACATCAGCAGGATTTATTGTAATATAAAAACTGGGAAGTCCTAACTCCATCATTAAAGCTCGCATTTCATTACGCATATTAATTCGAGCAGCAGCAGATCCTGGAACATGTGAAGTTATAACTTTAACTTCCTTCATAAGTTTGAGCACCTTGCACTCATCTTCATTATATGCTGTTGTATAGTCACCTTCAGAAATACACTGACATACACGATGTACTACATCACTCGATATGCTTGCAAAGTCATTTGCAACAGAGTCAAATTGTGATCGCTTCACTTTAATACTAGAATGTAAAAGAATCTGGCGATGTTGAATAATATTGAATACACTAAATAAAAATGAATAGTGTTCTTGAAATCGACAGTCACAAAGTGAGAATAAATGCCATGTGTGTTCAATAAGTGATATACTTGATGAACACTTCAGATCTTCAAATCCACCAACACTATATGGGTATAAAGTAGGATACATCAAGGGAAACAAATTTGGATTGAAAAATTCATTCATAGGCTTAGGATCATGAGGGATTTGAAGATAACTACCATTGTTTTGCTTTAAATGTCGAACTGCAGCAGCTCTAATTTCATTTGCAGGTGCATTTGCATCAACATCAGTTACAACAACATTCTGAAAGAGGGATTCACAACGGTCAACAGAAGAAGGTGCAAGTTCATTGCATAATGCAGTATGCGTATCATATCGAGAAGTTAATAATTCATGTGATTCATCAGGAAGTACATGTTCAACTTTAAAAGGAAGAATCTGTTGCTCTGCCAAACTATTTAATGATTCCTGATCAATTTTAATGTCTTTATAATGCATATTATGTTGTTTTAACCAAAGTAAGGCATTTCGAACTTTTTCACGTCGCACAATAAGCGGTTTTGCTTTTTCTCGCAACCATTCTGCACTTGGCAATGAAGATCCTACAAAAATTACACATATTGGAGTTACAATATCCTCAAGAGGTGGAGGTAGAATTTCAGCAATATTTTCAGGATGTTGGGGATATATTATAATATGACCTTTTACACCACGCTGACTGTTGGGCAATATTAAATTCTGATTTTCCTCTTTTAATTGTATAACCCAACATTTAGCTCGACATCTAGCAATCATAGCTTCTTCAACTACTGTTAAATCTTGTAATTCTTTTGAAACAGGACCTAACCATGTTCAATTACAAAGTGCAAGCGAAGGAATTTGATTGCGACTTAAAGACAAGAAGCATTTTCTACACAATTTCAAACATACAGCGTCATTTCCATTCATTACAACACCATTTGGATCAACTAAAATGTGTTTAAGTGAACCACTTTGATATGGAAATTGAGGTAATGTGCAAGACATATCTAACCAGGAATTATCGCACAAATCGACATTATTAAAGTCAGGTCGCTTAAGAATATTTATATCAAAATCTGATAAAGAGAGTGTTTCACATTTGCTTGATAATGTACACTCCGCACAAGCTGAACATACTGAAGTACTAAGGACATCTTTTGATGTTGCATGACGAAACAATTTAATCAAATGTTCCTTTAATTGTGGAGATACTAATTGAGGCCACATTGAACGAATTTGCTGTAAAACACTATCATGATGTATATTTTGCTGTTCTCTGCAATTTTTCTGACGTTTTTGTGCTTGTTCTTTTCTTTTTCCTTTTCGCAGCACATGTATAAAGCTCTGCAAATGTTTTCTCAACTTACTTACACCATCATCATGGCTGTATTCAACATTGTGCACTGTCAGAATTCGTCTTAAAGAATTTCATGGAAGACGATGCACAGCAGAGGAAAGAATTGAAATTTGCAAATCCACATTTGAATTTGATGGACATTCATTCAGAAACTGAAAGCAAGCATCAGGTTTTGGATCACTGTTATTTTCAGATAAGCAATTACCACCAGAAATATGTTGCATAATACTGCAACGAATCTGTTCGAGACTCCACTGAGATTCATAGGCAATACCATATGAAGCAGCAATCATACATAATTTATGCTTATGTAATGTTTCAAAGCCTTCAAAGACTGTGTCAATTGAAGTTATAGAAGTGTATTGTAGACACTGCGTCTGAGACTGAAATTGTTCCATTAAATAGCATCGTGGTCTATTATATCCAGAAGGTACAATAATCCCAACACTCGAACAGACTAACCGAAGAATGTCCAGAGACAGTGTAGAATGATGTATGCAATTGTCCACCACTTTACAAATTTCATATGCCAGGCGAACACTAGATGTACATGTTCCTGCAATATCATGACAGGATAATCGCATGCCATGCTGTGCAATGTTTGACCACTGGCTATCATGGCATTCAGCACACACACCATTCAATAAGTGATTCAACAGCACCTCATGACTCTCACGTACTGAAAGATTTTCGACACCAATACTGTGCGAAATTAAGAGACTCAACATTGCATCACTCAGACTCTCACCAACAATGATATTCTCAGGACAAAGTATTGTGTCAACAACAGAGGATAAGTTCACAGGACATACATGTGATGAAGATGATATATTTTTAACAGGTAATATTTTAACTGCATTGGGTATATTATCACAATCATCAGCACTGGTAGACAACAAAAGCCGGGATGAATCTGCAACTGTCATGTAACCCGTTGAGCTCCAATTCATCACATATCACAGATAGAGCATACCTTGTGAAACTTGGGGGGAAGGACTCCATGTATGTCCATGCGGCAAACAACTTCCAACATCCACAGGGGGTTGTAACCCCGACGCCGTCCACTGAGGTCAGCATGCTTCAAACCAGTCGGAACCGAGCAATACGTCATAGCGGGGCAGATGGGTGACCACAAGAGGAAGACATGAATGATACCATCCACCAATTGCAGGGATCATAACGGGACCGGAAGCAGAGAGCTCAGCGACACTGTGGTGAATGGATGCAACCGTGCGCGGAACATTGTTATTGGTCGCGAACGTCGATGACAGCGCCGACTTTTCCACCGAAGAATCAAACAGAATGTAGGCGGGAATTCCAAGATAATCGCCGAGAAGTGAGAACGAAGGCATTTTGCAGTGCAACGAATATGAGCGAGCAGAGAGTTGGCGACAGATGCGGACAATGCGAGCAATGCGCAGAGTCGACGTGGAGGGTGCGCGGCGAAAAATTCGGACGCTTAGTCAAGATTACGAAGCATCCCACACTTAGTAAATCTTACGAAGGATTTTGTAGACGTTACAAAGTTTTGTATAGTTTAGGGCAGGACCTCCAAAACTGACACTTTTTGGCGGGGCCCCTGCGTGACGAAAGATCCAGCAAGACCCACTACCAAAGGTAGCGGGAATAGTCGAATATTGCTCATTAAATGCCACACTCTCATCATCGTGCCTTTTCTGCTCGAGATAATGGGCGTATGCGACTCCTCAAGAGTTCCCTAGGCTATCTCAGTCGTAATGTCTCAGGAGGATTGCGTGCTTATCAGGAACTTCAACGAGCACGACGCTCGGATACATATAGTTGCATTGGACGAGTTGCCAGATAATCTTGTCTAGTACTCGCGCAGATGCCCAGCACCATCTTGCCTTCGATTCCCCATTATGTCCCAGCCCCTCCGACAAAGGAGGCGCGTGAGTCTGATCCATCCTTCAAGCCCCCCATTTCGTGCTTACAGGAAACACTCTTTAGTGGAGTATGCGGATCTAGCGGTCATCGATCTGTCTAAGGCCGACACGCCGGAGGGTCGCGCAAAGCTTGCTGTGCAGGTTCGCGATGCAATGACCGCCCAAGGGTTCTTCTATGTCATCAATCATGGATACACACAGGCGCAGGTAAGATTTAAACGTGTGTTTGCAATACAACTCGCTATATTTCAAACGTATCCAGACCGATCGTGCCTTCGACATCGCCGACGTTCCGTTCTCTCTCGTTAGCGATGAGGAGAAGCGTACGTATGCAGGTAACATCAAAGCAACTGGATCATACCAAGGATACAAGCTGCGAAACTACTGGGTGAGATACTTCAAGTCATCGACGTTCAGTGGGATATTTAAGTTCCTAATTTGTCACCAAAGCACATAGATGGTGGGGTCTACGACCAAGTGGAGCATTACAACAGTAAGCTTTTACGATCTTCCGTCTGTCTTATACGTTATAAACCTTCTGATTACTAGTCAACCGCGATGTCACCGAGAAGCAACATCCCAAAGCTCTCCGCCCTCTTCTTCCAGAGATTGACGCGTTCGCTCGATTCAATCATCACGATGTCCTCCATCCTATTCTCAGGTATACATTTTTCTTCAACATGTCATCGTGTTCTGAGTTCCTTCACATGAGACTCTTCGCACTAGGATTGGAGCTTCCTGAGGATACCTTCGTGAACAATCATGGATTCTCCGCTGTGGGGGAAACATATGGTAATAGTCCCCGCACTAATCTTAATCATTTTACTGATGATAACATGAACGTCAGTGCGATACATGAAATAGTGGGTCTTTCTTCTTCTGTACTCGAGTGCAAATCACAACTTCTATGCTCAGTTACCCTCGTTCCGAAGATGAGGAGACCAAAACTAAGAACGTGTGGTTGAAGGGACACACAGGTATGCCACCTCTCACCACTGTTAGGCGCTACTCAGGTCTCACAACGCAGACTTCGGAAGTGTGACGATTTTGTGGAGTCAACCGGTGACTGCACTCCAGATTCTTTCTCCGGATGGTAAGTGGCGCTGGATAAGGCATGTAGACAACGCCATTGTAAGCAACCTTGTTACTATTCGGTGTGTTTTTACTGGATTGCTGAGTTTGCGGCGTTCTGCAGGTGATCAACGCAGGAGACATGATGGAGTTCCTTTCTGGCGGGTTCTACAAAGCTACCATCCACCGCGTCATTCAGCCGCCCGCCGACCAGCGTGGCTACACCCGGGTTGGCGTATTCTACTTCGTCATGCCAAATGACGACGTGAAGCTGATCCCGTACGCGGAGAGCCCTGTGCTTCAGAAGCACGGTATAATTCGACGTGTCCCCGATGCAGACGCCCCGACCACGGAGCAATGGCGGAAGGGACGGACGAGCGCGTATGGCCAGACCGAGCTGCGGGACAAGGGCAACGGCGTGGAGGAAGAGATTATCGGCGGGGTTGTCGTGAAGCATTACAACTGATCCAACGGTCATAAAAATCAATCTGTATATCTATAACTACAAATGAGAGATGTCACTTAGTTCAGTCCATATTTGCAGCATTGTCATTGAACATGCTCCTCTTCCCGATACGCACGGTACCTTTGAACGGAAGACCCATCAGCTCCATCTCGCCATTCCGCCCACTGCGAAACGGCAGTCCCTGCACATGCAATGCCACTGCAGCAAGTCCTTGGATGCCAGCCACGGCTCCCTGAGACCCAAAAATAACCTGGGGTAATGCCGCGGGACGCTCAGTGATGAACGAATCGCCATGATCAAATCTGAGGATTTACCTTGCTAACAAAGTTGCTAAATTCGCGCTCGCGTCCAGGAAGTACTTCCAGGGGTACATCAACGATCGTGGCGGAGACAGCAACCGCAGACCCTTCTTCGTCCCCGCTCTCAGCGGGTTTGCTCGTGGAAGGCAGCCAATCTTCTGGTCTGATATGCGCGAACGCGCGCTGCGGAAGCGGGTCGGGAAGAGGCACTTCGGGCGGTTCGCCTTCTACGTAGTGAGCAGGTTCTCGGGCTCCAACGGATAAGACCGAACTATCGTCGGGAACCTCGCCATCATATACCAGCACATCGGGGAAGACGCGCACGACGTCCAATCCGACGTTCATGCCTCTGGGCTGGACAACTCTTGCAAAAACAATGCCACTGGCGTACATTCCAGAACCGATGGCCTTGATTTTCATGTCTTTGATAGTGACGTTCCGCAGAATCTGCGGCTTCGGATGGGCAGCGGGGAACTTCGCCTCCAAAGTCAGGTTGTGAATCAGCGGTGTGGACAATACGATGTCCGAATCTCGTCCTGAGATGTAGTTCCCAAGGAATGCAGACACTGTGGCTGAGGCGTCTGTGGACAGTGGAAGTACGGTACCATTGATGCCCACTGTAACGTTGGGATGAGTGAGCGTAAATGGTTGAGTGTTAACGGTAGCAACCCGGACCGACGTGGAGACCGTAGAAGCATTGACAAATGGAAGAGAGATAACAAAAGGCATTGCCGGCACAGTAAAATTGAATGCAAATGGCACCGGAACAGGATCGACTACTGTAGCTGTTGCGTCGACAGAAAGTGTGTCGTTGGCCGAAGTGATCGAGAAACGTTGCAGGGTGACGAGCTCGGAAAGCGTGGGGAATGGATTATTGTGCCCCGGTGGTGGCAATCCTGGTAATGCGGGGACTACGCAGCGTCACTCAGAGAAGCGGGTAAGGAAAGGTAGGGCAAACACACTCTGTATGTGTACCACAGCACGGATATCTGACCGTAGGATCTGCATGTTCCGTCGCCATCCGCTGTCTTGTAGACCACCACCTTGCACGAACGCTTGCGCCACAACTGTCCGCACAGCAATTCTGCTGTCTCTCCAACTGTCCCGCAAGAAGCGCATGACGACAGATATATCCTTCGTTGGTTGAATAAGCACAGGAATGATCATTTCCGTCAACCAAGTGGTATCTGGTGGTGGATTCGCAGTTAAAGGTATTTCAAGGGAGGGGAGAGTAATTGTGGTGAGAGATTGTGACGGGTCGCTCTCCGGGAATACCCCAATTTCGGTGAGGTCGACGGTGACTCGATCAAGCTGTCGAATACCCCACCGCCCGACGGATTTCCACAGGCCTTGCACGAAATTGTCTCCCGCAGCTGTGTTAACACCTGCTACCTCCCCTGCGTCCAAACCCAGCTTGCAATGAACGTTCACCCATACCCCACCATCACCGGTTGTGTTCAAAACGTCTACTCGGCTGGGGCCTTTTACCACGAGGGCATGCTGTAGAATTTCGTCCGGCGAGATATCTGACGCACGAGAACGGTAAGAGTATGCTACCACAATAACGAGCAGAAAAGCTAGAACACAGAGCGAAAGAGAGATGAGGAACACTGTGACCAATCTCGACCACAGCCGTCGCGGCCTCGGTGTGCTGTCAAGGTCGTCTCGAGAAGTGTATGGGGCGGAAGCCGAGCCTAAGAGAGGAGTGCCTTCAGTAGGTTCAGGCTCGGCTGCCCTTGCTTTGCCCTTGTCTATGTGCGTTTCGCCACGTACAGAGTCAGAGCTCATCGTCGAAGTCGTCGAGAGTGGTGTTGAGGTTAGATTCAAGTCGAAGGTGGCCAGCGCGAGGTCGCCCGCCACCGATCAGTAAATAGGCGCCTTAACTCGAAGATTGCCAACTTGACAAGTCAAGTCAAGTCGATATGTCTGGCAGCGGTTGGAAACATACGTATTGTGCTCTCCTCGTTCTCCGATGCTGTTCTAGTCTCGGTGGATCAGGCTATATTCATCCGGATGAGTTCTTTCAGAATGGAGAAGTTATGGCAGGTTGATACTTTCCGGTCACTGCTAAGAACAACAATCACTGATCCTCGTGCACCCTCAGGACAGATATTTGAGCTCCACGCTGTGCGGACCTGGGAGTGGGATTCCGCCGCACCTTGCAGATCAATAATTCCTGCCTTTTTAACTACTGGTCTTCCTTATGAACTTCTCCGCTTTGCATCGCAAGGTTAGCTGAAGTCGATACGCACAGAAACACACTAACCCCGAGACAGGTGAACAGCCCTCTCCGCGGTTGATTTTCTCCGTCGAGAGAGCCGCGTTCCTACTACTCTCATCCATCCTGGGTACGTTGCTACTGTATTCGCACGACCTTGTTATTCACGACACAGCAGACTACTGCTTATACCGCTTGGTACCCGCCGGAAGACAACGTCTTACTGCTATGGTCCTCCTTGCTTCGTCATATACTATACACACCTTTCAGATCCGACCATTCTCCAACTCCATCGAGGCAGTCCTTGTTGCTCTCTCTCTTGTCATTCTTCAGGATCTGATGACCACACGAAGTTCAGGGTCTCAATCCGGTCAAGAGGCAAGCTTTTGCTGCCTCCCGCAGAACTTTTTACTTTACTCAATGCAAACCTCTACAGAATGGAGGACGCACACTCTACCTGACTTTTATGGCAGCCCTTCTCGTCTTGGGTGTGTTCACTAGGCTGACCTTCATAGCTTTCGCGCTTCCGATTGCTATAGAGACCATTAAGTGGACAGTCAATAAAGCTTTCGGGAGCACCCCTAAATTCTCGATCTGGACTTGGGCTCGGTTGATATCACTTCCCCTGCTGGTAGCCATAGGGACTACTTCCGCTTTCACTGTACTTGACACCGTCTACTTTCGTGGCGACGTCTCCACATTGATTCTGACACCCCTCAACTTCTTGCTGTATAATTTGTCTCATGAAAATCTGGCGGAACACGGTCTGCATCCCAGATGGTTGCATATCGCAGTTAACTTGCCAATGATAGTCGGCCCTGGGTTGTTGTACTATGGCGTCATCTCTGGCGCTGAAATTCTCGGGAGTCTGAAAAGAAAAGACAAGGCAGATGCAGGTGTTGTTCAAGTAGTCAAGAAGAGTAGGCTGATGCGATTCTTCGCTCGGAAGGGTGTACTGAGAATCCGATAGCATCTTTGTACATTGTCACCGTGTCAATGGCCATCCTGTCCATTCAACCGCACCAAGAGCCTCGTTTCCTTACTCCACTTCTCGTGCCCTTCATTTTACTAGCCGTGCAGGGCGGTCGAATCGAGCGTGCTGGGAAATTATTTTGGGTAAGCCGCCGTTCTCAAAATCTCTAGACGACGTTAATATCTGCCTGTAGACAGCTTGGGTTATTTGGAATGTAGTGTTGGGTCTCCTGTTTGGCGTACTTCATCAAGGCGGAGTTGTCCCTTCGCTCTTCTATCTGCATGACCAGATAAGCGAGCTACGTGCAAACCCTTCAGCCGACGTACTAGCGGTCAGTGTGTTCTACTGGAAGACATACATGCCGCCGAGGCACCTGCTGAGTATCGAAGGAAAAGGTACTGTGTGATATTAATTCTGCTGAGCAAAAATGGGGATTGATTAAGGATACTCTACAAATGTGCAGACGTCCTTGCAGGGACATTCTCCTTGACAGATCTATCTGGTGCACCGTCAGATGTTCTGATCCAAAATCTACTTGCTCCCGCTCTCACCATGTCGAACGGCACTACTTTTCTCGTCACCCCACCTTATGCACTTCAGGATATACCGGTGCCGCAATCTTCATGTTTCTCAATGCGGAAGCGTGTCTTTCCACATCTCGATTTGGATCATCTACCGGAATCGTTAGAACTTGGGTGGAAGGATGGGTTATCTCTCGGTGTCTACCATATCAACACCGCGTGTGTGCGACGCGAGTCCGCTGAAGATATGGATCGTCGCATCTAGGCAACAATAATATGATGCACGATTCCTTTTCGTCTTTCGCATCTCCCACCAATTTTTTGTTGGCGTCTCCCCGGTACAGCAATGTGTTCTTTCATGAAAGCTCTATGATGCCCGCACAGTCAGTCGGTCGAAACTAAAATCAACGTGGCCATATATGGGTCCCGACGAACCGACTATGGTACCGCCCGTCGGCAACCGTCGGCAACCATTGCAATTATGACTAGTTCGAATTCCAACGTAGGCCCGACGGGAAGGAGGAGTTTCCGCATGTCCCTACATCCATGTAATCGAAATGACGGATAACAGTGGAGCCTCCACTGTTATCCGTCATTTCGGCCACACGGATATGCGCGGATGAAGGGATAGGCTCAAATGGCGGATGACCTTTCCCAAAATGCATAAAAGGTGTGCCCTTCCTGCTGTGATGGACCATATCTCTTCACTTGTCCTCGTCCGTACCTGTGTCCATCATGTCTTCTAACACCTTGGTGTCTACCCTTTCAGCTGGTCTGGAATCACCCACCCTCCCTTGTACAGTGCCCAGCGATTACCGTCTCCCTATACCTCTTGCGTATATTTTTCCAAGTACACGCGACATTACCTCCAGCGATATTCGCCCTCCTATGCCGGAGGAGACCATCCTTTACCCGCGGATTCGACAGACGACGCCCCACCAGGATCGCAGTCGTTCTGAGCACCTGGCCAACAAACATAAACGCGATGACACCGAGGACGAGGATGATGGATACGAGGCGGGCTGTGAGAGCGAGAAAGTAAGCAGGAAGCGGCGCAGGACTTCCTCCCGCATTTCGCGCTCCACGTCACCTGCTGGCGAGGTGCAGGAGCGCAAGTACTTCGGGCTGGGGCTGGGTCTTCCCAGTAACGTCGCTCCGCGCCTGACCCGCAGAACTGCGTTCATCGAGTCGGCACCATCAACACCGTTTATCGATGCGGATGAGTCCCACATCCAGTCCAATCCTCATAACCATCATTCGGAGTCGGCTCTCCTCATCCGGACCACATCACTCGAAAGCAACGCAGAAGTGCCTGGTGCACCGCGTCTCTTGTCAAAGCCGTTCACGCCTGACTTGTGCATCCCATGCAGTCCTAAGTCCCTGGTGGGCCTAGCCATCAGCATCCATATTCCCATTCGTGCCACGCCGCAGCCACAGTCGCCGGTGCAGGCGAACGACCCGCGATACGACGACCTAATTGTATATCTCGGCGTATAAGCATTCCGGCATAACTCTTAGACAGCGAGCTTGCCTCGCACATCCAACCATCATACCTACACATGCTCATCTTGGAAGAAAATTACATTAAAATCCAAATCAAACGAGGTTGAATTCTGTGTAAACAAGTGATGTCGTACACCGTGCTCTATTCATCTTTGAAAAATCTATGCACGTTCTTCTACACCTCGAGAGCTTTTCGAATTGGCGATATTGTCACCACTTATCGTAGTCGAACCTCCCATGTAAACGCGTTATAATTTCTAGAAATTCCGGTTCTGCCTCGAGGGTGAGATATCCGTGGCGGATCATGAACTCTACTAGAACTGGGATCGCGGTCGTATCACCCAGATTAATCGACATCCTGGTAACGACAAAGTGTAGAGCTCACCTAGAGCACAGTTTCGCTTGAAAAGACCTGAGCGCATGCGAGTGATCACCTCGTCCAGTGGAAGTAGCTACATGGTTGATCTAATAAAGATGACAGCTGATGTGTAAAGATGGTGAGCTGACCTCAAATAATTCCACCTCTCCATCCAGAGGCTTAGGTTGGAACGGAGCGGGGTCTACGCCAGGGGGTACGCGTAGATCGTAGACGTATCTTGACTGTCATCAGGCTCAATAACAAGAGCATAAATACCGCACTTACTCGACCTCAGGCTGCAACCATCCTGCATCGGTTCTGTCAAGCGACAATATTACCATCCCTAGACTCCACTAGGATAGAACGCCACGATATACACCGAAAGAAATAGCTCACGCTCCCAACTGATCGAACGTACTTCCTCACCACGTTCTCTTCAATGCTCGCCTCTTCCATGGACTCCTTCACAAGGGACTCGAACGCACCGAGTCCGCACGGTATACCCCCTGCAACACTGTTATCGAGATACCCTGGCCAAGTCTGTTTCGTCCGAGAGCGGGTTGGGACCCAGATCTTGCAGGAACGAGCCCCGTCAGCATCGACATCATCCTCGTAGATAGTCATGTGTACGCCGTATGTGACGACGCCAAATAGAGCGCACGCTGCCCGCTCCATCATGAACGCGTAGTTTTTCGCCGTGTCGCCGGTCATAGCCCCAGAAGTGTCAAGTGCATCCTCGTCTTTCGCAGGCGAGTCGTGTGCGCCAAACGGGTTACGATACACAGGGTACAGCTCGCCACGCCACTTCTTCGGCCCTATGATATCAGTCCATAAGTCCTCGTCCCGCCACCGCTCGCACATCTCCTTCATCACACGCGTCCGCTGAGCCGACGTACGGATCCAGGTAGCAAAGCTCACTGTGGCTTGCCCACCATGCGTGCTAAACTCCCAAACCGGTTGCCCGCGTGCATTCTCCGCCCGAAGCTGGGAGAGCACCACAGGTCGAAGGAGGCCAATGGCAGGGGAGAAGGGCTCGGGTGTGAGATGCCATGGCGTAAGATGTTCATTGCTAGCGTTGGTACTCGTCCCCGAGACTCTGAAATTGTCACAGGCGCCGATAATTTGCAGATACGTTTGGGGTGAGGTAGGTGCTGGTCCGACCATATGCGAGTCGTGGCAGAAGTGGCGGCAATGAGTCGAATTATTGCTGGCTTCCTAAGTGCTTGATAGCTGGGCTACGGAGTGGAGCATGCACGGCTCACTAAGATAGCACGTTCGCCGTGCAATGTAGAGTGCTAGTCTTGCGGGTTGGGGAGAGGTGGATTCCGGCGGCGGCTCAAGCTCGGAGCAGGCTGCAATAGGCGCCTCACGGCACTGCGACGGCCCGAGAAGTCAGCGGGCGACCGGCAGCGGAGGGGCGAAATGCGAGGGAGCCTGAGCGGAGAGATTCGCGGAATCCAACTCGAGCGTGAAGCGGCGGAAAGTCGTTGAGAACACGGCTAACCACCCAAGGAGCGCAGCCCACAACAGTCGTGGCTCAACGTGAGCCCGCCGACTTCCCCAACCCAGGGCTAGCGTTCCGCAGCGAGAGATCAGATCAGAATGACAACATGCATTACAGCATAGACAACATGACAGCAGTGGAGAAGCATTACAGCGAGAGCAAAACTACAGTTGCAAGTATGGTAGACTACAGAGAGTACTTCTTCCTGAAAGAGTCCATAGCAGTGGAAGCCAGTTGCAAACGAGAAGAAGTAAACGACCGCGAGATGAAGAGAGGTAAAATAGACTCAATTTTCCGCCAATACTCGAGAAAAGCGCGTGATTTCCAGCTACCCTGCGTCGCGACCACATCCGGATGGGTACCGCGAAGCAGAAGCTCGGTCGCTCCTCCGATGCGAAAGCAGTGTCCTGTGAGGTGCTCAAAGCCGGCTGCTGCCCAGGCCGCATTGGCGCGATTGAGGAACCAGTCGCGGGTCATCGGCGCCCAACCCGCCGTGTCGCTCGTTTCGAACGCGAAGAAGGGAGCATGCGCGGGGACACGGGCATTCGCCTGCAGATGGTGGCGCAGGGCAACGACGGCAGAGCTTGGGTCGCCGAATTCGGTGGCAATGATGTCGGCGCCGAGTTGCTTAGTCGTTTTGGTCCAGGGCACATGGAAGACAGCGTACTGCGTGCCTCCCGGTAGCGTGCGATATGCAACGGAAGCCGAGCGCGCGACGTGCTTCACAGGGTCGAACGCGCCCACAGAAGGAATGACCAGCTCGCCAAGCCTGTAGAACATCAGCGGAAGAACAAGGAGTGACCAGACGGCGCGTGCGTACCGACGACAGCACCAAAACGCGACACATGCTACCGCATATACCGCGGCATCGAACGAGTCGGAGAGGTCAAGGTTGGCACGTAATGCGTACAGGTGCTCGACCGTGACGGGCGCCCGCTTCTCTTTCGAGGCTGGGGCAGACTTGGAAATAGCTGAACAAGTTACCCGGAGCATTTTTGCACCTTGCCATGGGGCGCCATGCAGTGCATGCCAGAAAGAGAGCCACGCGCCCGCTCCACTGCGCAACAAAAGCGGCTAGGAGCGGCTCCGCCGCAGGCATGCGAAGGTCTTCGGAGATTGCAAGGCAATCACAAAACTGGGTAAAGCGCAGCAGCCCTGCACCGTAATTCTTCCGAGTGCCAGGGTCAAGAGAAGTGAGCATGACATTAAAAAGATGTACCGAAGTTGCCGAGGAGGTCTGTGCAGATAGAGAGGAACGAAAGTGAACCGCATGTGGCGTGGTCCAGAGCGCAAGGCGATCACGTGCAAGAACGTGAGGACGGAAAAGAGAGGGGACAATTTGGTTTTCAGAATGAGGCTTTCTAGGTTTTCGCCGAGCCAGTGTTCGCGATGACGGGCTGATCTGCGCTACCCCAGCCTGGGCAGCATCAGACCCGTCACACCGGGTCGACGCGCTCGCATGTGCAAGCGCAGGAAGCGATGAGGTCGTGTTATACATCAGTGAGAAAGGCTGCGAGCTCAGCAGGGAGCTGGAAGGAGAGCTGACGATGCGACATCGAGGGATTCGGGTCACCGCGAGAGACCGAGTCCGCCAAGTTGTCCTTGGTGTTCACATAGCGTATGATGAAGAGAATATTGAGAGACATGGCGATGACCTCTGTACGACGGATGGAGGTGTTGACCTGATGATTGCGGCTGCGACCGCGAGCAAATGCGCCCTCGACGCCCTTGTTGTCGCCGTGAACAAGAATAGTCGCATCACGATGGCCGAGTGCTTCTATCGTTCGAACAGCGAGCTCGACGGCCACCATCTCAGCCCATCCGATGTCACGACCATCACCCTTCCATGCATCGGCCTCTCCCCGCCATCGCCATGCACTCCACTCACCGGATATGATGATTCCGATGCCCCAGGAGGAGGAGGCATCAACCCAGATGCCAAGATCCTGCAGCGGACCACGGGGTGTGAGTGAACGAGTGATGTTTGGCACGTTGAGGATGTGGAGCCACCACTTCATGTCCGAGAGGACAGAACTTGGTGCGAACCGGGGGGCATAGCGATTGGTGAAGGCAGCAATGAAACTGCAGAGATTAGTGAGGAAGGCACGGCCGTGCGGGTAGACGAATGTGATATGGGAAAGTGTGCCATTGATGGACATGGCGTCACGTTGTAACACCCGCCCGCGCTCGACAGTGGCGATGAATGCAGTGAGTTTTGCCAGGTATTTCGCGCGCTTCTCCTCGGGCAGGGCGACCGATCGCTGGCCAAGGTCCCACAGGAAACCGCTGTATATCGCACAGGATGCATAGTCGGAGTACTTGGTCCGATGCCAGGGGACGCCCAATGGATCAGTGATGCGGAAGATATCAGCTAATCCAAGTGCGTACTCATATGCGCCAGAGATGCTGCATTGGTTGGTGGGAAAGCGAAAGGTGATGAGGTCATCAACCCACTTGCGCGAAGGCCTGATATCATTTGCATCGAGAATGTCTACGATGGCGTCCATCGGCTCGCCTTGCACGCCAGTCCCAGATGAGACTCCAAAAGGGAGGACGTGATCGACATAAAAATCACCCGGATCACACTGGATAACAAGGAAAGGCTTGTGCGCAGGTTTGATAGGCAGATTGCGGAATGCGGAGTCAATATCGAGGCACGCAGCTTGCGCACCAGCAGGTGCGTTAGCGATCTGGCAAGCAGGAGTTAGCGTTTGCGGCAGTGGACATGTTCCGAGTCTGCATGTGCAAGCGATAACAAGTTGATATCCCGCGCACCGGGCATGAATCGAGTAGACAGCGGTCTCCCGTGCACTGGGCAATGACCGTGAACAGTGATCTCCCGCGTGCCAGGCAATGACCAAAGAATAATGATCTCCCGCGAACCGGGCAATGATCGAGCGCAGAGATCTCCCGCGTACCGGGCAATGATCTCAGCGGAGCAGCCTCCTGCGCACCGGGCATCGACTGGGAAGATATTGAAGAGGGACTCACGATTTCTGCCACCTCGGCTGCAGTGCCCCATTTGGTGGGAAAATCATCAGAGTTGATCTGACTGTTGACGGAGACTCCGAATTCGTCCTGATAAGAGCAGTTTTGCACAAGACGGAATTTTTTCGAACCGGCCTTTGGGACAACAGCAAGTGGGGAAGATACGAAGAAAGAGCCCAAAATATGCTCTACCTGAGCCTGCGAATACGGGCCAGTCATGCGGCCAAGAGAAACCTGCTCGGAAATATATTGGCGGATGAAATCGATATGTTCAGCGCCAGAGGAATGGTTTGGAGGAGCAAAAGTGCGAAGAAGAGGATTAAAGTCACCAATTGGGAAACCGTAATGTAATTTTTGTGGCAAGAGAGGGTAGCGCTGGAACAGGCCGAGCATGCGAAGAGTGTACTCGAAGGCCTCAGCATCGTATGGTGTGATAATGCGTTCACGCTCCGAGGCACCGCTTAGTCACAGCGGCATGACCGTCGGAACCGCAGAAGGAGCAGACGTGCCCACCGGTTCCAGGACAGTACATACCTCGACAAGGCATGCGGCCATGTTGGACATTCCATGTGAGGCAGATCTCCGCACGTGTGGAGATGGCGAGCAGCTTCTTATTTTCCCAGACGGTGAATGCGGGGTTGCCGTTCGACATGGTTGATCGCCCGCACTGACTGGCCCGATGTCCACTCTCACCGCAGATGAGGCAGAGCATGCTCGTGGACGCAGATGCTCTGCCTTCACGAAAGGGCTTGGCAGTGGAATCTGCCGCACCATCGCGGCGCGGGCGACGTGAATCGGGGGAATGTGACGGCGTGCGATAGGGGGTTTGAGACGAACCGACAATAGGGCCCGCGGGAATAGGAAGCGCGCATCGAGAACCCTTTTCGATATGCTCCAGGCGGATTTTGAGAAAGTGGTCATTGTAGCTCTTCGAGCCGACAACGAAGGTTTTCTTTGTGAGGAAATAACCGCGACGTACATCGATATCGAATGCAAGGATTACCGGAAAGATCCTTTTGAAGTCGCTCTGCTCAGATAACCACATGTGGTGTTCCGAGAAGCGCTTGACAATCTCGCCGTCGCATACACCTGGCAGAATTTCGAAGTAATTGCGCCAAGCATCGCGCCATTCCTCGGGTCCCATAGCCTGTTCGTCGGGCCACTGTGCAATGTCAATTAGAGCCCTCTTGATCCCCTTCCCATCGTGCATCTTGCGATACTGGACCTGTTCCGGGTGCTTGTGCATCTTGGTCATCACCTCGGAAGTGCACATGGACAGAGGGAGATGGAACCCGTTCCTTAGGAGTGCAGGAAGTTCCTGGGGCATCTCGATAACTCGGCCCGCGAAGAGATCGGCCTTGCTCTCGGAATCTATGGTGATCAGTGCATTCTCACTGCTCTTGCCACCATTCCCTACGGCCTCTGTCCGAGTGCCAGCACCGCTCCGCTTCTCAACACCCGCATTCCACAGTTTTAGGGCGATGCCCCGAGTATTCGGAGTCATTTTCATAACATCCCGAAGCAACTGCATATCATCGGTGTTGCTCTCCGGTGTCCTGTGCCGCGAAGGCACGCCTGCAGGCATTGCCGACGGTTCCTGGGAGTCTAACTGACCCGGAGATGTGCCATCTGATCCATCCAACATTCCCAGCTCCTCGTCATCACTGACGCCATCTTCTCCGCCCTGTCTACGTACTGCCCTAGCCGCGTTCCGGGCCTGCCGCTCCCGGTTTTCCTGAAACAAAGCTATCTGGGCCGGGTTGGGCAGGCTCGCGGTGCCTCCACCTGATCCAGACTCATCGGGAAGGAACGAAGACAAATCCTTACCGCCAACGCTCGGGGGAGGTTCTTGGGATGGCATTTGTTACAGATCGGCGGAGATCGTGCGTGTGGAAACACCAGAATGAAAACGAGTGAGAGGCTGTAGGTGCAGGAGGAACAGACTGGCGCTTACAGCGCCTATTCCTCCGCCTTCAGCCTCTCGCTTAGTAAGCACTAGTTTGACTTAGCGCTCGCGAGCTCGCTACTAAGCCAAACTCCACTTTTCAGAAGTCTTGTCGCGCGGCCAAATACACACAAATTTCCGCCCGAGCGACCTCTAACTTCGAACGCAGATATCTCCTCAACGGCTGGGCCGTTTCTCTCGATTCTTGCATTTTCGGACTCTCCTCGTCAGCGCGCAGGGCATGGTATCAAGAAACATACATATTCGGACTGTTCAATACTCGCGGATCTGGTGGTCGTCGCACTAGCTCAGAACCGACTTCGCGTACGGCAGACAGTCCCAGTACTGGAGAAATTGTTCTGAGAGGACTTCTTAGGATCATAGAGAGGGCATGGTATGCAATTTAAAGGTAAGCATGCCCTGATTCTCACTGTGGGATACGATCTGTGATCACAGCACTAGGACCCCATTACCAGATGGTCAAAAACATTCCCCAGTTTGCATTTTTCATGTCTTACATATTTTATGTTGATATCTGGATGGTTTTAAGCAAGCAGCAGATGGTAGAAGGCACTCAGGATGGTGGGATTGTGCTGCAGTTGGTATGATACTCAAGCCCTTGAATCCATTATTTCCCATCTTCAGCACTGTCATCCTTCATCCCTGATGCACACATGAATCCTATATGTAGTCTATACACAAAATACACTGTAATCTTTGACAGTAGCATGAGTTCTGTAACCCCCTGATATGTGCTATGCAGTCTGAGATAAATCACATACAATCCAGACTCTCTCAGGCCACAAATGCATATCCCTGCCTTGCCTACCATACTACCAGAGGGTCTCCACCACCTTCCAATGTTCTCCGACCCATCCAACAATGACAAACTCACTTCTGAGCCAGAAGGAAGCTGCTGAAAACAGCGGACAGAGATAGCGGAGAAAGGGTATATCTGTTGGTACCATGCCCTGCGTGCTGTCGAGGAGAGTCCGAAAATGCAAGAATCGAGAGAAACGGCCCAGCCGTTGAGGAGATATCTGCGTTCGAAGTTAGAGGTCGCTCAAGCGGAAATTTGTGTGTATTTGGCCACGCGACAAGACTTCTGAAAACAGCAATAATATTGCAACGGTGTCACGGTTACAGCTCATCTAATCTCCTCATCTAAGCGCTCAACGTTCAACGTTCAACGGACAACGATTTCAAATTTCAATGTGAACAGCTTTCAAAACAACTTGGCAGTGCCTAGGGCACTGCGGAGTAGTCGCGTCATATACATGAAGTACGAGGCTGGGCTTGCGGGCACGACATCCAGAAGCCGATGCAGTATGGAGCGCATTCGAGCGGGAAAAAGTGTTCGCTGTGTCCCACTACGCATCGAAGTTGATGTTATCTCATTTGCCAGAGTCGAAGCCTTCCTTGCAAATTGTAGTACTAGTAGCAAAATCAGATATCTTCCCATAGAACGACCGTGGGGTCCTCGGGATGTAGGATGTTGCCGTGGTATTGGACCGGTGTGGGCGTCTCAGAAGGACCCCCGCGAATCAACTAAGAGCTCCGATCCCGGCGACGACATTTCTCGGGGGTGGCCGACCACCTAGTTTCGGGGGTTTGCACACAACCTGGCGGCAGGTCGGCCGTTTTCGGGGGTATGTGGGATCGAACATTCGGCCACCTAGAATTACGTTTGACAGCCTGCGGAACAAAAATTTCGCTTCCTGCACAAACCCAAGCTTTTGTGAGCCAAATTACTAGAACTTTCCTCCCAAACCACCACATATGGCTAAACTTTAGGCCCATCCTCTGAAACTTGAGCCAACCTCAGTTTTCGGGGGTTCTGGACCTAACCTCAGGTTGGAGGGTCACATTTCGGGGGTGTTTTGCACGCAACTTTCGATGTCTTTTTCGCCATTTTCGGGGGTCGGAGATCTAACATTTTGCCTCCGGTGGCCCATTTTTTGGGGATGGGTGTATCGGAGCTCTCAGTGGATTTGCGGGGGTCCTGTCTCAGAGAGCCACTAGACCACACGGCACAATGCACGACCATGTCATCGATTCGTGTCCGCAGACCCCCACTGTTCGTCAAAACCTCTAGTCTCTCCACTCACGAGGAACGTCATCGTCAAGTTCGGCGAGTGGCCTGCCGTACCCGGCTTCGAAGCTGTCAACGCCCAGTCCACAGCGTCACGACGGGAAGGCTCGAGTCAATGTTAAATGTCGCGCTTGCTCCGGAGCCTCAAGTAGCTTCGGAATAGTTTACATCAGTTGTTCATCAACAGCAATCATCAAAATAACATGTACGCTGGTGACTTCGCATGCGTGTATCAATAGTACAAAGGAATTATAACGAGACCGCATGTCCGAACTGCTTAAAACTAACACCAAAGTTGCTTGCAGTCAGCATCACGTTTAGGAAACGTCGACATTCTCTGGGTCTTGAACATCCTGTCTCCTCGACATCGGGAGGCCTTGCTCATTTAGACCTATAAGACGGCACCGGTCAGTTTCAGATCATCTCAAAGGCCGTCCGTGCTTACCAAGGTTAGAGCCACCGAACTGCATAAGAATGCTCGCAGCACAGCCCATGGCCGGAAGCTGCACCAATTTCGGGAAGGTGATCCGAGCTGCCATGTCACGAACAAAGGTGTCGTTGGAACCGTGGAGCGCGTAGCTCACGAACGAGGTCGTGAGGATACCAACGTGCTGGAAGTCAATGAGCGAGAGCTCCCCAGTCTCAGGGTTGTAGAGGAAATTCGGCTCTCTGATGTCCGAGTGGTAGAAGCAGCGCTCCTCGGATTCGAAGTCGACGCTCGCTTTATCACCTCGGCCGGGTGTGCGCTTCAGGGCCTGTCAGTGGTGTTGATGACAGCTTCAAAATAGGAAAGGGCATTGGTGCGTACCTCATTAACATAGCGCTGCAGAGCCACAGCACGTCGGCGAACTCCAAGGGGGCCAGGTCATCGTCGGCGCCGAAGAATTTATGCACAGCGAGACCACCTCCGACAGGACCGAGGCCCGCATATTGGGGAAGAGGAAGGTCGAGGAGCCAGGAAAGTGCTGAGGCAATGCTAGGGTAGACATATTCCGCTTCAGAGGGATATTCAGCTAGGTACTCATCTACAGTTGGAGCGTTGATGAACTCCATGACGATGTAAGTCCGTGGACCACGTTCAAATGCGCGATAGACCTTGGGCATGCGCGGCGCTCTAGGGACGTCCGTCGTCCGGCGATAGACGTACTTCTGCGTCAGCGCTTCGCCCATGGTGTGACTGCCGCCGTACTTGATGAAGTAGGCCGGATTGACGACGGGGTACACGCAGCGATTGGTCTTGGGCCCGCTCTGGGCACAGAGCGCGATGACATCCTCCTCGGTTAGAGCAGCGGGCATGTTGGTATAAGGCAGGGATTCGAGTCTGTGGCATGGAAAAGGAGGTTGGTCAATGCCGGTTCGAAAAGACAGGCCATCCGCACTTACTGTATGCGAGGTATTGTGCACTAGGTTGGTGAAGCCAATGGAGTAACAGAACGATCGAGCATAGTAGCGAATAAAAAGGGAAGGGAAAAGAGGCTTGTCTTTGGAAGGACCATCGAAGCCGCTCTGATGTTGGCCATTTGCGTTTAGTTTTCTGCTTCGTAAGGCCCTGTTCGGGATCCCGATAATCATTATCGTAGCGGCGCTCGCGCCATTCCCCGACTCCGACGGGGTGCTCACGGTTTTTGTATGAGCAAGGGTGTGTGATCAATATGTATAGTACAAGTACAGGCATTTGTGATAGTTACAGCAATGAAAAACTAGACGAGCGAGGCATCGTCGTCGTCGCTGTCATCCGAGTGGTATTGGTCAGGCTCGGAATTCGGTCGGAAGACTCCGAGGAGGGGCATGGGCTCGTCCTCGAGGAAGCCGCGGGGCATCAATCCCGGATTGGCGAGAAGGACGATGGATTGGATGTTGAGGGAGATAGTGGTGTCGGCGTTTTCGTCGTCGAGTTCAGGGTGGCTCTTGATGTACTTCCCAAGAGTGAAGAGCAGGAGGACGGCAGACTCTGTGGAGAGATCGTTGTGGATTTTGGGAAGCATCGATATGGAGCACATGGAGAACTTGAAGGGCTTACACCCATCGAAAGTCGGCACTGCGGGAGGAGTGAGTTAGGGCACATGTGCGAGAAGGTTGGGGGCGATCTTACCATCTCGATCGGCCGGCAGCACGGGGGGTGGACCTGCAGGGTGCGTTAGTGAACATTTTGTAGTGCGAGACGTCATGTACCGCATTGTGCGTTCACCAGAGTGGCGGGAGCCATGCCGCGGATCTTGGTTGGAGTGTTTGAGGTGCCGGTGGTCAACCTTGTCGAGAAGGAGAGGCCGGCATGGAACGACGGGAAGACGAGTGTTCGTCTGTTGAGAATGGCACCCAGGACGGCAGCCGCACGTGGCCAGGTGAGTGCTGATGGTGCAACGCAGAGTTGACGGCTGCGACCGCTCGGACTGATCAGGTCGCTGTGGGTAACGGAGCCGACGACAGAGAAGAGCGTGAGATGGGTGCTCGTCTTGAGCTGAAGGTAGTCGGAGGCTCCGATGGCGACAAAGTGGAGTGCTGTGGGGTTTGCGGTCGCGAGATTGATGATGTCGTGTGCGGTGGTGATCGAGACGTGATCGAGACGTCTTTGGGGTCGATTAGTAGTATGGCAGAAAAAGCAAGGGCAAATGGACGTACTCGGCGATGTTCGAAGGGAATGCCCTCTTGAGATACACGGGTTGCATGAGGACAAACACGTTGTTCATGGCACGTGTCACGGCGAGCGTTTCTCTGCAAGAAAGTGTCAGTGTGGGTCACGGTGGATAATTGCCAAAGGGCGTGCCTGAGTTTCGACAGCGACTGGAACACTTCGGTTCTTGTATATATGGTGCAGTTAGCGGAAGTGTCTGTCTGGTGGCAAACAGCGACTCATGGTGTCCTGGTTTTCTCAACGCGCTTTCCTTTGTTGCGGTAGGGCTTACCGGGAGTCTCGTCGGGTCGGTGACTGGCGAGAGCATCGTCTGCGGGAGTATCGGATGCGGTGGAGTCGGTGTGTGCTGTCGGCGAGAAGCTGCAAAGAACTGCATGTTGGCCGGTATATGGTGGTGAGTGGGTATGAAGACTTACATGTCGTCGCTGTCTTCGGGCTTCTGCCTTTTTGCGGGTGAAGGCACTGGCACAGACGGCGACGGATGCCTCGTCTTGCATTTGCTGCCAGTGGTGGCTGCAGGAGCATCAGTGACGGAGGCCATGGTGGTGGTTGTGAGAGGAAATCGGGCGAGGTGGGAGTTGTTCGCGGTGCGACTGTTGGGGCATGCCAGTTGGCATTTGCCGTCTGGGCGCGGTCCCGAAACGGGGGCGAGAGTGTCGAGGAAATTGCGTGTGCTGCGCGGGTGCACTTTGCGAGAGGCCAGGTGCGGCCTTGGCGTTCGAACGGGAGGTCCGCGCGGTGGTCGACCTGGGCGCGGTCGCGAAGTGTGGGCGAGATGGTCGAGGTGGGGGCGCGCGCGGTGGGGGCGCGTGTTTTGCGGTGGGCCAGGCGCGGTATTCACGTTCCAACCGCAGGTCCACGTGGTGGTTGAGGTGGCGAGTGTAGGTGGTGGAGGGCGTCAGCGGTCGAGGTGCTGTGGAGAGGGGCCGCGAACGCACGCCGAATTGCGTGCGCAGTGGGGACGCACATTTGGGTCGGGCGAGGTGTGGTGTTGGGACTGCTGGATGTCAGCAAAGTGTAAGCAAAATAGTGCAGAAAAATACGCACCGAGCGGGTGCATGTGTTTTGCGAGAAGCTCAGCACGGGATTGGTGTTGGCACGCCGGGAGGTCCGCATGGTGGTCAAGCCGCGCGCGATCGCGAAACCTGAGCCAGAGGGGGGAGGAAACTGCGTGCGCAGGGGGGGCGCGTGTTTTGTGGTCGGCCAGGCGCGGTATTGGCGTTCCAACGGCAGGTCTGCGTGGTGGTCGCATTGGCGAGAATGCAGGTGGTGGAGGCCGTCCGCGGTCGAGGTGCTGCGGAGAGCGGTCACGAACGCGCGCCCAGTGGGGACGCGCGTTTGGGTCGGGCGAGGTTCCGTGTTGGTATTGCTGCACGTCGCGGCCGAGTTGGTGATGGTGGCGGAGAACGTCGGCGACTGTCCGTGTCAGTGGTGGAGATGTGGCTAGAGCGGTCGTGAACGTGCGCCGAATTTGACGCGCAGCAGTGGCGCGTGTCCACAATGAGCTGGGCGCGATGGTAAGATTTGAATCTGACGCGTGAACGGTTTGTCGTGCGGGGGCGAGCGTCGGTCATTGTGGATGGCTACTTACCTCCACAGGTGTGTTCGTTCTTGCTCGTTGATCGTGTCTTGCTGGCAATTGACACTAGTGTATAAAGTTTAGTAAAAATCTTGCTGCTTTCGATCAAAATGAATTTGGAGGCTGACCTGAGTTCTGTTACAACGCTCCTCACTTGTGGCGCGTCTTTTCTTTTTCTTTTCCTTGTTCCCTTTACGTTACCAGACCACATGATCCAACACGTGACTCATCGGAGCGCAACCTCCAATTCTTTACCCAGATGTCCAGAACCCCTAGTCTGGGGTTACACCGGATCCAACTCCGGACCTTCTTCTTATCGCACATGCAAGATGTGCATGTATGCCTCATCTTTACCTCGTTCTGATACACGACTCGTTATCCCCATTAGTACTGATTATCTCTCACGACCTTACTCAGCTTTCTCATACATATTACTTCCTCGCCATTACCCTGCCCAGATATCGTTTCACCTTATCTAGCCAATGAACGATCTCGCATTACTGCGTAGTACTGCGGATACCTTTTGTATAAGTAGACGACCTTGTCGAGCTGGATACCCATCTCGACCTGGTTACCATTAAACCAGCTTTTCACTTGCCTTTGACTGAGATCGATCGTCAGTAGCAGACAGCTACTACGAGTCATAAGAACGAACTCTGATCGACCTTCAGTGCGAGGACATCACCAGAAGTGTCACTTGAACAGACTTGTGTCTTAGACTAAGACCTTGTCTCGTGACGACTTGACTAGATGCTCGTGTTTTGCTGCCGCGTAACATTAGGTCGAGATCTTATTACTCTCTGTGACTTCCTAGAGTCTAACAACGAACTACCGACCGGACCGAACCTTGAAGACTAAACGATACACCTGATTCGATTGCTAAAGCACCGTTTGAGATTACTCTGTAATCGAGGTAGCTGAAGGGATAGACTGATCACTCATCTTCGGAGAGGGGTCTGTCCGAGAGACCAATAGGCCGAGGAGGCTGAGGTAATCACTCGAGCAATCAGCAAATAGGTGTATCAGTTTGAAGACAGAAGACACTCTACGGGCTTGTTAGCCGACGACGAACGAACCCACTTAGTTAAGGACGGTGTGCAGTCTACGTGTAGACGTAGGTCACACAGGAGAATTTATCCACGCTGGATTTGAACTTTATCAACCCGACTGCTCTTCCCAAGCAATACATCGACCTCCTCCCATCTCAGGCAGAGTGGGACGCACAGAGGAACGTACACGTTTTAAACGGATGACCTTTACTCATCAGACCAGATCAACACATTGATCACCCAAGTGGTGACTACGAAGCAGGCCTACCCCATAATGTTGGAGGGCTCGTACTATCACACATCGCAGACAGCGGCATACCTATCTCTTATCCAGGAGAAAGACCAGATGCCCCTTGGAACCTCCCTGTCCAGGATCCCGTACCCCAACCGATTCTTGCACCAATCATATCCGATTACATACCACCGATGGCTACAGTTACCATGGATGAAGGACGTCACCATGTCAGCCAGAAGGAACTTGGTTTTAGAAAACCCGAGATCTTCAACGGTTCAGACCGTTCGAAGCTTAGGGAATTTATAAACCAATGCAAGAATTACATGGCCGGAAATAGCCATGTCTACCAGGAGGACAATCAGAAGATCGCATTCGTGCTATCGCACATGCAAGGAGGAACAGCAGGATCATGGGCACAGAGCTTCATAGAAACGGAACTCACCAATGATGACTTCCTTTCTTATGGGAGTTGGAGAGACTTCATTGCGAGTGTGAACAAAGCATTTGGCGATAAAAATATTGAAGAAACCGCTCGTACCTTGCTGCGTAACATCAAGCAAGGAACTCGTACTGCGGACGACTACATTGCCGAATTCTGATCGATTGAATCCAAGGCGAAATTAGAAGATGCCGGAAATATCGAGTATTTCAAGTGGGGACTTAACGACCCACTCTGACAAAGGATATATGGGATGGAAAGCATGCCCAAGACACTTGACAAGTGGTATGAATATGCCTCGCGGTTTGATAACCAATGGAGATCTGCTCAGATCTTCAAGCGAGGAGCCACTACGACGACGCGAGGAAAGGGCCGATCTGTCCATCGTCCCTACTACTCGGCTTCTGCAAAGGATTCAAATGCGATGGATGTTGATCGTGTCAATATCTCGCGCTTATCCCCGGACGAGCGACAGAAGAGAATGAAAGAAGGATTATGTTTCCTATGCGGAAAGAAGGGCCATATAGCCAACGACAGACAATTTTACCCCCAGTCTGGAAGTTTCACCCGTGCTAGAACGATACAGCCCGGGTTGGACACAGACACGATCACATGGATCAAGAAGATGCGAGAAGACCTCGCACAGAAGAAGGAGACGTCGAAGGAAGAAACCAGAGAGGAACAGATCGCCTATGTGCGAAACGTCTTCAACGACATGACTGATGAAGAACGAACCCAATTGGGTTTTTGAGACGACGGCCACTAGTAATGCATGGACCGTCACATCTTACCGTATCTCCCCTCGTTATTTGTAACACTAGCGGAAATTCAATCACTGTGAATATTTCGTTGGGAGAGAAGGAAGACGTTACAACAGAAGCCTTGATCGATTTCGGTGCAGCTGAAACGTTCATGAACATTCATTTTGCGGAAGAAAACGATTTCATCAGATGGGAATTACCGAAACCGATTAAAGTCATGAATGCAGATGGCACACCAAATCAAATGGGTACCATTACTCATTGTACCTGGAAGATGATGAAAATCAGAGGAAGGAAGACACTTACTCGCTTCCTCTTGACCGGCATTGGCAAAGAAAACATACTTCTCGGCATGTCGTGGCTTAAACACCTCAATCCGATGATCAACTGGGAAACCGGTGACTTTTAGTTTGGTAAAGACGCCAAATGGCCACTGAAACCCACCGCTGAAGATGCACCAGATGAAGAAGTTTTAATTTTCAAGGAAGATGGACTCCCAGAGTTAATCACCACCGAAACTTCCCCTACCTCATTTGGGCATTCAGAATCTGTCAGAGAAATCATGGCCGATAACACTGAGCGTGGCGAGTTACCCGCAGTGCAGAATGATACCGAACCAGATGATCCACCATCAGAACCCCCTATGAATCAGCTCGATGATGACGATCTAGTTATCTCCTATATCGCAGAAGAGCCAGTTATTGGGATATTTGAACCCATCAGGAAGGAGTCACCTTTGACGAATGAAGAGACTGAAACCGCAGTCTTCACCATACGAAGAGGCCCCGCCATTGGAAGAATGACACACAGTACTCGATCCCCATTATTCTGTAATGCACAGAATATGGTCTTTTACAAACCGTTCGGTAAATCACAAGAATTGGCACAACAAGCACACAAGGAAGCATCAGCTGTAGACAAACCCAAAACCGTCGAGGAGTTGGTCCCCAACTACCTCCACGATTTGAAGTCCGTCTTTGAAAAGAAAGCAGCTGAACGCTTTCCAGAAACCAGGCCTTGGGACCACGCCATTGACTTGAAACCCAATTTTATTCCACGCGACTGTAAAGTCTATCCGTTATCGCTCAAAGAACAAGGAGCGATGGATGACTTCCTGGAAGAAAATCTGCGAAAAGGATACATCTGACCGTCAAAATCTCCCATGGCTTCACCATTTTTCTTCGTAGGAAAGAAAGACGGAGCACTACGTCCCTGTCAGGATTACCGATACCTAAATGAAGGGATGGTGAAGAACGCCTACCCTCTTCCGCTCATCTCTGACCTTATGGATCAATTCAAAGGCGCATCGATCTTTACGAAAATGGATTTACGCTCCGGATATAACAATGTCAGAATCAAAGATGGTGACCAATGGAAGGGCGCATTTAAGACAAATCGCGGACTTTTCGAACCTATGGTCATGTTCTTTGGACTCTGCAACTCCCCGGCGACTTTCCAAAAGATGATGAACGCACTCTTCAAGGACATGATCGATGAGGAATGGATAGTCATTTACATGGATGATATCCTCATCTTCTCAAACAATTTGGAAGAACATCATGTTCGAACCCGACGCGTACTCCAACGACTCAAAGACAACGACTTATTCCTTAAACCGGAAAAGTGTTTCTTTGACGTTAAAGAAGTCGAATTCCTAGGCATGATCATTCGAGAAAACTACATTGGCATGGACCCTATCAAACTGAAAGGAATTGCAGAATGGCCTGAACCAAGCACGGTAAAAGGTGTTCGCTCTTTCCTAGGGTTTGGAAACTTCTATCGGAAGTTTATTGCCAACTTCTCGGATATTGCCAAACCATTGACGAATCTTACGCGCACTGCCGCTGGATCTCCACCTTTTGAATGGACGACAGAATGTCAGACAGCTTTCGACACATTGAAGCAACGATTCAGTACCGCCCCAGTACTGTTACTGCCTGACAAGGCAAAACCCTTCATTGTTGAATCCGACGCTTCCAAATTTGCTACGGGTGCAGTTTTACGCCAAGCCGACATCAATGGAGACCTCCATCCTTGTGCCTACATTTCACAGACGCTCAATCCAGCTGAACGGAACTACGAAATCTACGACCGCAAACTCCTCGGAATCATTCGAGCCCTCACTGAATGGCGCCATTATCTTGAAGGCTCTCCCCATCCCGTCGAAGTTCGCAGTGATCACAAGAACCTCACGTACTTCCATACAGCTCAGAAGTTAAACCGCCGACAAGCACGATGGAGTCTCAAATTATCACAGTTTGATCTTCACCTCATCCATGTCCCTGGCACGCAGATGATCCAATCTGATGCGCTATCTCGTCGTAACGGACTCGATGACAGTGAAAGTGACAACGAAGATCGCGTTCTTTTACCCAACGCACTATTCGTGCGATCCATTTCTCCGACACTATTCGACGAAATCAGGAATCACGCAGCAAAAGACCTCATTGTTCACGAAGCCCTCGAAGCGATTGCACACAAAGGGCCATTCCCCATGAAATCATCACTTTCCGACTGGGAAATTTGCGATGGTGTCATCCTCTACAAGGGAAAGATCTACGTTCCACCATCTGAAACTCTTCATCGTGACCTCGTTCGACTACATCACGACTCCCCTGCCATGGGTCACCCTGGAAAGTTCAATACTCTTGAACTGTTACGTTGTGAATTCTGGTGGCCCGGCATGTATACATTTGTCTACAATTATGTTGAAGGCTGTGCCGCCTGTCAACAAATGAAACCGAATACTCATCCAACTCGTATTCCTTTGGAACCAATTCCCGCCGACCCACACGCATTACCATTTTCCTGTTGCACCACCAATTTTATTACCGACCTCCCCGTTTCCAACGGTTTTGATTCAATTATGGTCGTAGTAGACCATGACCTTACGAAGGGGGTGATTCTTATGCCCTGCCTCAAAACGATCACAGCCAAAGGAACGGCCAAGATTTTTCATGACAAAGTATACTTGCGATTTGGATTACCCGACCGAATCATCTCGGATAGAGGACCTCAATACGCATCCAAGGTCTTCCAAGAGTTAAATCGACTACTCCAGATCAGATCATCAATGAGCACAGCTTATCACCCTCAGATGGACGGAGAAACAGAGCGAGTCAACCAGGAGCTGGAAATCTATCTTCGACTCTATTGCGGAAACAACCCTGAAACATGGGCCGACCGCCTGCCAGACCTCGAGTTTTGTCATAACACAAGGGAACACTCGGCACGGAAGATGAGCCCATTCCGCATCATGATGGGATACGAACCACGTGGACTCCCTTCCGTATTTCCGACCACGAACATTCCATCGGTTGAATCCAGGCTTGACATGTTGCAGAAGATAAGACTAGAAGCACTAGCCATGCACGAGTTAGCCCGACAACAGATGGCGGACCGAGTCAGACAAGGATCGCCGAAGTTTACACTAGGACAGAAGGTCTGGCTAGACTCGAGGAACCTGAAGGTCAATTACGCCTTGCGCAAGATAGCACCAAAGCGTGAGGGGCCATTCGAAATTGTCGAAGTCATCGGACCAGCCAACTATTGTCTCAAACTCCCGAAGACCTGGCGAGTTCATTCCGTATTCCACGCCACCCTTCTATCTCCTTATCGCAAAAACGACATACATGGTCCGAATTACGTGAACCCACCACCTGATGTCGTTGATAATGAAGAAGAGTACGAAGTCGAAGCCATCCTGAATCACAAGACGTACCGAGGTCATCTGAGGTACTTAGTCAAGTGGAAGGGATATTCTTCAGCAGAAAACTCGTGGGAACCTACCCACAATTTACAGAATGCCAAGCGAATCCTCGATGCATATAAAAGGACCAGGAGAATCCAGTAGAGGAGAAGAAACCCAGAATGACTACCACGACGGTTTTCCTCATCATCTTCCTAATCGTCCTCCACTGCACAACCCTCACTTTTCTTTGGATCATCCACCGAATCCTTATCAGACGACTTGTCGAACACACACTCTTCACGCGAAACAGCCCGCACGCTAACGGCTGGGGTGATCAGAACGATGCCTGGAACTGATCAGGCAGCTCTTATCTCTGTGGGAATACTCTTTATCGTCCAATGGATTTTCATCTATTTGATTATTACCCGGATCCACGACATTCTATTTCACATCACAGATAACCGCGATCCCCTTAACGACCGAAAGGTATAAAAGGAGGAGAAGACGATATATCATCAATGCCCACTTCCGCTATAGATGACCTTGTTCACAATATACTCGCTGAAGTCGCCTCCACAATTATGAGCATACCCGCATCGCCTACGCTTGTCAATGGAGTACCCTCTCGAGCACAGACACCCTTTATCCACGCCTCATCGCCCTCACCTTCTATCGAACTCAGTCACACATCGGATGAGCAAGAATTTGCCACACGTCTGGTCTCAGCTATCCGTGTTCCTGTCGACTTCACAGATATCCTCGTCGCCTTACGAAATCGCCCGCAAGATCGACAAGCGGTGATTTCCATGCAACGAACATTAGAAATGGTCGAGTGGATGCAGACGGCCAGACAAGAGCTCATCGCAGCAGAGGAAAGGACGAGTAGAGCCCGAACCAGAGTCGACCAAGTCTGGTCGTTAATGCACAGTACGGTCACTCGTACAGCACAGGAGATTTGGAGGGAGCATGGGGACGAAGACATCGGACACATCCTCGGATACACCACTGATGGAATACCCGCATCCACTCCTCGCTCGTCGCCAGAACCAATTCCCATTCGACCTCGCCCTCCTCGTTCGCACGTACCCAGTGGACGATCTCCGTTATCCCAACCATCTTTCTCGACCGCATCCACTTCTTCGCGTCGCAGTCATCCCTACAGGGATGGACGTATCCCCGAACAAGGATCACGAACCAGCTGGTGGACATGCTACAGATGTGGAGGAGATCATTATGTCCGTGACTGCCCCCGACGACGATGAAGATCACAATATTTCTTGTGGGACAAGAAACGTTAGACGGGAGCTGATGTTACAACGCTCCTCACTTGTGGCGCGTCTTTTCTTTTTCTTTTCCTTGTTCCCTTTACGTTACCAGACCACGTGATCCAACACGTGACTCATCGGAGCGCAACCTCCGATTCTTTACCCAGATGTCCAGAACCCCTAGTCTAGGGTTACACCGGATCCAACTCCGGACCTTCTTCTTATCGCGCATGCAAGACGTGCATGTACACCTCATCTTTACCTCGTTCTGATACACGACTCGTTATCCCCATTAGTACTGATTATCTCTCACGACCTTACTCAGCTTTCTCATACATATTACTTCCTCGCCATTACCCTGCCCAGATATCGTTTCACCTTATCCAGCCAATGAACGATCCCGCATTACTGCGTAGTACTGCGGATACCTTTTGTATAAATAGACGACCTTGTCGAGCTGGATACCCATCTCGACCTGGTTACCATTAAACCAGCTTTTCACTTGCCTTTGACTGAAATCGACCGTTAGTAGCAGACAGCTACTATGAGTCATAAGAACGAACTCTGATCGACCTTCAGTGCGAGGACATCGCCAGAAGTGTCACTTGAATGGACTTGTGTCTTAGACTAAGACCTTGTCTCGTGACAACTCGACTTGACGCTCGTGTTTCGCTGCCGCGTAACAGTTGCAGCATGCGATTTCTTCTACTTTTGTATACACACTATATTTGAAGACCTCTTGGGCTGGGATTTTTCTAAGAGACGCTCTAAAAGGCAAGGTGGAATCTTAGGAAAGTTGCATGCATTTTATGGTACACCTGAATGTACTAAGCGTGGTACACTGCATGGTCACTTTGTATTATGGCTACTCGGAGGTCTGAATCCTTCTGATTTGCATGCGAGGTTGCGTGACAGTCATGAGTTTGAATGCCGATTTTTCAGATACTGGGAGAGCATTATATTTCATCACTTGCCTAATATTGATATGCAAGTTGATCCAACGTACGAACCTCGTATTGAACGACCACCACAACCACCTATTGTTGGTGAATCGGCACTCAATATTCTGAATGAATGGGAGTCAGTGTTTGTCACTGAAATTAAAAAATGTGGAGAAGTCTTGCAGCGTCATCAACACCGTAAAGTCTGTGAAAAATACGGTAATGAAGGTAAATGCAGATTTTTATTTCC